AAACTTATGTCATATGGAAATTTATTAACTTGTGAAAGCAATAAAATAAACTTGAATCATTACAAATTGTAGCATACATGCATGCAAATTGAGCATACATCTTTATGAACATTCGACACATCTTTCTTGTGTCAGACAACATCATAGATTATTCAAAGCAAAGGAAATTAATTTTTCTTTTTTGCTGAGCAAGCTTTTAAATTTTATGAGAAACTTTTCCATTTCTCGATAGTTTAAAATGATTTTTTCTAAGTCATTTTTTTTTGTCGTCTTTGACAGCCAAGAGGGATCGGAAATAAATTTCCTTGTATTGATTTTTCAATTTCCATTCTTGACTTATTTATTCATAAAAGATATTTAGATGAAGGATGAAGCACCAATAGAGAAGAAAAGAAAGAAAATCAAAAGATCGTGGCAATGCTTCATGCTTTTATATTGTGAGTGTGAATGGCAATGTTAAAATCAAAAATTTTCATCAATTGGCACTTTTCTTCTTGCAACCACATAAAAGCTTTTCTATTCTATTCTTTCTTCATTCCACCACCATAATAATGTTCAATCAACTCTGAATTGACATGAAAAAGGAAAAATTATTTTCTTGTCATTACACATTTTTCCATGAAAACATCTTTCCGAATTGATTTCTAAAGATTTGAATAACAACAAAGGATATCCAAAGCTCAAAAACTAGTCTGTTGGTAATTTTTGTTGGAGAAGAAAAGTTATAAAGATCTCATAATAAACTAAATAACTGGCAAAGACATAACTCCGATAAGAAGGCATTCAAAGGTTGGGAAAACTTTCAGGTCATAAAATATCAATAATAATTCTGGAATCGAAGCTACACCTCATACAGGAAATATTCAATGATAAAGTTGAACATGCATGCATACACAATGCCATAATCATATATTTTTATTTGCAATCAATTGAACGTGAATGTGCAAAAAAATAAAGTGTTTCGTAAACGATCTTTTTAACATGTTATGAGACTTCTGGGTCTCCTTTTTAAGTACGATTAGAGGCTATTGAGTGCCATCTTGTTCCTTATCATAGCATACCTCGATATTCCTCAATGCTAAGCATATTTTCAATGAATTTTATCTGAGCCATCAGCATCCTAACGCTTTGATCTCCTATTTCATGCCTGAAAAATCATTTTAAATGGAAATTTACTGTATCATAACTACAGATCTAAAGTAGAAAATTCTTGACACAATAATGTCTCAAACAAGCTTATAGAATATTTATAATGTTCACCAGGGAATGTCACAATTTAAATTCTACATCCATCCATCCTTCATACATTCATTCTGATAAATAAAGTTATGAACATTTGTAACATTACTGATTACTGTTGATATTTCTTGATTTATTATTTAAGCACATAATAAAACTTGAAATGTTTTCAGGAACTTCCATTTCATTATTTCATTTCATCTACAAATTTTATGTTTCAAAGCTCAATTTTTTAATTTTTCAAAGAAATATCTGATATTGTAATAAAAAGAAAGTTAAAACTCATCCAAATGAACATTTTTGTTTTATGGATAAGTTTGACAGAGTTGGGTGGAAAATAAAATTGATGGTGCCGACAGACAGCATGTATGTACATACTTTCAACAAAAAACGCTTTAAGCTAACATATTTGAAAAGATTTTTTTATTGTACATAAAAAATCTCGTACAAGTTTTCATGTGTTCTAATTTTAAATTTTGCCCATGGTTATGAATGTTGATGTTACAAATTGAAATATTACACGTTTAGTTTCATGACTTCATTGTACTTCTACTCATATTTAAATAAAACAATTGAAAAGTTTTTCATTTGCGATTTCTATGTTTTCGCAAATGTCATATTTTGAAATGAGAACGAACATTTTATATCAAGTTCTACATTGAAAGTTTTCAAAAAGCACAACTAAATTTATTTCAATTTCCTCTCTCGAAATTGAAATTAAGTCGTTCTCGATAAGATTTCAAACTCGACACATGTTTTCGACATTTTAATTTGAATTTTTTTCTCCTTTTTTTCGCATCCGAACGATTTCAAAAAGTTAAAACCAAAATAATGAAAAGAAATTCGTTTTCATTTAAAACAGAAATTCAATTTCACTCGTTAAAAGAAAGAAGAATAATTTTAAAGTTTTTCTGCTAAAAGAATTTTTCGTCTTCTTCATGAACCGGCAATTCAGATTTCATTTTCAGTGAACCATTTTCCTCAATATAATTTCCTAAGCACATTTACTCCCACGCAACGATATAAAGGAGATGAAATCTGGAAAAATTGAATGTCAGAGATTTCTTTTCTCTCTTGCCATCAATTTTCCAAGCTCTCACTGGAAATTTCATTGGAAGGTTTTAGATAACACTGGAAGTTTATTTTTACATTTTTTAAGTAAGCACCGGGCGTAATTTGTTTCCTGATCTGGTCCTTCGTTATAATAAGGTCAGTCTTACCTTAAACGCTTTTGAGTTCTTCATGATGATAAGCTGTTTGGGATGTGAATTTGAGCTTAAATTTGTCAATCTGTCAATCCTTCTCCAACAGTGATCGAGAATATTTTAGGTCTAGTTCGTCTCATTCATACTAACGAGACATCATCACCTTAAGTGACTATGTATTTTCTCGAATCTAAACATCTGTTGAACTCATTTTCTTCATCTAGCTTTCTTAGAAATGAAATTTCAATTTGATGCATGCTTATGCCATCGATGTATGTATGTAGATTTGGTCCCCAACATTATCATCATTCCTTTTATTTTCCATCATGTGAATCATTTAAATGAGGTTCTGTTAAATAAAGAAAAAAGAAGAGAAACAGAAGAGGAAAAAGGAAAATGAGTTTTCATATCCAATGTTGTTTCAAAATAATGTAGGCTAAAAATCGATTTACAGAATGCTGAATGAAATTGGCCGAAGTTTGAATAAACAAACATTGTTTTTGAAGGGAGTAGATTTTCTCCTTTCTTTCTTCATCCTACGATGATTAATGAATGTCAAACAATCGAAGAACGATGTTAAGTACCAAGTTTGTAAAATCATTTAATGCTTTCGGCTGTTTTTCGATAAACTTATATAATTAAAAAACATTCCTTCTTCTTGATAACATTTAAGCTTAATCATCATTTTTTGATGCCGACTGGTATCAAGTAATATTCATGAAAGTTTTCATTTAGTCTCTTCAAAGCTTATCACATTTCTTAGTTCTTAATTTCATGAGAAAATTCATTAAAAAGGATCATATTCATTCTTTACCTACAAAATCATAAAGATTTTCACAGCCATTTCCTTCTCAAAAAATGTAAGAAAGAATTCACATTGTGAAGGAAAATAATTTAATTTTTTTCATTCTCTTCCTTCTTATGTCGCTTTAATTTCAATCTAAAGCAGAAAGACAACAAACTCACAATGATACGATGTTTCTTATCCATTTTATTTGAAATTTCTTTTCCCTTCTGAGTCAGATTATTCATTCCCATTGCCACATAAGATTTCGCTTCAAGGAAATCAGCACAAAAGCTTTTTAATGATAATTCCACAATGTAAAAGGAAATAAAAAATTTGCAAAAGAAACTGAAAAAGTAAAAAAGGTGTTTCGAGTGTACGGAAAAGTCTACAGCAGTATTAACCTCCTCACACCATTTTAACTTCGCAGCTCTCTTTCTTCTCGTTTGATTTTTACTAGATTTATGGACTTTTCATGTTGAATCTTCGTTTATTTCAACCTTAACTTCTTCTCTCTCGAGCTCATATGAAGATTTACTTACAAAATCCCTCAGATTTTCCAACCTTCGTTCGGTTCTGTGGAAATTTTTCAAAGAATCTTTGAGAATAAAATTAATGAATACAAGCAAATTATTTTATCCAAAAAGTGGATTTATGAGATGAAGCAAGCGTAAGTAGGAAAGAGAAAAGGCGCACGAGAAAGGTTCTCACATAATTCTAAGTAAACGAAGAGTTCTTACGAATATTTTGTGAATGCAAATCGGATGTGGGAAACATAAATAAATCATGCTTATTTGAATCACTAACACTTTTTAAAAGACGTCACTTATAAATCACGCATTTCGTCTTGTAAATGAGATGAGAGGATCTGAAAATGAGATGCAAATTCAATATTCATTAGCAGCTTTCAACAAGCAATGTAATTAAAACTGACAAGGGTTTTGTTGCGATCGCAATCACTTTCACGAAGAAAATCCATCCTCGTTCCACTACAAATGATTTCCATGTTAGCAAGTTAACGTCTAAACTTTATCCTTTGAGGTTTTGTTTTCCACTTCAGCCATCATTGTCCTTATGAAGGATTTCTTTTTTCACCGTGTGATATCACAACATATCAATCTATGTTGAACGACAATCAATAATTCATTGACCATTCAATAATAATTGACGATGTTTGTCTACCACAAAACACACGAGAAAAATAACTTTTATCTTGCTTTTTTATCTTCCGCCAGCAGTTTCATTCGTTTGTCAATTGTTTGATTACTGAATGCGGATGAACAAGAAAAGTTAAGAGTGGAGAGAAAAACTCTCAACAGTATGATGATAAATTGTATTTTCCGTAACAAAAATTGATTAAACTTTGGTTTTTCTACTCTTTTATCCATCTACTTCTTTAATTTGTTATTTTATTAAATAAATTCCGAAGCTTTTCCACAAATTCTTTTTATATTGAACGACTAAAACATCTCATAAGTTGTTATTAAATTAAATTTATTTCTCCCTTTATACTATGAAATTTATTATTGTTTTCTATTTTCCATATGATGAAGGAAAATTGGAGCATTTCAAAAACTTTAAATTACTGCAAAGTATGTGAGTTAGTTTCCTTTTCTATAAAAAATCACAATATTTATGAAATCTTAACGTTCATTCCTTCCAACTGACCTTTTGCTTCCTGTTTATGTTGTTCACTTCATTTTTCTTTTCCCAGGAAACTTTTTCTCTAACATGTCATCATTTATAATAAAATGTTTGCTTTTAAATGTTTATTAAATTTCTGCTTTACATTTTAACTCTTCTAAAAAATATTTTGAAAGCTCATACAAATATTTTAGAAAGGAGGATAATAAGCTACATAAATTTGTGAGGGTTGAATGTAAATATGTACGTTGGTACCCATAAATGACGGAGCACTTTCATCAATCCCAAAGTAAAATTAAATATTTCAAATATTATTGAACAAAAAGAAAATATTTTAGAAGTCGATCCATCATTTTAAAGCTTCTCACTGTTATCGATTCAATAAACTGATAACGAACACTGTTGAAATTGGAAGATGTAAAAGAAGCCTTTTTCTTAATAAAGTTTATAAACATTATTCTTACATCTATCTATCACAGTCGGAAATCTTTAGAAAAAATTTATAATGGAGGCGAAGATCTTTCTAGAGCATGATTGAAATCCCTTCTCGGTAACAAGAATTTCAGAAGGTTCTCTGAACTTCAAAGGTTAGGAGAAGGAAGAATTTTGTCCATTTATATCTCAAGAATCTGGCGATTGCAACGCAATGTAACAGTTGAACGCTTCGATGATATCTTATTCAATTAACGTTAAATTAATTTTACGATGAAAAAGGGTTTTGGAATTGCTTTGTGAATACTAAAGCGTTTTCACACAAAACGTCTGTCGCATATGAATAAAGAAAAAGTTTTGAGTGGAGAAATCAGTAGCGGATGAAAAGAGATGAAAAAGGTATCAGATATGGTTCCTTTGGCATGGCTGGAAATCCAATCGATGTATTTACTTAGGATTCTCTGTTCAAACACAGTCTAAAACTTTTTTTTACTAAGTTTCTCTATCCACCTACACTCCCACCTTCTATCCCTAAACGTCCCTTTTCTTATTTTCTATCGTCTACGCTGCTCTTTGTATTCAGATTTTGAATTTTCCCAAGCTATGTTTTCTTTACATTACTTTCTAATGTTCAACACTTCATACAAAGTGAAGTTAACACATTTTAGAACGCTAGTAAAATGCCTTTAATGGCCTTTGAGAATGGGCACAAACAAAATGAGATCCTTTTTTTTGTGTGTACCGGTTGCAGGCCAAATTGTTCTGCGATCCATGAAAATCTACTCAGTTAATGGGAAACAGGAAGAAAATTTATAATTTTTGTGAGATTTTCTTTTTTATTTTCTGTTCCACTCACTTTCACTGGAACCCAAACACCAAAGCGTTCGTTTAATACCTCGCATAATTTTCTCCATGAAAATCTTTATGCTATTCTTAAACATGATATTTTAATTAAATTAAATGAAATAAAATGAGCGAACGAAAACATTTTTCCCACCGCTCAACGGTCCTATGTGATAACTGCTAGCGTGATACTATAAGAAAATTAAAGAGAGAGAAAGATTGAAGCAAGGAAGGGAGAGATGGAGAGTGAAGGAAAAAATTAAATTAAGAAAACATAATGTAATGAAATGAACAGGAGATGACGTTTAAGATTAAGTAATGGAACCGTTTGCCTTAATGGATAATGTGATGTTTCGACGCCAACGAAACAAAATGACGAAAGCGATTTGACGATTTTTTTATATTTGGAAACTTAAATTATAATAAAAAGGAATGTCTATGCTAATTTATGTTTTAATTGATAATTAATGTGTCACTTATTGTGCACCTCCTGTTGATCATGAGCACTTAACTTTTTCTCAATTAACTCTTTATAAGAGAGGAAGAAGTGAAAGGAACAATAATAAGTAATTAATTTTCTTTTTTGTTCATTTCAACGTCGTGTAACGCTTGTTTTTCCTTGCTTCAACCTTTATGTCTTGATTTTCCTGAGGACAATTTAAATTGGATAAGAAGTAGGAAGCTTTAAACTCTGCAGGAAGTTCTTGTACATTTGAAATATCACGTAGAATCTTGATCATAAAAGTTTTCTTTTTTTTTCAAAAGAATAAATCTCGTTTTTTCCCATTTACACAAGCACCATGCGGTGGAGGTTAAAGTCAAACGAAAATAAAGTAAATTATTTAGCACTAAATGTTAGAGATTCATGCAAACAATACGGAAGCGTGGGAGGAAAACAAGATACAATGTAGACTTTTTTTTATTTCGTAATTTTCTTTTTCCTCTGCGCCTTTTTTATGCATTCTTAGCTCTGGCGGGTTTATATTTATTTTACCTGTTCTCATGATTTATTGCTTTTCAAGCTATGTTGTTGTTGTTGCTGCTGTTGCTGCTTTTGATGCTTTTCTTTGGCAGAAGAGAGTTGATGAAAGAAACGGGCGTATGAATGAGAAATTTTTCTTTCATCCATTCGGCAGCGAAAGTGGGGAGAACAGAAAGTAAGAATCGGTCTCTGTCTCAGTTGTGTTTATATGTGGAAAATAACGATGACGACATGCCATGGCACGGAAAGGCACGGTACGGTACGTTACGATACATAAAGTAGCAAAGACTTGAAGCATTTTCCCTCATTTAATATACCTGCTGCTGGTATATTTATGAATCGCTTCTTCTTATTAATTTTCTCGTGATAAATCACTTCAAAATCATTACATTTCTCGTTGTTGGCGCCCTCGAGAATTAATGGCAGGCGAAGATTTTTAAGAAGTTAAGGGTCGTTTGAAGCACAATAAACTTTTCAACAAAGTAAACAATAATAATTGACGCTAATGTGTTGATGCGTTGGCATCCTACGCAGGCTTTTGTTCACAAAGTCATCACAAAGTTTACGAAGCAAATTGAAGTTATGTTTTAGAACGAACAGAAAGAACAATAAAAGGGTGAAAGAATATTTCGAAAAGAGAAGACATAAATTTTAATGAACGAGAGCACAGCATCAAATGACATTGTATTTAATTTATAGCGTTCCGAAGGCATGGCTGTCTAACTTGTTTATATTGCTGTAAACTAATAAATAACCCTTTTTAACTTTGCTTTCTTCTTTCCCGTCATTCATTGTTTGCTTTTTTGAAACATTTTTTTTTCTTCCTTTTATTACAAAGCTATAAAAATGATTGTGCATTAAAACTTCCCCCTCCCATATGATCTTAACTCTTTTTCAGTTTGTTTTTGCACAACATTTCTATCGAGTAGATTTATTTTGATCCTAAAGGTTTAAATACTTCAAAACAATGCACTCAACGTTACTGACGTTATTCGTTTTCCGTTTAAAAGCTCAACTTGATAAAGCTCAAGTTCTACATTTTAATCTCACTGAATGTATTTTTAAAAAGCTTGCAAAAAGTTCAGCATCTCTTAATGAATCAACAAGTTTTGTATTTCATTCAGTTTATCTCTTTCGTTTTGTTTTTTACAACTGAGTAAGCATCATTCAGTGATAAACTTAACTTCCTGTTCAAAGTTTCTGTTCTTAAATGTGCCAGCTAGTTCAATATTATCAACCATAAATATTCTAAATCCTCTGTAAAGACATTCACGATAGAAGTAAGAAAAAAGGGTTACTTACCAGTTAAAGGGAGACAAAAAAAAAGCTTTTAGGATAGCGAAGCTTTTTTCTGCGAAAGGATTTCCGTGTTATTTATGTATTTCTTAGCCAAAGATATGCTACACAAAAAAGAGAAAAATACTTCCGCAAGGGTCGCCATATTTTTAATGAAGGTTTATTGTTGCCTCTGATGCCATAAATTCTCATTGCAACAATACCTAAGAAAAACTAATCACAGTCTTCTTTTCTTTAGGAGTTTTCTTTTCTTTTCTCTACCAAAGTATCCTTTCTGTTGAGTAAAAAAATGTTAATAAAGTTAAAAAGCATAGAATTAGGTCAGTTTAGGCTTTGCATAAATAACTCAATAATTCCACCTTAAAAGGTTAAACTTCTTCTTCTCTTAACTCATAAATGATTGATTTGATTAAAGAAAACGAATTTTTTTCATGTCATTATTGAGAGGGATTTGAAATTGAAAGCGCACACATACACACACAGTTTTGTATATTTTCGTGTTCCAAATGTAAATTTAATTTCATTTGCTATTCATTCTCGCAATGTCGTCAGGTATGTTTGCTCGTCGTCGGAAGGTTCATAAAGCACGCAAAAGCGAAGTTTTCAATAACTCAATGGAGAATGTCTCAGTCAGTCGCTTTTTTTCTTCTTATTTCATCATTTAAATTATGCTGTTTTGCATAAATATTCTCCACGTCAGAAGTTTGTGTTTATCTTTAGTCTCATTCGTGACATTTGAACTTTCTAAATCATGCATTTTTGAAGTCAGATTTTGAAGACTTCTTCATTCCCACAGCAACTTCACAAATTGATAAGTTCGTCATGAATGACTCATGAGCCAAATTTTTCGCTAACTAAAATGGAATTTTTTGTCTATTTATTTTCAAGTATCATCAAGAGAAAATCTTTTGCATCATTTGATAAACGTAATTACACAAGTCCCTCTGAGATTCTTTGAAAGTTCCAGCAAGCAATTTTTTCCTATGCTTGTTGAAACTTTTTATCCGACAACAAATTGAGATATGACTTTGTTCGTTCTTTTGCTTTTGTCATCAGAAAGTAAGCGTATTAAACTTGAAAGAAAAACTTTGTAGTGAAGAGAATTCTCTAGGAAAATGATTGAAGTGCAAGACTGAAACAGAAATAATTGAGTTTTTTTCATCCTCGTCTTGTTTCTGCAAAAAAAAACTTTCAATGCTGCTGTTTTTTTCTTCCCAAACGTTCACTTTTAGTAGCCATCGTGAGGTTTACTTAATGCTACCTGACAAAGCTGGCAATCTACATTTGCTTAAACTTTTGACTTTATTTCTGACTGGAACTTTTTGGGGCGGGTGTGAAAAATGAATTCTGAATACTAATAAAATTTCAACAGTGGTGGATAATAGGAAGAACATTCTATCCAAAAAAAATAGACTTTATGCTAAAAAGTTTGCGTCTCGTCTGCCTTCATTAAAAATTTGAAATTTCAATTTTCGAGAAAAGCAGAAATTTAAACTTCTAACATAAATTGGCTTCTGGAAAAGATGAAGAAACAAATTTAATTTTTTAGTATGTTAAAAACTTTCTAAATCAAATTTCAATTTTTATCATTATTTCACCGCTTAGTCATTCTTAATGGGCGCTTCAATATTTGTTTTCGAACGTCAAAAGTTTCCAATAAAACAGTTTCCCTCGGTGTCTCGGGAAGCTCACATATTAATTTTTAAGAAGTTGATCTAATATCATTTCCTTTAAATTTTTCCGCATGAAAGATCGCTTTCTTGAGACTCGAGTAATTCTTCTCCCTTGCCAATTCAGAGTGAAATAAAAACTGGCAGAAGAAATTTTTAAACAAGAAAAATGAATTTGAATGTTAAACACAAAAAGCTGAAAATAAAAGTTTTCTTACTTTTAAAAATTATTCAAAAGTAAGTTTCTTATTCATTCATTTATTCTTCCATTTTATTCGCTTTAATTCTTCAAAATATGCTTTTGAATATCTTTTTCTCGTTCTTTCTGCGTCTTTACAATTGTGAAGAGATTTTATTAATTTCTTTTGATGAAGCGTAAAGCAAGAAAGGAAATACTTTTGAATCTCATGATGCACTTGAAGTGATTAAAAAAATTTTATTTTTCCATAAAACCATCCTTAAAGTTGTCGAGAAGTCAAAGCATTAAACTTTTATTTACTTTAACTCTTCTAGAATGATCATTTCGCTATTATATGAATAATAAAGTCAATATTAATGTAAGCATCTAAAATTCAGAATTTTTCTCTCTCTTCTTGCATTTGCAAATGCATCAGTAACAAAAACTGGATAAAAATTGCATGAAATTTAAATCAAAAACATTTAAACGAAAATATTTTTGCAACATCTCGTAATGTCAAAATAAAGCTTGAAAGTTCTTAAAGTTTAAAAAGAGAAAATCCTATGAACAATTTTCCATTTTACCAACTTCAAAGTTTTTCTAAATATCTCTCAAGTTGAATTTGATAAGTTTTTGTGACACTCTCGTTGTTGCTGTTGTTTGGGTTTCTAATTTTAGATTTCCATATAAAAATAACACATCTAACAACCTAATTTATATTCCGCCAGTTCTCAGCAGCTGCAAATTGCATTCTTTTCCCAAACATTATGCAATTTCCATGAGCAACGTTAGATTTGTCCACGACTCAATTAGATGGAAAAAGAACAAACAAACATTGGATAAAGTTAAGAATTTGCATGAAATATTAAATATTTTATAATTATTACCCTATAATAATACGAAATCCAATTAGATTATGAATTTTTCATGGTAAAGCCCTCGTGGAAACCTCGGTCTTCCGTTCCATGAAAAAGAAACGATAATTTCATGCAAAGTGGGTGGAATAGGGCATGTGGAAGAGAGGCAATAACGTATTAAGATTATTAAAATATCATATCATGACCGAGGGATATTTATTCTAACCATTTTACGAGCGGTGTCAGAGGCCGAATATATCATACGTTATAGCATCATTATAACACTTTCCCATGTCATCTCATTTGAATAATTTTTCACTTCACATTTTTCGGTCGTTATGTTTGAAAAGTATTTTTTTTAGGTAGATGTAGAGCAGTCGCAGGTTGCAAGCCCGTAAAAATTGTGTCAATATTGTAGGAATTCTTCTAAAATGATAAGATGTCTGATTTCGACGTGAACCTTTTACATGGAGTTTGCCAATCCAGCACATTGTACCACGTAGAGCGAGAAAAACTTTTTAATGTTTCTTAAATTTCTTTCAAATTTTTTATTCGTCACGACTTTCAATTTAGGTCGCAAACATTTTTCTTACGCATATTGTTAGGTGTGGGTGTGTGTGAGTATTAACACACAAAGGAAGAAAAATAGAAACAAGAACACATTAAAATTAATAAAACTTTCATGAAGCTTTCAAGTTTGAGCAGTTTGGAAGCATATGGAGAAAAATTTCACGGCAAATGGGAGCAAGAAAAATGTTCTTCCGCGGTTCCCTCTTTGTGCTTTAAATAATATTTCGGTGTAGGTGTTGCTTCGTTGCGCGTGAAAAAATGAAATACTGTGCTTACCAGCAATGAGGAAAAACATTAAATTTTATACTTTCCTGCCTGCGTATTATTAATTAACGCCATGTTTCACTCGAACCGAAAGACACAGCTTTGAAATGATTTTCTTTCATTCTCACAATTTTGTTTTTGCGTTTTCATTCATTTAGATCATGTGTTGTCGTTTCACTTCAGCTCATATACATGAACATGAATAATTTTTATCATTTCTTTATTCCATTCGACACCTTCAAAAGACAACCAACGATGGTATGAAATCAGATGAAAATTTAATCAAACTTTTGAAACTTCGAATTGAAATCATTGTAAAATCATGGAAGTGAACACGAGACGATTGTTTTATCAGATGTAAGAAGAAAAGTTTTACATCGTCAAGCTTTTTACTGTTTGTCATTTGTCTTTCAACAACAAAGACAAAGCGCTTCGCTGCATTCTACACAAATAATTTATTTAGGATATTATCACTTGGTTCCCTGACATTAAACAATGAAAGGTGACTGAGATAATAACTGAGCTAAATTCTCTCTGTGCTTGTAAAACATGACTAATGAAATTTTAATTTCCATGAGAGAAGCAAAAGAAGAAAGAAAAGTTTCCTTTCAACAAAGCTAACTAAACATTTTCCAATGAAAATTTTCTACATGATGTTCAAGCACTTAACTCTAAATTTCACTAATACAAGAAGCTATTAAAATTTTCCCTTTATGGATATTACAATCGAAAAAAGTTTTAATTAAGCAACAAAAACTTTTATTATTAAACAAATGAAAAATATTCAACAACATTAATTTATCTAAGCACTATAATTATCACTAGACAATATTAAAAAACATAACAGAATTAAGTAATGAATTACTAGACGTCAAGTGTAATAAAATTTCTTTTTGATCCCACAGCAGCAAGACAATAATTCGGAGGTGAAACTTGTTCTTCTTCGTCATCTTTTCAATTATTTTTCGTTCTTCATTTTCATCCCTTCATCAACTTCATTGTTTCGTAATCGCAAATATCCCATCAATAGTAAATAAGAACCGAGAATAATAAAAGCAGCAGATATCCAGTATTGGATTTTTGGCAATGTATTGACAATGAAATCAACTGTGCTGATTATCAAAGGAGTGATTTCCTTGAGATACTGAAATGTAAATATTTGATGAATCAAATGCAAAGAATTGCTTATCAAGTCTTTTTACGTATTCGATCCAGAACATTGGAATGACCATGTCGCCGAACTTAGCAATATCGTGCTTGAATCCTCTCAGATCTTTTGTAACAAGATTTGATTGTGATGAAGCTTTTTGTTTAAGTGGAACGCCTAAAATGGGTTCAATTATTGAGAAACTTCGATGTTTGTTCGGGTCTGGATGAAGCCCATCGAGCTTGTCTAAAAACTTTCCGGGACGTGAGTAGAAATGCGGAAAGGAAGCGACAATCGGTTGATCTGTAAATTCATTTCGAAATGATTGATTTATTTGAAACACAATAATCAACATCATCAGTTATAAATTTGAATAAAAATATACGCACCAAAGAAACATTTTGACACATCGCTCAATCCATCAGGCAGATTTGAACCTCTAAAGCAATCAGCTGTTTTATTCTCAAGTCGATCATATACGTCATCACGCAGAATATATTTAAAAGCGTTAAGTGATCCCATCTGAATTTCTTCTTCGAAATATAAAGGCACAGAACGACAAAGAGTTTTCCGCCAATACCAAATTATTGTTTCTTTTGTGCAGAGTTGAGGCCATAAAGCAGCTTCGGTACTTCCATCGATTCTCGCATTACAATCTCCGTTTTCCGGGTAAAATCCTGGCACATTTCTTCGATGATTCCATGTGTTGATTTTGAAAAAATTTTCATTGCCATGTTTTAAACCAATTTGTACATTCACGCGGTCAGTGAAGTTTGAGTAAATCTGAACATGAAAACAATTCACAGAATTAATTTTTTATTATTTTATTGTGGTTGTAACAATGGTAACGTTTGGTGCGGGTGTTATGTGGCTGTGGTTACGGTATAATCACATTTATCAATTCATAATGCTAATGGCATTGAAGTGAGAATTAAAATGCTTACATTTTGAAGAATTCCGGTATCCTTTGTTGGAACGAGAAACGGCACAATATTTTTCGTGAATTCACTATAAAAAAAGAAATGAATGAGAATAACATCGAGAAATATTCAATTGAGTGTCATTACAGAATGGGATCGGTTAAGTTGAAAAAGTAATTATAGATGGTTGTGTTAACTATTGGACGAGTTCCATAAAGCTTTTGTAGAGCTTTGTACGACGTGCTTAACAACCAATTATCAGCCACAAAGGAAGATCCACTCAAAGCTGCCATATTTGCAACAGTCACTGATTGATTGAGAATTCCTTTGATGTTTTCTGTCTCTTTGAAAACGATACTTCTCGTTACAGTGTATGAAAGTGTCGAGTTTTCATAATGGAAAATGATATCCTTATGTTTCAAGACTTCCTGAAATGTTATCGGTCCAATTTCCTGCAATTTAAGTTTCGAATCCTTCCCAGAAATAAATTCTTCGGAGTTTGTGATATTGAAAATAAAAACTTTCATAAGAACTTCAGGTTCAGGATCTTTCCACCAAAAGTAAGATGGATAAATTTTTGCCATTCCCATTCGCTCCATCAGCACAATCTCGAACAACGTATACTTGATTGTGATTATTCCAAAGGTTAAGAACATAAATCCGAAAAGCAGCAAACTGGCAATGCCACCTGCAATTTAATTGAAACGTGATGTTATTCCCTCTCAGTCACGGCCCAATGACTTAATGTTAACATCGGAGTACTTTTCACGTTCCCTTTTGACATAAACAGTTTCATGACCTTTTGATTATAAACTTTCATTCCAACATATCATCGTTTCTATCATTCACCAACGCCCTCAATTTCTGCATTCTCCCTACGTTCGCAATTTAGGCAGAGACGACTCTAATTAAATTTCCAACTATTTTTATTTCTATTTCTAGTTCTAGTTCTAGTTTAAAAAAAATGAAAGCTCTAGATCTGTCGCTTGTTCTACTTCCTTACATTTATGAGGATCTAGGAGATGATTATCATCATGCCATCATCGCAGTTACTGACAGTTTACATAGCAAAATCTCATTCAACTTGTTGGCGTTATCTCCTTCCGAATGTGACTGGCTATCATCAGCAAAAAGTATTCTTGACGTTTTTAAATTTAAAACAAACATTAAATTAAGACATGCGAAGAAGACAAAAATAAAATTCACTCCTCCAATGATTTTGATGTTGAAAATTCAGCTGATTAAACCATTCAAGTTCATGACCATGAAACATATTTCGCTTCAATTAGTTAAACGGTCATTCATATGATGATAACTTGCCGGCAGATGATTCTTGCATTATCAAAGTTTCATTTAATTAAATTTAGGTCAATTTTGTTAGTTAACATTAGTTTATTCACCTTTGATCAATGATGCTTGTGATTATGCAAAGCATTTTTCAGAATATCATGCCAATGTTCAATGAAATAATTTTTTCAATTACTCACAAATATCACAACAGTTTTTACGTGTCAACGTGCTTCTTTGTGATAATTTCTGAGCCACTATGCTAACATCTGTTCTCTTAGAACTTTCAAGTGAACTGCAATTCCACGTTGAAGTGTCATTGCTATTGAGCCTTACATTATTGGCACTCATGATGTACAAAACGCTGATTTTTTATTTAAATTGATAACCCGGTTATATTTAGAAGCTTTCTGCGTTCACATCTGACAACGTTTGCAAGGAAAAATTTATTCTCTGCCTGATTGTATTCTAAGCACGCTTCTTCCAAGTTCACTTCTTAACAATTTTTTTCATAGAAAGATGAAGTACACAAGTCGTTGCTCTTGTTATGACAATTTTCAGCTGCTAGGCTCGTTGTTGTTATCAATCGATGGATTTATTGTTCAAAGCTGCTAAAAGAGCGGCGAGCAATAAACAACCGCAATTTTTTTTTATATATATATATATTCGAAGAACGTTTCCTTATTCCGTGCCTTTTGCTCTTTTCTCTTGTAAAATTTATAATCTTGCGTATGTTTTTTTGTTGTCTTTTGGGATGAGACGAAATGTCAAAGTCACAGTTCAAATTCTCATGAAAAAAAAACTAAAAAAATTCTCAGATTCAAGTGGACAACTTGCACTTCTGCTTATTGATATGACAAATGAAATATTATAAAGTCTTTATTGCTTCAACAGCTTGGCACTAATCAACGAGCAAGGTTAATCAATCGAAAATAATTTGATTTCAACACCCATGTAAAAAAAACAAATTCTGTCATTGACACAAGTCACAAATCAATTTTTTTCTTCTTAATCACTTTATTCTTGCGTACACACAAAAATATTGTTAAAAAAATTATTATTGTCGATCAAAAAAAAATCACGTCTTGAAGTCTCGTCAGTCACGTTGAAACTGAAATCATTAGTGACGAATCAAATCTCTCTTTAAGTCAGTAATGAAGAGAAGGGAAAAAAGCTTCTAATCAGATGAGAACAACCAAACGAACAAATGTATGAATGAATTCAATGAATAAACAAAAAAGTTCGATTGTTTATTTAAGTTCAGCTATGATAATGCAAGTAGTACTTCTATTTGAGTGAGAAGAGAGCTTCATCGACTTGAGTAAGATTTATTATGTTTCAATAATGTTCCCTTGATTGAATTATGAGCTTCACTTTATTATACTCTCATAAAATGTTTACATCTTGCTAACGTGTTTCCATCGTGGTTGGAAGGAAATAAAATGCATTTTAACATTGACAAATTATGCTATATAACAGCCAGAAAGAACAGAGTGAATGAAAGAACCAACTTCAATCTACATCATGACATAAACTAAAGCAATTGAAGTTTGTTTGGTCGAGATGAAAAAATTTTCCTCAAACAAAAGCAATAAATTAAAATGGCGCGAATTCAATGTTTTGACGTTCATTGCAATTTCTAGCGATACATTTTTGCATGAATTTAATTCATGAGGAATGAAATAATGCATCACTTCATTTAAATGTTTTATTTTCCACTCTGTCGTGAAGTTGAATTGAAGTTATCAAGATCGATGTCGTTCTTACATGTAACATTACCATAAATAATCTTTTTTTTGTATATTTACATTGTGTCACGATTTGAATCGATGAAACAATGACTGAGCAATAACAAAAAAAAAAGTCGCTTAAAACTCTATAGATGAGTCAATTTTTAAATGACTTTCATTTCTATTCAGCTGAGACTCGCACGTTTTTATGTCATAAAAATAAAATATAAATTTAAATACATTGAAAGCGTAGCAATTCCGAAATTTAAATTGGATTTTCAATTGTAAAAAAAGGACATAAAAGTTTTAATTGTTCATTACTGATGTAGTTTTTATTCTTGGAAAAATAATTGAAGCACTAATTGAAAATATTAATGGAAAGATGTAAAAATTGTTACATTGAAATTGTGCAATGGCATTCATAAGGGGAAAATGCGACAAGACGAGTTGTTTGCGTTTCCGCATCTCGCAACAAGCTGAAATGTCAGAAGGGTATTTGAGGTTCATGAAAACAAGAGAAAAGAAATAACAATTTAACAGTCGAGGAAGTTCTTAGAAAATCTTGTGAATGACTACTTGAATGACTATTTGAAAATAAATTTCCCATCATTGTAAATTGACAATGCATGTTAAGAAAAACAGAAGACAAAGCTAAACATTTCTACTTTGTTTCGCTTTAAATTAAATCCAAATAACAAAAATTTCTGTTCAGGGAATATCAAACGTCAAGATGTGTTGTCTGACATATAAAATTGCGAGTTTCCTCGTATTGAAAGCAATTTAAGTCTGCTGGGTTAAAAAGTTTGCTTTAAAACAATTTTCTTCTTTTGATTTAATGAAAATTTATTAAATTTAAAGATGTTTTGATATTTGAAAATCTTCGTTGATTCCAATACTTCACTCCCTGTGGAAAAATTAAAGAGATCAATGGGAAAATGATTGATGAGGTTGACGAAACAAAACTTTTCTCTCGAGAATCATTTTTGGTTCGTTGCAAATTCCATTAGCTTAATATGAAAACATTCACTTTAACAGTTGACCGTTTTATTCATGATAACAACATCGAATCGTTAATAATTTTAGACTGACAATGAATTTTATACTAAAAATAATCATTTTATGTAATTTTTCGGTTAATCTGCGACATTGTTAGGAAAATATCCAACATGCAATTATGTATTGAAAATATAAATCATCGTTTTAATCAGTGTCATAATCGTAATCCTTAATAATGATTAATGGTTTTTGAAATTCATAAGTTAATGCGAGGGTGTTGATTGTTGAGCAATTACATTTTTAATTTATGAATTCATTATTATCACATCGTTTAGCTACAGTTGCAGTTAACAAAAGAGAGAAATGATTGTCAAATTTCAGAGAAAATGATCATAAAAATCACAGCCAGTCGTCTTTGTTCCTTTTAAATCATTTTAAAAATCAATAATTGTCAAGTGTTAAGTAAAAATCAACTATCATGGACAGTTGTCTCTCAAATCTCGAACAATAAAATGAACAAAGCCATCAAATAAAATTTCAATCCAATTCTAGTCAAATAGAAATGCGTTTTGGAATGACACAAAAAAATTTTAACTGTCATTCATTCAATGCGACCATTGGGAACGTGAAATACAAAAAAACGTTTTCATTGAGGGAAATTACTTTGTAGTGAAGCCATGAAGTATTTGTGCTTCACGCTATTTCATTGGGAAAACAAATTCTGCTGGAAAATCAACATTTGTTGAAAATCTCCGTGGAATTTTGTTAAATTGAAAACCTCGTTGTGACTGTTTACCCATCTGACCATCGAAATCTCACAAAATTTGACGCAATATTACACCACAAACACTGGTCGTTGCCTTCATTTATCCTAACAACGCTTTCATCTGCTTCATCTGATGAGAACGAGAACGATCTAAATCAATTTTCCGTTCTTTGTGTCCACCTAAAATAAAAAAAAAGCGTTTGCTGACTGAAATAATCAAAAAAGAATTGAACGTTGATGACAATCAATGGGAAGAAGGAAGAGAGAGAGAAAGCATGGAAAAAATATTGAATATCTGTTATTCAACTTCAGAAATCGCTGAGTTTGGATAGACAGTCAAAAACCTTGATGGCACGTCAAACACAAAAAGCTGTTAATGAAGTTATAAGAGAAAAATTCTGAAGCAAAAGCAAGAGAAGAAAAACAAATGAATAATGAAAAGCCTTTTGAAAATTGCGCTTTGAATGAAAAGTCACAATATTTGCGATAAATTGATTTGCATGCTTAATTCCGCCACGTATTCATCAATTCATCGAGAAACAGCAAAGCGAAAGATGCTGGAAAAAAGCGTGAGTTGTAATTTGCTTTTTTTATTTTATTTTTAAAAAAGTTTAATCAAAATCTCATGAGAACGAGATAAGACTTGAAATTTTCCCTCAGATCCATGGCGCCACTGCTACGAAACATTTCGTTGTACATAAAACAAACAGAAAAGTTTTCGTAACTTCAATGAATTTACTTTCAAGTTAGAGATTGGTTTTCAGAGTCACGAAACTCCGAGATTGCTGGGAAACATCCAGTTAAGATAAATCAAAACTTTCAATTTTTGAGGGTGAAAGTATCGGAAAGAACGCACGACTTTGTCTCGTCTTATCATGTTTAATGAAATTATAACAGGAAAGTGCCTTTTCCTGCTTTTCCCTTTTTTTCTCACCACCTTGATCCTGCTTTAAATTGTCTCCAGGCAACGTTGAAAATCACTTTTATTTGGGAGTCTTTTTGAAGCCTTAATTTGAATAGCTTTTGTAGAGTTCAGATAGGCTTAGGATGGAACAACTTTTCCAAGCAATGAAATTATCTTGATATTAAATTAATACTGTGAAAATAACGTTGAGTTGTATGCTTCACGATAAACAAATCGTCATTCTTTCGCTTGAGGAAATTCAAGGAATTTTATCAAATTAATTTATCTGCGAAGTGAAACTTCATTTCCCACTTTCCTTCATTGTTGTCATCTCTCACACTTCATTCATTCTCTCAGGCAGATGATAATTGTTTCATCTGAATGAAATGATAACGATGAAGAACGTTGACCTACATAAATTTAAAAATTAAATAAAAAGCATTTCATTGAGGCCTCAAATGAAAAGAGAAGGAAGATGTCAGACAATTGCTGAAAAGTTATTTATACCATCATGTCCAGATAATGAACTTTTTTGTGTGACCCAGTTCAGCATTGTTAATGACCACAAACCATTGTTTAAGAAACAACTCGCTTCATTATGCAAAAATGAATTGAAAAGAATGAAAAGAAGAGAAGTTGAAAGGATGGAAAAGAAGAAAGCAAGACAAGCCTTTAGGCTGATATTTCCTTGAAATTAATCTAAAAACTTTCCACAACATGAAGCTTAACTTTTCAATCAACAACTTTCAGGTAAGAATGTTTCAAACACCTCGTTTTAAATATTGAAACATCATCCAGTTGAAACAATGAGGGAAAAAAGGTTTTCTTAGTTTAATATTTTAAGTGGACGGTTAATTTTCTTGTCGTTTGTAAATTTTTGCTATGACATCATTTTAGAAGACTCAAGTTTCTGATGAGTGTATCTGCCAAAGTATCTTGTCAAATGATACTTTCATTACTTTTGGTACCGAACAGTTAACGTAAAGTGAAAGAAACATTTTTTCAGATGTGAACAGAAAAAGAATCTAAATTTTTAATGTAGGCGTAAAAGTTGCCACCTAAAAAAAATATGAAACATAAAAAGCACACGAACTTCTAAAATCGGAAGAATGTAAAAAGACAAGAGATATAATTAAAATTAATTGTTATTTTTTTCTGGTTGCTGCTTAGCTGTTGCTTCTTGGAATTTTTAAATCTTACATGGAAATGCTTTAGAAAGTATTTTTAACTTCATTGCTATAGACATCAACGCATCGCCTACTTATTATCGAAAGAAGAAGTTTTTTGTTTTTAGCCTTCTGAGCTGAAGCTTTATATCAATGTTTACCAAGAGAAGTTAACGTTATTTGAATTTAATAGCGATTGGATTATCGTTTGATGGTTTTTGTTGTAGATTTGGGAGAGAAAATTGAAATGTCGTGCAAAATTGTCTGTCTTAAGAAGGTTTTATATTTCACTTTTCCTAGGGCTTAACGTTTCTGGCACCTTCTAAGACGTTTCTTAAAGTAGAAGTTAAATGAAAAGTTTACGTTACGAAAACTTCCTGAAACTCAATTAAATGGCGGTTAAACAATGGTGGTTACTCAGTAGCAAAAGGCTTAAAAAGAAAATTAACTTTGAGAAAGTGAAGACTTCAGCATAATTTATGTGTCTTAAGTAAAAAATGTTAACCGGAAGAAAAGTTTGTTTTTTTCTTAAAAAGGACTTCAACTTAATTTTTAAAGTTTCTTATAAGAAATTGTTGCCATTATTTAGAAAAGTTTTCAATTTTAATTCTGGTAAAACGAGATGGCATTTTAAGTTCACTTTAGTTTTGATATTGCAAATATGCCTGTTGATGATTACTTAATTTGATATGCTGTATATCATTCTTCTTGTAAATATTTAAGATGAAAAGACAAAGTTTAGATGTATCTTTGGTGTCTTTGAACCAAACAACATAATGAGAAAACACAAACTTTCTTCAACAGTGATTTCATGTCAACTTCATTCTACAAGACAACAATGACAAGAAGAAAAGTCAAACAAGATACGTAAGCATGAGACAGAAAGCGAAACAATTAATAAACACAAGAAGAAAGTTTTCATTTAATCATCGTTTAATTCGTGGTGAGCTTTTTACGACATCTCAAAATTGTCTTTTGTCTCCACGCTAAAAGCGGATGGATGAAATATAATTAAATAGGAAGATTTCCTTTCGTTTTCTTGTTGTCTCTGTTTATTCAATTAATTACCGCAATTAATTGTCTTTGGTTTGTTTTAATCTCAAAATGGCTTTTTATTTCTTTTACTTCACACAAATTGTTCACTAAGGATAACAGTTTCGGATGTTTAAGCTCACCAAGCAATCCCCTGTAGAAAAAATCTTTACATCGACGATTTCAACCGAAGCAAAACATTTTCATTCACAGTTGGAGAGATTAAATTAATGTGAAAAGAATCATTTTCCCATTTACAAATTAGGTTTGTCGATCGTCACAAGGGACTATTGTGTTTGGGCCGTTTTCTGATGAAATGAAATTTATAGTTTTGTCATTAATGACAAGACATTGTTTTCGTCCTCTTTGCCTAATTACATGGGAAATTTTCAATTACAAAGCTTCGTTACACTTCTGGGTTATTTTTTGTTTGTGCCCATACATTTGTATCTGAATGCTTTCAGCAGGAAATTGTCGAAATATTAAATACAGAACTTCTCTCGAAACTTTTAATCTTTCAGTGAATGTTTGCGAAAAGCCAAAAACTTTTTTCTCTTATTGAAGTCGAAAGCTTTCATGTGATGGTGGATCGGATAAAGGAATTTACAGAAGAAAATGTTCCCATCATTTTAAGGATTAAATTCTCAGATTAAAATTTCCATCCAGACCACCATCGCTTTTATAAATGAAAATTCCATAGAATATTTTTGCGGTCTTTAACATTCCATTACAAAAACTAATGTTATTTCTATACTCTCGTTCTCTTAAGTAAATAAAGTGAATTGGATAATTTGCCACGATATTCCGTTAATTTCTTCTCCAAATGTCCATGTCATTTCCTTTCTTCTCATTTGTAGATTCAAACATGGGCCAAGGGAAAATAAAGAAAAAAAGAGAAAAGCTCAGTGATGTTCATTTCATTTAATTCATTTTTTTTTCTCCTACTTTCCTGAAGCATTTTCATCCGATTAATCTCGTAAGCAACTGCAAAGCGAAGAGTAAGTATAAAATAAATTTTCCGCAAACGATTTTCCCATAAGGGAAATGTCTGTCATCAACATTCTTAATTTTTATTTAATTGAAAATAAATGAATTTCTTTTTTTCTTAGTTAGATCGCTAAGTGCATTTTCAGCATTTCTTGTACTTACTTCGATGCTTTTTTTTCAATACTTCGGTAAAGCGACAAGTGTGCTCAAGTTGGAAACATTTTCTTTGCCGTCTTCTATTGAAGAATTATGTGGGCATGCTAACATCGCTGTAAAAGATAGTTTGCTTGCAACGAGAGGAAAAGAAGTGGAAAAAAACTTTTCAAATTAAATATACAGCTTCGTTTGCCTTCTTTTTACTTTCATACTGCAGCATTCTTACTCTCTTTACGCTTGAGAAAATACCGACGAGCGCATAAAAACATAATCTGTGTAAATGCATGGTCAACATGTAGCTAAATGGCAGTAGTTGGAGTGCTGCAATAACAATACCAAGGCGGATGCTTCACTGATATTGAGAATGGGTTTATGCTGCAAAGAAGATAGAGTAATAATAACACCATCCACTTTCCCTTTGAAAAACTTTTCCACTAGTTAAAGCTTCTTTAAAGTCCTGATTAATGTTAAAACTTTGAAATTTTCTTGCTTTTTCCCTTCCCTCGTTTTATGTATTTTTCTTGTCTTTTTTCCACTTCGCTTTTATTCAAGCTTTAGTCCGTGATTGTTTACTGATTATCACGCTATATCTTCTTTAAGCATTTGTCTAGTTTTGTCTTCTGCTGTTAAATGAGTGGAAATTTTTATTTTGTTAATTATTTTTAAGTAGCGTTGCTTTATGATAAACTTATGCAAGCAAAGGTAAATCTATAGAAATTAAATTTTTAAATTCATTTTCTACTTTTCTATGAAAATGTTTTCTGAATTTAAACAGACGATGACTTTGCATTTAAACGTTTTTTGATTAACAATTGATAACTTGGCGAATATTCAGAAAAAATTGTTTTGATTTGAAACGTTTTGGCGTTCGGAAATAAAAAGAAGAAAAGGAAACGAACTTTTATGAATAAATTATCATGAATTGAAGCTTTTTCCGAAGCTGTTTACCATTAAGGTTTATGCAATAATTTAGTAGCCGTAAATATGACCCAGCTTATACATTATGCAAATGAATATAATTAATAAGTTTCATTTACAAATTGAATTACGAATCGCTGAGTAGGAAAAAATAATTCTGTAATCAAAAAAACAAAAAATATTTTTGTCACATTTTCACGCACGAGTATCGCGGTAAAAACATGTAAAATTAGAATTTTGATTATATTAATAAAACTTCAGTTTATTATGCTCTAAAAAATTTAAACTTCAATTTCCATACCCTTAATTTTGAATGAATTTTTGCATATTTAAAATAATAATTCACTCGTCCTCGCTTATGCAATTTTCAACAAGCTTTAATAAGTTTTGATTCTCGATGGCAGCTGCAACCCGTTCACGGTCATTTATCTGTTTATTTATTTCATCTTCAGTGCTGTGTGCTCCTTTCTTGATGTAAATATCTAACTTAAGATTGTGTGGAAAGTGACGAAGGATTTTCATTCTGATTGTAAGTCCAATAAGAGTTGCTAACGAGCAATGAGGAACAGTCGGATTAAATTCTATTCTTACTGTTGGCACATGACTGTCAGTTGGCTTCAAAATAAATATTGAGTCTTCAGAAACAACATTCAGTTCCTGGAAATATTTTTAATGTTTATTGTTTGTTGCTGGATAAATAATTTCAAATTTTATTACTTCTAATGTTGCAGGTTTCTCCGGATCTTTGATTGTTCGCAATAAGTCATAAATTGTTCCTTTTAATTCTTCATCACTGATTCCTAATTCTGTGAAACTTGGATTTATAACATCCTGAATGATGGAATTTTGATGGAATAAAACAAATTTTAATTTATGTCAATCTACTTACATCTACACCAACGACAACTGATCGCACAGCACTTACTTTCGTTACTACTTCAGATTCTGAATTCTTTTTACGAAAGAACGATAGCATTTTTAAGCTATTGTTAAAAAAGTTAAAATCGGAATTTTTTGTTGCACAAACAAAAGATGTAAACAAACGAAATTATAATTTTCTGAACAGATTCAAAAAAATTCAAATAATTTGTCCGTTAAATTCTAGTTAAACTTTCAATCGTCGCATGTTTTGATTAATTTTTCTTTTCTATTTTAGCGATAATCAAAGCACACTTCAATATAATTGCAACTTTATTTGATGATATTAATGAATCCATTTCTAACCTGAACATTTAAATTCTTCAAATCTCAACAGATAATTTGTGACTTCCATTTATGATGCATTCAAAGAAAGCTTAACTGCAGACTGCAGTTGATACTTTAAAGGAACATGATTATCATCATCATCAAAGTTTCAATTGAAATAACCAGAATGAGGTCAGTTCATAATAAGCATAAAAAGTTGAAAATTATGCTTAATTATTCTGTTGTTACCACTCATCTAAAAGTTTCTGGAATAAATTGAATTAATGTAGGTAAAATATGTTTTTATCACACAAAGTTTTATTTCACAATCGATAGAATCAAATAGTTCACAAAAAATAAACTTAGACATCTAAAGTTACGTCACACAGGTTCGTGTTTCATTTGCCGGTGTTCTCTGTTGTTGATTTGAGAATACGGCAGGTGATAAAGATGTGATAGTTGTAATTGAATTGTCATTTCCTTCTATTTCCGCGATTGTGGGTGGTGGATGTTCATTAATCGGTGTTACAACCGTTGATGAGCTGGTGATCTTAGGATACTGATTAGGTAATCTTATGACTTCATCGTATGATGGTGGAGCTTCAAGACCTGATGGCGGTGCTGAAAATATCATCAAATTAATGAGAATCTTTGAGCTTAATATTTTCTTACCACCAGGATAAACCCCTTCGTCAAGCACAAATGATGGATTTGTATGAGCATTTATATTATTAATACTTGAATTCGATTCCGAGCGTTGGACACGAACGCTTCGACGGCAATGTGAATGATGATGACATCGTCTAGGACATCGTGCAACCGAAGCAGATGGGTTGTTGATTGGAATGACGTCGTAAAAAGTGTTTCCAATTTGTATCACATGTATTGCGTTTTGATTTTGAGCTGAAACGAAATGTTTATTAAATGAAATGGCGTTTTAGCTTTAATATAATTGTCTTGCCTTCACGTTCTGCCATTGCGATTCGTTTCTCTCTTGCTTTCCTACATTTTATGATTAAAATAAGCAGCGCCCAACCGAGAATTACAATCAAATACAACAAAATGATCATCTGAAACGAAGATGAAAGAAACAATTGAATCAGATATGAAATTAATTTATGTACTTTATCTCGTCCTCTAACGTGAAGCGGTTCTGGTTCTGCAACCATCACTAAAGTAATTCTAAATGTAAATAAGAAAACTTTTATTGAAAATCAATTGGAGTTCATTTTGTTAACGATTTTATGATTGTGTAAATGTCCATCTTAATGCATGTCATTATTATTATTATCATTATTTATGTGATGTTCCATTTTTTATGCCTGCATCAAAACAACAAAGTTCTTCTTCCTTGTTAGTTTGCCAGTTGATGGAAAAGCATTTGCTAGGTCATTGGTTGGCACGATAGACATTATACAGAACCTTTTACTTCATTATTCTGACCATATTGATCGTGTTTTAAATTTTTAATGTTCGTTGCTAGCTTGTACTAACTACCAATACATGTTTCATTTGGGTTACTCCCCAGAAATCTTTCGAAGAATGAGGTTTTTGTTTCATAAGAAATAATTTAAATTAAATACTCAAAGCTATAAATCTATGTGGACAACATAAATGCAGACATGTTTATCAAGATGCATGGAAGAAGATTTCTGACGCAAGCATCGAAATACTTAAACACAAGGTAACTTATATTTAGCTTTATGCAAATCTCTTTCGAATGAGAGTCTCCAGTTCATGCATTCTAATTTAAAAACAGAAAACTTGAGTTGTTGAAAAAACTGAAACGTTGCTTGGGTTTTAAATCTTTTGAAAATTTCCTTTTGAGTAACTTTCTATGAAAGTTTTTTTAGAGTTAAGAGAAAAGCTGACAACAAAATGTTGTTTAAGGCTTTGAACATTTTTTATCCTGTTTTTGACTTTTCTCCTGTGAGATTTTATAATTAAACTTGGATTAAGGTTTTTCAATTAAATTGAAGCTCCTAAAAATTTTTGTCTCACTTGACGTTTTCATGGAAGCTGCAACAATAATTCTGATTTTATCTTTGATTATTTATTAAGAATTCACAATGAAACACTTGAGAACTGCACAAAATATTTTTCTTGTCGTATCTAACATTTCGTGACTCTTGCCTTCCTTTTTTCCACTTAATTAATTAAAAGCTTTTACAGGAAATTCGTTTTTTTGTTTAGTCAATATCAACACGCTGGTGTTAATTTTTTGCTTTTCCGAATTAAATTTATTTGATTACGATGAAACATTTCCGAATTTTCCAGTTTAACACCATCCGTGACTTCACCACTTTTTCCTATGATTTAATTCGTTGATAACTGATTGTGACATTAAAATTCAGTTGAACTGACACGAAGAAAGTTTGAAAACCAACTAAAAGAATTTTAACCAGAACTGGTAAGGAAGCAACCCTCAACTTTAACTATTCATGAAGAAATCTAATCACACTGATGGAAATATGCAACGACATTGATTTAATGATTGATTTAAATCGATGTTCGCAAATAGTCCCACTTGAACTTCCACTCGACGTATGATAAGAGAAAAAACTTTATCAACAAACTCAAAAGGAAATTTCCTCTAAATTAAATTCCACATGAATGCGAGTTCTGAGTTGCGAAGCTTCATTTATGTTTATCACATAAAGAAATCAGTGAAAATTGTTTTTCCAATAATGAATATTCAATATTAAATTTTCTCCTTTCTACGCTGACATTTGTCGTCGTCTTTCATGACGTTTTTTTACTCGTTTTTGACTCAACGCCAACTTACATTTACCTCATCTAATAATTTGTAAGACTCTTGACCAAATTTTAAATTGTCATCAACTCGTAGGTAATTAACTTATTTTATCTATGTCAAGTTGTTTTCTTTCTTGAACTACTTTCAACAATAACAATCACTAATTTACAAATGATAAGAGAAGGTAAAGTTCTCAAGCTCGCGCGTACTTCAGTTTCTAACGAAGCATGTTCAACTTCTGAACAATTTCACATGACTGACGATATTTTTCCTTGTTTAGTTCAATGTTTCGGTTGTAGGAAAAGAATTGGAAACTTTAGGTTATCGTGGGTGGTTTGAGGGGGAGGTAGAAGGTGAATATAAACTGTTTTAAGCTTTGCGCGATGTCCTCGTGCATGGGAAAATACAAAAAAGCTCCCACGACACAACGTTGAAACTTATTTGTATCCTACATATGTGGATATGTGTGTTGAGTAATTACATCAATTATTTTTCCCTCATGTTGTTTGTATTGGAATGCGGTTTGGTCTGCAAAGAACTCTTGTCGGTCACATTCACTTTTCCAAATGTTGTGACGTTCACAACCGTGTGAAAGGAAATCGTCAAGTGAATATATGAAAAGAAAAAAAATCGATAGAACTTGTAATTGATAACTATCTTAAATGATGGTGCACTTCCAGTTTAAAACAACAAGCACGGAAAGCTTTTTTGTTGTGATGATCATGATAGATTCGTTTCGATTTTTCACTGAAAAAGTTGGAATTTATTTACATATAAAAAATGTCGAATTACCTAACATGAAAAAGAATTAAAGATTGTCTGATCCATCAGATCACATTTTCCAATATTCTTCTTCTACGTTTAGAATTCTTCAACCAATTTTCGTTTTGGGTTGTCATTCTTAGCTGAACAAAATAGACAACAAACCATTAAATGAGCGTTTTATTAAAGCTTTCAATATCATCATGGAACCATAACTTTTTATTAGTTTTTGTTTACCGCTTTATCGATTTTCCTTGTTCACTATCATAAGAAATTCATGACATTGAATGGAATGCTTTTAAATGAGGTAAACAAAAGCTTTTTGTTTTGTGCTTTTCCATAGTAAATGTTTTCAAACACAATTTGCACAAAGAAAATTAATTCTAATTGTTATAACTTTTTACTAATGATCTGAAGTTATTGAAATAAAATCAAAAAGCGTGATCAACAATTTGATAAAATCTGTAAAAAAAATAACAATTTGTTACAACTTGTTACACTTTCAACAACAACAGTTAACAACTGCTTGATAACAAGCAAAAATTTTGTTTTTTAAAATAAATATAAAAGAGAAAAACAATTTAATTTCATTTAAAAATCTTTATTTTGTAATCAGCCAAAATAAGTCAACAGAGTTGCTTACAAAAATTCAAAACAACTTTCTTATTTTCATCCTGAGGCCTTTACCAAAAACAAAAGTGAACTAAGAATACATTTAAGGCTTCGACAAGGCTTGTAAAGCTGTTTCATTTACAATGTGTATAAAAATATTAAATTACACAAAATGAAATTTTCTATAAGTGTTTACTTTTTTTTATCGTCATCATATGACAAAGTTAATATTATAAAGCACACGACACGAACAACTTGTAGAAAATTATAATATTAATCATGAAAATTTATCACATGCAAAATTATTTCCAAGAAAAGTTTTATTTTTTAATTATTTTTTGTGTGGGTGTTTAAAGAAAAAAAAGTTTTTGTTACTAAAAAAGGGACGATGATGAAAAGTTCCATGAACGCATTGTTCCAGTCTCAAAGTTTTCGTTTACTAACAACAGCAGCTTCAGTCAAAAAATTAAAGTTATTAAAGCTTATCAGTTGAATGAAGCTGAATAAATTTCTCGAGATTAGCTGGAACATTGTTGCGATACTCGAGTCGATGTTGAGCGATGATTCGTGATGCGAGACACTTAAGTGTTGTTGAGTTAATCTCGTATCGTTTGATGAAAGCTTGCAGGTGAGCTGAAAAGATAATTAAAACAAAAAAGATTTCTTTTAAAATGATTTCAAAAGCTTTTAGCGTACTAGAAGAGTTTGTGAAATAAATTACCGTACTAGAATTGGAAAATTTTAGAACTAAAATGGAAAACTTACTTGAGTTACAATTTCTAGCGGCAGTTTGACCATCGCTATTAACACTGTCAAGATGAATACCAGCATCTATGAAGAGTTTAGTTATTTCCTCTACTTTCGACATCAACTCAGTTGAAGCTGGTCGATAAACTTGGAAAGTACATGATAGTGTATGAAGTGGTGTGTTGCGTTCGCAGTCAAAGCAATCAACGCCCGCTCCGCAATGAAGAAGCAATTTGACAGTGTCGAGGCAAGGAAACTTACACACATCACTGGTGTGAAAGTCATCAACTGGCGATATTCCATTCACTGCCAAATGAATTAAACGTTGTCCGTCTCTCAATTTAACATCCATTCGATTAAGTTGATAAACCATTCGGTAAAGATCTTTAAGATGATCACTTGTGATATTTGTATAACGACTTTTCATCAATTTCGTCATGATTGTCAGCAAATAAAGTGCTGTGAAAATATTTGTCTCGTATTCTTCAACAATAACTTCAGGATCATCTTTTGGTCCCGGATTCACTAATTTCTCCATATTTCTCTCCAATTCGAGAATTGTTGATTGAAGCACTTGAAGTACGTTACCAACACGTAACGTCACAGTCTCAATGTAAATCATTTGACTAAAAAGTTGAGCGAAACGAAGTAAATCTCTTTGAACGGCAATATTATTTCCCTGACGAAGATTCAATGCATGAAGCCACAAAGCTTCACATCGATCAAAACGACCATTGTCAGCACAAACAGCTCCACGAAACACTACAGGATGAACAACTTCCGGGCAATGAACGCCGAGAATTCTTTCACGAATTGTTAAAGCTTCCATGTGAAGTGAATTGTGATTATATTGAATAGCGACGAGATCTTGAAGTGACATGCATTCAATCCAATTCTCATAAGCTGGAACTGGTGGTTTGAGTACTTTCTTCACAATATCATCAAGATCATCGTAACGCAATTGCATGGCAAGAAGAAGATAATGAAAAGCTTTTTGTAGACTGTAATTCTCCTTATCGTTAGCAAACGATGCACCAATCAACTCATGAGCATCAATTTTCTCTTCTTTCGTCAATAAATTCTTTCGATTGCAAAACATCTCAACGACTTCCTCTTTTGTTCTCTCAGCTGCTGTTATCACTGGTGACATTCCATATTCATTCAACATACCGATGTCACCACCGTAATCTAAAAGCATTTCACAAATCTCCAAATGTCCGCATTCACTTGCATAATGAAGTGCAGTCGCTTTACAGTTCGCTTGATCGTTTGGGTTTGCACCGTTTTGAAGTAAATATTCAACAACATCTGTGTATCCTTTATACGATGAGATCATCAAACATGTGTTGTTATAAATATTTCGTAAATTTATATCAGCATTATGATTGACAAGATATTGAACAATATCCAGACGCCCATCGAAACAAGCAGCACGAAGTGGAGACGAATCGGTGTCGGTTTTATGATTCACATTAGCTCCATGCTTTACTAATAGTTTGATAACGTTTAAGTGACCTAAAAATAATTTTTGATAAGATTTTTTTTTGTTATTTTTGTTTTGTAATCGTCTCACCTGAACTAGCAGCGACCCATAAAGCACTCGCACCATGCACGATGTGTCCGTCAGTCTTCACCGTACAACGCTTTTCTAAATCAATTTTATAATTTGCTAGCAACATTTGAACAACTTTCTCGCGTCCATAACTGCATGCGACAACGAGTGGCGTCATAATTTGTCCATCATCTTCGAAAAATTCCTAGAAAAGACAACATTTAATTAAGTAAACAAATTTACTGTTCATTTATGATGACTCAAAAGCGTCTGTCAACTTCACAATATTCGCATAATTTTCTTTTTCTTTTTTGTTTCGTCTGTTAGTTGATAATAAAATAAAAAGATTTTTAAATGTGTCAGTGAAGTGAAAGAAATTTTGTGAGGAAATCCTCAATATGATTGCAAAGTTTAAATTATTGGCAACAGAAGTGAGAAGACATGAAGGAATAAAGAAAGAAGTTCCATGTTCTTAATGAGAATATTTTTATGCGTTGCTAGCACGTTCAATGAACTTGTCATTAACCAGAAATCGAAAGAAAAAAGTTTTTCCTTGTGAGTTTTCATCACAGTTGAAATGTATGTAAATTAATAATGAGACTTCCGACAGTTTCGGTAATTAAGGAATTTTTGAGAACTTTCAAATGAGAACATGAAAAACTTTTCCCCACTTTGACGATCTTAATTAAAACTTTTCTCAATTCCATAAAAAGGAAATATTTGTGCGACTTCTTTCTAGCGTTTGATGACATTCTTTTTAAAAAAGTTTCCTGATCAAGGTCACTTCCCAAAACGAACGCCAACACGATGATCAACGTTAAAGCTGATGAGCATTATGATTCTTTTCGATTTCATATGAAACGCTTATGAGATATTTTTAGAAAAATACGTGATGTTATTTTTTTTTGCTTACTTTTGACTACTTTAAATATTTTTCATGTGTCGTTTCGTGTCGTGAGATTTTTTTTCTCTACATTTAGAAAGGTACGAACAGACGAGTCAAATTCGGAGAAAATGTTTAGCTGATTTACAAAATCAATTATTTATTAGTGTGAATGACATCATTGGCATGTTTTCCTACTACTAACAAAGCAGCAGCTTTAAGCAGAAACAGTTTTCAGTTTTTATTTTATAATAAATTTTCTTTATTTGAAAAGTCGTGAAAACTTCACTGATGTCGATCTTGAACTTTCACCGAAAAAGAGAATAAAGAGTGTTTAATCTTAAGAAATGAGATGCGCAGTTCGATGGAACTTTGAATTTTCACTCATTTTCACGATTCTTTGTGTATCAAGAAAAGTGAGAAAAACTTTTTACGTATCGAGGCATTTCTTTGTTTGGAAGATCGAATGTTTATTCTCTTAAGAATCATGAGAAACCTTTGAAAAGAAGTTAAAAGAAATAAGGCTTACTTTGTGTAAACCAGGAACAAGGAAGTTACTCGAAATGAAGTGAAATGTACAAGTAAATAAATACCTAAATGAATATTTAAGCTTTGGAAAGAGAAAAACATAAAACTAAGAAGCATTACGATCGTTGATCGTTAAAAACTTTTTATGCTTCACAACTATGCACATTTCAAGTTCATTTCCATACAAATAATCGGAAAGTCTGGCATTTATAATCGTGAGTGAGTAAAGGCACATGTTGTAATGATCACACGAGCAATTGACTGACGAATTCAATACGAAAAACATTATTTACTGATAGCGTAGAAAAATCCATCTGGAACATCAGATCTGAGGCTTATCATTGACAAAGCATATTATTTTTCTGATTGCCACACTCAATATGAATGTTTCGACCTTAACTAAGCTTTAGTTTTTGTCATATTAACATCCGCAAAGATGTAAGAAAATCGAAAATTTTGAAACAAGACGAGAAAAGAAATTTTTGTTTGTTTGCTTCGATGATTCCGAAAATTTTCCATTATAACGAGTTTTCATAATTTTAATATGTACTTGCCTGATTTACTAGAACATTTCTTGCTTCTTGAGATTCAACTCTGCTGATAAGAACTTGAAGATGCAATCTGTAGCCTTCCTTTGCTGATAGATAAAACCTTTTCTTTAATGAATGAAAGTATTCATCTTTATCTGGATCATCTTTAACTTCAAGTGGATGGGAGGATGTGACATTCAATGCCATTTTCATTTAAATTTATCTTCGATAATCACTTTGCCCTCGAAACGCAATTTTTTGTTTTGTTTTTGTTGCAAATTTGACACCGAATACAAATTTTAAGCTTTTCCGTCTATAAACTACACTACAGCGTAATAAAGAAGCGTTTCTAGTATCATTCACTTTAACTTAAGACTAAATTTTCTTCTGTATCTATCTTTACCGAGCCGAAAATTGCGAATGACTGAGCGAAGCAACTCAATTTGATTTCCCTCTTCTCATCTCTTAGGGTTGAATCTGTTATTATAAAAATATTCATTCTAACTGGCGCGATAATTTTAAATTGACGTAATTTGACTTCTTCATTTTGCTTTTCAGTTGCATTTCATTGCATTTCCATGATTAATAATTTGAAGCAAACTTTGATTTACTTTACTCATTGAAAAATTAATTTGCTATCTTAATATGAGAAACAAAACAATTTACTTCGCCCTAATTTGAAGCGAATTGGGATTTAAATTTCTACAAATCGTTAAATAATAAAAAGAGATTTTTTTTGGTTTTTCTTATCGATGGTTATTTGTTTGTTTTATTTAAATTCCCTTTAAATTTTTGTTAACATCGATAATCATTTTAATAAGTACATGAGAATTGTTAATTTCGTCTTTCATATCATTAACTCTGTTTTTGACATAAAAGTTTTTTTACATAAGTACTTTCAAAAGGTTTGCAATATCTTTCGAATTCTTTCTGTGAGATTTCTTTCTCTAAAAATCTTTTCTTCTTTTTATCTTGACAACATCTAGCAAAGTCTTAATAAATTCATATTCTTTACGAATTTCACTGTTAATATTTGTTATTTGATATCTTAACTGACTTCATTCATTTTAATTAATTTCAAATAAAAAATAATTAATTATTTAACGTTCCACACGTGGCTAACGTCTCAAAAAAATGTTTTTACATGAACGAAAAAAAAAATATTGCAAACAATGCAAGCAAATGAAAATTCAAAACGTTTCCTTTTTATATCTTCCAGTTAATTCGAAAAAGAAAAAATGCATTCGCGAATTCTTTTCACTTTCCCATATTTTGAATTTTCACATTCGACAATCAAAAATAAATCTTTTTTACATTATTAATTCATAAATTCGCGATGCAATATTGAATGGTATTCGCAAAGAACTCACATGGCTTTTTTAGTTTGCAACTGTAAGAATTGCATTCTGATTAGCATCAAGCTGTTGATGATCCTTACGAATGGCACCAGTTTTGGGATCAGCATAGCTGTTAAGATTGGTGACATTGTTGTTGTTATTATTATTATTGTTGTTGTTGTTGTTGTTGTTGTTCAATCTCTTATCAGTTGAACGCTTTCGACGTGAATTGCTACGTTGGCCTTGATTTTCTTTGTTAACGCTTCGTCCACGCTTGTTGCGACGACGACGTGGACGTCCATTACCTCCACCACCACCGCTGGTGCTGTCACGGCGTTGAACAATTGGTTTAATAGCTTTCTTCTCAGGATCGAAATGAGAATCGAGGATATCAACTAATTCATCAAATTCATCCTCTTTTAATGTCTCCAACTTTTTGACAGCTTCAACAATTGCGTCACGTTTCCCATCGGTCCACATTTTTTGAAGGCTTTCCATGTCATATTTGCCTTCAGCAAGAACGCGACGGAATGTAACAGCACGGCGACTGTGGAATTAATTTAAAAATATGTTAAAATTAAAGTTGCAAAAATTAAAAATGAAAGTTTTAAACTTACCGATGGAAGCGAGATGTCTGGAAATATGATCGGAAAACTTCTCGCAATGATGACTGACGTTTGATGCATTCTTCTTGTTCTGCAATCTCTTCCAATTCGTGTTGAATGTCGCAAGCCTTTTCACGAATGAATTCGTTTGCAATCTCGTTGAATTTTTCAGGTTCGACTTCCTTCTTTTCACCGCCATGTGCCATGAGCATGCAGATATCATAACTAAGTTTGGCGCGAACAGTTGCATCACCTTCGAACTCATTCAATTCAACTGCCTCCATTCCCAAGCGTTCTCGTTGAACTTTAACATTCTGACATAAGTTCAGATAACGAATCCCAAGTCCACCATGCTTCTCACTTGCTAAATCGTAGCCATTAACAAATGACTTGACAATCTTCTCAAATCGTTCCATGAGACGATATTTGCGCATGGCTTCAATAACCATGTAAGGCGTAAATTTCGCCTGATCGTGATACACGAAGATGATTCCATCTTTGGTATTGATGGTGTCCAGCCAATCCAGGAAATCTAGGAGTGCTGCGATTTCAGTTTTTGTTTTTATTACCTGTGAAAAATTTAATACTGAGGTTAAATAACACGTGACGCAAATTTCGTATCCTTACCTTGTAGGTTTGTAAAGATTTCAGCATACGGAAGCATCCGACGTTAATTACACGAATCTGATGACGTTGACGTGCCCCAGGATTCAAATTCATTAAAGGCATGATGTGTTGTGAAAATTGTGCATCTGGCGTGTAAGCGGCAATGTTAACAATCTGTGTAAATGTTTAAAGGATTACAAAAAGATTTATGGAAGATTATCATTGTTACTTACCTCATCAATTAAACGACGACCCGTTGTGTCGATGTCTAAACCAACGTAAGTATAATTTCCTTTCATTCCGGTTTCCATTTTAAAGTAATCCTCGAAAATTAGTTGCTTTTAACAAACTGAAAGTAAAAAAAAAGTTAAATTAAAAAGATGAGCTTCCGCTTCAAAGGAAGAACAAAGTCAAGGAGGCCATGATGTTTTTCATGGTCGCCTCGTTGTCGATTTTAAGTTTAAATATTGAAAGTTTTCATGAGACTTCTGAAATGTATTTTTCATTTCACAAGTCTGAAAACTTTCAATTAATTACTCACCTTTAATTTTTAATCTTTGATGTTTAATTTCCTTTAAACTTGTTTCAGGCTGGAGCGTTTATTATCTGACGTCTTTCTTCTTTGACAGACAAAATGGAATGAAGAGAAAGATTTCAATCTTCTTGGGTCCTTCGATGGGTCTTCAAAAAAATTCATTGGGGGTAAGAATCATTGATCATCATTTTCAAATTAAAAATTCGACCGTTGATGATTAATGATGATTACATGAAAAATTATTAATTATTTAAATCGCTTCAAAACATTGATTCTACTTTTCCTTTCATGTCAAATATCAACCACGATGTCATCATTCAATTAACTTATCGTTAAGCAATAACACGACATGCAATGAGTGAGCATATTAATGAAATTTGCAATTAGTGTTGTCATTTCCCTAGAATTTTGCATTTCATTACTAAATTCTTCTTTCTCTGCTTCGTTTAAAAGATCCTCTAATGTCATTAGCAGAAAGCGCTATTAAGGAAATGTCAATTTAATGGTCGTTAAATAATATTTCTTCTTCTCTGCTGAACTCTGCTGAAGCAACATAGCCAAATAATTCCCAAAAAGACCCTCGGAAGAAGGTGTAATTGAAACTTAATATTCAAGACCCTCCCAATCATTTTTCTACGTCTCTTGAAATATGTGGAGACAATAAGTCTCATCACATTCGACGATAACGATAACAAGCCAATTATTACTGTTCTCAAATCTATTTTTATATTATCGTCATCGCATATTTTCTTCTTCTGCGCCATGAACTCCTTAAGGTTTAAGAAATATTCTCTTGGCGCCACCATGGGAAGAAAGACAAATCTAATCGTTTATGCCATCGCGTTAAGGAGGGAAAGATTTTTCTTGATGTGTGTTTCGTTCTTCATAATTGAATGTTTATATTTTCAAGTTTGTTGCCCTTGTGTGACAACAATAAGGAGAACAAAAATATTCTAAGCCATGTAAACGTCATGTGAGATTATGTCGATAAGTGGTAGATGAAGAAAATCCTTTCCAAATATCATTTTCCGCACGTTCATATTTTCTTTTATATTCAAACACAAATCAGGATTCTTATCCCTTGTTTTTCCCTCACATTAATTAATTAAATGTTGTAGAAACTTTTACTTACAACCCCACACTCTCATGTACATCAACTTTATTTAATATATGAACACGATGAAGACAATCAAAAGTTTATTCCTGATAAAAAATTGTTGTTTGAGTGAATTTACGACACGAGACAACGTGGAAATATATCAAGCGCATATCTACAATGTTAAAACGTTTTTTAACCCACATAATTTTAATGAAATCAAATATTTGCAAATCTTCAACCTGAATTGCCGACAAATGGGAAAAAAATGTTTACTCGAAGTTTGAACAAGCGAAGGAAGAAAACCGAATTGTATGCTAAATGCAGATTTACACACTTTTATAACCGAAACTCATTATGTTGAGTCATGAGTTTTGTGAGCGACAAATAATAAACCGTAGCAGACTTACAGGGATTTGTGGAAGATTCAAACAAAACAGCGTGGCTCCAAACTGACGCTTAAGAATTTCATTCTAAGGTGAACTTTTGCTTCAACTCAAAAAAGAATATCGTGACCCGAATTTAATTTACCATAATCCACCATGAATTGTTATTGACATAATTGCGTAACATTAAAATTCAATTTCATTTTAATTTGCCGCAATTTTTATAATGAAATTATATCAGATTTAATTTCCTTTTCTGAGAAAGAGATAATCATAGAAAGAAAGACAAGTTGCGGTTCTTTCTTCCGACAATTATCAAGAACGACAGTAAAACGAATTCCATGTGGAAATAATTGCAAAATAAAAATTCATTTGGAATATTTTTATTTAGTGACTGATAAGATAAACGATCGTTTGACTTTATTGCAATGACGATAACAGTAAACAGCTGCACGTTAAACTTTGTTGAAGTAAGAAATCTATAATTGAATTAACTCAAATGGAAAATGAAATTTCAATGGTAAATATTTTGCTTTCAACTCACACTCAAGTTTAATCAAACGATAGAATGTTTACGACATAAATACCATTTCTGAATTTGGTATTTAAGTGGAGTAAATATTTGCACATTTAAAGTTTTAATATAATCAGATCAGACTTCAAACAAAACTTTATGCATTTGACCTAAAAAGGGATAGAAAAACAATGAGAAATAAAAGTGAAAGGCTCCAAATCGTCGAAGAGAATCTGATAGCAATCTCAAGGTTGAAACCTTTCAAGCTCATGATTTATTGACATGTGGAAAATCCTTTCCATTCAGGAAAAGAAAATGATTTTTCCTTTTGTATGCATTACATCAAACTATCGCACGCTTCATAAACATTTCATGAAATGTTTGGAAGTTCCGAGAATCTAAAATCGATTCTACATATAAAATTCGAGTTCATCGTACCGGAAAAATTCTTAATTACAGAGATTATTTGGAAAATTCGGATAAGTTGGTTATCTATCGAAATGTTGAAGAGTCTTCAAAAATTCCATTTATCATTCATGTAAAACCTCGGATCAGTTTAAGCGAATGAAAAATGAATTGCGCACTTCGAAAAGGCAAATCAGGTGCTGCCAAAAAGTATTAAGTTCATGTTGAAGCAATTTTCTCACATTATAATCCTCAAAACTACAATGGAACATGAAGAAGCTTAAATGGACTAAACAGCTACCGTGCTGAAGTGCAATTATTGTATAATTTAGGTTACAGGTTGTTCGAATACATTAAACTTCTTTTCAACAAAAATAAAGCTAGTTGGGACAGGATGAACGAACATACACACAAAAATTTACCAACCTTTGAATGTACTTAATTAAACGCCACATTTCCTTCTCCAATTAATACCAAATTAAGTCTCGTTTCTGTGTAAATGTCATCAACCTATTTAATCGAGTTGTAATGATTTAATGTCATTTATGTTACTCAGAATCGTGCACGAGTGAATTGACATCATCATATTACTTTTCTTCTTGTTTGCACGCTTATGTCCACTCGCAACATAAATTAATTGCGATGTAAACCTACGGAAAGAATCATAAGATGGATCATAAACATCATCATAGCAGTGTCATCATCAATTAATTCGTTTTATTCTATGAATGCTTCTGACAACTGTTTCTCGTTTAAGTGGAGCTGAATTTATGACACAAATGTAAACATTATGAAGTTTTATGATTCACACTCAACTTAACCAGCAATTTATAAGCGACCAAAACATGTAGTTACTCACATTTTGTGTATTGCGTTTTGAAAACATTCAAAGGACGAAATTTCTTTTAACAATGTTCGTGAGTTTTCTGATATTTTTATTTTGGTTTTTGTTTCGTAATAGTTTTATGTCATACCATCGTAAATTTTAACGATTCGTTCTGGATTTACTTCTGTACAATGCTTTTAAAAAGGAATTTATTCTTATGCTTTGTTGTTTGGGTTCCCAACAAATTTCACGTGAAATTATGTCGTTTTTCTCTTTTCTTACCTTTCTGTTCGTTAACATCGTCAATTATCTTCATTCTTTTATTGTTTAAAAGTGTTTCTTGTTTTTGTTTTAAGTTGAATTGTCAATGTAATGTCGAATAAAGTCAATGTCATTATTACAATGTTTACCGTGAGAATGAAGTCAGTTGATGCTTAGCAACAAAATCATTTTTCATGAACTTAGAAAGGGATTTGTGATAGATCGATTTTCAAAGCAGTTTTCATGTCAATAGTGAAGCCAACCAGGTGACGTTCGAAGATTTTTTTGTCGTCGGCTCAATAGGATTGAAGCAACAGCGAATTAATGGAGAATTGATGTTACCAAAAGTTGCTATTTGTTCTTATCAATTGCATCTTGCTGAAACATAAACTTAAATCTCTATGCTTCCATTCATGTGCAAATGAATGTTTACACATAGCATAAGTTTAATAAATTCTAAATCGATTAACATGAACATAGAAATTTAATGACTTTTAAAATTTATGCATCGTGTTGGAGTGTTTTAAACTTTTGCAAAATGAAATCAAATCCCATGTGAAACATTTAAGTATTCCCTCCATTAAGACGGATATTTATGTAGTTTAACGACAACTGGTGTACTACAAATCGACTCTCATCATTAATTAATGTTTCTTCTTTTTCTTCTTCTTCTCATTCTATCTTCACATGAAAATTTTCAATTACAACTTTCTTGTTGTCAAGCTTCTTTTTTGCGCTCAGCGGTGGCCTCAATTTATCTCAATTTATTTGCCTATTGGCATTCTGCGATATTTTTCTCATATTCTATCAAACCCATTAAAAAGTAACTATACAAAAGACGAAGAATTCATCACGTTACTCGTCTCGATAATGCTGAGCACAGATATCAAATATCATCAACAACAGCTGAATTGCTTACCAATCTTTTCTCAAGAGGCAATTGAAGAAAACTAATAATAAATCAAGATTTAAATTACTTGGTAATATTTTCAAATGAAATCATAGTAGGAAGTGGAATCGTAATGAAATGTCTTCTATTTTTAGACATTTAAGTCCTTGTTATTCATGCTAAAATCCTTTTAAAAATTCCTAAAATTCAAGCAGATACAAATCACTTTCAAATATTATTTCAGGAATTTATTAAATTCAGAACTTGAGTGAGAATTTTTCGACCATTTTCAAACATTTTTCTCTCTCAAAGCTTTGTCAACTCTCAGCACGTGCTTTTCGATTTTTGAGAGTGAAGAATTCACATTGAAAAGCAATCACACAGGAAGAAAAGGGAAACAGCTTTTACATCATTAAATATTTATCTTATTTTAAGTATCTTCGACTGAACATCATAAAATATTAATTGCAAATTAAAATAATTAATGTTAAATATTGGGTCAGCATAAAAAATTCTTTAGATCGAAATGGATTGTTAGCTTAGTCCATTTAGTTCAAGTTCAGAAATTGTTTCAAGCATTCGACGGTAGATTTATATCGGAGTAAACAGATAATTTTATGGCTATCAAGAAATCTCTATAAAAAACAATCAAAAGGTCTTGTTTTGATGGAAAGTTTTCAGCATTAACAAAAACAAATTCTTCGCCCTTTAACTAAAAATCTTTTAGCATTTCTGCCATGGTCAAAAAAGTTTTCAACTCAATTTACATAAGAAAAGCTTGAAATATTCAAAGTTATTGATTGATTGGGAATCAATATAAACTTTTATGATTTTTCCGAAAAAGGCATTAAATATATTTTCTTTTATCTTTAGAAAATCATAACTTGTAGGTAATTATTTATGAAAAATTTATCACCAACCTTGCAAATTTTCTTCTCCCTGACTTCAATGGAAAGAAAGAAGAAGAAATCTCCTTATGAAAAGTTTTTGATCAGCAAAATTCTCCTTCACAGCTAATACGAAAAGTTCATCGTCATCGTCCATAATGAAAAATTTCACGAGATTCCTATTAAAACTTATGATGCGTGTCACCGACTTTTCGTGTGAAATCTTATCAAAGTCGAGTAGCGAAAAAACATGACACATTGACTGTCGTCCGATGAACCTTCCGTTAAATTACCTGAAACAAGTGTCACGCTTCGTTATCAAAAGTAATTGCAAAAGTTAAAGACGTCACGTTTATTCACAACTTTATTTTATTATTCAGAAATTCAGATAATTATGAAGTTAGTTAGAAACGAAGAGAAAGAAAAATCTCATTTGAAAATCATCCGTCATAAAGCACAAAATTTATCTAATCTTAATTAAAGCTTAATCTTATCTTTCGTTCTTTTCTCTTAACTTTTACTTTGGTACAAACTATAAAAATATGTTCGTTCGTTAACACTATGCCTAAATTTCAATTTGAGATAGTGGCTTTATTTAGTAAACAATTTTCACTTCACAAGCATCTAACTAAAAACCATTTCATGATGGCTTCATTCTAATCACAAAACTTTTTCTTTTCGAATTTATTGAGATAAAAAGTTTTCTTACTTTTACTATAAAAAATCTCTACATAGTCGTCTCAGAGTCTGGCGGCGTATGATGATTATAATGATTGTAAGCTGGTGGAGCTCCACTTAAGAATCTTAAACTTTCTCTTGACCCAGCCGCTCTTTTCATTATTGCAGCTGCATTGGGAATTATTTGCTGTTGTTGAGTAGGTTGTTGATAATATTGTTGATGTTGTTGTGGCTTTCTTGTAGGTTGAGGTGGTTGTTGTTGTTGCTGCTGTTGAGTCAAACTCGCAAATAAATTCTCTTGAGTATTATTGTGAATATTATTACTTCCTGTAGGGTTTTGATTATAACTTAAAGGGCGAGTACCATGGAAATTCGAATAACTTGACCTAACCGAAGGCGGTCTTGCTGTTTGATAATATTCATTCATTTCAGGGCCATCAGCAAGATTGGGATTTGAATGTTGATAAGTTGGATTTGTGTGGCCCAATGTAGCAACGGCATCGTTTGGATGATGATGGTGATAGTGATTACTATAAGCTTGTGGCGATGGAGTCGATGTAGCATTCCATGATGTTTGTTGTACAATTAAAGGTGAACTCGAGTTCATATTGTAATAAATTGGATCGGTTGGTGTATGTCGATTAATAGCAGCTGACGATGTCGAAGCGGCATTGTTCGTTTGTTTCTGGAAACTGTTTAAAGATGGCTGTGACTTTGATGGAATAAGATTGGCAATTTCTCGTTTAGGAACCTGATGATGGTATTGACTATTCACAACGTAATCGTTGTTTAAAGACTTCAAATTATTTTCAGTTAATGTCGGGTTGTTATTGTGTTTGAATGATGGAAAAGAATTTTGTTGGTCCATTAATTTTGTGACGGGATTCTGATGAACTTTTCTTCTTGAATTTCTCGTGCTGCTTCGATGTGTGCCAGATGAACCAGCTCTGTCAGATCTTCTGCTTTGACGTGTGCTTGTACCTCTTACAGATCTTCTTTTAACTCTTCGTGGCGTCATAGGTTTGGGACTTAATGAATCGTCTCTATTTGGATCGCCATTGCCTCTAATTGTGTCTACAGGCGCTCCAAATTCGATTGTATAAAGTGATTGTCTCTTTGGATCACCACTTCTCCTTACTTAGTCAGTCCCAATGCATATGATGGGAATTTAGAATGCACAGAATAATGTTCGATGGGGAAAATGGAAGAAATGTAAACAAAATGAATTAATTTCTCAGTTGACATTAAATGCACGGAAAACATTAAAACGACAATAATGACAATAGAGGGAGACAAATTGCTTTTAATAAGTTAGATTAAGCACTAATTATGTTTATGTTTACGTGATGAAAATTGTTTATCATGCGTTATTAACAAAAGGTTTTATTGAATTTTCTTTTTTCTATGTAAATCAAAAATCTACAAGTTAATCTAAAATCAAAGCAACAAAAATCAGTGAAAATCAATAAGCTTGTGAATTGTATTAGACGTCTAATTAATTATAAATTTGATATCTAATTATAGAAGTGAAAGAAAAAAAAAGTTAATAAATATTTCATGAAATCTTTTAATGAATGTAAAGTACTGAGAACCTTTTTCGTTTTCCACTTGTTTTTCTATTCTAATTATGTAGAGCAAACAACATTTAATAATTTATAACGAAATACCCACATGAAGTCGTAAATTAATCACTTTGAGTTCATTTCTCCTGAAAATCGCGCTATTGAACCACATAAATAACAATTGTTGGTCAAATAAATTAAAATATGAAACATTAATAGACGACGAGACTTCAAATGCAAGACGCTAATAAAAATGAATTGCTAGAAAATCTTTCAGATAAGTGAAGCGAGTGCCGTCTGAATTCAAGTCCAACAGGCGTGTATCTGATATCAAAATAAATCCACGAAAAAACACGCAATCAATTTTATTATGCTTCGAATAGGCTTTCCAAGTATCAGTGTAAGTGTTTCAACACAATCGGTTCGGACATAAATAACAATGTAAAGCCGATAATGGAATCATTTCTAGGACGATTATCCTTTTGACAACGGAGCGTAAATCATGCGTCTTTAGGGGTAGAAATAAAAATATGAAGAATTGTTGAATTTCAGCTAGATACGATTTTTCATATCGTCAAATGAGAGATGAGTGGGTGGACAGAATCTTCAGGGATGTCATGTTGGGAGTGAGATTGAAAGTTGATGTATCATTAATGAATGTTATTTATTTCTGTCAGAATAACAAAAGGCTGAATTAATTGAGATTATTTAAGATTAATCATGAAACAATGAAAAATATTATTTTGATTCTTCAAATTTTATTAATGACATTTTGTATTTATCGATTTTATATCTATTTGTGTAATTTATTTGTTTACGACTTAATATTTTAAAAGAAAGTTTTAACTAATTCTGATCGCAATTTCGCTTGCGATGAAATTCAAAAAATGATGAAAATTCTTTTATTTACTTCCTTTGACGGAAATGGGAAAACTTTAAATGTTTTTCAATGACTTATAAAGTTGCATAACAAACTTAATGGGGTGTTGCACTTAACAAACTATTCAAAGTCTACTAAAGTTATTTATCTACATGAGAAGAAAGGAAATTATCTACATCAGAGAGAAAGTTTATTTTGACACATGATAAACTCTTACACAATTAATTAAGTTTTCCATGAAGAGAGGAAAATGTCTCAAAGTTAATTAAACTTTAGGAAACATCAAAAAAAATTCTTTTCTTCTTCTTCATGATTTTCTTTTACATAATGTTTTGATTGAATCATTTGGTTTTCATCACAAAAAGTATCTAAATTATTTTTTTCTATCTTAATTAAGGATTTTTCTTTTACTTCATCTAAATATATTTAACATCACGTTCACTAAATGAATCAATGTGCCTTTTAGGAGGAAATCGAAGGAAAATGTTCCATTTTCGCTTTATTAAATCTGTTTGCTTGTGCATGATGCCACGACGTCGATAAAATTCTTTAATTAAATCAAGTTTTCTTTTTAAATTCCAGTGGCATGAGAGAAAATGAATTTTCTTTAATTTTCCTTATTGAACAGTTAGATTAAGGCATTTGGTATGACGGCTATTGACTGGGACATTTTCCGTCAAATATTTTTATTTTCTTCGTAAATATTGTCGAAAGACTTTAAGATAGGAAACGCTTTCTAATTAAAAGGGATTTTGTCGATCCCACGGAATATTTACATAATCGAAACTTTTTTAACAGGAATTTCGTTAAATTAATTAAAAAAAAGTCCCCACAATTTGAGCAGAATCGAACGTTTTGAAAAACAAATATCAAGAGGAAATTGTGCTCAATATGTTGGAATAAAATTAACATTTTCGATGCTTTTCGGGAAAAACTCCCACAAAAACCTTACACACAGATGGTTGGATCAAACAGCGAGATTAACTTTTGTACTGTGAATGGCTTTTGTTGTAAAGCTACAAAGAAAAATGGGAAATTAATGAAGAAGATTGGAAGTCAAGGTCGTCGAAGGCTAATTAGTTTTTATGGGCGGGTCAATTCTTTTTCATGTTCCACTAATGCAAGAAAGGGAAATTTTTCCGATTAAAATCTAAACAAGTGTTCACTTAACAGCAATCATTACATTAATTACATTTCCTTTTGTTATAATAAAGTTCCACCGACATTGTGAAACTAATTTAATACAATTGTAAGAGAAAAAAACAAAAGTCAACAAGAATCGGTAACATTTGCATCAACTGATGTTGTCGAGTAGGAGGTTGAAGTTTATTTTCCGTTCAACGTTCATGAAAATATTTAATACAAGAGGAAAAAAAAACTTTTCCCTCGCGACAATGAATATTTTTTTGCTTTATTTATAAAAACACTTTAAATTCTTCGCTCCTACGAGTTTCAACTAACATTTAATATTTTTTTCTCTACGAGACTAAAAATAAAAAAAAAAGTTTTGTTTTCATATTTTTTTTTCTGTGACCGCAAAAATGTTTTTTTGCACGAACTTGTTTTTTGCTTTGATTCTTTATCTATTTATAGTACTACCACTACTGGGTGGTGGTTGTGGGAGCTTCACGCTTTTTATATTGTGCACATGACATTGTGCTATGAATGGAGAGTGAAGAATTATGCACATTTATTCGTTGCTGTTCAGCTTCTGCTTATTTACGTAATTATGTTTTGAAACCATTTATTTTAATTTAGGGATCCTACTTCACTTCTCTGACAACGTCTTGTGCTTAATCAAATAATTTTAAGGGTGTAGGCGGAAATAAACATGAAATAAAGGAAAACGCATGAACGAGTCTTTTTAAGCTGAAAATAATTGCGACGAGTAAATATTTGCAGTGGTAATAGCAGTCGAAAAACATTCTCGTAAAGATAACATGTAACTAAAGAAAGGAAAAGGATAATTTCGCCTACGAATGGGAAATGAAAAACTGAGTGGTTGGAAATGGATCGTAATCTGATTGACTTAAACAGAATTTTGTTTCCAACTCTTTTTCCTTATGGAATGCATTCGCTTTTTGTTGCCTCGTCAAATTGTAATCCATTTAAGATGATCCGCTTTGTTGAAAGTCAGAGTCGATAGCATGAGGAAAGTAAATAAGCTTTAGTTAGTTAGAAACTTAAGAAGGGCAAATCGCTTTTTCAATTTCCGAGGATTTATTTTCATTATCAGACAGGATGCAAAAGTCAAGAAGAATTTTTCCTTCTTCTTTTATTTCTTTACAAATTGTTATCTGTAATCAATTCTTATTGTGTGCGATGATTTGTCGACGACATGCATAGTTCATCGGAAGTCTAAGAATTCTCATTTATAAAAAGGAAAGCTGCAGTGTCGATATCATCAAGAAGAAGAGAAAATGTCTGGGAAAAGAATTATAAAAATTTATTCATTGAAGATTTTTCAATTTTGTTGTTCAGGGTGAAGTTGAAAATTACGAAAAGTGCGAGATGGGAAATTTTTCGAGGTATTTTCCCGTCATTTTTAATCTCACCCAAGTTTTTTTATGCATCCGACATTGCATATGAAAATGTTATTTGGCTGCTGATCAAATGGCAGCAGTTATAAATTTTATAAACAACACAATCTCAGCAGTGATAGAAGACAGATTGGCAGACAATTATTGGTTCGAATCTCTACTTATTAGAGTAAATCTCTCAGCTTATAACTTATAAGTTGTTTTTAGTAAGAGAAAACGAGAGAAGCATGAAAATAAAACGAATTTGTTATTCAATAGCGATCAATCATGTGGAAAATTCAATTTGACGATGTTAATTGCCAATGCGATGGATATGGAGACGAGTCTTGTCACGTAAACAAAAATATGTTATTCTGCTTTCAATCGAGTTATTGGGTTCAGTGTAAATCCTTGTAATCTTGGTAATTGATCATATTATTGCAAAATGAACGTGGACGTTGACTATCGTGTGGTGCAGAACCACTATGAACATGGGCGCCAGATTGACGCTTAAGTCGATTACTAATTCGATCTTGTGAACGAACACGATACATTGGATGTTGCATCATATGAGGTGGAATCGCGGGTAAAGGATTTGGACAATTGTATTCAGGAATAAATTGATTTAAATTGTATCGTGGAGGTAGAGGCCGTTGGTCGCCACGCAACTGATCACAGAAATTTCCATTTGTCGGCAGCATTCGATTATTATTGGTATGACTTAATTCCAGTGGATGATGAATTGGATATTGTGTCGGTTGGTAAATTTGCTGCTGTTGCTGTTGATGTGACGGCGGTCTTCGTCGTGGCATTTGATTTAAGTTTGGTGAGCGTGTCACATGTTGTTGTTGCTGCTGCTGTGGATAACTTGGAAGTTTCTCCACTGGTGAATGAATGTAACTTTTTTTCGTTGGACTCGGACTTGAAGATGATGATACTTGAGTTGGCAAATATTTGTTGTTAACATGAAAATCGGGTCGAGAAGGTGGCGAGTGATTATTAGCATTGAATAGTTTTTGTTGTTGATTCTTCATCTGCTGATATTGTTGTTGATGTTGATGTTGATGATGATTATTGAAGTCCAAATCGATTGGTTGTTGTTTACTTTTCACTTGAATCCCATTAATGTCATCATTGTTATGTATTAAACTATTCAATGGATTATGAATGCCAAAATTCTTACTTATAAGCTGTTGTTGTTGTAGATTCGTGGCCATTAATTTATTCGAAATAATGGGCGAGGCTGCGGCTGTCGATGCTTGAGATGATGGTCTACCATAGCTTCGAACGCTATTTGTATCCACATCTCGGTCTCGTTCGTCATCATGTTGTGATAAAATGTCGTCAGTTGTTGAATTTATTTCGGTGTAACGAATATCGGAACGGTTTGGATTGGCAAAGCTCGGATTTTGCTTTATGATTTGTTGTGTGCTGGCACTTTTATTTATCAAATTATGTCTACTGTTATATTGGCTTAAGCTACTACTACTACTTAATTGACGATGATCAATTAGTTTGTAATGTGTTGGCGATTGCATTTGATTGGGATGATGAGTTTTGACGGGACTGCTGATGTTCGATGGATAGTTATGAGTCTTAATGTAGGTCGACGAGAGCGAGTTAGTATTTGAATTGTTAATTGATGTTAAAACAACACCAAATTGATTAGGATCTTTTTTAGAATTAATTTGCGTCGATGAAGCACTTCCATTTGCTGGTATACTTGAATAACTCACGTACATTGGATGTACGGATGTATGTTGTGGACTTTTTATGTCGCTTCCCATAAACTCGACTAGATTTGGAAAAAGAGAAGAAAAAATTTAAGAGAAGGAGAAAAAAAAGAAAACATCAGTCATCGTTTGTATTTATGTATCCAGATGTACTTAAATAATTTTTTTCATTTGGGGTTTGAGAAGGAGGAAAATTAAATAAATATTCATCATGATTAAATAAAGAAATGTGTATGCATGAGAATGTATATGGAGAGATGACTCAGCATGTTCAGTGCGACGTCATTTTCGCACATGTAATCACACTGAATGGAACAACATTTAAGCACATTTATTAACAAGATTGAAGCTTTTATGAAAATCCACCCGCTAGCATAAATACATAATTTACATAGTCACATAAGTAACATAAAGCTTGCTTCAATTGCAAAGATATGAATTGAAATTTCACGTCGACTCATACATAATAAAAGATAATAAAAATGAGAGTAGCAACTTTATCAAATGATAATTCAAACATGGAAGCGAACAAACAAAAGGCATATAAATGAATTTTCGAATAGGAACTGAGAGAGTAAGTAAGAATTATGTTCTGTCAACATAAAAGTTTCCCTCAATCTCTCAGGAACTTCAAATGACATTAAATATTGATGCAGAATGAGAAATATTTTTATAAGCTTCAATCGAGAGCAAACGATTCAACTTCGATTTTCATTTCTTATTCATTTTTTTTTCTACGGCTGATGAAATATTTTTGTGCGTGAAAAAGGAAAACAGAAAGAAAACAGAAAGAAATAAAGGAAACGACTGATGGGAACCGAGACTTCCATTTCATCCATCATTTATCTTTCGCATGCTTTTCCCTTCTCTCCCTTAACTCATGTTTTGGTTTGTTATCTGTATTTACATTTTTTTCTTTCCCTTTTTTTTGCTTTTCATTTAATTTATCATTCGAATGATAAGTTTTTCATAACATTAGCTTTGGTTTGATTCTTGCCTCACACGAGAGAAGTTTCCAAAGCCCAAAGAGAAAGTTTCATGTTTCATGTGTAGAACATTGAACGACGTTAAAAAAGATGTTTTCTATGTTCATCTCGTGTTATCAGTGAACAAACACAATGATAATGGATCATAAATGTTTTTTCTCTACGACTTTTGGGAACCTCCTAGCACTCCATTTGATTTTTATGAAAATCGATTTTGTCTATAAGCAAATTTTCTTCCGTTTTTATGACTTTTAAAAACTGTCGCATGTCGACACTCTGACATGTTTTAATCGGCAAGCTTGTTGCCATTTTCTTCACGAAACCTGCAATATAAAATCCTTAACCACAAAAGGGAAGAACCAAAATATGTTTTATGCTCAAAGGTTATAATCAACCGTCTACATTTGAGTGAAGCCACAAAAGTACACAAAACACGTAAATCCCAAAAGCTTTCCTGCTGCTATTTTACTTGTTTTATTTCTTATTCAAAAGCAAAGTTGTAACACGGTTAATATTCAGATATTTATGTTTTAAAAATAACAAGAAGTAGATGAAGAGAATGAAAGAAAATCTAACCAAAACCACACACCATTTGACTACATGCTTACTTTATGTATGTTTTATGTTTGGATAATATTTTGGATCATGTGAAGTTGTGGATGGGATGATGGATAATAAAATAAAAAATATGTAATTGAACATTGAATACTCACAGCTATCATCATCATCCCAGAGGATACAGCCGATGCAAATTGCACCAATTAAACCTAATAACTGTAATTTGTTAGACGATAGAGATGAGAAATGAAATTAATTAAAAATTCTGCAGTCATCATTAAGCATCTTAATTAACTTACCGATAAAAAGTTTTGTACAGATGAATGAATAATTTCAATGTAAGGATATTCAAGGAAGCATCCATCGACTCGATCTGGTCTTATTGGCTTGAAAGGATCTTCCAATGTCCCATTAGTGGAGTAAATTGGTTTGCAGCCAGGACCATTTGACAGAAACCATGAAAAGCTCCCAGTGCCGAAATTTAATATATCACTTTGCTGTGAACATAAACAAACGAATCAATTGAGGGAATAAATTAGCAGTAGAATGGAAAAAAAATATTTGCCAACAATCAGTCGATCAATTAAGCACTTGGCAGGCGGTTGAGTGCGAAGAAAAATTTATTGGGTTTCATTCTCGTTGTTACCTTGACATCCAATCTCTCATAAAAATTTATTTCATTTTGTGTGCTTATTTAAATGAGTTACGGCTTTGCCGCCTACGCATTATGAATGAATGGATGAATCGTAAAAAATGAAGAATCTTTTACTTTGTCGTAATTAATTTTTGACTGTGAGTTGAATAAACATCAAACAACAATGAATAATTAATTTCTAAAAGCATTTCTCGGATATATTTTGCTTTGAGGCATTACAAGAGCGAGAATGAAAATCGGAAGCAAAATTTATATTTTTCGGGTTTGAAAGCCTCAAGGCGAGTTGAGATGAAAATGAAACCGAAAAAATGTTTTCCTGCTTGGGTTCATCATGAGAAAGTTTTTATCTCAAGTCTGTGCGTCGAAGAAGGAAAAGAATTTTATTTAAAGGGCTTTCATAAGCACAAAACATCGACTTGTGTTTCCATTCACTTGTGTTTACTAATAAAACACGAGAACAAAACAAAAAACAGAAACAGAAGCTTAAAAAAAAGAATGTTTCGAAAATATTCATAAATGAAATTGTTGTGTGTTCATCTCTCGCGACTTGGCAACGTTCCAAGTGGGACAGATCAAAAAAGTATCTCAATTTCATATTATGAGAGTTGTGTTCTTCTGTATTGACTTAAGTCTAGTGACAATTTCACCCGACAAAAGTTTTTGTTAAAGGCTTTGAGCGATTTGTTGACGTCCGGAAAGGGAATGACAACGTCACATATATAAAAGTGTCATTTGATTGTTTCGTCACGTAACTTTCATTCGTTTTGTCTCCTAGGAGAATCAATATCTTCATTGTCAGCCTGATTAGTTGTCGAGTGAAGAGCCACAAAACCTCAGAGAATTGCGTGACGTGAAATTGGGACGAAACCTCAAATATTCACCAACTTTATTAACGAAATAAATTGCTCCACAGAACTTATAACATTTCGTTTGATAACAGAATAAAAATTCAGTAAAATATTCATAATGTGGCCGTCATTTGTCGCCAAAAACTTTTACTTTTGCGTTGGTGAAAAACTTCGGCTAAAGAAGAAAAAAATTTGTCAACATAGTTTCGGTCTTTTTTTATGAGGAAAAATTTATCAGTCGACATCATTTATCAGTTTATTTCGAGAGTGAAACAAAGCCGAGAGAAGCTTGAAGTTAAGTAGCAATCAACTGCGATTCATCATCTCTTAATTGGAAGCAGACGATAACCATTAAATGAACAGATTTCAAGTGCTTAGTGATGTTGAAACAAAGCTTTTCCATTCTAAACATGATTTTTCGCGTCGCTTATCTCAATTATCGTGGTTTAATTTTTCGTATTTCTTATCAAAACTTCCACTACGTTTATTAATTTTTTATGACTTTTTCTTCATTTTCTACGTCTTCAAACAAAGACTTAAATCGGAATCAAATTTTATTTTACGAAAAAGGGGAGAAAGAAAAATAAATATTTCATGCTCGAATAACTTCAAATCATAATTTTAAGTCTCGACTCGTTCCCGATATTATGGAAATCATGCGATTGTGTTCATAACTTTTATTTTCAATTTCTGCCTCTGAATGAGAGCGACAGAATTTATTAGTGACTGTAAATCAACAGAAAATATTAAAAATTCTACGAGTGATTAATTTTGCATCGTTATCGATGTCGCACCAATTAAAATCACGTCGTTATTAAATTTATGTTAGCTTTTCCAACATTAATATTTATGCTTCTTTCGAAGATTCCGTGTAAATGTTTTTTGTGTCACTTAGGAAACTGAAAAACGTGTCGGGTTTACATTTTTCTCCTTAATTGACATCAACAACAGAAATAGAACCAGAAAAATTGGGAAGATAATTGCATCACACACGGAGATGCAGATCGCATGTTTTCCTTTCATCAAAGAAACAAAAAAGCGAGTTTTTCTTTATGTTTTACATCTCGATCTCGCACATAATCGTTTTGAAAGAATTTTTTTATTTCTGCTCGTTTTCAGTTTAGCAACATCAAAGGAAAGTGAAAAGAGAAATTACAATGTTCTTGATTTCTCTTTGAACTTTGAATAATCTGCCAAGTGCTTTCTTTATAAGTAAGAATCGATATTGGATGAAAATCAAAAAGCTATTTATTGATACTTACTCTATCTAAAACGCCTACATTTAGGTAGAAGCAAATAAGAAAAGTATTCCATGCGAGCCAAAGGACGTTCCAAACTGAATACTGAAAAAGGAAATAAAATGTTGTTCTGTTATTGCTAAATCATCGATAAGATGCTACAAATACTCAAAAAAAAGAACATCGATACAGCGACCCACAAAATGATATTTCTTTTGTTCTGTTCTTATGTTTCATTTATTCATGAGAATGACCTGATAGCTTAAACGACATTGTAGGCTATAAATGTTGTACGTAAAGTGGAAGGAAAACGAATATAAATGAGAGTAGAGTCAGAGATAAATTCTACACAGTGGATTAAATATCCGAACGTTTTTAGCCAACAAACAATAAATGAAGTCGTCGCTAGTCTAACCAAGTTGTTTCATTATTTAATGGATTCAGGAATAGATCATCATGTCAAGTGTTTCTAAATATATCTCTGAGTTAAATTAGATACATCACATTAACTACCGAAAGACTTTTCTTTCTATTTTCTTCAATGATTCGTCATTAATTAATTTCTAGGAAAATAACATTCACTCCTTACTTACATACATAAGTTAACAAAAATATATCATCATACTAATGCTTTGTTATTAACTTCTGTTCTTCCTACTTTCAGAAGGATTTTTACGATTCGATAAGCTCGAAATTGAAATTCGTGTCTTGAACAAATAAATCCCAGATTCAATCTGCTTTTACTTTTCTTATTTCATTTTGTAACTGGTGATGACAAGCATCATCGAAATTGAAAAATTCTTCTCTTTGTTCATCTACCTAGTCTTAAATTTATTGGGAAAATTCAGATGTAAGGATGTGAAAAACAGAAAGGAAAAACAGATTTTGTTTGTTTGTCATATTTTCAGGCTTGAAGGAAAAATTTTTGCGGTCATGAAATGTGGGAAAAATCGATTGACACAGAAATCAGAGACATAAGCGAAAATTTGTCAATCTCACTGGGACTTAATTCACTTTATTTAATTAATCAAACAGTGTTTAGGGAAAATACGAAATGATAAAATGTTTTCAATTAATTCTTTCGGAATTCATTCACACTGCGACAATATTTAAGACTATCAAGTGAAGTAAGTATGCAAAGCATGGTTCATCGCTTATCAGTGAATATTTTAGAAAAACACCAACAGACTTTCGCAGCGGTAATAAATTTACAATAAAAAGCCACACCTCAAAGAAGAAATTTATTGACGATGAAGGTAAGTTTTCCCTTCTTTTTTTCGAGTGGAAAATTTTCCTACGTGAATTGAAAGCGTTTCAATATTTGAATTAGGTGTGAATAAGATAAGTTTGAAAATTTCCATCAGCTGCTTTTTTAAGGATTCTTTTCCGCTCATTTTTTTCTTACGGTATGATTGATCAGTAATTGGAGTCGAATGAACGCTGTTCATCATTTGGTTTATTCTACGAGTTTTGTATAGAACGTGATGATAAGATAACGCGCTGTATTCAGACGCTAAGTTGATGATAGCAAACAAAATGTTGAGTGTTTGATGATGAAATTTGTATTGAGATTGATTTCGAAGCGAAGAAAGAAAAAATTTCGTCATTTTGTGGGATTTGTGTTAGCTATAAAGATGAAATGTTCATAAAGGAAGTTGACAATGATGACATCTTTCTCACTTCACTGCTAGATTCCTTTAGATTTTCTTTGATAGTATCAGAACATCGACGTTTGTAAACAACATTCTGTCAACTAAATGTTAAATACAAAGATGGAAACTCACCGATATCAAATATTTAGCTCTAAACTGATATGCCCCGAAGAATCCAAAAATGATGAAGATCATGTGAAGGAAGTTGGCAAGAATTGGTGCCCACATGTAGCCTAAGAAGTCAAACACTTGTCGTTCTATGATTGTGAGCTGCAAAAAGAATGATAAACAAAATTAATTCAAAATTCGACCCAGTTTCACATGCTCCTGCAAGCTTTGTTTTTATTCATGTAAATTAATGTTGATCTTGTTTCAAAACGCACAATGAAGGTTTTTCCAATTTTTTTTCGAGATGGAAAAATGAAATCGATATCAAGGGAGAAAAGCGAAGAGGAAATTTTTACATGTCGAGATCGTTTTCAGTTGCGACGAGTGAGAAGAATTTACAACCGCCCACCTGTTGCTGTCGTTTCACTTTCAAACGAAGATACTTGAAAGTTGAATCAAAATCAGATTTCTCGAGTTTATTTACGTTCTTCAACAATTTAACGAGCTTCCTTGAGAGTCTTTATAAACAAATGGTAGGAAGAGAGAGAAAAGAGTTGCAAAGTGTATGAGTTATTGCCGCATTTATAATTTGCGAAATATGATCTGATTTATTATTTCTCTACATTTTAAATTTCACTTAGAATGAAGCTCAAGTAAAGTGATAAGCGAAGCTCACAAAGAATCTTTAAATCGTTCATTCCAATGAAATTGCGAGAAGATTTTTTCCACTTTCGCTTTCTTGATAACATTAAATGAAAGTTAAATTAATATTCATAAGCGTAGCCTACAATAACACGATAATCGATTCCATTTACGACTCAAACACGCTTTTGAACTGCTTTTTGATTTGTTTCATGCTATCTACGCTCGTTTTCATTTGTCGTCGGGAGAAGTAACAAAAATAAGTTAATCAATTTAAATTACTTTCGTTGAAAAACACAAACTTGAACAAATTAATTTGACATGAATGTAGAAGCAAAGTAATCGCTGTTGGCGCTATTTTTGACGATATTTATTTTTATTTATATTTCTCCCCCTCAGGCGAAAAATATTCATAAACGCAATTCATCTAATTTATCACGCACACGCAAAGAAATCTTCCAAAGAAACTAGTTTACTGCTTGTCAACTTTTCTTTTGCTTTATCTCGTACTCATTTCATTTCCCCCAACAGCGAGTAAGAGGAAACAGTCGAAGGAAAGTTCAATGACGTGGAATTTATCTAAATTCGTGAAGCCTTTTGAAGAACATGAATGAAGCATTAAGTAACAGGCTCAACAAGCATTTGATGATATTGCTTGTGACAGATTTCTTCCCCTTGATTTCTTCACTTGTGTTTCGCTCTTGAATTTTTAGGTGAAATTAATTAGCGTTTCTCACAACATCGTAACACAAATGCTATTAAATCACACCCACATAGTCATATGAAACCGTCTGTTGAAAATTCATTTTCACCAAAAAGCATTTTATTATCAAATGTGTCAGTAAAAGAGTGTGCAGGAAATTAAGACAATAAATTTCTCACAAAAATCTCTCTTGCGTAATTTTCACATTTATGTTCAAAAACGTTGACGTATGCTTTGCTTTGCTTTATATGGGCAAAAGCCTTTTATGATTTCATTTGCTTATGATATTTGCTTAGGCACAGCAAACAGACTCCAACTTAAGTTTTTATTACAAACATTTGGTTGGAAAATTATAATCGAAAAGGCTTTCAGTAACAAACATAAGATTAACTATGAAATATTTCTTTTGTTGCCATTTCATAATCGAACAAATAAACAAACTTCATGCATAAATGTATGCAATTTTAAAACATTTCGATTATTGAACAAGAAAACTTTTTTGTTTGTTAGTTTAGTCGGAGGGTGAACAAAATTCTAAACGACAAAAGTTTGCTAAAAAAACAGTTTTCATTCAATGTCTGACAAGACAGGTGCGTTAAGCATCGAAAATAGTCTTTTAACATGGGACTAATAAAGCCTTGCTGTACGCCTTTTTAAAGTAGTAAGGCTGATGTGTTAGTTTCCCGCATTTTAAAAACACGAATAAACATGACGTTTATTTATATAAAAAAAGGTCTTCGTCGTCTTCTCCTTTCTCATGATTCTCTAAACTTCACAAGAGATGGAATAATTTTTCAACAAAATAACATGGAAAGCACCTGAACCTTTCATTTTCATTTCTCACTATACATAATTTCTGATTAAGAAGCCAAAAGAAAACAGAAGGTAAGAAATAATAAAAAAGGAGAAAGAAATTGGACATGAAGGATCGAAAATGTTTTAAAAATTAAACGCTTTTTGTGTAAAATTTTCCTTTTCTACTTTTAATACCAACATAGAGTTGTTTTTATCGATTGTGTGTGACTGTGACGGGTTTCGGGATATTCAACTTGAACATTCTTCTGGAATGAAGTTGATGAAATAAAAAATTACAAAAGGTCGAAAGTCCACTTCTCCTGAGGGAGACGCCATTTATAAAGCACTTCAAGCCTTCTCAATCCCATTCGAAATGTGATGGGCTTACAGAAAATCAACATTTACGTTCCATCCTTAAAATAATGTGGCAAGCAAGCATAAGCATAACCCGAAAATATCCCGAAAGTGTTTTCGATTTCAACGAGAACGTCGACATTGAGTATAATTGTTGTCGATAACTGAGAGTCCGTTTCAAATATAAATTTGTATGGCAATGAAAAATTGTAGTCTTTAATTATCTTGATTTCATAATGAATTAATGCAACATCATCACGTTATCTAATTATACTTTTTCCCCATTCATGTCCACCCTCTTTCTCTGTCTCGAACCCTATAAATTAATTTTCTTCTTTCATTTAACACGAAAGCGAATCACGAGTTAGTTGGGATCATAAACATCATCCATGAAGCTGGCTGGCATCGTCAATTAATTGTTTTATGTTGCTTTTTTATGTCTTGCTCATGACAACTGCTCGCTACTTGAACGAGAAGAGAGGCTCGTTGATGTTAAGTTTAAGAGATTTATTGGGATGGCGATTGTAAACATTACGAGCAACCCTCGAATAAAGTGAAGGGCTTAGTTGCGAGCGATGGTATTATCATCAAGCATCTCTTGCTAGGCTTTTGAAGCTTTGTAATGTTTTTCGAATTAAGTTGCGTAATCTTCGTTTGTCGTTTCGTATGAACGAAAAAGGAGAGACAGTTTTATCACTTCTTCACATTCGTTTTATATTTCCCACCTCGGCGAAATTATCTTTTCCGACAGCTAAACGGTAAACGAGAAAGCGACAAGAAAAGTTGCACAAACTCATGAATAAATTTTCTTGAAAAGCAATTAATGTTGCGGTAAACTGTTTCATCACTAGACAAAGATTTTGTTTCTTATTTTTGTGTCTATCGCAAGCAGAAGTCGATATTATAATTATGATAATAACATTGCTAGAAGTTAAAATCATCATCATAGCGGTGTCTACGCAATTTAAACTTTTAGCTCATTAAATCGAGACTTTAAAAACTAGCTCATTAGCATTTTCAATTCCACTCAAATAAAAGTTACACAATGAAATATTAAATCATTTTTGAAACTTCCACAACACATTGTTAATGAAATAAAATACCAAATACGCTTCTTAGAAATGCTATGAAGAAATAGAAAACTTTTAATGTTGATTTATGAATTTAAATATGACGAGACGTCGATGTTCATGCAATTGCATACCCACAACTGATAAGTAGTCAATGAAGTCGATGATTTCGGAATAAATGAAACAACATTCATGGGGAATTGTTTGCTAAAAAGCTTACTTACAATATCACGATATGGTGTGATAATGTATCGCCCTTCATTAGTTGCGTGAAATTCCATTTTTTAATATTTATGAGTCAACAAAAATTGTTTGTGGGAAAAAAAAGAAAATACGTCCAAAGGCATTTATCGTTTGTTAAAATCATATATTAGCACATATGACTGTTTATTGTTGTCGAAAATGTTGTTGTTGTTTAATAAACTCATAAGTTGAGTTTAAAGCAAACCATAGAAATTTAACACCGTCTTTGTATCGAGTTTCATGAAGTTGACGACAAAAAATTCGTTGTCCGAGAATGAAAGCGAAGTAAGAATCTTTCGACAAATTTTCTTTTCAAATATTAATGAAATAAACAAAACTGTTTTTATTTTTCGCTTCAACACATTCAAGAACTTAGTTCGCACCTACACATTGATTGCTTTCAACAATTTTGTTTTTTTATTTCGTTAAAAGAGCTGTTGAAAAATCTTTTGTACTCGTTAAGCATCTCTTAACCATACGCTTTGCCTTTCTTCCTTTTTTTTCGTTAGATATTCTTCAGGCAAGCATAAAAGCGAACGATGAGAGAGAGAGAAATTTCATCTTAACATCGTCTACCTGTTTTATGTGTGCTTAACGCAAATAAAATGAAAATGGTATAAAAATTATTTATTAATTTCAATACATTCGTCGCTTTGGTAACTCCAAGGAAACTTTGTTCTCTCTTTTCTTTGATGTATGCTTATCTCTTAAAGAGATGACTTAAACATTTATATGACTCTTTAAAGTCTTAGTCAGCATACCTACAAATTCAATGAATCCACAAACTCAACACATTGAAGATATTTATGCGAGTTGGTTTGGCTTACTTCATATTTTCTTTTTCTTTGTCATGTTTGTTACTTAACGTATTTTCATTCTCTTTTATTTCAGCCTTCTTTTGACTCATATATCTACGTTGGAAATAATACAATGACATAAAGTTACAAAGAAATTAAATTATCTCACGGTTTGCTTGTTTCTTTTTTTTCTAGAGGAAATTCAAGTGAAATTACTCATCAAAGCAAATCTTCCTTCTTAAGATACTCCACGTCTAAGTCAATTTGAATCGATTATGCTCTAATCTGAAGATTATTTTGAACAACTTGGGAAGCTTCAATAAGATACTGTGCAAGGTTGTAACGGATCAGATTACATTGTGTTCATTACGAGCGTTAAGTGATTTTATAAAGTGATAAACATTTAACTTCATTACGTTTTTCCTTATAGAAGCAGGAAAAATTTTCATGGATTTTAAATCGAAAGATAAAGTTTGAGTTTTTATGGAGAGTCTCTTCAAAAATCTTCACAATGAAGTCTTATTGGAGTAATCTTGGCAACCGTTTCTTGAGCCTTCTAAATCATACATTCCATTTAAGACTTTTCTATTTCTTTTATTTATTTTTCAAAGATCCTTGTAAATGATTTCTTTCAAGCTTTTTTTAGCACTTTCAATAAAAATGCAAATTTATTTTACAACGGCTACGCTTTCATGATGATTCAGATGCGATAAATCTTCACGGCGGTTTGATTCTGACGAGTTAGCTTAATAAGTAAGGCTTTCAATGCTAAGACGTTTTGAAACGGTGTTTAAATCGAAAACTCTTTCATGGAAAGTGATATCAGCGCTAAATTATTTTTCTTTGAATTTAAAATTCAGTGAATCATTCGGAAGATGATTGAAAACGTGATTAATGAATCAAAAAAAGATTTCGTGTGTTTATTCATCTTCAAATTTATGTCTGTATTAAGTCTCAAAATGCATTCATGAAACGAAGATGTGCAGTTGAGTCAGTGAAATGTAAACAATGAGAATTCTATTCTTCAACTTGAAAACTTCAACCTCAACCTTGCTTTAAGAAACCATAGTTGTCTGCTTCTTGCTTACTTTTCCTTCTTATTGTTCATAAAGCAAACGAGAATCGTTTGAAGCACTCTCGGAGTAAGAAGAAAAAAGTAACAAAAGGAGAAAGAAATAATTTCAAGTTAGGTCATTTTAATTTTAATTCTTCTTTCTCATTCTAACTCTCTAACTAGTCATTTACGTCTGTCTGTGAAATCAGTTCAGTCCTCAGTTCTTTGTTTATATAACTGGAATTATGTAGAATTAGTGCAGCTGCAAATCAAACCTTTGATCTCACTCAATAAAAGTTTGTCAGTCATCGATTACAATCACATCCTCAACAATTCAACGGTAGAAGAAGACAAATTCCATTTAATCTCGCTGTCAGTATGATCTCATTTCCACTAATAAATCTTCGATAAATCTAAATTTGTTGGAAGCTTCTTCTTCTTCTTCTCTTGCTTATTTATTTCTTTCCAACACTGTCCATTATCATTGGTGTAAATAAGTCGATTTAGTTGGATTCGAAGCCGTATAAATAATTCCAATTTTGCTTTGGCATTCGTGTTCAATATTTTACAAAGCGTCGAAAGAAAATTATGCTCAATTTAGAATAATTTTAATTTTTTTTCAAAGCACAGATGTTGAGGATTGTTTGTGGTGAACATAAATTCTTTAGAATTACAAGAATAATCATCAAGAGTTGTTCGCTTAACTGACGATCTCAACCACAATCTTGAATAAAACAATAAAAATCTCTTTCGATTTAGGTCGATTTAAAACATTATGTTGAGGTTTCTGTGAATTCAGTTTCCTCTTGATTATTTCTTTATTTCAATTAAACTTTTTTTTTATTCTTTAATTCTTATTTACGTATGTAAGAAGCGAAGGTTTTACTTCGTTTAAGAATTCAAATAAAGCACAAGAGCGAACCGTGAAAAGCTATTGTTAGAATTATCGAATTAAACTGTTTTTCGATAGAATCAAACTTTTGTTGTTTCTTCGTTCCAATCTAATTATTTTATTGAGGATTTCTCGTGTGTGAATCCCATAAAGCGAGGAAATGGAAGAGCATTTGATATTTATTGCTTAGCTTTCAAGAAAATTTGTTTGATTGTTAAAAACATTTGTGGAAAATGTTGAAATTTCTCACGCTTAATATGCATTTCTTGCATTAGTTTAATAAAATATGTTTTCAAATATCTTGATTGCGCACTTCAGAGGACCCTCTTCGAATAAAGTATAAAGCTGAATTGAAACCACGATGCTTCAAGACACAAACAAAAAAACATCAACGTGAAGGTTGTGAAATCAAAAAGCTTCATTTCCTCGGACAAAGTCAAGCAACTGGAACTAATAGCACCTCGTCCACCAAATTGTTTCAGTCGAAGACCAAGCAACATAACAGCAAATTTTGCCGCAAAGAAAATGAAAAACATTTCCAAAGTAAAGTAAACAGAAATCTTTCCGTTAAACGATTTTTATGTTGTTGTTCATATAAATAAAAGCATCGCTCTGGAATTAATTTGTATGAGTTTTCATTTATATTTTTATATTTTCTTGCGGTTCCATTGTTGGAAACTTTCACGATTTAATGCCAAAATTTATTAATAAAAAAGTAAAGAAGACGAGGCACTTAAGTAACTCGACGATCGAATCGATACTTCTTATTATTGTTCAAGGATAACTGCTGATATTTTTATGCGATAAAGCGAGAAAGCAAAGTAGTTTCGATCGACAGGAAGTTGGTAATAAATATTTTTATTAACATTTCACCGGTCAACAGCAGCAAGGAAAAAAAGAGAATTCTGCACGAAGAAGACGAAAACGGCAAAAAGAACGAAAGAAGTTTAAAGAGTAGACAAGAAATATTTACCAGTTGCAAAGAGCACACAAACAAAAGAAAATTTCGCCTGGTGCACATTCTTAAGGTGATTCATAATCCCATTTCAGTGAATTAAATTCTGATTTTTATTTTATCTGAATTTTTGCAGTTTCGTAACAACTGTTTTGATTTCACTCATTTCTTTCCTATATTTTATTTCTTTCTCTAACGATTTTTTGATTATCTTCGGCCTCGATAGCCTCTTTCTTTATTATTCAACTCTTTCCACTTTCACGTAAACTGAGTTTCTTTTTTAATCGCCTACAATTTCTGTTAACACTTGAAATTATTTTTTATTTTTCCTTTGTATTCGAACGATTTTCTTATCAATGATTTTCTATTTCTTTCCTTTTTTTTCTTCACCAAAAAACCAACAATGCATTTATTTATTTAATTTTTTAAAGCTTCTTCTTGTTTATTTAACAACACAGAACGACAACGTTTCTTTCTGAACCTTGTTCCTTCAACAGACTCGCGACGACTAACAAACATTGAATAAAATTTTGTCTAAAACTCCAAAGTTATTCTCTCGATTTCATTCTCTTTTCGAAATCGTATAAAAGAGAACGAGAGAGAGAAAGCACATGTTAAACAGCATAGAATGAATCAACCGACTGACCTAAACATTAAAACGTATGCTAAGATGAAAGGTCGTTTGCTTTATAATGACACGTAAGGATTCTGTAAAAAAACGATAAGAAAGTTTCAGTTTTTATGCATCACCAGTTTATCGTCAATCTAAATTTACGAGTGCGAGTGGAATAACTAGCAGAGAAAGTAAATAAATGTTTGCAGACCAATTAAAAAAATGTTATTTTCAACAAATTAACAATTAACAGAAAGTGGCTCCAGCATGACTGAACAATCATTTTACGTATGCTACAGAAAGTTGGAATTCTTTTCATTAACTCAAACACTTTTTGGCTCGAGTTGTTGACTCATACCTAAGTACTTATATAGATATTTAGCTTGATATTTAGTTTCAAAAACAAAGAACACAAAAAGTTTTTCGTACAAAGTTTAGTAAAATTTTAGAAGCTTTAAATAAACAAAAGAAAGATTCTTTCAAATCTAATCAGTAAAAACTTCCATGAACACAAAAATTCTTTTCAAGATTATAATTTCAACTTTTTAAATTCACATTGTTATGGGAATTATTAAAATAAGGAAAAAAAAGTTTTTGCTTTTTGATATGAAAATGTTGAAACTGCAGTCTTTACTCGTATGGCGTAACTTTTTGGCAGCTTCACAATATTCATTTAATAAAATGTTGAAAAGAAGAAAACAGTTGAATAAAACAATCCAAAAACAATTTGTTTTGACTAAGCAGTAGAATAACAAATGTTTTCCATTAAGATCAATGATCGGACGAAATGAACAGCTGACGACTCTTAATTTTCGCTCTTTGCATCAACTAAATTATTTTTTATTTCTGATTTCATTTTTTTTCGGTTAGACGTGTACGATTAAGTGTTCATTAGCTTCTTATGAAACTTTTGTATACATTGAATGGAAGCATCTCTAATAGATGCTCATGAAATATTAATGAAACGTATTTAGAACTCATCTTTTCACATTATTATGAGCTTTCATCAAATATTTAGAGTGGGTACTAAGTTACTTCTAGATAAAATTAATTTACCGAGTTCTTTTTAACAGCACGACAACGAATTTGAAAAGTTGTTTTGTTCAGGTTTTTGTCTGACTACCTCGTAATTTTATACATTTATGCATAAATCATTAAAATGTAAACATATTTCAACCACGTATTGTGGAACGAAAATTTCCAACTTACTGTAGACTTTTGGTGTTTTCTCATCTTTTTTTCTTACCGACATCATCATTAAGTCAGTCAGACTGAAAAATCTTCATAAGGAAATTGAATTTACAAATATTATAAGACGTGACTCTTGGCGTTGTAAACAGAATTAGCTATCAATACTTTCAAACATTGAAAGCTTCTTCATTTTTGAAGGAATTGTAATGAAAAATTGTTTTTAGATCACTGATGACAAAGCGAGCATTTCCGATGTTTTGCTGAAAAGTGTGCAAAGATGGAATACTTAATTTTGTATTTTTCTCAAGCACTCATTCTACCTGGCAGTTCATAAATATCCTTTTTATGTACAATAAAAATTTTGCATGCATTGAAAATGAGAAAATAAAAATTTTCATCCTTTTTGAAATTTAAAACATGCGAACGTTGCATGCAACGGTGAAATGAAATTTGAATTTCCCGCCAATCTTGTATTCCGAAACAAAAATTTCCCTCATTCCTTGTATTCCTTAAAAAAAGTGTTGTAAACAAAGCGGCGTTTTTAAGAATATTTTGTTCATTTAATGATTTTATTAGTTATTATCTAGTTATCAAAGATTAAAATAGTAGAAATCTTAAAAGTTCATCGAAATGACTTCAACAGAAGCACGACTAATGTAAGTTTCTCATTTTATTCTGTTAAATTATCAAATATTGGTTAAAATTTCATTTCAGTCAATGGAAAAAGTTGTATCAGCTCATATCAGGGACATTCTACAATGAAAATCAAGATGTTATCAAAAAGAAGCTTCTTGAATTGTCCAAAGAGATTGAAATGGGATTGTATGCTTTCAAAAAACCAACTTCAGATTCAAATGGGAGAGTTGAAAAATTATTGAAAGACAAACATCAACAAAAGTTAATTCCATTCACGAAAAAACTGTATCAATTTCTCGATCTTGATGTTAATCAATCTTATGAAATTCTCTGCTATTATCTGGTGAATGAATATCGAGGGTCAGCAAGTTCATTGCAGAATTTTGTTTCCAGCGAGTCTTTAATGATAAAACTTCTCAGCGACATTTGGTTCTATTATGGCCTCGAGAGGATGGTTCTTCTTAAAGTGACAAAATGTATCGTTGAGTTTCACGATTCCAACGATCATCCATATCGCGATGCTTTCAAAGCTGTTATTGAGAAAATTGGATTCAAAGATTTGCTCGTTTCTCACATCAATCAACTTGAAGCGCTCATCAACGACATTCAACATGTAAAATTCCTCGTTGGAGATTATTTCAATAGTCCTCAGAAACTTCAATCATGGTCTGAGCGAAAGCATCGCGAAATGATTGAAGTGCTTCAAATTATTGGCTTGTGTTGTCATTTCGAAAAAATTCAACCAGAAAATGTTGAACGACTTGTGAATTTATTCCGAAATCATTCGTTTGGAAAACAAAATCAATTTCTAAATCCTGCAAATTCTTTACATTCTGATCTCATACAGAAAGTGACGTTTAATGAAGTGTCGTGTTTGATGATCATTTTATCAACGACAAATGTTGAAAGTTTAACATGGATGGAGGAAATAATTAACAAACTTGATGAAACAATCATTGGAATGCATAATTATCCTGAACATGGACCGATTCTCATCTCATGGATGCTCTTTAAATTTGCATCGAAAAGCAATGAAACAACGACGGATCATTTTGCAGTTTATGGAAAGTTAGGATCACGAGCTGTTCAATTGGGAGTCTTTGAATTTCTTTACAACATGCTACAGCACAAAATGTTCAATGACAAAAGTTTATTAGCTAAAAACATCGTTCGATGTTTGTACGATAATTTATCATTTCTCTGTGAACTCTTCAACACAGACGGATCAATTTCTCACCATCCAAAACTGTTTGAACTTTTCAGTGAGATTTTAAAGTCGCCAGAAATTGCGAAAGAATTTTGTAAGACTGAAGAGAATCCAATAAGAAGCATTTTCAACTCAGCTTTAGAGAAATTTCCAGTTGAGTTGACGCCATTTTCATTAATCGTGACGTCGTTAGCTGGTGCAAGTAACATGAGTCATAAATGGATTCTTAATTACGTTCAAAATCTTCCAGTTTACACAGAACAGCCGATCGATCCACTTTATGAATTGAGGAGAGCAGTTGATGACGAAGATGAAGACGCTTACATTTTACTCAATGATTATCAACCATTCAAAAAAATCAACGAGTTTGTCATCGAAACAGGAACGAAAGCGATTGTCAGAGAACAAAAGAATCGAATGTTTGTTCATTTCTTTGTCAACACAAACTATTTTCATGTTTTACACAACGAAATTAATGACATCATGTACAGCTTTCAAAACTTCTCAGCAATCCACGAGTCACAAATAAAAAGATTGGAAGTTGTGCTTAAGTTTCTGTCCACAATCATCAAGAGAATTGACGGACCTGACGACATTACAAACGAAATGATTCATCCAACTGAAATGGTTTTTGATCTTCTTGTGAAATTTATGACATTTCAATCACCACCAATCGATCTCATGGCTATTTGCATTGATGTATGCACGGAACTTTTAAGTTATTTCGGTGATGAAATCACAAGACGATTCATCAATCTGAAAATTGCGCCATCGATCACTTCCCAAAATCTTGATTACAAATCTTATGCAAATGGAACTGGATTTGAATCGGGATTGGTGGGAAACTATTTAATTAACTTTGAGAGACATTCGGGTCGTTACAGTTTCTTGAAAGCTTATCTAATGTTTCTGAAAACTTACACAAAGGTGAGAAGAATTTTCAATTAATTGAAGTACTAGAAGATCGTTGAAGATTTCACTTCTAGTACTTCAATATTCAACCGAATTTTCTTACTTAATTTTTCCTTTTCCCACAGCTTAATGGAGGAAACTCTTGCAATTCGACAAGTGAGGAACAACGAGCACCTTCGCCATCAAGGATTGATCCATCACTTGTTGAACTTCCAGGTCTTATCTTCTTGTTGAGGGAGATTTTTGTTCATGCTAATGGCTGGCATTACGAAAACGAGCAAGATAGGATGGACATCTTTATTCTTGTTCTCGAACATGTTCATGATATTCTCACACTCCCCAAAGACATCATTAAAAGCAATCAGAAGAAACAATTGCTTCGAGATATTTGTGTTTACAGTCTTTTAAACCTCGAGATGTCGGTCGCATTACTCAAACATGTCGCAGTTGGAAATCCAATTCTTCTCTCGAATTTCATTGAAAATGAGTCAAATTGGTTCGCCGCAACTGACTCGAATTTGAATCTTCTCGTGTTGAATGCCATGAAAATTCTCATGCAGATACTGAAACTTAAATACTCGATTGATGATGAGAATGTCGTTCGATTGTCACCACTTGAACAATTTATTTACACACAACCGAAGCAACTTGATACATTGAAAGTTATTCCGATTGTCACAAGTTACACGTCTTATCCATTTAATCGAAGATTTTCCGTTTTTTCATGTCGATTGTTAAGAAGATTTGCTATTGAATTTCATAGCTCGTTGTCAGCTTGCTTAGATCTCGAACCTGATCAAATTCGCATGATGTTTCTTCAACGACTTCGTGATAATCTTGAAAGTGATGATTTGAAGATTGCTGTGCTAGATTTGGTGAATGCTTGTATTGATCGACAACCTGGATTAACCGAAGCATTCTTTAAAGTGACATACGAGCAAGATAATCGCAACAAATTCTTCATCAAACGAACGAAAGAGTCGGAAAATATGTGCGATGGGATTGTAACATACATGGAAGAATATTTAGATGCAATCAAACGAGATCCAACAAAGACGACGGATGAACAACTGAAGAGAATTATGAGTTTGTTTCATGGCCTTTGGAAACAAGGTTTGCAATCTTTAGTGAAAGAATTGGTGAAGAAAGAAAACTTCTGGTCGTCACTTTGCAGTCCATTGCTAACAAATCCAATTGAAAGCTTTCAATATGCTCAACTCTTCAACATTATCGGCATTGAATTGTTCAGAATTCGTGACACAAGCGATGAAGATGAAAAGTTTAAGAAAGTTTTGAATGAATTTTTATCACGCGATGTCTTTAAGCGATGGCTTGATGTGTTGTTTGACTTGCCATCGATGGATTACGATGACGTTTCAATAGTGATGAGTGACACTCCTGAATGGCTTTCACGACTTCAATCATTTAAAGATTTCATCGTTCTGCTACTTCACAAGAAATCTTTCGTTAAGATTCCCAATGAAAGTTACAAACTACTGCTCGACATGTGTCTAGATGCTTTGGTTGATGCATCGGAAAGAGTTGAAAGTGATTTAGATTCACGACAATTTGTTGTGCTTTCTGAAATGTTTTTGATTCTTCTCAACGATCAGAAAGTGAAATACACGAAAACAAGTGAAGAAGACGCGAAATTATTGCAGAAAGTCGAAATGCTGATGAAAACGTTAACGAAATGTTATCATGAATTACATAAACGTGGAAAGCATTCAATTCTTGCGATAGCTATTAAAATAATTGATCTTGAATCGGATGAGATTAAAACGAATGGAAATTTAATTGCTTTAAGTTTCGTGCGGTATAATGTTGAGATTCTTTGTCACGAATTCTTTTTAATTGAAAATCGAACGAACATGACTGAAAGTGAAGATGTTGAAAGGACAAATTCGTTAATTTTGTCAATCAACTTGTTGAAGAAGCTTCTGATGTTGCAAGAGAATGGAGAAATTTCCGGTGATTGGAGTCAGTGGTTTAATCATCATAAAATCTTTAATCGCTTCTTAAGTGCATTGAATGTCATTTGTCAAGATTACAGTCAACGTCTCATCACTGCCGAAATCTTTGATTTACTCGTCACTTTTGCAAAAGGATCTCCTTACAGTAAAGAGTTGATAAATTCCGATCTTGGCGATTATCTGTGGATGAAACTTATTCCACCAAAAGAATTAATCGAAAGAAACTTTGATGCAGTTGAAGTAAAAGACAAAACATGCGAATGGACCCCACAAGAATGGTGGATCATTTATGGAAAAGGAATTCAACTTGTGAAGCTTCTTGTTGAACAACATTCACATTTATTCATTAAAGATGCTTTGTTCTTCATTGGAATCCACGAGGAATATCTCACCGACTGCATTGTGTTGGCGAAAATTTCTCTCGAGCCAAACGCCATCAAATTGATTCGAGTAACGTTGGAACTTTTATCGGAAGTTGTAGGATTTGAAAATGCTTGGAGAATTGATTATTATCAAAGCATCATGACTTTAATGGTGAGTTTAATAAATGTTTGCAAGATGCAATTAATTTTATTAATAATTTCCTTACAGAAATGTGTTCAAAGTTTAATGGAAAATTCAGTTTCGCTACTTCACAGACCAAAAATTCTCAAACGTTTAACAGAAACATCAAAGAAACAATTCGAAGAATATTCTGACACACTTTTGACAGATCCCAATGATGAGTTGGTGAATTCAATGAATGAGTTAATAGAAATCATCACTTTATGTGCCAAATGTTTACTTCAATTCAGTCCAAAGCTAATTAATCTTCTTTGTGATGTTGAATTTGTCAATAAATGGACGCCGTTCATTGAAGTTCAATTTGGGGCACCGAAAATCAATTCAGAATCAATTCAACAACTTTCATTTGCAACAATTTTAAGTGCGATTGGAGTTTTCGTGAAAGCTTTAAATCTTCAACATTTTGTGTTCAAACAAATTCCAATTAATCAAATTCCAAATGAACAGGAAGTTGATGGATCGGAAACAGTCTCAATGGCGACATTCAATGAATCGATGCATCAACGTGCACTAGGTTTGCCTCCATCATCGCCAATCTCATCGCCTTTAAGCCCACGACGTCCATTCTCGAAGTCACTTTCAATGACTTCAGCTTCATCGTCAATCGTTCAAGCATCGAATGAACTTTTATCTCATCTCGATTCAAAGATTTGCTTCGCAGCTTTGGAATATGTTTTAACACTTTTGGCATCACAAAGTTTATTGTTGTTGAAGAGTCAAAGTGTGTCGAGTCGTGAAAAGCAATTAATTCGTCGTGAATTATCAAATGAACTTTACATCTTTCATGATTTCGTGAAGAAGAAGATTTTCAAGGATTTCAATAAAATGCTGCATCGACAGAAATTGGGAGCATTTCAAGTCATAAATAAAGTTGATGACGATGATGATCAAGACCAGCCCGGACCGTCACGATTGTCAACTTCACAACGAAGAAGTCATGATTTGCGTGTAAATGTCGTGAGAAAACTTCATCTTCAACAAAAGGCTTCTCTTGACATTCCAACAAGTTTTTCACCAATTTTGCATGCTGGCACGTCGAAACATGTGCCCATTGACAGCCCCCCGTTAAGATCAGCAGGAAATCCAACCACAAGCACAACAATGAAACGCGTTGGTTTCGATTTAAGCTCAACAGGAAGTAAAGTAATGATGGAAGAAGATGATGAGCCCTATGTTGTTAATCGTGCTGATCCATCGTTCACTGGGCTTTCTCATGTTAAGATGGTGGAAGAAGATTACATTCATCTCTTATCTAACTTGTTTATGTTCATTTGTCAAGCTGAAAATTAATTGAAATCGTAATAAATATTGAAATTTCTTTCCATCAATTTTTCTTTATTTATTGTCTTTTCTTTTATATGATTAATGATAAGCTATTTGTAACAAGGAGTTATTGTGAGAATGCCAGAAAATTCCGGAGAACAAAATTGCGGCAGATAAGTTCTACTTCAATTACTTCTTTGTAAGAGCGGCAAAACTGCAATGAAAGCTTTTGCATTTGAAGGTGTCGATGGTACACGCAAATACAAAAGCCTTCATTGCAGTTTCGCCGCTCTTACAAAGAAATAATTGAAGTAGAACTTATCTGCCGCAATTTTGTTCTACGGAATTTTCTGGCATTCTCAATGATTACACTTGTTACGTGTTTCAAAACGGTTTAAAAACAGAGAAGAATTTTGAGCTTTTACATTTGAAAGAATATTTAGAAAGGTTCATTCTAGACTTGATGATGCTGTCTGATGAAATGTTTGAGAATTTTCCAGAACTTTAAGNAAATCGTAATAAATATTGAAATTTCTTTCCATCAATTTTTCTTTATTTATTGTCTTTTCTTTTATATGATTAATGATAAGCTATTTGTAACAAGAAGGAGTTATTGTCGATGATTTTCACAAATTGTCATCTCGAATATGAACGTCATTAATATTACGTAAACTTTTAACTTATGATAATTTACGTACGTAAATTTTTAACTTCCAAGTGAAGCTTACGTAAGTGACGACAATTTGCGCCCTTTAATGATGAATAATTTCGAGATAAACAATCAATTTAAATTATTTAAACAGATATAGATTTAAGCTTCTTTAATTGAACTTTTCACTAGCCTCACTTGGTGGAACCGGACTTGATGATTCTGATTTATCGTATAAGCTGTCGGCTGATGGTGCTTTCTTTAATGGATCCCCCTGTTGAATTATTTTTTATTTAATTATATTATATAATCTTTAGTTATTTTATCTTACAACTTGATCCAATGAAAAAGTTGACGAATCTTTTGTCGCATCAATTTTCTCACCATTATTCATACTTTGTTCTTCGAATGATCGCAAATATTCAGCAAGCTTGTCATGTCCAAATGTTTCAGCTTCGTCGAATGGCGTGTTACCCCATCGATCTTTTGGATTACATGGAACATGACAATGCTCTAGCAAAAATTGTACACAATCGAAATGACCCTCAGCAGCTGCAAGATGAAGTGCTGTTCGACCATCATAATCACTGTGAAAATTATTTTCACATTGAAATTGAATTCAAATTGGATTGAAAAAAATATTCACCTTAATGTGATGTCCATTCCTGAAAGTTTGTGTCGTCTCAAAGCTGTGACATCACCAGAAGCAGCTGAGAAAAGAAGATTAACAATTGATAGGCCTTTAGTTTCATATCGATGTCGTCTTGGATCTTTTTTATTCGTTGCATGTTTCAGATTATCGTAGCGATGGAAGTTGAAAACTTGCAGCAATTCTTCACAAAATTGAACTCCACGAACTGAGTTTCCACATGGATCCAATGGTGGACTCCATGTGAAGATTCCGGCGACGTTAGGAACAACTAAAAGAATTCCACCACACACTCCTGATTTTGCTGGTAAACCAACTTTGAATGCAAATTGTCCCGAGTAATCGTACATTCCACATGAGTGCATCAACGATAAAACATCACGAACAACTTCAGGACGGAATACTTTTTCATCAGTTATTGGACAAATTCCACCATTTGCGAGTGTTGCTGCCACGACGCTCATCGAGTCAGCGCAAGTCTCCATCGAACAAATCTGTAATCAAAATCATTCAATTAACATCAAAGTGATAATGAATTTGATCTTGATAAATTCGCACTCACTTGAAAGTAGAAATCCAAACATTCTCTAAGATTAGTTTTTTCTGGAAATACTTTGTGTTCTCTCATATAGAATCCAAGTGCATAGTTTCGATCAGCAGCTTCACGTTCCGAAAGAAAAACTGAATTATTGAATCCAAAATTTTCACCACCCGCCATTTTTTGAAACCAATTTTGTGTGTAATCAAATTTTTCTGCCAAAGTTATTTCTGGTTTAACGAGGGTTTTAAGAAGTGAACAAACAAGAATTGCACCAGCATTAATCATGGGATTGTGAGGTTGTTCTATGTAAGGAATTGAACGAGTTAATTAAATTATTTATTTGAAGATTTTTATTCTTACTGTTGTGGTCTAAGACAAGCTCGTTGAAATTTCTTCCACTTGGTTCTTGACCAACATATTGATGAACAACTTTCTGCGTTAGCTTCTCTAACGCCACAGCATATGTCAAAGGTTTACTGCAACTTTGAAGAGTAAAAGGAACGTGAACGTCACCGATAGAGAATCTTTGACCATCGACAGTACAAACAGCAACTCCCCAATAATCAGGATTTACTCGTGCAAGTTGTGGAATGTACGACGCAACTTTACCGTCAGTATTGCTCTTGCATTTCCAATAAATTTCTTCAATGTCCTTTGTGAATCCAAGAAAATCAGGAACGACAAATTGATGACGAAATGCACGAGCGATAAGAACAATGTTCGGTTCAATGACACTTTAAAATTATTTAAAACAATTTTCAATTTTAATTCAATGAAAAAAGATTTTAATCTTACGCTTTGAAGGTTTCACGATTGAGGTTCTGAGTTTCTGGTGATCCACCTTCGTAGTTATTTGTTTTATGAACTTTCCTCAAATTTTCCATTAATTCATTTATCCTCGGATCAGTTCGTCGAATGCCAGTTGTTCTTAAAGCTGCCAAAAATTTTCCCATGGCCAGAAGTCCCGTCGTTTCATTGCAAAACATATCAAACAGAACATCCTCGACATTCTTCTGATCAACTTCACGTTGGCTGTGAACGAGAAGGAAAAAAAAATTTATCAGATTGGAATGCAAATGGATGTGACTTTGATTTTATCTTAAACTTGACTCACTCATCGCAAAAGTTCCGCTGATTAGTTTGTCTTGAGTGATTTGTGTGTTTTTATTAATTGTGTTAAAGTGAAAATGAAAAGAATGTGATGGACTTTTGTTAGATATTAAGAGATATTGAAACATAAAAGATGAATGATGATCATGAGAAGAAATAAAATGACTGAATTCGATAGGAAATTCTACCTCATAAATCTCGCCAATAATTTCGCGAAATGATCCTTCTGAACATTTGAAATTTGTTCTTGTTTTGTGTCAACCATTTCAACTTTTTTTTATCTTCTTATTTTTATAAATTAATAAAACTTCTTTTTTCCAATCACAACCTTCTTCAATCAACCGTGAACATCTTATGAATCGTTTGTGGAAATTGTTCCAATCTTTTCTACCTTATAAAGAATTTAAATCTTTGGGGGGCTTGTTTAACACTTGTGAGTGACGTCAAGACGAGTATATTTTATGTCAATTTCAAGTCATATGAAATAAAATATTTTGTAGTATTTTTATACTCATTAATTTGTATGTATCCACAAAGACTTGAGATCAGAATCAGATGTTTATAACTTAACTTATAAATAAAGTTTGAAAATATTGTCTGAACAAATTAGTGTTGAAGATCTGGAAATGGGCATATCATCTCGTATTTATTTACAAAACTTAAAATCAGAGAATAATTCTTCAAATGTTACACGGGAAAGGGAATTTAACATCTTTGAATTGGGTACACGAGTTTCAGTCAGTTTATTGTTTAGGTTTTTTTTCTATTCGAAGGTGATGTTAACTGTAATTTGTTTAGAATGTAATGGAAGGAAAGGGAAATTACTCACACATCAGGTTCAGATCTATCGTAAAATCTTACACGCTTTGAGTAATTTTTTAGTGACGCAACGAAAGATTCGGTCGATGTCTAAAAATATTCATCAATTGATTAATGTTTAAGGAAATAAATAAAATTTTCACCTTTCTGAATTGGTGTGATGAAGTTGGATGACCTTTTGGTTCATTTTTAAAGAATTTTTCATCGTCACTTTGTACTTTTGTGAAGGTGAAAAGTGATGAAACTTTGGAATTCCATTGGGTTGGTTGAATTAAACTCCTAGCAAGATTACTTAATTTATTTAAATGCATTTTGGTGCGATGATTTTCTCATCTAATTGACCCTTTTTTCACAACTAAACTAAATTTATTATTAAATATTTCACAATTTTATGTTGCTTGGATATTATCGATTCAAAGGATTTTCTCTTATTGAGCATAGAAAAATGAGAGAGCGAAAAATTCGGAAAAACTCTCTCTGAGATTATTTAAAAGAAAATGTAAACAGAGAGCTTTTTGAAGAAGAAGAAGAAGCACATGAAGGTTGAAAAAAATTAACATTGTTGAAGATTGTTTATTAACGACTATTACAATACTCTCATAAAATAACTCAAGTCATGCTTAAAACATAAAAGTTTTTATTTCTCCTATATTTATTCTCGTAATAAAATTTACTGTGTTCTTTACATTGATTATCATCGTTATCATTAAATTATTACTGATTTTGGGCAATTATATCTTGTTCTGAAGTAGATTTGTCCATTATTTGGTCTGCTCTTGTCTTGGATATCGCAGGTGATGAAAGTAATCCAATTATTTGGCAATCAGCTTCTAAAATTGTGAGATCTTTGTTCGATCCTAAGAACCTTGTAGACAATTCTAATTCTTTAACGCGTAGTTTAACGCGAGCACCGCGAACATAAGCACTGGAAATGGCAGAAAATTAAAATGTGAACGATCTAAAAATTAAATTTGCTCACCTGGAATTTTTAGACGGTCGAGTACAAACACAATGGAATTTCCAGCCAAAGTCAATGTATAAATCATCATCTACGACATGAAATATTTTTCCTACTACGACTTTATTCTGTGGATCTCCAAGCTAGAATAGTGAAAATTAAGAATTTAAAATTTCTAAATATTTTTTTAATATTTACATCGATGAAATTAGAATTCCTAAGAAGTGTTGCAAAAGGAAGGTCAGGTAGTTTTTCTTCTTTGATTTCTTCCGGTTGTGAGAATTTTTCAAAAGCTTTTGCAAATCCACTTATTTTCTTATCCTCAGCGGCATGTTCTTGATTTTCGTTTTTTTCAATTTTCTCACAGAATTTTCTGTTAATATTTGTTGAGCTTATTATCCTTTGATAGCGTGATAGCTGTTGAATATTTCTGGTATACAATCGAAGCATAATTATATGTTCTAATGTAATTATTTTTAAAATTATAAATTTTGCTTTATTTGTTTTGTTTTGTGAAAAAATATTTCAATTCGCTTTGCATCATTTTAAGTAAAAATTCAAATTTTTATTAACCGTTACAAAATCAAAATTTATTGAAAATTTTAGTAAAATTGTGATGTTAATTCAATTTAATCAAATCTTCTTTGCTGTTTAATTATTTTTGCTGAAATATTTGATAGCATCTTCTGGATTTGGGATGATTGTTGGAGATCCACTCTTCCATCCAGCTGGACAAACTTCTCCGTGTGTGTCAGTATATTGGAAAGCTTGCACCAATCTATGAATAATAAATGAAAATTAAATGAAAATCAATGAATTTTATTAAATACCTTAATGTTTCATCAACGGATCGTCCAACTGGTAAGTCATTCATTGTAATTTGTCTCAAAACACCTTTTCCATCAATGATGAAAAGTCCTCGCAATGTATGTCCCAAATCTTCCAAATAAACTCCATAATCCTTTGAAATCTTATGATTAAGATCACTTAGAAGAGGAATATTAATATTTCCGAGTCCACCAGCCTTTCTATCAGTTTTAATCCACGATAAATGAGTGAAATGAGAATCTACAGAGGCAGCAATAACTTCTGTGTTAATATTTCTGAACTCTTCAATTCTATCAGAGAATGCAAGAATCTCAGTTGGACAAACGAATGTAAAATCGAGAGGATAAAAAAAGAATACGACATATTTGCCAATATAATCACGAAGCGAAATTGTCTTAAATTCTCCATTAACGACTGCGGTGCCTTCGAAAATTGGTGCAGGTTTTGAAATTACGGCCTTGGTATATTGAAGATTATGTTCGACAAGATTCGTAGACTTGTCAGTTGGGTATACGTCTAAAAATTGTAAATTTTCATTATCAGTAAGATCAATGTTTTGATAAGAATTTTGCCTTTCGGTGCTGCAAAGCATGAACCGTCCTCAAATGCATTGACATTTAGGACAGCTAGAAAAACCAGCATAACCATACAAAGCATTTCCTTCATAGCAGCTTCTGAAAGGATTAAGATATTGGATAAATAACAAAATATTTATACGCCGGTCATGCTCAACAACGTATGCCAACTCAACAAAGCTTTTATCCACTTTTCCACTGTTTTCTGCACTCATTTGATATCAAAATAACATCATAATACTTACTTTTATCTATTTCTTGATTTAGAAGCTAAGAGAGATCAAGTGTTTCAATAAAAACCTTTAAAAAACAAGAAGAATTGTGAAATGATAGTTTTTGTCTGGTATTCAGCGTAATCTGAGAAACATTTCAGCATGATCCGCAATCTGAGAGCGAATTCGCCGCGGATCTTCTCAAATAAATAAATTTTATTGTATTTAAATTATTCATTCAAAGTTAATCATTCCTCAATTAAGCAACAAAAGATTATTTTGAGAAATTTGAATCTCAAGTGAGATAAAGTACAAGATTTGTTGAGTGTCATTTTAGAGATTATCGAATAAAGTTTGTGATCTTTACGATCGCCGGTTAATTTCTTTCATTGATTTAACTAAGGTAATGAACAACAATGATTCTGAAAATATTCGAAATACTTTGCTAAGGCAATGACCTTAACAATAATAAGCTCAATTATTGAACAGTGGAATAAAAACACTTGTTGATTCGTAAACATGTGCTTACTGTTTATTTTTTTCTTCTTTTGACGCATTTCTTATCTCTTCTCCAATAAACAGATTGTCATAACCTTTCACCTTTTATTCTTTCTATCTAGAGTCTTTCAACTCAGTATATCGTGATGGCATCAGGATTGCTAGCTTTATTGAGTGTCAGCGATAAATCCGGTTTAGTTGATTTCGCAAAAGGACTTCAGAGTTTGGGATTGAAACTTACAGCGAGTGGTGGAACATCAAAAGCAATTAAAGATGCAGGTTTAACTTGTTTGGATGTCTCACAAATAACAGGAGCACCGGAAATGTTGGGTGGGAGAGTTAAAACTCTTCATCCAGCTGTTCATGCTGGAATTCTTTCAAGATTCATCGAATCTGATGTTGCAGACATGGAACGAATGAAATATGAATTTATTCAAATTGTTGTTTGTAATCTTTATCCATTTTCTTCAACAATTGCAAAAGAAAATGTAACAACTGATGATGCTATCGAAAATATTGACATCGGTGGTGTAACTTTACTTCGTGCTGCAGCAAAGAATTACTCAAGAGTCACCGTCATTTGTGATCCAAATGATTACGACATGGTTTTGGGAGAGCTTCGTCAATTTGGAGATACTCAAGATACAACCAGACAATCACTTGCACTCAAGGCATTCACTCATACAGCTGAATATGATTCTTGCATCTCTAATTACTACCGCAAGCAATTTTCATCTGGTAAATCGCAGCTAACACTTCGTTACGGAATGAATCCACATCAAAAACCAGCTCAGATCTTCACAAAACTTGATAAACTTCCATTGAAAGTGTTAAATGGATCTCCAGGCTTCATCAATTTATGTGACGCTTTAAATGCTTGGCAGTTGGTGAAGGAATTGAAGAGAAGTCTTAAACTTCCTGCAGCTACAAGTTTCAAGCATGTTTCACCAGCTGGTGCTGCTGTTGCTACTCCTTTGTCGAAAGTTCAAGCAGCTGTTTGTATGGTTGATGATCTTTACAATGATTTAACGCCTTTAGCGATTGCTTATGCGAGAGCTCGTGGAGCTGATCGAATGTCGTCATTCGGTGATTTCATTGCACTTTCTGACGTTTGTGATGTCATCACAGCGAAGATTATTTCCAGAGAAGTCTCAGATGGAATTGTTGCGCCTGGATACAATCCTGAAGCTCTTGAAATTTTAAAGAAGAAGAAAAATGGAAGTTATTGTGTTTTGCAAATCGATTCGAATTACGAACCAAATGAAATTGAATCAAGAACATTGTTTGGTCTTCATTTGGAACAGAAACGAAATGACGCTGAAATAAATGTTGATACGTTCAAAAATGTTGTGACAAGCAATAAAGATCTTTCATCAGCTATCAATGATTTAATTATCGCTCAAATAGCATTGAAATATACACAGAGTAATTCTGTTTGTTATGCAAAAGATGGACAAGTGATTGGCATTGGTGCTGGTCAACAATCGCGTATTCACTGCACGAGATTGGCTGGTGAGAAGGCAAATAATTGGTGGCTTCGTCAACATCCTCGTGTTCTTTCACTTGAGTTTAAGAAAGGTGTGAAGAGAGCTGAAATTTCAAATGCGATTGATAACTTCGTTAATGGAACTGTTGGACAAGACATGCCAGTTGAACAATTTAATTCAATGTTCGAGAAGGTTCCAGCAGCTTTAACTGACGATGAGAAGAAGGAATGGATTCATAAATTGTCTGGCGTTTCTCTTGGTTCTGACGCTTTCTTCCCCTTCCGTGACAATGTCGATCGTGCTCGATTAGTAAAGATATTAATATTTGTTGATTTACATTTTTTTAATTTATTTTTATCTTAGAGCGGAGTTTCATTTATTGGCGCTCCTGGTGGAAGTACAAATGATCAAGGTGTTATCGATGCATGTAATGAACATGGAATTGTTATGGCGCATACACCGTATCGTCTGTTCCATCATTAATCTCTTAGCAATATACCTAATTGCATTTGAATTTTATCAATAAAAGTTGAATTTTTACGTAATAATTTTTAACGAATATTTAAATTTTAAATTCAATTCGCTCGATTTCATTTGAATTCGCTTTGAAGTTTAATCTTTCAGAGTCGTGAATTATCAAAAAAATAATAAAACATGCCGGAAATTCAAGAAAAAGTCAAGGAAAAAGAAGAGGAAAAGTTAGAAAAGTCTCAGAAAAAGTTAAAACAGTTTCGGAATAAGATTGTCATTCGTAAATTACCACCAAATTTGACATTGGAATCTTTTCTTGAAATTGTTGACGTGAAACTGGATGATGCGTCGATTGTTGATTTTTATTTTGTACCTGCTGATTGGAGTCTTGGAGCTGAAGCAACAACAAGAGCTTATATAGAGTTTAAAAATGAGTCTGATGTAAGTTTTGGAAATAATTTGACTTGAATAAGAAATAAATTGTAAACATTTTCAGATTTTCGATTTCACTACAAGATTTGATGGCTACGTGTTTGTTGACAACCTTCGTGGCTCTGAATATCCAGCCATTGTTGAATATGCACCGTTTCAAGGACTTGTAAAGTCTCGCGCAAGAAAAAGAGATAAACATGTGGGAACAATTGAAAATGAACAACATTTTATAAACTTCCTGGATCTCTTGAAGAAAACTGAAGAAGCAGAAAATCAGAAGACTGAAGTTAAAGTCGAATACAGTTATCAAATAAAAGACGACAAAAAGATCACTTCAACACCATTGATTGAATATTTAGCAGCCAAAAATCAAGAGAAACGCGATGCAAAGGTAAATTGATGAATTTTCTTTAAATTGAATTGAAAATCCTAACAATTTTCATATTTACAGCGTAAAAAAGTCGAAGAAAGGAAAAAGCAACGAGAAGACGAGAAGCAGAAAATAAAAATTCAAATAGCTAAAACCTGGTTAATTCCTGAACCAATAAAGGAATCAAAGGAAGAAGTTGTTTATGATGATGGCGTCGTGGTTCGAACAGTTCCATCGCGTTTAGGTCGAAATGATCGTAGAAAGGAATTAAAAGAAGCAAATATGGAAACAAAAACTGAGATAAATAAGAATGAAAAGGATAAAGATCGTCGTGATAAACGCGATAGAGATGGAACTTCACCAAATTATCGACGTAAACCACGCGGGAAAAAGAAGAAAAATAAAGATGAAGAAATTCAACAAAAGCCAAAAGAAACTGAGACAATACAAGAACCTTCATCTAGTTATGCTGATAAGAAGCCAGCAAGAGTTGAGAAAAAAGTGAAAGAGCCAGCCAAAAAACCCGGCGACACAAAACGTTACAGTGTGTTGAGAAAAGCTCGTCAAGAGAAGGAAAATGAAGCAGGAGCCGTTGGTGGTGAGAAGGAAGATGAAGAAACAATGCAGGAAACAGATAAAAATGTTGATCAAGACAAAGAAATGAACGAAGCTGCTGCTGATGTAAAATCATCAAAAGCCAGCATCGATAGCGACGAAGCTCAGTCATCAAAAGTTCGGGAACAGAAAACTGATGAACGTGCTCAACGTCAGATCAGAAATAAAGATCGTCCATCACTGCAACGTTATCGACCACAGCCTAGAGAAACGAGAAAACAAAGAAAGGAAAGAAAACGTCAGATTGTTGAGATGTTTGAAAGAAATGAGAAGACACTCGAAAAAGAAAATGAGGAAAAAGGTTATCAAAATTTTGACCAATTTATGAAATTATTGCATTCATCAAACGATGAACAAAATGTTCACGATGATAATGATGATCGTTCCAGCAATAGCACTGAAAATAGAAAACTTTCTTTAAAGGATGATGAAACTTCTCGCGTATCTGAAGATGCTTTGAAAGAAGATTAAAAAATTAAACTTTTAATAAATTTCTTTATTCATCAATGGCAAATTAGTTTTTGTTTCATTATGTTTTTTTACGAGATTTCTTTGGCTGATAGAGGAAAACAAAAGATTTTTGAATTTTAAAAATTCGTCATCATAAATTTTAAGGGTTTTGAATAAAAAATTGCAAAAAATCATTGAAAAAATGTCAATTTTCTAATAATTCTTTCATCATCAATTCCACCATCATTTTGAGTATCAGTTCCTAATCTAAACTTCCGATCGCTTAATAAGTAATTTCTCTGGACTTGTGTTAATATTTTCTTCAGCCGCTTCAGCAACTTCAACTTTCTTTGCAACTTTCATATGTTGATTGTTAAGCTTCTTTGATTTTCTATTCATTTGACGGACATTTCTTCGATGAAGACAATAAAGACAACTGATGAAGAAGACAAGAAATCCAACAACACCACCAGCGATAATTCCCCAAGTAAGTTGAGCTTTCTTATGTTCAATCACTTCTCGTCTGATACTCAAACATTCTTGATAGTCTTTTGTCTCAGCAAATGTTACATTAACGTCAAATTTGCATTCTAAAATGTTTGATTAAATATAAATTAAAGATTAAATTAATAATTGCTTACCTGATGACATAGCATCGCAATAGAAAGATGACAGCAGATAAACTTCGCGTTTTTGATAAAGAAATCTTGTGACTTCTTCGCATCGGCATTTTGCCATCGACGTGTTGTTCAAGTCAACTTCTTTGATGTTACAGAATGGAGAAAACTGTTGTGGTGCTAAATCACGCATTGGATTTGATGAGACGTTTAACTTGTAAAGTTCAGGAAGTATTCCAAAGTCTGGAATTTTATACAATCGATTGTTGGCAATGCTGAGAACTTTGAGTGGTGCCATGATAGGTTTGCGAATTTTCTCCAATGTTTCGAATCCACGATCGCCAAAGGAATTGTCAGCAAGGTAAAGATTTCTAAGTAAAGGTAAATTGAATATTTCTGGCGGCACATCAAGCAAACCATTTCCAGACAAATCTAAAGCCTCAAGATTTGTTAGCATCGCAAATGTATCGTCTTCAATTCTATTAATCATGTTATCAAAAATGTACAAAAATTTCAAATCGTCAAGTGCAGCAAACGACTCGCGAGTAAGTTCTCGAATTCTGTTTTGTGACAAATCTAAAACCTTTAAAAGCAAATGAGAATAAAAATACAGAAAATAAATAAATCGTGTGTAAAAGATCGGCAAGAGTAACTCCAAAACGGTTGAAGTCGTTGTTCCAACCAATTTAGATTAATTAATATCAATTTAGTTGGGGAAACAACTGCTCGGATATTGCCTCAAATGTCAATGCGTGGATAGTTAAATGAAGAACTTTTTTTGCATTTTAAAAGCAGCTGCATTGAAATGATTCAGAGAAGTTCTTAAATGATGACAAGTTTTAGTGATTAAAAATAGCACAAACCTCTGTCGATGATTTCAAATATTTGGGAACGTCACGTAGTTCAAGTTTAGCGCAATTATATCCAACCATTCGATGAGCACGTTCCATGATACAATATTTTGGCGGTTTATTTAAGTCCGCAAGTCCCAAGCATGACTTTGTCGTTAGACTGATAACAGCAAACAATATCCAAATACTGAATTGATTCATTGCTATGAATCTGCGAAGAGAATCAATTAAGAATTTAAATTAAATATTCAGATTTACAACAATATTTGTAAGAAGTTAAAAAACAAAATCAAATCGTTTTTTATCAATTACGAACAAAAGTAATGTCACGAAGGTCGTAAGTTCTTCCAGAAGTTTGATAAGTTGTGATGAATTTGAAACTTCAGAGATCGTTGGGAACACGATGCGCTTTATTTATGTTTAAGCGTCATGTTGACTGAAAGTCGACTATTAGGAATTCATAGTTGAAATACTATCAGCATCGTGTTACAATCCATTGAAAACTCTTAAGTTTGAATGAAAGAAATGAGTTGGAATGATAAACATCGGTGGAACTGATCGAGTTTCAAGCGATCATCCGCCATTGGGACTGAATCATCATCGTAAATTATCTTAATTTAATTAATCAAACTCAACATGATTCACCTGCTTCATTGAAAATTGTTTATCTGAAAGTTCTTTTGTCATACTAATCAATTGCACAACTTCAAGTGACCTATTAGAAAAACAAAAAATCTTTTTGTTCATTTGTTATGGAAATGCATTTTACGATGATCCATAAATGAGTTGAAATAGATCAATCGATGAAGCTACTGGGATCGTCATTCGATAATTTGATTATATGATTCAACAATGAAAGGTTGGAGTTTATCATGCGACACATGTTTGTTTGTCAGTGACGTTTCTTTCTATTCATCACCCACGACACGAGAGAAATAAAGAAGAGAAAATTATAAAAAAATATTGATAAAGACAATTGTCGCGTGCAATGATCCAATTCCAAATCATTGACATTTCAAGTTGATTGATCTTCAGAAATCTTTTAGATCTGACTTTTTAAAGTTGGCGAAACCGAAACCGCAGAAAATTTACCGAAAAACTGTTCTGATAGAAGTTTCTCTCCCATGCCCTTGATTAAATATTTCAAGTCGAATTTCTCGCTGCAATTTATATTTTTTTCTCGCTTAATTTTCCAATTGATTTAGCGGTGTTTTATTAGAAAATTTATTGGCAGTCGTTGAATCTTAAATTATTGGCTTCTATTGTTTGTAATTTGATGCCTTTCGGCAGTTACTTCGAGAGATGACAGCGATGAGAATTCATATTTCAAACATTAAAGTCTACACAGCCGCACAAAGATAATTGAAATAAATTTATGATGCAAGTTTAAAATGAAACTTATGTTTCCATTTTTCTTTTTCCTCTCTCATCATCATGTGGCTGAGATTGTTGCGCATCCGAATAGTTTGAGAAAAGGAATGTTTGAAAGGATTCAACATAAACAAATTATAAATATTTCCACAAATGCCCTTTGCTATGATTCTAAACAAACAAATTCATGGAAACATAAATTTGTAGCAATGCTAACAGTTGAGGGTCATAAAATATTTTATGCTGATGTTGTTAATGCTAAAATAATAGCCAAAAACTATTTCTTAGAAATCGTTTTGTCTTTCCTAATTACAAATAGTTAAGCAAACAATTAATAGCAATTTGGGGCAGTCATTAACAAAAACTGTAGTTTTACTTACATGAATTTTTATTTCCTGATGATTTCTCAAATTTATGAATAAATTATTCCAAAGTATTTTGTGAATTTATCGATCACGATTTTGAGTCACTGTTCATTGAACGTTGGAATGATTTCTTTTTCTCTGTTCTTATTGTGATGAGAAAATATCAGCTTCTCGTTAATGAATTGTATCAATTTAACTTATATTTCAATTAGATCATTTATTTATTTATTTATTTTTTGTTGCTTATTTCACCGTTTATAGTGTCGGGAGAAAAATTTTTCTTATGGGCCGACTGTGTGTAAATATTTTTTCTTCTCTTATCAACGAAGACAATTGTTTTTATCACAAATTTTCGCAAGTATTTGTCACATTTTAGTCATCAAAATTATTTTAAGGAAACTTTAATTTTGTTTTCATTTGGAAGAAATCTAAGTCACAACTCCACAATTTTCTTATTTAAATTCACTTCCTTTAATTAACTTCAAAAATTATTCTCTCAAAATTATTTTCCATCAATTCATTCGAGAAAAGATAAAGAACTAAAGTGATAGTGATCCGACAACGTCAAGAGACGAATTTCGATTGATTAAGAAAACTGTTACACATTTCGAAAAAAAAAAGTTGTGAAGAATTAAACTTAATTGAATGCATTTGTGGTTGTGACTTGTGAGTTAATTTTTTCTCTCTTTTTTCCTCATGTATGTGGCGCTCAATAGAACGAAGTTCACGGTGACTTACTGATGAGTGAACTTATGCATCTTTACAAACAGATTTTTTATGTTTAATGCAGATATCATTTATTTATGTTGAGATATTTAAAGCATGAGGAGATTTTCGATCATCCCTCTCTCTTTCTCATACACCCACACAATTACAAATAATACGAGAAAAAAAGCTCTCAGTAAGCTTTCAAAGCTTTTCATTTTTTTTATTAAGAATCATAAAATGAAATCGACATAAATCACATGAAATATGTTGCGGCATATCCAGAAAAATATTTAGAGTAATCAATTTATGATCGATAACCTAATTTGTTCAAACCGTTTGAACTAAAAACATTTTTAAATGACGCAATGTCAAATTTGATGTTAAGAACATTACAAAAAAATTGATAATGAAAAAGATAAGAAATATTTTTCCCGTTTAATAAGATTTCATGGATTTTTCGAAGAGTTTTGCTAAATCTTCTTTTGTTTGTCCTCTTGGTGCCATTTTATTGACACGTTCTTGTGGTAATGTTCCGTCCACAAGTTTGCCAATATCAGAAGTTGTGAAATCCAACGATTCCAATCCATTCTCAATGTTTAAGTCAGACATGTAGCTTCGAATAACATCAGCAAGAATAATTCCGGCATCTGCTTTCTTTGCATTTGTAATGTCAGCTCCCAAAATTTCAGCAGCTTCAAGATGTCGTTCAGGGCAAGATGACCCAAGAAATTCAAAAACAGCTGGAGCAGTCAACACAACTGACAATCCATGAGGAATAATTGGATGATCGTCGCCATAACCATCAGGTACAAATTTTCGAACGAGGCCAGAAATCGCGTAAGACAATCCGTGACATAAATGAACTCCAGCGTTACCAAATCCAACGCCAGCAATCACTGATGTCAAATGCATCTTTCCACGTGCTTCCAAATCGTCTTGATTTTTCACAGCTCGTTTGAAATTATTTTTAATCGTTTGTAAAGCATAACGAGCCCAAACATCAGAAATTGGATTTGCGCCTTGATAAGGTGGACGAAGTTTTGGATTTGCTGGTGCTGGCCGTTCAGTGTATTGAATGGCAGTGAAACTCTCCAACGCATGACAAAAAACATCAAAGCCCGAATAAGTTGCGACCTTTTCAGGCATCGTCAAGGTGTGCAGTGGATCGACCAATGCCATTGTTGGCTTCAAAGCTTTGTAAGCGATTCCAGTTTTGACCTTTAATGTTTTATAGTCAAAAATGGCCATTCCAGTAGCTTCACTGCCACTTCCAGACGTCGATGGAAGAGCAATGAAAGGTTTGAGTTTCACCTTCAGTTCCTTTGCTTTGCCAATCGGAGCATTGACGTAATCTAAGAATTCAGCTTCAGGATCGTTGGCATATAAATTTGCCACTTTACAAGTGTCAATTGTGGAGCCTCCGCCAATAGCGACGTAGCCATCAAAGCTTCTTGCTCGAGAATATTCAATCACTTCTCGAAAACTTGCCTCTGTCGGTTCAACTCGAACTTTATCATAAACTTCGTAATTGATTTTCTCTTTTGATAACGAATCGAAGGCAGTTCTCACGGAAGGGAAATTGACGAGGTTCTTATCAACAACTAAGCAAACATTCTTCAAATTCATGTTCTTTAAATCCATTCCAAGTTCCTTCGACACTCCTGGACCAAATCTTATAGCTGAACTCGACATTTCAAAAGCAGTTTCTTTACTTGATGAAGCTTCAAGGCCATAGGAATGTGATGGACATTTACATCTAAGTTTAAGTAATTTTAAGCATTAATTGTGATTACTTGAACATTTCTTCATACTCACGATGCACTTGTCAATGCTAACATCAAATCCAAAGCCCTTTTCCTTTGAATCATCTTGAAATTTCTTGTAAAAATAAAAATTTTTGTAACATTCGATTCAAAACAAAACAAAATAGTAAATGATAAGAAATATTTTTACGTCGTCTTGAATTAAAGACTCACACATGCGCAGATACTTGTAAAGATTTCAAAAACACTCGAGATTGAAGCTTGAAATCGAGATAAACTGCCACAGAATAAAAATCATCTGAAAAATTTTAAAAGAAAAATAAAAATTGTTTTTCCAGTTTTTCATTTTATTTCTTTTCTTTTTATTAATAATTTTTCACAAAAAGAAATTTTTGATTCAGTTATGATTTTGATTGTTGTTGAATAACTTTCTTCATCCACATTTAAGACAAACTCAATACCAAAATTTATGAAATTTTGCATAATAATAATTAATACAGAATTTTTAAATGATTTATTTTCCACCAAATTTCTTTTTATTTTCCATTGCCAGGACTAGTGAATACCTAAGCGACATTTTAATTATTTTTGTTTTCGTATTCAATTGTAAAAGATAATAAAGAAAAGAAAACTGGATCGAATATTTATTTAGTTGATAATCAAACTCTCATTTACCGGCAAAAGAATTGTGAAAATGATTCTTCACCATCCACTCACGCTAATGGCACAATCAAATGAAGAAATTTCATCACCTCCCAACCTGTCCTGATGCAAAAGTTCTCTCCAATTTGCATATCAAAGGAATGTTAGAAATTACATAATTTATAAAGATTTCTGCGTTTTTTTTCAATTTTTCTTTTGGATTAATATTGTTCTTTTCATATAAATTTTGTTTGTTTTTAATTGAAGACTTAAAGCTAGCAGTTATGTTGAAGAATAGTAATAATAATAATAATTAATTCTTTAGAACGCTTTTTTCAATTTCAATTTACATCAAAGTCTAGAAAGAAATGTTCTGCGATAACTTCTACGATATATTCACTTCATTATCAGGAATATCTAATGCTACTTATGTTTTGTTAATGTTTAATTCTTCATATTCGATCGTAAATATGTTAGGCCAACAAACGACTACAAATTTCCTTCACAATACGATCATTCAATGAATTATTTTATTTTAAAAATGATTTTTTATCTGCGCATAATTTTTCTTTTACTATTTTTCTCTTCTTTTAAGTACTCAACTACAGATTAATTTGTGTTGCTATGTTGCTTCATGTATCATAGACGATTTGTTTGTTAGAACATCATAACAAATATTTAAGAAAACTGATAAAAGTTGCAAAGAAATAATTTTTTTTTCTCTTGAATCACAAAAGCCTCGCCATTTCTACATTTCTAACTTGTAGGCTCATAAACGTTAAAACTTTCACATCGAGGTGAATGCTTTTTATACTTGTTGGATTGGTGTGTATCTATGTGCTCTTGGAGTTTGTGGTGTTTGCTTTTCGGATTGTAAGACAACATATCGATGTATTTTAGGAGTTTGAGGCGTGATTTCCTCGGAGAGTTTCTGATAAATTATCGAATTCTTCGATTGTAATAAAGCTTCACGATAACGTTCACCACGTTTGCGCATGAAGAAGGCAATGATGTTCATGATCAAGAGAAGAATGACGACAACACTAAGCATGGCAATGAGCATTGGCCAAATGAATCGATAATTTGTTGCAGCTTCTTCAATTACAACTTCTTCAGTTTCATCATCGTCGTCACCACCTAAAAGTGAAAGAATTTAAAATTTTTCCTTCTTTTAAATTTCAGTTTGTAAATGAAAACTCACCGAAAATACGATTATCGAATTCTTTGATAATTTTCACGCTATTTATGAGAATGTCTTTGCTCTTCTGTTCAGAATTCTCATCATGAGAAATGATGCTTTCATCCTCTCGATCTTCGTCGTCTTCATCATCTTCCTCGTAATCGTAATCGTCATCAGACTCGTCGTTTTCATTCTCTGAATCAACGACAGCTGGTCGTGTAGTTGTTGTCGTCGTTTTTGGCTTAACAGTTGACTTTTCTTTCGGTGCTTTAGTTACAATTGCAGGTTTCTTTGTTGTCTTCTCTTTCGGATTGATTGGAAGAAGTTCAGCATTCTCGTCAATGTCATCTTCATTTGAATCTTCATCCAACATATCATCATCATACTCTTCATCAGACTCATCAATTTCATCCAACACTTGTTGATTTGTCAACTTATTCTCTTCATTACGCTTGCAAATCTTTCGTGCTAATTCATTCCACTCGACAGCGGGACTCATCTCTTCGAAGAATGTTGGTTTAAGGTCATCGAATTCACTATGAGCATTGCGATTTCCGAGAGTCACCTTCAAAGATTTCACAATTAATAGCAATCTTTATAATTTCTTTAAAGTTTCTTTACCTTTCTCAATCCCAAGAATTTCATCAGACTTCGGAAGTCGTCGTTACATTCCAATGGATTGTTCTTCAAATCGAAAACCTTGAGGTTCTTCATTGTCTGCGTAAGTAAACATTCAATCAAAAAATTTGCATAAGACTTCTCATAAATCAATAAATAAGAAACTCACACTCAAGTCGCTCGCGTAAATATTCTTAATGTCGTTGTTTGATGCATTAAACACTTTCAAGTTCTTTAAGAAGTCACCAACGCGTGCTTGTTTCGACGAATCATGCCACAACGAGATCAAGTCACAGTCACTGATATCCAAATCTTCCAAATATGGCGTGGGAGCGAAAATCTTTGTTGACAAAGATTCAATTGGATTGGCATTGAGATTGAGCTGTGAATGAATACATTATAAAATAAATAAAAATTCTCTTTTGCTTTTAATTGCATTTTTCAAACCTTAAGCAAGTCTTGATTGTTCCAAAAGATTTGTGGATCTAAATTACTGAACAAGTTGTTGCTCAAATCAAGTTCCATAAGACGAACTAATGGACTGTAAAAATTAATTTAATTAATAAAAGTTAATTACTGGAAATTATTTGAATATTTACCTAAACAAGTCCTTTGGAACTTTTTCAATGTTGTTGCCAGATAAATAAAGTCTGGTAATGAATGGCATTGTCTTGAAAGTGTTGTCACTGAGTGTTGATAAATCACAATTTGAAGCATCAAACATGAAGACGTGGAAAGATTTTTGTGCTGTTTCAAAGCCTTCATTAGGAAGTGTCTTCAACCGCATGTTGTTGTTGATTCTAATCACTTCCAAATCGGAATTCTTCAAGAATGTCAAGCTATTGATCTGATCCAAGTCGTTGTAAGACAAATCAATGTAACGAAGATTTTTGAGTGTCAAGAATGCTCCCGGATGAATTCTCTTAATCAAATTTCCTTTCAACACTAAATTGCTAAGATTTTCAATGCCTTTGAACATCTGATTGTTAACATTCACAATTCGATTAGAGCTCAAGTCCAACTTTTGAACATCTTTCGTAACAAACTCGAGATTTGAAACGATCTCGTTATATTTCAAGTGCAAAATACCGAGCGATGTTCTGTTGAAAATGTTTTTCGGCAACGTGGCGATCATGTTGTAAGACAAGTCAAGTTCCTCGATCGTGTCTGTTCTGTCGAAAAGTCCTTGTGGGAGTGTTGTCAGTTTATTTCCAGCTAAATTAATGTAGATGATGTTCTTCATTTGACTGAAAGCTGTTGGAAGGAATTCTTGCATGTTGCAGTTCGAAATGTCCAACTCTTCGATTGATGGCGATTTAAGCATGTAATCTGTGTAAGGTGACGATAAGCTTTGCATCACATTCAAGTTGTTTCCAGACAAAATCAGAATTTTGAGTTTTGTGTTGTTGGCGAAAGTGTCAGGATGAATTAAATCAATGCCAATGCTTGTAAGATTGACTGAGTAAAGTTCATTCAAACCATTGAAAGCACTTGGACTAATATATTCAATTGAACTGTTGGCAATTTTAATCGAAGTGACATTAGCCAAGCCAATCTTTTTGAAGAATTCAACGCCCAAAACAATTGGGAATTGAGGTCCAATGTCGATGACTTGTAAGTCAGTGATTGGCAAGTTGGCGAATGATTGAGTTTCCAAATCTAAACGACTGCAAGTTGCAACAAAGTATGCTTGCATGTTTCGTTCGCAAATGCAATCCCTTGGACATTGCTTCATCTCATTATTCGATTTGTTAATGTCAACACCGAGATCTTCCTCTTCTTCTTCATCAACTTCATCGTCGGTGTATTCCTCATCGAATTCTTCATCATCAGCAACCTTTTTGTCAGTCTTAATGGGTTTGGTTTCATCCTGAGGCTCTTCATCGTCAACACGATCTTCCTCTTGATCTTCTTCTTCGTCAGAGAATAATTCGTCATCGTAATAATCATCATAGTTTGGATCGATGTCATCATAAACTTCTTTGTTATCGTTCTTTCCAACATCAGCATGCGAAATATCTTTCAGCATGTCATCTTCAACCTCATCATCGTTGTAAGGTTCAAATGCTATTAAAAATGATAAAATGAAAAGAAAGAAAATTTAAATATTGTTTTAAAATATTACCAATTGTGCTGGTTTCATCTTTAATAGCTTTTTCCGTGGTTGAATTTTTCTGGTTCTTTTGAACTTTTTCAGCTTTTTTTGATTCTTCCAACTTGATGTCTTCAATTTTGGGGAACGGAAGCATTTTATTGAAGCGTGAATCCAAAGATTTCGGGACTTTTGGGTCTGGCTTGAACTTGTCGTCCGAGATGTCGTTCAAGTGATCATCGATTTGACTGTCTTTGTCGGGTGGTGCTGTTGCTGCAGTTGCCACACATACTGCAACAATTATTACCAGTAAAGACTGGTTTCTCATCCTGTAATTAATCAAAGATATTACGAGTTAGCTTTTGGTCTCATTATGATTATCTCGTCATTTTACACATTCACTCAAATAATGACAGACACAAAGTCGAGCAAACAAGACTGAATTCAGCGATGAAAGCAAATGAATAAATCACAACGTGAAGTAAAAAGTGATAACAAATAAACGCCTTGAGTGCGCGGTAATCAATTAAAATTAATTACATTTTTTTTGTTTTCAATTTTCGACAATTTATCACGTCCAAGTGTTGTGTTGTTTAAATATTTCAATTCTTTAAATATATTTATTTAAAAAAGGAAGAAGTCATAACTCCATCTTCAAATTTTCTACCGACATCAAAACAAGTGAAACTCACGTAATCTTTAAAACTTTGCATGACTTTTATTTAATTTTGTTTACACGATCATAACGCTGACTTGTTGTTAGATGTTTTGATTTCTTAGCAATAATTATGTAGCCATCATGTCTCGTTTTGTATCAACAAGAAATTGTTTGCAAATCAGCGCCCTAATTGTTGAGATGAAAGGCTTTACGAGATCATCATTTCTCATGACATAAATAACTTGACGCGTTTATTTCTTAGTCGTAAACACGAACGAGCAGAAATAAGAGCATAAAAAATGTTAATTAAATATTTTGTACAATTTAGCAGAAGCTAAAATTGAGTGGAATATTTAAGAGAAATATTTCAAAAATTCTTCGCTCGTAGATCACAAAACGAAGAAGAAAAGAATTTCTTCTTCACGTTTTTGTTTTTATTTTTAGCAAATTTCTTTCTCATTCAATCTTTTCATTTCGATTTGTATCGCCAAAAGTTTTATTTGCATTCAAAAGAAGAGAAAAAAAATCATTTAGTCGAGTGGGAAGAGAAATTTTAAACACGACGTGTTGTGATCATAAAGATCGACCTTTAAACGAGCTGAGTTAATTTCGCAGCATGCCGGAACATCATCATGAAAATTAATCTTCAGTTTTTTCTCTTTCTAGGATGGTTTAGAGATCATCGAGCTCGTATCGGAGGAGAAAATTCTTTTTCAATTTTCACCAAACGACCCACAAAAACCAGATGCGCAAATTTTTCCCTTGACTACATTTTTCATTTTCCTCCTTCATTCATTTTTAGTTTCTTCGATTTCAAAACAATGAAGAAACATGTGTGCGAACACAGAAAAATTTCTTATTTTCGCGTGTTATTTCAAATGGAAAAATATGCGGCGAATAAGAAAAAAAAACGTTTTACGTCATTTTTGCGATCATAAAATTTGTTTTCGTGTTTTCCTGCATTTTCAATTTTCAGCTGGCACGTATAACGTTAGTTAAAGTGTTTCTTGATTAGATCAAGTTCAAGATTGCAATTCTTTATGTCTGCTTGCGCATCTAATAATAATAAACAACTCTTAATGCAATAAATATTGTCACGGCCAGTTGATTTTTAACTCAAAGTCAGACAGAACTTCCAACGACGTTTGTGTTGGTCGTTGTGTTGATAAATAAATAAAAATAATTTGGGGTTGGGCAACAGTATAAAACTTATAACTATACATTCTCGTTTAAAAAATGAATGCCAATTTCATACGACAACATTGTAATATGAGAATGTACTTTACTTAATAAACTAAAAGCGCCGAGGACTAATTTTCGGATCGTTTCATCGACAGCAAATGTGATGAACAATGTTTCTGTCAAGAAAGTGACGAAAAGTTAAATAATGAAACGAGTAGGATAAAGTAACACCCCACATTATGATTTTACGAGTTTAAATTTCGAATCAATAAATCAAGAAATGATTTACGTGAACACAAAATTCGCGAGCTTAATTATCTGGTAGCACATGAAGCGAGTCTATTAAAATCCGCAAAATTATTTTTTATTTTTTAAGACACAACACCACATTTCGCGAAACTTCACAAAGAAAAAAAAACTTTTTTTTTGCGTCAAATAAAACTTGAACTCAAACACAAACATAGAATGCGGTCATTAATGAATCTGCTTTTGATTTGAGTTTAAGAATCAAAATCATATGGCAGTAAATTCTTCAAAATGTGACAAGTCTGATCTAATTAACGATGTGATCATTTCAAATCATGGCAACAACTTGTAGATCATGTAACGTTTCTTGTGAAATTACTAACATGGATTAAGTTAAGAAAATTGTTTCTTTTTAAAATGTCGCAATTTGTTTTTATTTTTCTTTTCTTGCTGTGACGACAAATTAAACGGAATTAACTTTTCAACAGCTTTTTAAGTGCTTCCCCGAAATTTTTATTTTACGACTTAAATGATATTAAATTTGTTTTCAAAGGTGTTTGATAATTAATTCAAGAAATGAAATAAATATTTTGAAGAGTTCCCCTGAAATATCAATTGCGCTAAATCTTAATCACTGGGGAAGTTTATTTAAATCTCACCACGAAAATATTTCTTAAGTCCACAATTCTTATCAAAATATTTATTTTTCTTATTTATCGCAACTTTTCTGATAACTTTAAAATGATAAGATAAGCAAAAAATGACTCTAAAAACTATAAAATTAAAGGGAAGAGAAGATTGTTTTGTTAATTATCTTAAAATTACTTCGCATTTGATTGTTCCCCTCCCACAACGTCAATGGAATTTAATTTAGAAATATTTGCAAAAACTAAGTGAAGCTTGACAGAATCTTCAATCATTCTTACAATTTCCGGTGACAATTGCTAAGGTTTTTCCGGACTTCACAATAGAATTCCAAATATGTGAAATGAACTCTTTAACATTAGTTCATGCCTATCTGAATTTAATTGTCGGCTAAAGAGTTGATCCATTCACGAATATATTTTCTGTCGTTTTACACGCTTGACAACATGGTGATAATCAACCAGATTTACATTTAAATCAGCATATTTACAAAAGGTTTATAACTTAGGCAATCGAACTGGATAAAAGAGTGAATCGAGTAAACACGGATTCGTTTGTCTTTTATTGTTAACTTTTCCACCGACCGTATGCTCAACAAACGCAGTGTTTAATTTATTTTCGGATATTTTTCTTTATTAGTTTTATGAACTTCCTTCTCGAATAAATAACTATCTATGTGCTTTCTGTACGAACGTCAGTTGATGCTAAAAATAATTTTCCAGCTCCAACTAAATTACACTCCAATGCTTTGAACTCGGCGCTATCTATTATTGTAATCTGAATCAATTGTGGGTGAATTACCTCGAAGTTAACGTAAATTTTTTTATTTCTATTTATATTCGTGATTTTATTTTATTTTTTTGTTCATTTGATCATGCTCTTGCGACACAGGGCAGCACATTAAAATATATGTAAAAATAATTCATTCAAATGTTTACATCACGTCGGGAAGACGTCAAAATATTTTTATTTGCTTTCCATTAAATAAATCACGTGTTCTGGTTTTTTTTCTTCATTTTTAAACTCTTTATTACATGTAACAGAGCGTTATTATCAATTTCACGCATATTTAAAGTTTTATTGGGTGATTTGTAGCAACAAGAAAGAAAATCTTTTTAAAAAATATAAAAGTCGTAAAGTCAGAGATCGAATCTTAAATTAAGTCAAGCCTAGAGTCATAGAATAATTTATTTGCATTAAGTTAATGGATTCAGGTTACTTATCGTTGTTAATTAAATATTTCCCTTCGTTGTGGTATATGTGAACTTTATCGCATCAATTCTCCTACTTAGAGAATGCAAAAATATTTATTGATGCATTTTCCTTGCCATTTTAGAGTTAATTAAACGTTCCTTTCCACTCTCATGCAAAAACTATTTGCATGAACTGAATCTGCTTATTTACGAATCCGCATTGCACTTCAAATAACTTAAGAGTGAGATCGTAGTCTATTTAAAAAGCGAAAAACACATTCCAATGAAGTCGTTTTATTAAAAAAGCATTGAACATCGCATGCATGAACTGCATATTGAATCATAAAATGAATATCATTGTCTTGGCCAATTGATCATTCAATGACAATTGGAATTTAAGACAATTGAACGTGTTTGTTTTACCATTAACAAAATTATTGTCTTCTAATGTTACAACTCAGAAAATAAATCTGAAGCTAGTTTCAAAGAAGTCATTATTCAAATTTAATTACATGAAAATTATAATTCACTTAATTTGTTGTATAAAAATAAAATTGCTTAGCAAAGTCATTTATTTAAAAATCAAATGAAATTCTTATTGCCAACTCTGTTCAATTATTAATCTTTGAATCGTAAGTTATTTTGCTACCTGGATTGGATTCACAAATGCGAGGAGAATTCTCGCATTAAACATTAATGTTAATAGTAGCAATGCACAATCATTTGCGCTGATTACAGAGAAGAAAGAGGCTGGCAACGAAGAGTTAACATTGTGCAGAAAACTTAGACACTGATTGCAATAATTTACAATGAAAATGCAACATTTTATCATTTTCAAGATTATCTATCACAGTAATTTAAAAACTTCTTTTCATGTCAGTTCCCTTAAAGGCTTTTACGTTCGAATTCGATAGAAAACAATCATAAGAAATAAACTAAATAAATGCGAAACTTTTCATCTTTGAAGATTTCTCTTAACGCTGTTCAGTGACTCATAAACCACCGAAACGGTTTTCTCGTTACTTAATCGGAAATATCTTGGTTGAGATATCAAAGAAATTAAAGAAATCAAACCAGTTGCTACCTACAAGAGAAATAAAAGCTACGAAATGTTGGCGTACGATAAAGTTGCTGACTTCCCCTACTTTTGTTCAAGTTAAATTATGCGATTCGTGGAAAAATGTTCTCATGCATGTTTCTTGCAATCGCAAGCAGAAGTGAAGTCAGCATTGATAAATATGACGATGATATCAGCTGGCATTTCGTCAGCAAAAAGGAAAAAACGAATCGAAATTCATGAAATCTAATTTCATCGTCGATTACAAATTCCTGAACACTTTTTTTATTTAAAATGTGTGCTTGATTTTGTAATGAAAGGAAAGAACGAAATGAAAAATGATGCATCGATGAAATTCAATTTTTCTTTTCACGTAATAAAAAAAATTTTTAAATCAATTTTCTGTTCAGAAATATTTGCGAAATATTTCCAAGAAAGAAAATACGCAGAAAGAAAACACACACGGCAACAAGTAGCTAAACAAATGCTTAAACTTGCTAATTAAAGTCTTGTTCGAAGGCTGAAATTTACGAAAATTCAGAAAGAAAACTGAAGATAGTTTGATAGACGTCACTCATTCCGTGGTTACATCCCATTCCAGTTGTTCTTGTTAACAACATCAAACTGTAATTAACACAAGCTGGGTTCAAGCCCCCCATCACAAATTCATAATTCAGCATTATAAAGATATAATTTCACTGAAATTTCGCTCCACACAAATGTATAAAGAAACAACAACAAAAATCTTATTGAATGTTAGCAGAAAATAAAAAAGAAGTTTCAAAAAAAAACGAGAAAAATGCGTTTTCGTTTTCGCTAACCATCTGCCTTTGAATTTTGTGTTTAACAAATTTTTTTACTTCCAAATCTTCTTGTTATTAATGCTCAAAAATATGAAATTATGATACATTTTTGATACACTGAAAATGTGTACGAAGATTGACGATAAAGATTGAAGTACATGAGACAAATGGAGAGAAGAAGACACGACAACGACAGCACATGTTCTTAGTTGGAGACCTGAAAAAAGAATTAAAGAGACTTAATACGCTATAAATTTAGCTTAATTAAGAGGAAAGGGATTTTCACAAATTAGGTTTCCCACTTTGATGTTGAGACAAGTTATGTATAAACAAGCGGGAAGTCATTAAACATTCACCGGTTGTTAGCGGACGAGAAATATATTTAGGATGACGGGAGTTTAATTTCCTCTTCTTTACACCTATTTAAGTCTCACATAAAAGGGATTCGAGGTTCGCCTCCTGTTATTTTATCCTTTTCAACCGAACGAGACTTCAACTGCCGAATAAAAAAGGTAACAGTTCCATTTTGTTAAACGCTGCTGGTCGATATAAAGTAAGCGATTGAACAAACAACTAACTGAGTAGAAAAATCGACAACAATGCATCATTGACACTAACACAATCTTCATGTTCATCGTCGCATGTTGTGAATGGGTGAAGCGAGCTTGAAAATAGATAAATTAATGGAAAAATATAGTCATTCAAGCTGACTCTGCTCTGAGATTTATTGGTGTGGTGGTGACTTAAAGCAACTCGTTTATAGACAACAATGAAGCTTCACGCTGATTTCTTTCCATTTTTTAAAGTATTTTTTTGCGTTACTTTTCCATGAAGCGACTTACTTTTAGTGTGTGGCTCGTGTGTGGGTTGATCTTTATGTTGTTACCATATGAAAAAGAAGTTGGAATTGAAAGCAGCACGAGATGAGAGGAAGAAGTAAGAAACAAAAATAATACAGAAATAATCACATAGACACAGAAATCATATTTAAACGTTGCGGCGAATAATGATGGCAACTGAATGGCTTTAGGAAACGTTAAAAATGCATTAAGAAACCGCGGCTTTAGTGAATGTGAATAATGAATTGGTTTTGCGGAGAAAGAGGGAAAGAAAAGAAATTTAAACGTGATCGCGATGTTCTCTGGCACATTCTGTCGCCTTTTCAATTCTTTCTTTTTTCTTTTCTTACAACCAAAGCACTTCTTATCCCCAATGTTAAACTTTTATTACCAATAAATTCATCGACAGGCGAGGTAGATGAAAAAGAAAATAAAAATGGTAATTGAGAAGATAATTCTTTTTAATATTCAATCGGCGAAAGATTTCGTGAGTTCTCTTTGCCTTAATTTAGCGAACGATTCGAGAAGAACTTGAGGCGTTTCTTGTATCTGATTTATTTGTACAATTGTGGAATTAATTTTTACAATTGGTCGAACTTGCTACTTGTCGTTTTAATGATTATTGTATTAAAAAATGAAAGAGAAAGAAAGCCGACGAAATGATTTCTGTTATGTGAGGTCGTTTTAAAATAGATTTTCGTTTATTATTCTGAGACTTCTGACATCTTTCGAAAACAACTAACACTGTTAGTTAACGCTTGTTGAGATAACAATCAGAATCTGTCAAACGAGGCCATTTTTGTAAAACAAATTTATTTCATTTGCATCTTCGAGAGGGACATCGTGTGGTTAATGTCGTCATTAATTAACATCTCAATATTTTAAGTCTTTATTTGAAAAGTTCTCAATTTTGTTTCTTTGTTTGTTTTCTTGTGGTTACCCATGAAATATTAGCCAAACAAATTTAACTTTCAAAGTGTTGCGTTGGCGGTGACTGAATTAATTTCTACGTTATTTTAATTGCCCTATGAGATTACGAAAATAGTCAAAACATCTCATTTTCAGATAATTCACGAAACTTCTGAGTATTTTCGATCATCAAAGTCTAAAACGATCCATTAACCTGAAGCCAGAACTGAAGCGATTTAAATGAAATTTCATTGATCATAAAAAACGAATTAGAAATTCTAATTTTTCAATTAACAAAAACTCCTGCGCATTGCCATTTTTCAAGAGTTAATTGAAGAGATATTTATCGCATATTTTAGTAGAATGTGCTCTGGTATTTAAGAGTCACAGAAACGTATGACTCAATGACTAATGAAAGTGTGTGTTGACTTACGTTTCCCTTCAAAAATGTCTCAAACTTTGCTATCGAATTAAGCTCAACTCTTTCATCTCAATAACAGCTCATGAAACATAAAACCTTTTTCAATGTTCGTGTAAAAAGTGCGCTTTTTGAGTTATCGATTGGGTCGATCGAATAGCAAACAAACCGAAAAAAAAGAGAAACAAAGTAAAATATCATAAAAAATATTGAATTTCTTTGTAAACACGAGATGAAACTGTAAAGAAAATCTTGACTTGAAGACCTATAATCATGTCTTAATGTATTCACGAAACGCGAAGGTTTTACATAAACACACAACGACGATGATTATGATTCGGTCGAGAAATGTTATGCTTAGTTATGCTCAAAAACATTAACATAAAAGCATCGGAAAAGAAGAAGAAAAAAGACTTTTTACATGTCATGTGTGTTGATTTCAGAGTGAAAAATGGGTTTGTCATTCAACTTTCATAATTCAGAGACATCGTCAAGTATTTAAGAAGAAGAAGATAAACTCTTGAAGTGTCGCTGTCGTTTGCAATGATTCTGCTATTCCCTCCTAGTCTCATCTTTTAAAAATCATTATACTCATCAAGATGTCAGATAGAATTATTTGTGTTCGCCTCTAATCTTTAAAGAGTTTTACTTCCAAGAAATTAGATTTTAATTTTGTCGAAAAGTCTTTGAACTGATTCATTCGATTTTATTCAGAGAAAATAATTTAGAACGAAACTTGGCAAGTTCAATCGACAAATCTTGCTGATCGTTAAGATGTAATAATCGAGAATTACAGTGAAGAAACAAGTTATAACTTCTTATTCTGAAGTTGTATTGAAGCGAGTGAGATTAAAAGTAGAAGAATGAGAAATAATGATCGACTATGAACGTAATCTGATTTGAATTACGTGAAGTTAATGTTGGTTTGATACACAAAACTTTAAAGCAAACTCTGCCATCATTGTTGTATTGATTCTCAATTTGTTTGCTATTATATTACATCAGTTTTGACTTCATTTCATTCCTTTCAATCATTTTTTTTATTCTTGCGCTTCATATTTTCTCTTTTTTTTTGTTTTAGACTCAAAGTGAAAATGTCTTTGATGTTGACCGCATTTTGATTCATGAAACAAGAAAGATTGAAAGGAAATTTGCCGCCGTCATTTGTAAAGTAAACGCGAATTTGATCCAGATGGGACTACGAAACAAAATTCCTTTCTTGTTACATTTGTTTTACGTAATTGATCTGAGAAATTTGAATACAATTACGTGTCATTGAGCAACAAGTGAGGCACTTGAGGTTCGATTAATATTTCTATAATGTTGTGAGTTTATATTTGGAGATTTCAGTCTCACATATTTTCCATATTGACAGACATTCGATCCAAAGATTCATCATCGAATATTTATTATTTATGGAAAGGTCAATGGAGGATCATTTCATATTTATGTTCTTCAATGTTCAGTTTTGATTTCTTTTCAGAAAAAAAAAATTAGGCCTTGAATGATGACTTGAAGAATTCATAAAGCAGTTTTTGATAAAACAAATGTGTTGAAAATTATGAACTCAAGTGATTCATCAGCACCGCTGTATTAATTTGATTTCATAATTTTCTACTGAACTAAGCATTTGCAATCTCAGCTTTATTAAATTGGACTTTGATTTAAATTTGTTTAAACAAACATAAATAATTTGCAAGTTATGTGACAAAATATTTCGCCTTCGGTAAGTTTACATTTTCGGCAAAATTTTTTTTCACAATTTGCTGCTCATTCCCGTGCAAATATGACAACGCAGCATCCCGCGGTTTCTTTATTGACTCCTAATCAATATTTTATTTCTTGCCATTTTCTTTTTTTTTATTGCTTGTTCAATCGGTTGCTAGCTTGTTCCAATCTCCATATTGCCTTCTAGATATTTAAAAAAATGTGCATTCGCCAATTCCATATATAGAAGGAAAAAAGGAATAAATTTGATTACGATCGAATGGCGTGTCTTGTCTTGTCTTAAAATAAGTTCTTAGATCAGCTTAATCGACTCACGACGTCTTGAGACGAAGACATAAAATTAAACAAGATTTAACACTTATAAGAAACTTGTATTAAAATAAGTATAAACAAGTGTATGAAGATATTGTAAACTTATTATTCGATTGTTCATAGACACATTCAAGTATAGAAAACTTCAGTAAATTCCTTTAAAGCGACGACATTCTGCAAATGAAATTTCATCTATGAACTGCGTTGAACACACGCAGACCTTGAACAAAGCTTTAAGTTGTCTTTTTAAATAAAATAAGAGACACGAAAAAACGTTTATGAATATCAATTAAAGAGTCTGCTTTGTCCGCACAAAACTCGCCGGATCACACCTTGATTGATTTTTTTTCTTCATCCGTCTACTTGCATGTACGAAGTTTTACGAAATATTTATCTATACGAACAATAACTGGTTGTTGTCGCTGAGTAGTAACTTCAGATGTTGATGGTGTTGGTTCAAACAGATAAAATGTAATCAGCGGTTGAGATAGTGGCGACAGAGTCACATCACATTTTGATTGAATTTGTTTCCATTCAGAAACTTAAACTTTGCGATAATGGAATTTGATTTCTTCGTCTGAGTTTGTTTTTATTAGCAGCCATTCGATAGATAGAATGTTCACTATCAAAAGGAAATATTCATTCGTGAAACTCTTTGATAGCTTAATTCATAGTGGAAAAATAAATTTTGTTTATTCTCATGAGAAAGCGAAACAAATTTTTTTCTGTTGCGGAATTACTGGAGGCCAAATAAGAAAAATATTTCACTTGGATCAATCAAAGAGTCAGTTTTAGATTCGATGCATAAATCAGACGAAATATTTAATTTTTGTTTTCTCTCTTTTGATATTATTCATAAACTCAGCAATTTTCTTAAAACTCAGACACTTGAGGCAAACAAAAAAATTCCATTGCTAATGATTTACAGTCAAACAGCAAACGAAATTCCTGTACAGAAAAAGCGAAAAGCTTTGTGAACATTTTCCGTTTCTTATCTTGAAATAAATAAAAAAAAAAGCCTCAGCGATAAAAATTCTTTTCAAATTCGAACAAATATGGAGACAAAAGTGCGAACGTATGCTCGCAGAAAAATAAAGAACATTTTTGTGTTTGTATTTATTTGCGAAGCTTAAAAGGTGCTCGCATGGCTGACGCAATAAAAAAAGTTTAATGGAAGCGTGAACCGCAAGTGTCATCAATTAAACGAACATTTTCCGTTGAATTTTGATTAAATATTAACCGACTTAAATAAGTATTTTCAGTTCACGGTTTTGGCAGTTAGTAGTTGACGTCGAGTGATGTTACAATCGACTCACTTAAATAATATTGATGATGCTATCTTGATTTTTGATATGTATTCATAAATTCATCGGCTTGATTACTTACTAAGGGTCCCATACGAGGGTCACGACAAATTGAAAACAATTTTTGATTTAATGAAATTATTTAGCTTGCGATGGAAAATCCATGAGATCAAAGTCCAACAACATGATTGTGCTGCTTGTTTATTTGTAGGTTTATGATCTATTTAAGGAGATATTTCTTCTTATAATTAGATAGATTTTAGCATCAATCTCAATAAAGATTCAACAACACCTACGGAAATGAGTGATTGAAGGCTTTTGTTGATCGACTTGTCGCCTTTCAGCTCATATAAAATATTTACTTTAAATTCATTAAACTGCGAATTGACACTCAATTTGTTTCAAGATTCATTTTTTTTATGTTTCCTTCAACAAAGAGTGTAAAAATCACCCACAAATTGAAGCATCTTGTTAATTATCGACCTAGAAATGAGTGACATCACGCTTCTCATTTTAAACAGATTTTTGGCAAGCGTTTTTAACAATGATTCGAGTATCGCTTTGTTGATAGATGTGAAACAGTTTCTGTCAGATCACGTTATGAATTGATCTGATGGAAAAACGTTTTTTGGTAAAACATCCAACTCCAGCTGAAGAGACGAAAATAAAATTCAGGTAGAAAAAAAATCTAAAAACGTTTCACGATGCCAACAAGAATCTTCTGCTTCGTTAATCTGTCGTCTTGAAAATGGCAAAAGAGCGTCTCGACTCAACTTAATATTGGATTAAGTTTCTTGTCGTCAACTCAAATAACTTTTTTTTTGCTTAAGTATTTGATTTCTCACCTAAACGGCAAATTTTGGAAAGTAAATAAAGTGCCTTAGAATGCCTCAATGCTGTTAGAAAAGTACAACGAAATTCATAGAAAAACAGCAAAATCGATTGAACACCGATGACGATGATATCATCGATTGTTGTGGAGCTTACAAAGAGAACAGTTTAGTTTCATTTGATTCTGGATATTCAAACGACTACAGCCCAACCTGATCAATGAGCTTGTGTTAGTATTCGAACTAGCAGTCATAAAAAATATTTTCTTTCGTTTCTTTTAAAGCCCCCCAGGTATCTATGCTCAAACTGCTCAAATATTTTTTATTCTTATTCCGTTCGACTGGTGCAACAACGTTTTAAATATTTCAACTTCATGGGAAGAGTAAATGAAGGAAGAGATGGAGAGGGACCAAGAAACAAAAACAATTGTTTCCTGAATTCTTCCACTCACCTTAATGTCTTTTGTCTGTTTGTTAGTTGCAGGAAGAAAGAAAAAATGCAACGACTACAAAGGCGACTTCATTCAACTCCCACACGACACATTTCAATTGTCTGACTTTCTGTATGTCGTCGATTGTCGTTTTAAATGCAAAGAACGTTCAACAATTATTTTTAAACATTATTGTCACATAATGTTAATTTTCCTTAAACAAAAGTGTTATCGAACATGTTAAACGATTTATTAAAACAATGTTTAATTCCTTTTTTTTCTATATTCGCTTGCACAGTTAGAGCGTAAATTAATTAAGTCAAGAATACTTAGTAAGAATGTAAAAACAATAAAGGAAAAAGGTGAATTGCAATTGCAAGCATTTAAACTTTTTTTCATTTCGATTTCTAGTTGAAAATATCAACTTTTCCTTTACTCTCTCACTCATGTCTCGATTGTGTTGTGTTCATATGCAGTTGATTGTAGTGTGGCGGGTTGTTGTTAAACATTACTTCAATATATCAAACAATGTTAAGTGAAATAAATAACAAGATATGTAAGTGAGTAATAAAGTTTGTATATAAACAATTAGGTATATAAACAAGCAAGTACATAACTTAAAATAACAACAATGGAATATTTATTGAATAATCGCTGATATATTAAGAGTTGACTTGAACCATATTTGACAGTTCCATCACGTTCATATATCGAATGCATCGCTTGCATGAAACAATAAACACATTGCATAGATTAATAGAATTAATCCGTAAAAGGCATTGTTCAACCTCAAAGACGCCATTTTGAAAGGAGAGAAGAGAAAACTTTATTCATCTCAAATATCAGCAAAAAAAAAAGTTTTGTGGTGCGATGTTTAAGTGGGCAATAAATAAATAATGAATCTTAATATTTCATATGTATCTCTGTTCAATCATGTGTTTGCGGCTTCTTACAAAATCATTTTGATTTCTTTTCGTTCAATCCGTTGTTGATATCATGTCCAATATGATTCTGGAATTTTAATTGAATACGATCAAATCGTGAGATGTTTCGCCTAATAATTTATTGAATGCAAAGTTTCTTTTTAATGTATTTTTGGAAATTTAGAAAACAACAAAGGCAGCATACAAATAACAGAAATGAATATTCCATGTGTAGGCTATAAAGTTTGCTGGCATTTAGGAAAAGGTCAGTCTAGAAAACATGCAATGGAGAAGAGAAATGAGCTGGCACTTCTGATTACTTTTATATTATTCTTCATGACGTGATTTATTCGTTCTAGTTACATGAGATTATGCGTTTTGCTGACAAAATGCTTTTCCGTATTGCATTGTAATAACGAAGTAAAGAAAAAAAGATAACGGAATCAAATAAAAGCCAAACCAAAGTGAATTCAATCAAAATGGCTTTTTTATTTTGTTCTCAGAAAGTGGAATGTCGCAATGGAAAAATCAAGTCGCACTCAAGTCTTGATTTAGCAAAAATAAAAAACATTTTAAACTTCATACGTTCCAAGTCAACATTCACTCATTTTGGACTCGTTTTAACTTCATTTCGTCTTCTTTTGTTCACTTCTTTTGAGATTATTTATTTTTCTTCTCCACACACGTAGTTTTTTTTTTGTGGCTCTTTGAACATACATCAGACACACCAACATCCGTATAAGTAACACCAAAAAAATCATAAAACTACTTACGTTAAAGATTTTTTTAAAATATTTAAAGTTTGATTTCTACTTGGAAACTTTTTCAGTTTTTTTTTCTCAATTTCTTTTAGTAATTTCTTGTCTTCTTTTGCGATGAATCGTCGTGTAATCCAGAAAGAAAAAGTATAAAAGAACTTTAGTATCACTGTGGGAGTATTACGAGCAAAACTTGTTATAATCAAACAAATGAAAAATAAAAAGATAAAAAATTATCAGCGAAATAACAAAAATTTCCCAATAATTTTCAATTTAAAAGATTTTATTTGTATCCACTTGCAATGACGCATATTACACTACAACTATTATAAAGTTAGTAATATTATTTTTAATATAAACACACCTGTTGCACGATCACACGTTTTAACTCGTGAAAATGTTAAACTCAACTGGTTCTTTCAATACTTGTAGCAGATATTTTGTTCAATAATTGTAAGCTTGATTGTAAGATTGTAAGGTTTTGATGAGAGAAACGAGAGAGCGAAGAGAGTTTCATTGCATGATCGTGAGAGTAAGAGTGGTTAGGATGACTTTGAACTGCGCGTCGCTGATTTTTCACGACTTTTGCCATTTTATTTTATTTCTTCTCGTGATAAACCTTTTGATGGAACCAATTACTTCAACATTAAATATTTCCAGACAAGACAACTATTTGTATTTCTTACTTGTCTTACTCATTTCGCTCATCAATTAATTAACTTGTAATGTCTGTTTTAACTTGCAATAGATTGGTGTCAACAATTTAATTAAAAGAATTTAGAGGTCATTCGGGATAAAAGGAATTTTCCAAGATCTTCAGTCTCATCTTATCTTCAAATGAAAAAAGAAACATTAAAATTGAAATTATTGCAATGTTGGTGGTCTTTGCCTTAGTCATATACCTTGCATATTCACAATCACTGAAGAGTTTTAAATTGCTATGCCCTGTAAAAATGAAATTCATTATCAAGGTGTGTGACTTGAAGATGCATTTTGTTTTGTTTAATATGAGAGAATTTCATATGACTGTGTGAAATCCAAGTGATCATCATTTGAAAAGTGAGAAAAGTTAAGTTTGAGGAAGCTTTTTTATAAAACATTTGAAAGGTTCTTAAAAGCTTTTAAAAATGATCGAGCTTTTAGAAAATAAAAGTTTGAATTATTATGATCGAATTCGCGATCTCTTTTGGTTGTTTTATTTCTTACTCATATGTTTTGTTGTTCATTTACAATTTCGACGAAAAATTCGAATTATTCATTTGTATATTTTCGGTTTTACCTACACAAATTTTGTTAAATCATTCAATGTTTTTAACGCTTAAATTGTATTCATAGTATGAACCAAAAAATAAAATTGCGTTTTGATACAGTTATCATTTGAAGTTAAACGAATAAATATAAAAAGTTTCTTTCGTAATTTTAAATCGACTAAAAAAATTTTGGTGAATTCTCTCAAAAGATAAAATAAATTTCTGAACTAATCACCGGATTTCTTATGAGAATGTTACAAAAGAACTTACTCAATATTATCGTTTAGTTGAAAGACTTCCTGAGACTTTATATTTATCCTATTAGCTCATAATTAACATGATGTGTTAATTAACATTTTCTTTAAATTCGTAACATGAAAGTTATCAAAACAATCTCAAATACATCCGTGTGACTGTTTACAATTCTTAATACGCCTTCAAAGTACATATGAATGAGTTTGAGTAAAAACTTTAGAAATATTAATTTCATGACTTTAAAGTGATATTTATGAAGATATTTCTTTCCTCTAAAAATAGAAAAAGAGGAAAATAATTCTAAATCAAAAGAAAAGAAAGAAAACTGAACGTTTGGGGAAAATGAGATCAATTTGATGATATACACTTACTTAGATGCATCAAGAAGTGTGAAGAGAAAACCTGTCGAGTTGTCTTTCAATCCAAAATGAAAATATAGAAAATTGTCAAAAAGAATTGTGTTGGTAAAAATAGACAAGTTGTTAGATACAATTTGACAAGTAAATTAACAAAAAATATCTAGGCGTGTAAAATACTTAACATCAGTTATTAATTGAACAAGATGAAGCAGTAAGCGTATTGCATCGAAATAATTTTTGTAAGTGAGAAGTTACAAAACTTCATAATTGCAGCATATCACTTTTGGTTTCGACTCTTGTTCATAGCTGAGAAACGGTTAGAAAGCATTTCAACACTTTGAAGTGTTTTGATTAAGTTGAAGGGCTCGATAAGAAGGAAGAACAGCGACAATGTGTTATTTTTCTCTTTTCATTCCATTAAGAATTCTGTTTTTATTTGAATTATTACACATCATTTTTCTTCTTTCTCTCTCTTAAAGAAATAAAAAAATAAAAACATTAGAAAAAACCAGATCTAAGTCGATGAAACTACTGAAGTGACTCATAAGGCATCCAATTTCGACATCAAAGAGTGACATTCTTAAGATCGCATATTGAAAAATAGCCATGAATGTCGCTTTCTTTGGGAAACTTGTCAGAATACGTAAGATTTCTATTATTGTGATCAAAAATATCAAGATGATTAAACGAAGTTCTCAACCGGAAAAACATTGAAACATTCAGAGAAAGAAAACATTAAAACAATCAAAAGATCGCTCACAACATCAAACATTGAAATTATGATCAAAAACTTGAAAATTTTTATGAATAAGAAGCAACATAGAAAAAGGAAATCAGAAACGAAGAAGGGTAGGTGCAGTAAGCAACTTGTTTAACAAGTTAAGGATGCAATATTTCTCCCAAACTATTTTTAAATAAGTCGAATAATAAAAACGGGAAAGAAATAAGTTTTGATCATGCTCATGCATGTGAATGCTACAACGAGACGATAGACCATTAATGACGTGTGGCATGAGCCGCAGAAACAATCAAAGAGCTGTCTAAACAATATTGAATGTTCGTTGCTCGTCCCCTTCATTTCAATTTGTGTTTTCGAGAAAGAAAAAAACAGTTTCGTTCGGAGCCACACGTTCAGTCATTCAGAAACTGTTGAGAAGCGAGGAATAGTAAAACACACGATAAACCGCTTCTTGAGTTGAATTTTCGGTTCCTTTTATTTCTGTTTTTAGTTGATGACTTTTGAGTCTTCTTCTTCTTTTGTATTTTTTTTATTAAGTTGCGAGTCTTGTCGAAAAGTTCAACAAGTGTTTGACGGTTCGTGTTAGAAAATTTCTTTTGAAAAATTAATGACAAGAAGCTTCGAAGAAAAATATTCTTAAATCTTATTTTTTGCACTGTCATTGGAGGTCGTAACGAATCCATCAAAGTGCAAAAAGAAAATAAAAACACAAATTTTTATGCTGATAACTCAAGGAAAGTGTGAGAGAAAAGTTATTTGTGATTTATTTTTAGCGACTTAATTAAATTTATCGCTAAAAGCTGAATGCTTTCTCAAGTCAAAAAATAAAATTGATTCGTTCATTGAGTTTTTAAAAATAAGAAGCTAAAGTTGGAGCACAAAGTTCAGCAACAAAAAGGCTTAACAGGAATCAAATTACGGAAGTAAAGCCCTGAAGTTTAAGTGAACCATAAAAAAAGAATATTTTAAATTCGAAGACAAACGACAGTTCATAAATATTTGATCTAGTGAACTACAGAAGAATCACATTATTCAGCAGTGAAAACCTTAAAGAAAATATTTAACAAGATTAAACTTCTTTGGAATTGGATTTCGATATTTTTCTACGAACATTTTGGGTAAATATTAAATTATTGATTTTCTTTCACATAATTTCGAACCTGTACATCAACTTGATAATAACTAATAATGTCTTTTAAATCTTATAATTTATTGCGTAATCAATTTTGATTACTTAATTCTTCTAAGTCACTGGAAAGAATTCTTCTTTTTTTATGATTATGAGCATCCCGGGTTTTTATTTCTAAATGAATGGAAGTGATTAGTAGAGGCAAATGCACTGCATGATCCAATCCATTTACACATTTCAGTAACATGTCATTGCTGTACTCTTCAAATAAAATATGAGACACATTATCTGTCAATAAATATTGTTATGTGTTCTCTTCACAAGCAAACATCATTCATTTAGATTTTGATTAACTGCAGTTGCATATCGTGCTGTGGTTGTCTTGTCTCTATTTGAAATTTAAAGAATTTCTTAAGTAAATTCCAACATAAAAAAGAGAAACGACACAAGGGGAATAATGACTTAAGAAAAGGGAAGAAACACATTTTAAAACATTAACAAGTTGTGTCTTGTGCGCGACATGAATATCCATTAAATTATAAAAAGATTGAATGAAAACATTTCTTCTAATCAGTTGAAAGTGTTGAAGAATGATCACAGGAAATAAATTGAACGTGACGAGTTGAAGTTGCTCCTTCAAATTTGCATTAAAAGTTGATGCATAAACCACAAACATTTGTTTAACATAGATAGTGAACCAATATTTCAAAATAATTCTTTTCTTGCAACATTTAATGTTCTAACAGCAAGAAATTCAAATTCCACGACAAGTCAACGCCGGCAACATTTTACAATCGTACGGAATTTGTTACTAAAAAAGAGAGGGAAGGGAATAAATATCTCTTTGGTCATCGTCCATTCTTTATTTGGTTTTTCCAAAAATGGATTTTATTGCACGTTTTATGATCCAAACGCACAGTTGGTAACAGAAGCAGCAAACCAGTAATGAAATTGCAGATTATAAATAAATAAGAAAAGTTCTGCTTCTAAGTGCTGTTTGTATTTCATCTTTTCGGCGAACATTTCACACAGAGCGAGATTTTTTTAACATAAAATTCATAAAATTTATTTGCTTGTCGGTTTGATAAATTGAAAAAAAATTCTTGGGTCGGTTGAGAAGGAGAACGATCGTTTCATCTAATTTTTTTTCTAATTTTACCGCATTCTCAAAATTCATAGGAACGAACGCGAAAGAAATTAATCGAGGGAAGTTTTAAGCCGTCTTTGAATTTTAATGAAGACCAACAATTTTCGGTTTTTTTTTCTCTTAGTTTGTTTGTGTTTGTCAATGATCCGAAAAGTAAGAAAAAAAAAAGGAATCAGAGATGAATTTAAAGCAACTTTAAGCATCTATTGTATGCAGATTTCAAGTGATTAATTGAAGACCATGTTATCCGTTGTTTATTGCGCGACAACCCTGACAATCGTCGTCTTCTTCTTTCTATAAGAATTTCTGGAAATATTAAAAAAAGGTCTAAATAAAAGCACTATCAATCTTTTTTTCTGAATATATTTCCGTTTCGGAGCCATCTTTAAAGAAAACAAACCAACATTCTTATCAGCATTGGGAAGTGTCATGAGTTATGAGTCAATTGATAATGCTTGGACAGAAACAAATGCATTTTCATAATTTAAATGACTTTCTTTTAGTGTCTAAATGATTTTTATGTTCTCGATTAATAAATAGTAATAACAACTAATAGACGTCTTCATTGATGGGATCGAAAGTCAATGTCAAAGTTTATTATTTATTAAATCAAGCGTTTTAAAGTTTAAGCTCGTCATAAAGCTTTCAAGGTCATCATCGTCTAGATTTAATCAAAGCATGACTCAAGCGCGGCGTTTCAAATCAACTTTAATATGACGAAAGAAGTTTTTTTGCATTAATCTGAGTCTATAAATGTTCGCACTTGGGTTTAATTTCAATTCCTCGAATTGGTGATGTCCCATATAAAGACTTAAGTTTCACTAAGGTTTGATTAACAATTTGTGTGGTTTTCCCCTGCAAAAAAAAATTCATGCCGCATGTAAACGAGCAGCAGAGATTTCTTCAAGTTTCATCATGTGAATTGTGCAAGACTTGTAATAAGAAGAAACATGACATGCAGATGTTAATAAAATAGTTTCCTTGGAAATATGAATTGAGTTTCGCGAATCTTTCTGATTTCAATCCCAAATGTCACCACAAGAGAATATAAAAACCTTATGCTGCGATAACTCAACTTTAAAGGGCGATCAGATTATGTCGTTTGAATGTAAATGCTATAAATTCTCTTAAATTAAAACAGTAGCTGCCAAAAACATGTCAGCGTCAGTTGTGATCGCCATCAGGTCAATGGCAATAGTAGTCGACTATTAAATGAAATCCACAATTTATTTTCACGTAACATTTTTTTGACATAAAATAAAAAAGAAAAAGTTTCATGCATCAGAGAGCATTTTGATATTTTAATGTTATTGTAGCCGAATATTTACGAGTGTGATCATTGGGCAAACAAACACAATTTCAAAAGTCACTTCACTTAAATATTTCTAGCGCGGATGTTTGTATCTAGATGTATGTAAATGATTCTTCATGGACCATAAATTACAAGCGCGGAGAAGTTGAGCTTAAGTGCAACATAGTTGGAAAGAAGGAAGCAAAATCATTTCACACATAAATCAGAACGTAAACTATGAAACTTGAGAGTCAAGTACTAATTGAAAAATTACTAAAAATATGTCTCGAAGAAATTTATGTTTATATCCCTCTTGATCACTCTCGACTTGAAATATGTCTAAATTTAGCAAACGAAACAGCATGAAAAATGTTTTCCAACTTAATCACAGACACGAGCTCGTTTGTTATGTTTTTGTTTTCAAACACAACATAGAAACGAGCCCGATGTCACCAAAAATGAGATTACACAAGCTGTAAGAAACTTGATCGATGATACGATCGTCTTTCCATCTTCAAAGTCATTGACTTCTGAAACTTTCGTCTTCATCTTCTTATTTATGTATAGTGAAATGTCTGATATCGCAAATGAGTTCTTCATCATTTAATAATCGGTTGTTGAAATTTAATCGATTCTGCATGAAGTTGAATATCATCAATCGTCAGCATCATAACCCAATCAATTTGACATAATTACATTGATGAATGATTGCGGTCCAGACTTGCGTGATTACATCGTGTAACCCAATTTGAGACAAGTGTGAATAATCAAAAGTGTTGATTGAGTTTTCAGTTTCATTTTCTTCCCCACAAGTCATTTTATTAAAATGTATTGAATTACACGCAATGTCTTTGAGTTTTTAAAGTTTCACGAGAATGAAAAGATGAAGGAATGAAACATGCATTTGATTGTTAAGATTGAAGTGGAAACTTTGTTTTCTTTCTTTAAACAAATATTGGAAACTAATTCTCAGCTTCTTAGTGAATGACTTGAAATTCTCACACAATTAAATTAAAGAAACTGAAGACCTTAACCTAATGACTCATAAACCTTCACTGCTGCTTACACGCAAATTATTTGAATTATAATTACAGCCATTATACTTGAAAAGCGACATAATTGATTAATGAAACTTTTGGCATTTCGTAATGTATTCGATCAATCGAAATGTCGATTATTTTAAAATGTTTTGACTGTAAAACTTTTAATTGTTGGAACTTCCGAAATGATTGCTGAGTTTGTAATCAAGACTTGTATAAAAAACAAGATTTAATTACAATTTACAACATAAAATTCTTAAAATCTTATAAAGCGTTAAAGACGATCTTGAATCAATTTTCCAGCAAATCATTAAAATCTCAATTAAAATTAAAATTAATTAAAATTCTATTAATTGTCATTGCTTGTGCGACTTACTCAAAGTCTAGCAAATATAAATCCAAACTTTTTCCTACACACACACACACCCAATTCTGTTCACTAGTTCCAAGCTAATTTGTGGTCAATTAGCCACACAGAAACTAATTCCAATTGTGAAATGATTCAAAGCAATTTACTTCGCAATTTCTATACTCGCTTTTTATCCATCTTATTGCACTTTTTTACCATATTTTTAATCATACCATGTGCAAAGCTGTCGAAATGATCATTATATGATTTTGACGTGATCAAATGTGTGTCAACATGAGTTGGCAATTAATCTGTGAAAGTTTTCTGACGTGACTCAGAAGTCTTTATGTGCTCAGAAGTCATCTAATATTGGATTGAAAAGTAAATATCTTATACAGTGCTGTTAACAGACAAATGGTAATTTGCTAAGCTTCTCAAACGCCAGTTGATTGCATTGTTTTTTTACTCACATTACTTTGAGAAACAAAACGATACGTTGACGTAGGATTAGCGAATCGTTGCTAATGAACAACTTAAATCGCACAACAACAATGATGTGATTACGTAATAGCGAGTTGAATGAATAATAAGACGAGTGAAGAAGAACTGACTTCGCCTTGCCGGCGAATATTAATGAGATTCGGCACAGTGCTTCATGCGAAAATAAACAGATATGAAGTGGCGAATAAATTTCGACAAATGATATCATTTCCTAGCCTCCGATATTATCTTTCTTATGAAAGCGAGGGAAATAAAAATCAAGTTTTGTTTGACTTAAAAGTGTACGAAAATAGTTTTTCTTTTCTGAAACTCTACATTTCGATTCAGTTCGGCGCCTCATTTGTATTCAATGTCAAAGTCAAAGATTATTCAATTCCCTTTAAGTTGTAAAGTCGATTCATAAAGAAATATGCTGAAAACGAGAAAAGAATTCTAGATGCCAGACGGAAAAGATCGCTTGTACATACTAATCAACTCATAAACAACTGATTTATTCAACGATCAACCTACAATCGTAGCATAGGTCAAGTGAAGCTAGATTGTTGTTATGGAGTGTAAGCGCCAATTTGCTTTTGTAATTTGTTTACAAAATCTCAAATCTCACAAATAATTAGGTCAAGATCATCCGACGAATTAAATTGTCTTGTTGGCAAAGAGTAATCTAGTTTTATTATATCTAAGCCTATTGCTTTGTGTGTTTATTTTATGATGATAAAAACTATAAAACTCTAAATTGTTTTTATCTGCGGAAGAGAAAAAACATTCTCATCACGATTGAGAAAAGCTTAAAAAGTATCAATCGGCTAATAATTCGTTTTATTAAAAATGATGATGACGAGTTCTTTGACTTGCTATTAAATACAAATAACTTTGAAATAAAAATTATGACTTTCTTATCTCAATTCTCGTTTTGGAATTAACATGCACTTAGAGCTGGTTTAATTATACATTCAAATTCCAATTTGTAATGCTAAGCATTTCAATATCAGATGATCAAAAATACTATACGGATTGAAATGAGAAATTGTGCACAACAATACAAGTTTGAACGTGACTGAAAGCGAGAAATTGAAGTTAAGAGTCACCCTGTCATGAAATACGCGAAATTATTTGCTTTTAACGTCGCCTATATTAGCATTTCTACCTCACTCGATAATTGGCAAATTTTAATCGAATATCTAGTGAACGATGATGCGTGCAAACAGAATTTTCTCGTCTTTGGTCACGCTTGATCGTGTCCATGTCCCAATAAAATTGCAATTTCATCATTTCATTTTATTTTGCTAATTCCGGAATAAATTGGGAGAAAAATGTTTAAAAGTTTCAAACGAAATGAGATCATTCGTTCTCATGGCTGATCTCACCTCAGTCACTGTAAAAAAAAGAAAAAAATTCAAATCTCTCTGCGCTTTCCTGTTTTAGTCATTTGAAGCTGAAACACCAAAAAAAAACTTTTTAAAATTTATTATTTATCAGTTTCAACTTCATTTGGGTGTCGTCGCTGTCGATTATCATGTGAATATTAATTTTTGTTCTTGGTCACATCCTGTGGGTTCTTTGAATTGTTAATGACTTTTCTTTTTCTTTCGTAAACATTTTCACATTGAAGCAATTTTATAGAATTTTGTTGCATAAGTTCTCACCCGCACCACTTCATTTTTATGACAATTTTTTAAAACACCACAAAGTCAACTGTAAGTTACTTACATTGTGTGTTAAAATATCGAGAACACATAAACAGAAAATTGATAAGAGAAGTAAAGCATGGCGATAAGATTAAAAGTTAAACATTTGCACAACACGATGCATGCTCTCGATTAACTTTTGTTCTTATTAAATGCTGACTTGCAGTTGAACTTCACCAGATATAAAATAAATTAAGGAAATTAACTTGAATAAAAGTATCTGAAATCGATTCATTACAATCTTATGAATCAACTTTAAAAGCATTTCTCTTGAAATGCGTGATGTTTTTATAGTTAGTAATGGAGTATGATAACAATTTTGGTAATAGCTGATAAGAAAAAAAAGTTGAAGTAACCGCAAAATTCATTTTTAAGCGCTTCACAGAGTGCTTCAGGGTGTGGTAGAAGTGACATTGGTCTCATAAGAAACTCTACTTAAATTTTGTAATCGTTCAAAGTTGAATAAAAAAATTTTTGAAGTCTAACAACGAAGTTGAAAGCGAGTTAAAACTGAAATTAATTAAGTGAGAAAGAGAAAAAAACTATAACAGAGAAGCTTAAAATTATATAATTTTGAACAAGTTGAGTCCACAAGCTTGTCTTATTTGTAATTAAAATTCAATTAGTTAATAGTGAAGAAGTGAAAGGTGAGTTTAGTTCAGGTTCGCTTTAATGAACTTCAAATAAAATCTTTAACCATAAAAAATGAAATGAAATTACGATGAAAAATATGAAGTCAAAGTAAAACGTTTTTCTGAAATTTGCTATCTTATCAGTTAGTCATGAAAAATTATGATATCATATTATGAATTATATTTCTGTGCTTGGATGTGACTTGTGACAGCTGAAAATTTATTCCTACATACGTAATGTAAACAGCAAACACACAGATATAGAAGTTTATTCTGCAAGATTGATAAGTTTTTAAGTTTCATTGAAGCAGAAATATAAAAACGCGTTTTGTTCACCTCACCTTGAAAGTGATGTTGTTAGGTGATGATTCAGATCAATTTTCAAGCAGTTGAAGTCTAAGAATACATTATTGACGTCATTGTTCACAATTTCGATCTTCACCCATGTAATCATTGGTGACGACGACTTTTGGAAACGTTCCCTTGTTTGACATTGACTGTTTATGGATGTATTCAAGCGATGACTGAAAATCGAAAGTATTTAGCTGCAAAAGCCTTTTCAAAACTAATGAACATCAACTCTGTATATGATTTGCAAAATGTCTACATTGTTGCAAACATTTTAGCTTCATAAATGGCGTACGACCATGAAACGAATGATTCTGCTGAAAATTTTGTTAAATTTCATTTGTCACAATTATCTTATGACTTTAATGAAGGTTGCTGTGAAACTTTAAAAATGGTTTGAAGGAGTAACTTCTTAGCAGGGTCTCGATCCTTTAAATAAAACAAATCACGCGATCATTTATAATTTTCATGAGGTTTCATTAAAGCTAATCAAAGCTGTTGATTCGGATTATAAGATTTATTCTCCTCTCTCTCTCTTTATTTAAGTATTCGCGGATTTAATTTGCGTTAATTAAAGTAAACTAGGACAAGCGAGTGCAAACATCCCATGTTATTAAAAAATCTCAATGAGTGTTTGAAGATCACTCAACATACGAAAGAAACAAAAGGAAAATAGTCGACAACCGACGATGCTTTTTTGCTTCTTAAAATTTTATTTCATGAAATCAGAAGTGAAGAAGAAGAAGCAGATAAAAAAACTTTTTAAAAGAATGATAAATTGAATATGCGACCTTCAAGTAAATTGCGAGTAACGTTAGCGGATTTTCTGAAACTTAGAGGAGTAAGAAACAACGTGGTGTCCGGTACAAACGAGATAGATGGATAAATAAAAAATAAAGCGTCATCCGAGCACGTCACTCGTGATTCCCACGTTAGCTACTTATAAGAATTCCTTCACTTTTACAGACATAACGTAACATATTATCAATTGATTAAAAAACTAGTTTATTTGCAAATCAATTAACTTCTTACTTATATTTTTTAAGATATAAATAAACCGGAAAGTTCACAATTGAATCATTTTACGGAAGCAAAAGCAGTTTTTTAATTGTTCATTTGACTTCATGTATACTTTGATTTAAACCGTTAGAAGACATTTACATTGATTAACATAGAATTTTGCAATAAATCGGCGAAAATGATGAGCTTGTAATTAGTAACACAATATTCATTAGTTGAACATGTAACTTCAACTGGTTTTTATTTTTATAATGATAAATAATTGACAGAAGGTTTGTCCATAGGATAAAATTCTATGCTTTCAAAGAGCATAATTTAAATCAATTTATGTTTGCCTTAAAGTGCTCTTTATAAGCAGCCAAACCACCTACAAAAGAAGAAAAATTCTTCATTAAAAAAGTATAATAAAGATGAACTCATTTAACAACTTTGATTACATTCGAGTCCAAGTTGTTACTTATTACTTTGATATGCAAATTGTGTGTAAATAATCCTCTTTATTTAATTATTTCTTAATTAAAAATGATCAATATTATGCAAATAAACCAAGATAATTGTTCAACTTAAATAGTATTGAGGATGAATGTTGGTCGAAGCCTGATTATGGAATTGTAGAGATAAGATTTAAACCTTGAACGAACAAAGCGAGATTGCTTCATAAGTGGGAGTGATAATATGTTTTGATCATGAATGGATGGGAATTGAGAAGAAAGCAAATGATAATTGGCAGATCTATCAGCATTCTGCAGATAGCAGAATAAGTAACGACTTCGATGAAAAGTTTTTCCTGTCAAAGCTAAGACATCATGTTGCTTCAAAAGCGATCATCAATTTAGCACCGCTGAGCGAGTTTCTAAGTGGGAAATCATCAGTTTCATAATTGACTTGTATTGCGACTTCAAGTTAATGTTTAATAATGAAGATAAAAAATTAGTTTGACGTGCAGCATGTGGCAATCAAATTTATGATTGCTGAATAGATTTTGATTTGCTTTATCGTCGTCTTAAGTATAATTCTAATACAGACTTTAAAATAAATATACGACAAAAACTGAGTTGCAAAGCTCATTGAACTGTTGACCTTCTTACTCGTTTGTTTTCTGCTCAATTTAAATTTCACGGTTGCCAAATGAAGAAAGAAAAATTGAAATTGTAATTGAGTGGAAAATATATTTCAATGCTTGTTTGACTTTCAAAAGTGATTCTCTTTAGCTAGATTTATTTTATTCTGATATCCGTTTTAAAACAAAGACAAGAATCAGTGAATTAATTTCTTAGATTTGTTTTCTTTGCACGATTCAAATCTTCTGTTTGAAAAACACTCAAAATAACACAAAATTTCGTTTTAAAATCACAAAACTTGTAGCAATTTTTAAGCATGAAATGTCACTCAATCTCAAATGTAGCAAGTTTTGCATTTGAATTTTCTACCCATCAGCTGACTGAATTCTTCATCGTCGTCTGTTTCTTGCGAGAAAAATTTCAGCCTCGATAATCTGGCAAACGAAAAGATTTTTTGGCACGAGAAAGTGAAAATAAAATTTTCTGCTTTTTCAATGTCAGAGACGCGAAGAGACACGAAGACGAAGGAATTTCCTTTTTCTTATTCTAAAATAAAACCTTCGACCTTAGCATTACTTTATAACAGACTGTTGATTGTAACTTTTTATCATGACGTTGATTTATGAATTCAAACATTGTTAAGGTTTTTATAGAAAATTTTCACTGATTACAATTTATAATAAATAAAACAAACTCGTGATCCTCAACTCGTTAATACTTTGTTGTAAGCCAAAAACCTCATTCAATTATAATTTATAATTTATAAACTCGATATTCAAAGTAGGATATTGAAAAGATTTGCGTAATTTTCTTTTTATTCAAATGAGTTATTCTTTTTCGAGGTTCATTAACATTTCAAGAATAAAAATAATTTCTTTCAATCAGACATATTCGAATAATTCAATTGAAACCTAAAGAAAATCTTCTCTGCTTTATTAAAAAGTTTGAATGAGTGTCGATTGCGAATTGATTCAACATTTTCCGTGACTATACAACTGTTATAAATAACCCGCTTACCAAATTTCCTCATGTCTGGTTATTGTCTAGAGTTATTTAGCAAATTAACTGTTATTATCTAACTTCGTCTAATGAACTGTACTTGATCGTCGAGCCTTAAAAAACTCGATGATTTGTGCGTAAAAATATTTCTCATCCAACTTTGAAATTTCAAATATTTAACATAGAGATAATTTGTTTATATCACACATCAACCCAAAGCGTGGGTGGCAGAAGATGTTTCAGTCATATTTAGATTATTTAAGAATTCGAGATGAAACTTTTATTACACTCAACTTGTTATGTCATCGCGGCTGTTCATAAAAGCTTAAGGCCTTCAGAATTTAGGATGAGTTAATCGAAAAAAAAAAATTAATTTCAGCACATTTTTTTCTTCGCCGCAAGTAGAAGTTGATGTGTAACATTTGCGGCGTGATGCTTTAACAGACACACAATGGTCAGTGAAAAAGCGCAGCACGTTTCCATTGTTTCGCTTCATCCAAACACAAAATTCAATGATTTTAAATCTTAAGAGAAACAAAAAGTTATTTATGTTCAAGTGAAAGGATCAATTTAAAAGTGGTTAGCAAAAGAAGGCTTAGAGGTCACTTTATGAATACTTGAAAATGCTTTCACATCGTCAAACCTTGCATCAAATTACTTGTGGATTGCCTTGATACAACATCAAATCATCACAGTTCGCTAGAAATCTCATTAAAATCAAGCGTGTTTATTAACATCTGCAATAAATCTTCAATTGACTTACAAGATTTCACTTCATCTTTGAATATTTCCCGAACTCGTCATAGAAGAAGTAATCATTTCTCTTTTTCTTATTGCACGCTTCGTTCTTGATTAATTAAAAGTTATTACTGGCGTGTAAAGAAATCATCTTAACGAGATTGAGAGGTTGGAATATTAAGACTAAAAGTCAATAAAGAAGAACCGTGACTAGTGATGTTTTATGTTTGTACACTTTACAGAGAAATCCGCAGGCTTTTACAATCAAACTCTTTGAAAATAATGATGATGAATAAGTTTTGTAAAATTTTTGATGACGGTAGCAACTCAAAACTTATCCTTGTTGCTGTCGATAAGTTTCTTTATTGCGTTTTTTTAATGGTTATTTAATCGTTTTAACTCTGAACTTGACAATCTTCAAGTGTAGGTCATCAAACTTTAATGAACGGCCACAACGTCAGCAAATAAACTTCAATTAATAAATTACATTGTTGCTCAACTCTTTTATTAAAATTAAATTGCTTGATCTTAGCTGTGTTTGTCAATTATATTTACACGAAATGCAATGTTTGTTTCGCCCTTCTGTTATTGAACTTAAAAACTATTATTACAAATTTGATTGCTTTCGAGTTAGAACTTCCAACTTAGACTGTGAAAGAGTAATAAACGAGAGCTTAAAGTCATTTCCTAGAAAATTCATGATTGGAAATACTCAATGACTAGCTCGAAGCTAAGCTTAGTTAAATAAATTAATTCAACGCCCTCGTGCAAACAAAATGTTGCCTCAGTCGACGAGCGCCTTTTTCTCATTCTATTGAATTTATGAGTCTGTTATTTGTCTAAAAGAAATTGTTAGAATTTTTATTTAATAAAATAAATTTGCAAGACATTTATTTGCGAATCGTCTACGCCCACGCAATTCAATCTAAATGAAATTTATTCGTCGCGATCTAGAAAGTTCAAAGTTATCATAATGACTATCAAAAGCTGCAAAGACTGCTGTTAAAATGTGACATTAAACTTGAGAGTTTCTTTTTCTAGTTTTAACTCATGTTGCGTTTGCGGCATTGTCGCTTTTATGTAACAACTTTGTTGGATATTTCAACTTTGTTTATCAAGCGTTGATTGCTTTGCTTTCAAGATATTTCTTCAAACACCGAAGAATTATGAGCTCAAGTGCTGAATATGTTTTAATGTTATGTAGAAGTTCAGTTAATTAACCGCATGTTTGTTTAATGATGCAAACATAAAAATGACCAAACATTAAAATAGTTTTTAATTTGTAATTTAAATCGTTCCGAATCATTAGCGACCATAAGCATAATTAAATGTTTGTAAAGTTAACGTTATGTTGTGCATCGATTATTTTTATTGGTCGCAAGTTTATTAATAGTTTACCACCCACACACACTCGAAAATTATCAATTATTTCCTTGCTTACCTTTTCTCAATTGAAATATTCTTCTTCCATAATTTAAATCCACTCTCAGCAAGTGCACTTGACTTTAGATATCGGTAATTTCTTTTTACTGAGGTTGACCTCAACCAAAATTAGAAATAAAAATTTACTTTCACGATTGAGTGACAGCAAAATGTTTGTTCTCTTCTTCTCTTGCTCGCTCCCTCTTCATAGATAAATGCATTACGTTTGTTATTGTTGACCCATCCAACTGATCTAAAATGAACTTGTTCCGCTCATAAATCAATTGTCAAGCGTGAGGTAATAATCGGAGTTTTCATAATTTATTTTTATCGTGACGAAGTTTGTTTAGAACTATTTTGAATACACGTTAAAGTGACTTGAGAGCTTTCTCAAATATTTCATTCATTCTACATACAATGTCGGCAGATAGCTCGAATAGAGACGAAAAGTGATGTCGTCAAAGAACAAATATTGTTTCAGCTTTTGAGTGTAAGAAACGCTTCTGCGTTTGTCAGAATTTCTCGTAATATTTATTTACATAAATTCTGTTTTTAAGTGAAATCGTTTGTGTTTCTTGTTAGACATACTTAAAACATAACAGAAAATCTTTAATTACATTCAATTGTTCAAGTTGTGATTTACCTTCATTGTATAATTTGAGGTGTCATCTCAATCCACACCACGTGTTTTAAATTAAAACATGTGCAACGGAAGTGAGGATTTAGAAAAGAATCTCAAAGAAGCAGCAAAATTTCCACACCGATCTGTGGTGAACTCAATAAAATTCAGTAAAAATTAAGAATCTCGTTAGTGTGATGAAGAAATTCAAGCTTACTCACGTGCCTTCAATTACATAAATTGTTTATTTATCCAATCACAACATAATTTGAATTCAAGCACAGATCGTCAGAATTCCAATTAGAGATCATTAGCGTGCGTTTAACACGCATGTTCGGTTAAAGAATGACAAACCCATTTGAATTGTGCCCAACATTTTGAGCATTGTGGATGATGTTACAAACAATGATAATTGAAATTTCATCCTTTAACAGACGATAATGTTGCTTCAATTAAGCCAAACACTGATCGCGTACGTAACTATCACTAGAACTTGAATTTATTTTCATTTCATTCCCCACATCCTGCTTTTGATTTATATTTCATCGTCAATCGTCGTCATTTTGATGATGAACATCGAACCGTGATTTGTCGGTTGTTCCATTCTTTTATAAATTCTCGTTGTCAATTGAGATCTGTTTTTGTTGTAATTAAATGAATAAATGAAGTTCTTTACAGGTCATCGTGATTAGTTATGCAATTAAATGAACTCGTGCAACTAATTTGAGCGATTAATTTGTTTACTAAATTAAATTGATCGTTTTCCTATAAACTTGAGAATTTTTATTAAAAGAAATGTAAAGATGGAAAAACGACTGTAAAAACTATTCTTGAATATGTCATATGATTAAGTGAATGCTAAATAAATAAACAAGCGATGTTTATGGATGTTAATGGAAGCGATTTTCCGTTTTTTATGTTAACTTATCGATAGAAAAAAACAACAACAAAGTGTAAACATTCACTTTACGACTGTTTTGGGATTAACGGAAAATTATTTACAGATCGTCATCATCAAGTTAATTGATCGAGAAATTGCATTTCGCATCTCGTTTGTGTTTGTTTTTTATTTTATGATTTTGCATGTTTAAATATAAAAATTTATGATATGAAATTATGATTTATTGCTTTATTGCTGTTGTGATAGAAATTGCAATCAAATATTTTCACTTGAATGAATTTGCGACATCGAAGTCTGAGAAAAATTAATTGATTTTAATGGATTGAGTCAACAAACTTTGAACGCTTGACTGATGAAATATTGAATGTCAATAAAGTAAAGAGAAAACTTTCGCTATTGTAGATTTAACTTTTAAGTAGAACAAAAACAATTTCTTAGTTTGCAGACAAATTGACAGAAATTTCATTTCACTCATCAATGGTTCAACGCTTTGCAATACTCACTTACAGTGCGACAACAAACCTTTATGAACATTAAACTGGTTGTTCGTGATGCTTGAAATATTTTTCCCATAATTAAATAAAACATCTGAATACTAAATAAATTAATTCCCTTTGAAACAAGAGAAATAAAATGAGAAGAAAATGAATTAAAATGCAAGATCAGGCGTGGCGATGCATCAAAAGCTATGCAGGTTTCGTTTTGTCAATGTTGAAATATTTTTTACACAAAGCTACATGACTTAAAAAAAATCAGCCAATATGGTGAAGAAAGTGCGAAGTTGTTGGTTTCTGATTTTCCCCATCACAATTTTAATTACAAAACGTTTCGTATTTTCTTGCCATTGGAATTTTAAAGAAATAGTGCAAGGCGAAACAAATTTCTACAAATTGAAGACACAAGCACCAAATCAAAAGTATCGCGTGATGTTGACATTTATGTTGCAAATGAGAATAATTTCAATTAAGAAAATTTAAAAATCTTATCATTATTTTGGTGGTAATAAATTAATTCACGAGTCAAATTTAGTGGGAAGGCAGAGGCAGAGGCGATGATCACGGAAAATAAAAACGAGGCTTGCGTAGATTTTTTTTAATTAAATTTCAATGTCTCGTTGATAAGATAAGTCGAGCGTTATCAAAATAAATAAAACGTTGCTTGTGGAAACTTAATCGAGTAAAAGCACAAATTTAATGAGTGCACAAAATTAAAAATCCACAATTTTCAAAAGGAAACTCCCGGCTAATGAATAAATCATAAGATGCTTTCAACATCTTCGTGTATTCTTTTCCTTACTATCAGTCTTATCAATCTTTAAAGTTGTCTCAGAGACACAGCCAAAGCAAGATAGAATTGAAAGTGACGTGTTAACGAAACATCGTGGGCAATTTGCAGTTTCTGTTTTATTAGTTATTTCTATAAAGAAAGCGTTACTTGTGGGTTGGGCGGAAAGTTTTGTAACTTAAATAAGAAGAAAAAAGTTTGAAACGTTTCGCTAAATCATCATCAAGACTCATTTGTCTGTTTAGAAAGATTAATTAGGTTTGTAACTTGAGACTTGTGACAGCTTAAATATTTATTGTGACATCTCAACGTTAGTAAACTTATGTTTCGTCATGTTTCTCTTTTTTTTTGTTCAAAGCAGCACCTTAAAAATCATTGAGCCATATGCTGCTACCACGTTAAATACTTTCAAGTAAACGTCAACATTAAAAATTTATCGATTGTGATCGGTTCGAACAGTAAATTTGAATAATTTTTTATGTTGCATTTGTCATTGGTTTCTATTTAAAATTCTTGAACTTCCTCTCATGGAAAGGGTTAAAATCATAGAAGCAGTTTGTCTGCTTGCATGGCTAGCTTGGTGGTCAGTGAATGTCTGTGTTAGTAAACTTTACTTTAAATTCCATCCGATTAAATAAAAAATGAAGCACAAATTAAATTTCTTGAGAACGAATAAAGCAATGAACTTTATCAACTTAAATTAATTCTTAAAATTATAATAATAAATTAATTTGATTGTTTTTTCTTTTCAGACTCGCTGATAACAGACAAACAGCCAGCGACACGACACGACAATAAAGACGAGAAGGAAACTGGCCGCTAAACAAAATGTCACAAACTAATAAACTACCGAAAACAAACTCACTTCTGCCATCAATTAATTATAAGCAATTTGTATCATTAATAATCTTGCTACTAGTCACATCATCAACATCACAAACACCAACTGCAATTTATGAATGTCCGAGTGGTTGTGAGTGCAATGAAACCACTTTCAGCGCAAAATGTGAAAACTTGAACGAACTCATAACAAGCTATAGTCGAAAACAACATAACTTTATGCCAATTAAATCACTTGACTTATCGAATAATCAACTTACAAAGCTTACCAATCAATTGGAACTTTTGGTAAACATAACCGAATTAAATTTGTCACACAATCAATTGACGCAAGTGCATAAATTGAACTTTGAACATTTGGAGACTTTGGATTTGAGTCACAATCAAATAACATCTGCAAAATTAAAGAAACTTCCAAAACGAGTTGTTCATCTTAAATTATCTTACAATGAAATCACATATTTGCCGGTGGACTTCATGAAGTTGAAGAAGCTTCGTTCACTTGAACTCGATGGTAATCCTTTAAATTGCACATGCAATACACTTCACGTTCGTAATTGGATAACTTTCAATCATGTTTGGTCCGACAAGCATATCGTTTGCATGTCACCGCCAATTGTCAAAGGAAGGCCGTGGTTACAAGCTCGTCAGAATGACATCTGTATTGAACCATCATCAACCACAACACAAAGAAGTAAATACAATTGGGATAACTATGACGATGAAAACGAAATCATGATGGGCGATCAACCACAATCAGATGTCGATGATGTTGAATATGAAGAAGAAGCAGAATATGAAGACGAAGAAGTTAAAGATAAAGATTCAAATGTTTTCGATGAAGATAAAGAAGTTCATGATGAACCAGCACCAGATGACGATGATGATGAATCTGAAGCGAAAGATATATTTGAAGATGCCAGTAAGAAACCTGAAGAGAAAGAAGACGAAAAAGTTGAATATGAAGATGATCCACAAGACGACGACGATTTCATGCCCGTTTCATCAAATTCTGAGAGTAGTTCAACAGTAGAACCAGAAATTGTTAGTGGACCAGAGAATGAAGATGAAGGGTCTGGTTTTGATGCTTCAGCGATGCCTCTAACAACAGAAGAAGATGACAGTGATGAGTCTGGTAGTGGAATTCCTATCTACATTCCCTCAAAAGATGACCTTGAAAGTTCTACTGAACCAGAAGAGAAAGAAACAATTCCACCTTTAGGTATTTTTGAAGACAACACAGAAGCACCATTTGGTGGTCATAGAGATGTTTTACCTGGAAAAAGTGATGCAAGTGTTGATGAAGATAAATCTGCGAAGATTTCTGCAAATGAAATTGAAACAGAGAAAGCTGGAACAGATGAAAACTTCGGGACTTATGTTTTGATTGGAATCTTGGGTGTTTGTCTTCTTGGATTGATCATTTTCCTCGCCATGAAGAATAGACAAGAAGAAAAGAGAAATCGTCGTATGTATGATGTTGAAAAGAGTGGAGCGACTGAACTTCAAGATATGGACAAAAGATTGTTGGGAAAGCCAATCGATAAAAATGGTAATGGAAAGACGGAACAATCGCCACTTATGAACGATTACCCTAATGAGCCATTGCGAAATGATGAACAACCAGCACCATATACCACCTTCCAAACACCTGATGTGACCGTTGAAGAACCAAAAGCAGTTCAGAAAGATAATGATAAATTGCAGCAGCAACCTTATGTGAATGGAAATGGACGAATCGAGCCAGTTCATAAAGCACCATCCAATGGATCAATTCCAAAGCTTCCAGATAGTGATGACGAAACTTTCCATCCTGCTACTGACAGTCCGATTAGCCCTGAGTCGTTGAACGTTTCACCAGAACCACCAAAACGTTACAGTCCTGTTTACTCCCCCGCATCGCCACGAAATGATCGCTATTCGCCAGTTTATTCACCTGAAACAGGACGTGTTAAAATCAAATTGACAGAGACACCAAAGGCTAAAACTCCTGTTTTGGTGACTAGAAGTCGAAGTGGAGCAGGAGATTACGTCAACACACCAAACTAAAATAGTCTAAGAATTTATGATAAAGTTGTCAGCTTTGCGTTATTTGTGTGAATGAAGACGAAGAAATTCATGAAATTAATTTTTTTTAAATACAGTTTATGAAAAGAAATTATTTAAAGAAAAAATCAAATCTTTTAAAATCGAAAACTATAAAAGAAGAACATACATTTTTATTGTAGAAAACAGAGTGAAATTTAGTTTTTAATATAATATATCATCTTAAAAGCATAAATATTTTAATAGGTCATTTCAAATGATTATGATGATCAAAATGATAAGAAATAAAAACAGGAAAAAAATTAAAGAAAGAATGTTTCCTTAGTATACTTTGCTGATAAATTAGATATCAAAACAATTTTTTATAAAATTTTAGTGATCAACATTGGCGAAGCAAACAGTGCGAACTACTAGAGACATCTATGACTCATATCTAGAAACTAGATCATTTTCTATTTCTCACCACTAGATGGTGCAACGTACACACTCACGTTCCATAATGAAAACGTTTTTGTATTTCTAAATCTAATATAAAATATTTATTTTGATTTATTAACATTATTTCATACAATATATCATCATTCAAAAGCTTGTTGGTCTTTTTATCACAACTAAATCATCTTCATCAACTGAAGAATTCGAATCGGTTTGCATTCCAGGTTTAATTGTTATAAATTCGGAACTATCTTCACTGTCAGTTGTGCTGTTTCGCTTTTCAGAACGAATTGGTTGAAAATGATCTTCATAAATTTGAATTCCATCCTGGGGAGGTGTAAGCGATTTTGTGACTATTTTCAGTTGTTGTTTATTATTGCCTTTGAAGCTTTCCATGTGTTTCAATTTTCGTCTAGCATATGGACTTCCACTACCTTCGGTATTATCATTTTGATTGTCAATAGTATTGGTAGTTTCAGGTTGCAACGATATTTGAGGTGAACGAGCTCTGCTTGAAGGTCCTGGTGAATGGTCAAGTGTTAAAATATCAGTCGAATGATAATGAACTGAGTCCGGTGATTCTTGTTCGTCTTCACTTCGACTAATTGGTTCAATTTCTTGTGGGTGAATTCTTGGAAAAAGTCTCGATGGTCGAACAGTTTCTCTCATAGAAATAACTTCTTCACTTCGACAACGATTTCTTCGTAATGGGACGTCTTCTTGATATTCGTCATTTTCATCTTCATTTTCCGACTTCCTTCTATGTCGTTTCGCCTTAATTCTTCCATTTCCAAGTTCATTTAATGACGCAAAACTTCCATCTGGACGTGGCATTAAAATTGCATCAGCATAGCATGGTGGTCGGGATTCTCTAGGATCAGGAGCATCTCGCTGTGCTTGTTGTTCCATTCTTACACGATTTTGACGGGAGCTAAAAAAGGTAAATAAAAAATTATTTATTCTTTCACTCTTGGAATTATAATTGCATTAACAAACATTTCTCTTCCTTCTTCAATGTTTCTTTCTCGTTCTTGTTCACGTGCTGTTTGTTCTCTTCCTTCGATTCCACGTTTTATAGTCATAATTAAACACATGCAACCCGAGAAAGCTGTAAATTGAAATTTTATATAGTTTTTACACGACATCATCATCATCATAAAATGTTCATTACCTATTACTGTTACCATAAAGAATGTCCAAACTTTTTCTGTTGTTCCCATTCGCGATGGAGGATACCAATCATAATAACATGCACTTTCCTAAATCAATTTCAGATTATTTCATTTCTTTATAATCAATAATTTAATATTTATTGTTACCCAACTGCTTCCAGCAACGTCTTCTGGACTTTGACATCGAAGTGTTTGTTTTTCCCACAGTTTTGCAGGTGCTGATGTCAAGAAAATGTAAAATGAATGCATTTCTACGCAATTGCAGAACCAAGGATTATCTCCCAAATGTATTTCAGTGAGATATAAATTCTCAGAAAAGAATTCTGTTCTGAATGGCGTTGTGAATCGATTTCCCGAAAGATTTATTATCGAAAGGTCAGGAAGGCCAGCAAAAGTTTGATTTCGAATGTTTGTCATTCGATTCATTGACAAATCAAGCACCTGAAGATTATCTGAAGAAAGTGTATCAGGAATATCGTTGATCAAGTTGTGAGATAAGTCAAGATTAACCAGCTCTGGTGTTCCAAAAAGTAGATCGGAGTCAATTGTCATAATTTGACAATAAGTTAAGTTCAGATGTGTCAGACTTGATGCAGTTATTCTATTAAATCGACTGATTGTATTTCGACTTAAGTCTAACTTTGTTAAAAGTTCGTTTTCCTTGAAAGTATCGCGTTCAATTCTTGGAATCAAATTAAAAGAAAGATTTAATGTCTTTAAATGTTTGAGCTTTCTGAAAGTATTTGAATCTATCGTGTTGATTGCATTTTCAGCTAAATCAATGTTCTCAATCATCTTGGTACTAATGAAACTGTCTCTGGAAAGTTCTCGTATCATATTTCCACGCAAAATTGCCGTTGTTAAGTCTGGAAACCCTTCAAGCTCAATGTCATCCATATTGCAATGCGATAAGTCGATTCGTTTGAGTGAAATGGATGACACAAACTCTCCTTGTTTGTTTTGAAGTGAAATTCGATGATTTCTTGACAAATCGATGTAAGTTAAAGAAGGAAGATTTTCAAGCATGTTCGGCAACAAATTCGTCAAACGATTATGACTTAAATCAAGCGTTAGCAAGCTATCAGATATTAAACTTGAAACACTTCTAATATGATTTCCAGCGAGGTTCAAATGCTTTAATTTCTTCATGCCTTGAAGAATTTGTTCACCTGTGACTTTTGATATCTTGCAGCGACTTAAATCGAGCAACTGAAGCGAATTACTCACAAGCAAAAGATTATCGTCGTTTGTTGAAAAACTCGTAATAGGATTTTCGGCTAAGCTAAGCTCAGTTAGGCTTAGTGCTGGTTCAAGTAATGTTCTCGGATTTATTGCCATCCAATTGCTGATATTATTTTTGGAAAGATTAAGCAATCGAAGTCCAAGCATTCCACTCAAGGAATCTGACGGAAGTTTCCTGATATGATTCTGTGATAAATCTAAGTATTGAAGATATTCAAATGTTCTCAATTGTGGTGGAACATTCTTAAAATGATTGTTTGATAAATCAAGAATGTGAATCTGAAACGAATTTTTTCTTTTTAGCATATTTAAACGACGTAAATATTCACAACTACCTGATTATCAGGAAATTCCGGTAGATCTGTTAATTCTAAGCCTGAGCAGTCAACAAGCATTAAAAGCCCATCCATTGTGCAATGACAAGCATCGGGACATTCTTCAACTTCAAATGTATTAATTTCCAACACGTGAAGAAATGATATCAACAGAACTAAAGCAACAAACTTTACGCAAAGCATTTTGAATGTGAAAATTCAATGAAGATAAGAATTCCACTACATTGACAATCGCGATGACTCAGATGAACACCAAAAAGTTCAATCAAATTTTCTAGCTTCACACAAAAGTTTTATCAAAAAGGAACCGAAACAAAATGGAAACTTGTTTGATTGTAAATGATAAGCAAAGAGTTAAATTTATCACTTGAATCTATTATTAAATTTTTATATAATCCTTTCATTTGCGCAGCTTTATCTGCCTTGATTGAGTTTATAGTTTTGGCTGTGAACTGACATATTGTGCAATTATTTATATCAAATATTTTTTCACTTTTCTGGGTGTGTTATCAGCGTTTTTTCAATTCCTGGTTTTTCACTGATATTTTTAATTTCTACATTCAAATTTTGGTATTCTAAATAGTTTGAAAGTAAAAACAATTTCCAAGAATTTTAATTGTTGATTTAAATGTAACAAATCTAAATGTTAATTAAAAATTTATTTATTTAAATATTTCTTTATTCAAAGAATGATCCAAACTCTTCAATTTTCCTAATAAGACTGTTCAGCTGTGAAGGTATGAAAAATAAATTCATTCACTTATCATTTGAAGATAACAAAAGATAAGAAAATTTTGAATGAGAAATCAGGGACGGAATTCGATTCGAATTAAAAATCTTTTGATATTTATGAAATAATTCAAACGATTCAAATGTCAACTTGAAATAATAAAACAAACTTTTGTTCAGAAATCATTATTGATTTTGGAAGATAATTTAGCATGATTACCTTTGGAAAGACGTTTGATTTTCAGTGCAATGCAGTATGAAATGTAGTATGATTCATACTGCGTTTCACTAATATTCAATCTACGTTATAATGTATGGAAAATTTCATTAGAAATGATCTCTTTATCAATCTATTTATAACAAATCATGCAAGGTTTTTTCTTTTTAGACTATACAATTATAACTTAATAAGTTTAATTTTTTGCATAAAGTTTGTGGCCGTTCATTTGTTGATGTCGTTTCTTCATGTGCTAGAAATTAATACATTCGAAGTTGAAGAATGTCCCGATGCTTGTTGATTCATTATAATTTTACTTTTCTTTTATATTTTTCTAACTTCGAAATTTCTAAATAAAGGCCAATCCTCCTTCCTTGAAGTTAAATCTATAAAAAGAATTATTTAGCAGATAATTAATAAAATCTGTTTAATTGATTTAACCACGAAAGTGATAAAGAACCAAAAACGCAAAAAGAATCGCCTCATTAACTTAATTATTTCTTTACATCTCCAATGCGATAGTCTAAGCAACGCGATATAAAAGTTAAGATCTCCAGGAAGTTCGACAAATAATAAGCAGATCAAAAGCTTTTTATGTAACCGTAAAAAGGAAAGAGAAAGTCAATGTAGCAAAGAAGAAAAACCGGCCATGAAAGTATTTAATAAATTTAATTGAATGTGATATTAAAAGGGCAATGTTTGTTAATGAAGAGGCGAATTAAGTTCCAACAATGAGGGTTTCCCATACACCACAAAATATTTTCTCATTCATGCAGAGATTTGTAATAAAAACATCCACACACGACTTTCCCGTTCCTGCATCAAAAAAACATTTCCTTTCAGAGTAGAAAAATTTCCCTCATCTTTACCGCTTGATATGGTTTATGTTTTGGGCAAATAAATGATAAATACGACAACGTTTGTCTTTTGCTTCCTTTACAAACAGTCTCTCTTAATAACTTAAGACTGGTGTCCATTCAACCTATCAAAAGGCAACTTAGACGAGAAAAGAAGAAAAAAAATGAGCAAATAAACAGAAAGAAAATTTATTTCCTTGTTTACCTTACATTAGAAGGGGAAATTTTTCTGTATTTATGCTTCTCATATGTAAAAGTTTTCTATGCTTTGGATCGCTAATAACAATAAAACTTCTTATTGAAAATTATATCAAACATTCATAGTCATTAAATACAATGTTTTCTAATCATATTCTTCAATGCTTTAATTTATTTGACTTCCAGAACAATCGTATTGAAAGAGACCTTTAAAAATCTGTTTATTTCGAAAGCAACTTCTAGTTAACTTTCTTTCTTATTAATTATCATTTATTTACAAGCTTTTACAGATAAAAGAAAATCTTTTTCAATGAATGCAGCCGAAGAAATTTCCATTTAGAGGATTATTTATTTTGTAGACCATTTGTAAATAAAGAAAGAAAAACGCGAAATTCGTCTTCAAAGAAGTAAAGACAATGATTTTTAGGAAGAAAAATAACTTTCAGCTTTGAGATTTTTTCATGTCGTCAATCACAGAAAGAAAAGTTTTCACTCAAAAAATTAAGATGAGATTCAATTGAAAATGCATATAAGAAAATGCTGATTTCATAATAACATCAATAAGATTATATTTCTAATTCTGATGAATGAAAGGAGATATCAAGTAGCCTTCTTAAGTCGATGTTTCTTTCTCCATCATTCGAATTCCGACAAAAAAGGTTAAATGTATCAAAATCATAATAATCATAATCATGTGAAAAATTGACATGCATCATCAAAACACAATAAATCAAGTCGATATGTGAAAAAGGGTTTCAATCTCTCTCATCTCTAAATTTTTCTGCCAATTGTTAACAAATTGCCCAACGAGAAAAGAAGAAAAAAGGAAAATTCAAGTAGAGGAGAGTCGTCATTCAGTAGCTTACAACATACACATAAAATGTTTTTCATAAAGATTCGTATTCTGGAAAAAGAATAAAAACGTTTTATGTTGCGGAGGGATAATAAAAATCTAGAAAATCCAACCCCTCAAACATATATTTGCAACAAAGCCGAACGATGTTTTTGGTCGTGCTGTTATTGGCGTGTGAGAGAGTGGGATGGAAAGTTGGAAAAACCTGTTGAATCTGAAAATTCTTTGTGGCATGGAAAGTTTTTGTTGGGGAATTTTAGAAGAGTTAGAGAAATGTACAAATTAGATTTTCTTTTAAGTATTTTCTCGGTAAAGATTGAAATTAAAAAAAACTATCATTGAATCAAAAGCATTTCACCATTAAATATCTAAACGAGTAGAATATTTTAAATATTGCAATGGATGTAATTTATTTTATCTTTCAAATATTTCACTCAACAATTTCAACGAAATATTTTCCGGGTTTCTTCCGTGAAAAATGAAAGACGAGGGACGTCCTATCGTCACAATCACATCAGTGGATCCCGTGAAAATCTTTAGAAAAAAATAAAATCATTTGAGCCATTAGAGAGTAAACAATCTTTATTTTCTGCTATGTGAGCTGGGAACATTGAAAACCAAATAACAAACAATAATCATAAATAAGGAAGCAAATTTTTTTCTTATCTTAAGCGATTCTTCTCTCTTTACCATTTTATTGGTTTAAAAAGTACGAATAAAATATGAGAAATGTAAAAAAACATTATGAAATAAGAAAGCAATAAAATGTTGATATAAAAGCTTCTCTTGTATCGCGCGAATAATTTTGTATTTATTCATTTGCATCACAAATCATGACAGCATTTAGAGATAAGATGTCACACGGTTCATCGTCTAAGAACGAAATTTCTGCTGAACAAAAATAAAAATTAAATTGAAAAATAATCATTCTTTAGCTTCCATTTGAAGAATCATAATTATCTTTCTTATCAATCATTCATAGGACCAAATCACTGGGATGTGTCCTTGTCAGAAATTTAAAAATATCCCACAAAACACATCAAGCGAGAAAATGCGAATTCGGAGAAAATAAAAAAATTGAAATGGCAGGAAATTACTTTTCTCTCTCTCTACGCATTGATTAAAATGCTTTCTTTCATTCATGATATTTGATGGTAGTAGCAATAAACGAAAAAAGAAGTCTCAAAAGATTAATGATAAAAAAGTAACATGTCAAATCAAAAGTCGGAAGAAAGAAAGCAGAAACGTTGATTTGATGGCATTATTTTTTGTGATGGCTTCATAATATTTCAGTGAGATACTGTGATGATTTCCAACCAAAGACCCCAATATCGTATTCACTTGAATAATTAAATTAAAATGGTTTTTCATTAGGAAATCATAAAAATGTGAAACTGATATCCTTCTTTGTATTCAATATCTCAAATGATTTCGTCACGCAATAAAATTAGCATATTTGTCGTCATTTCTATTCCGATAACATTAAATATTTTTTTATCCCCTCGATTGACAATAACAAGCCTGCGGGTGATGGAAAACCAAGCAACATTCAGATAAGTATATCAGGAACTGCATTTTAATATTTGAAACATGAAATATTTGAAATGACTTCAGTGTAATATTTTCTTATCAAACCATTAGTGAATATTTATAGAAATGAACGAGAAAGCGAGCATAAAGTTTTTCAATTTATAAAAAGTTATGCTCGAGAGGAAAATGAGAAAATTTCGAAGAATACTGAAGACGATAAGAACGATGAGAAATATTGTGAAAATGCATAATAATTTATTTCGCGAGACTCTTCTAAATGATGATTACATTTTCCATATTTTCTAGTTAGAATAGTTGAGAAAAAGAAAACTATCATGAAAATTAAATGCAATTTAAATATTTCCATTATTGTTTTATAAATCATTTTATGAATTATTTCTATTAAAAAGAATTTTCCTTTTTCATCTTCTGTTGTGGCCCTCTGGTGGTGGAGACCAGAGTTAAACATTCTCCGATGAGATCACTTAAAAGTACTAAGTTTACTAAATTTACTAAGTATGATTACAAAATCTTCATAAGTTATAAAAATAAATTTTCTTTTCAAGAATCTAGACAGTCATACTTTCAGAATTGCTACTTGATTCATGAAAATCGACAAAGATGATGGAAAAAGCAATTTGTCTATTTTTCGAAATATATTCTAACATATTCAAAATTATTTTCTTTTTAAATGAATTGAAAACGCTTCGAAATAATTATTTAATAAGAATGTTTTGAAATTAATTTTGTTGGAAATAAAACGAGTAACAAATTAATGTTTGGTTTGAATAAAATATAATGAGAACTTTAACATAAAAAAATATTGCTAAAATATCCTTGCTGTGAAAATGATGTGGGTGTAAAAGCATTCATTCATCATTGCAATTAAGTGTGTATGAGCTTCTACAAAGAATTATAAGCAAGAAGAAATTTTTAATTACATTTTTCGACTATAAATAATAATTAAAGGTACTTTCTTAATACTTTGAGCATTTTTTTATCATCTTTACTAAGATTCTTTTTCCATGCTGGCACATCCTTAAATGCGCTTCATTTTCCCGTACGATAGAGAAAAGAAAACTTTTTTTGTTCTTCATTTTGCTCCAGATAAAAAGCAAATAATGATGTGCTCCTCCCTCATCTACTCGAAGAAGAAAAAGAAACAAGACACTCTAAAGCATTGTTTAAGAAATAAAATCTCTCATAGTGAATAGAAACTTAAATTTAATCAAATTTGGGAAAAATATTTTAAGCATTTCTTAAGAACTTTTAATGTTTCTCTAAAAGCGATGCTTTTCCTTCAAATTTTTAAATAAATAAGAAGAGAAAAGCATATTACGGAGTTTCTTTTGTGAATTTTATGTTCACATGCACGATAATATTATTCTGAAAACAGCGCATTTTAATAAGCTTGCGAATCTTTCGTTGTTGCTTTTCTAGTAATAGGGGATTTATCTTGAAAAAATAAAATAAATATTCCAACATTCTCAACTAAGATATCTAAACTCAGAACATAAAAATTTTCGTTCGAAGACTGAACTTGTTTCATAAACTCAAAGGAACTAATGAAATAATCTCACTCATATAAAACTATCATACATAATTTCCTTCCAAATGAACGGTTGTTTCATATCTTATTATCAAGCTGAAAATGCTTTCAGTGCTATTAAAACCGACTTAAGATTCCTTGATTGTTACGTTCGTTCTAAGTGATGATTATGTTTGTTTCTTATTTAATAATGTTTGCCAATTAATACAGGATAATGATAGAAAGTTATGACCGAGACATTCCTGATATTGCTTGCTGCTTTCCCATTTCAAAGACACTTTGACTTGTCCGGAGAACTTACAAAACACTCCAAGATTATGATACATTTTAATTGTTTTGCGGACTACCCTCTTTATGTTCTCATATCTTTTGATGTTCATCTTGCACAATGAGAGAAGGAAGAAGGATCTTTTACTTTTCTTACCCTCTAATCAGATCATAAATCAATTTATTATTTCTGAGCCTTCAGATTTCTTTCATTTCATTATAGAAATCTCTAGGAAATGAAAGCGTGTAAGAGGACGGATAAGAGAAAAATTTACATCTTAATGTGGGTGTCAGTTTTGATGTTGTTGGTAAGTTGAATAAAGTTTCATGTAGCATCGTTAAACATTTTTCACGTGGCTTTCTTTTCAAATAACATAAAAATATTTTTCGAGCACCTTTGGAAAATCTTTTCAAGCTAATTTATCTCGCAAATGTAATAAATTATTTTCATTAATCGCCAAATAATGTAAAAATTCCAGTCGAAGCCCGCCCGCTCATGTATGCGAGCAATTAAGCGAGAAAATTATGATATCTTACCAATATATTTCTTAATTTATGTCTTAATGTGTTTCCATTATTTTGGAATTCCAAGTGCGTAGAGATTAAGTCGCTTGTCTTCTTTTCGGGGAAAGTTTTTCTGTTTTTCTGTCTTTCTCATAGATGGGAAGAAATTATTTATTTAGCTCGGGAAAATCTTTGACTCTGAATTTATTATTATCTTAATTTATGTGCACACGGCTTAGTTAAAAGGTACATAAATTATAAATGTGAGGCATTTTACTTTCGCACAGTAAGACAAACGATAATGAATTTTCAATTTTCACAACCCTTTCTTATATAATTTAACAAAAAACTTTCTGTTCTTTTTAAAAATGTTTCTTGTAATCAGATTTGCCACAAACACGCGTAGAACCATTTTCATTTTTCGGTGATATTTTGTAAACCTGATGCCTCAATAAATTTTATGCGGGGGTGGAATTCTACTTGAAATCGTACACAACAAACGCTACATTAGCTTAAAGGCAAATCAGGTGAAATTTAAAAAGCTTTTTCTCCATTCGAAATGAAGACTTATCATGTATAATTAAAAATAATTATTTATTGCTTTAATTAACCTAATAACAAAGAATTATAATGAAGAATTTCCCATGACTTTCTCTATTCACACACACGCATTCAACTTCTTTTTTTCTTCCTGTTGTTGCTGTTTCGGGGTGGAAAATAATACTCTGGAGAATAATTAAAAATCAGTTATGGAAGATGTTTCCCTTTGTGGGTTGGTTTCAAGTTTTATGGAGTGTAAAACAACTTATTCTCATTTTAAATGGTTAGAAACAATGCTGAACATTAATTGGGTCATTAGATTTTATTATTCACAATTTTATCTCCGATTTATCATAATTCATTTCCCCTTCCCCTCTCCATTAAAAGAATGAAATAAGAAAAGATTTGATTTACATCTTACATCACATGATTTGAAAAATATCTTTAATAAAAGAATTCTCTCACGAGCATAAATCTACAAAAAGAAAATTTTATGTAGATAATTTTTCTAAATTTGAACGAAAATGTAATAGCGCAAGACGAACATTAAATGTTATCAGTCTTGATTTAAAACTTTTCAGATAAGTTAAATTATCAGCCGCCTTCTTCATACAGTTTGCGAGCGGAATTGTCTTATGAAATATGTGTTGTTGGTAGTAATGCTGCTAACGGTGTATTGTGGGCCTCATATGGAGCTTTTCCTTGGATATCACGTTGTTTAGGCAATATTTCGTATGCGGCTTAATGTCTTCGGCATGAAAGCTGCGAGCCACCTTTAAATGGGTATATTAAAAATATATGCATGAGCAACTTATCTAATGATAAATAAATCATATTCTTAATTCTTCCTCCCCCGTAAATAAATATCTTACTTAGTATCTTCGTGGAAGAATTTCTCATCTTTTTCTTTTCGTTGCAAATCCTTTTAAGATGTAATATTCGGCATTTGTTTCTTACTCTTCTTGGGGTTGAAGCAAAATTTTTTTGATTCACCTTAAATCATATTTTCCTAGTTCAACATTCTAATAAAATGATTTAGTAGAAAGTTAGAATTTTAAATATTTTAATTTAAAAGTCGAGAATTTTTTTTTATTTGCTGAAATTTCATTGGAGATGTTGAAAAGGGTAATAAAATTATTTTTTGCTACTTCAACTCGATGAAATGATAGGATAAGATGAGATTCCTTTTTTTTTGCTATTAAATCCCCTCCATCGTCGTTGGTCATAAACAATTTTTAACTTGTTGAATGTTCCAGTCTCGAGGATTGTAAAAATGTTTTAAATACAATTTATCTTGGAACTGCCAACTTGCTAACCGCACCCGAGAGATTGAAAGAATAAGAACACTTGCGAATACCTTTCATTGAATCTTTTTATTATCTTGACTTTATTAAGAGCTCGACGGCTTCGACTTAAAAAGAATGAGGAGGAATTTTTTTTGGTTGCCTTAACAAAATTTCACCTCTACATTCACTGACTTCGACTTGATAAACTCTTAAGATTTATGGGAATTTGTATTTAAGGCAGAAAGCTCGAGATGTGAAGCGAGAAAGAATGGAAAAATTTTTAATACATTTTTCTTGGTTCTCTACGTTGATGCAAATTATGAAAGTATTAAGATTTTTTCACATTAACAGGATAACATTTTTATGATTTATTGGCTCTAATTCCTCACATATAAACTCACGTTTTTCTTTCACTCCTCGGTTGCTACTTGAATTTCTTAAATCTTGTGATTTTTTTTTCTTCCTTCACCGTCTTAGCCTCGTACAAATGGCTTGTGTTTATAACGTTTTCCCTTCGCGGTGTGATTTTTGATAAATTTCAAATGAATTATTATTTTTAGCGTATTTAAATCCTCTCAACTCTTGGTTTTCATCCCTAAAGTGAATGAAAAATGAGGTGGAAATGAAGATATTTGCATGGAATTTGTGCTTAAATTATGTCACAAAATTATCGAAAGAAAAAAAAACCCCTCAACTTGAGGGCCTCAAGGAATGAAAGTCATCAGCAACATCATTAAACGAGAATTCTGATGCGAAAATGAATTTGAAGTGTGATAGAAAAGGGGAAGAGAAGATACGAAAGAAATTCTCGCTAATCTCAACACGACTCTGAAGTTTTGATTTTATTTAATTTTAATGGAAACAAACATTGCGACAGTAATACACAAACATGATTCAATTTCAATCCCCTCACATACTTTACTTCTTTTCTGTCTTGAAGACAGAAGTAAATGAAAATTGTATGTTTTTGCGGTTCAAAGGATTTCCACACGGTGTAAGACGACGAGTAGAAATTAAGGGAAATCTTTGATTATGTTTTATCATGTGTTGATAACACCACATGACTAAAGATATTTTATAAAGTTGTTTGTAGCTTTTGTTGCGTGTCGTTAAAAGGAAAAACGAAAAAGCGAAATGTATTTGAATCGTAAAAGACGGATTAAAAGAGCGAGACATTAGACATCGAGGGGAAAGATTAAAAATCAAGAAGAGTGAACGAACAATGCTGTTACATTTCCACCCTCACTTTATAGAACATGAAACGGATTTTCCCATATCTCGCATTTGAATCTTTCATCTTTTGTTCTCGACTAATGAGAATCTCATCGAATGGATTAAGTCTGAAAGAAGAAATAAAATGAAAAGACTCGTCATAATAATTGAGACTGAAATGTTGAATGATTCATCTTTTTATTTTATTCTTTGTAATTACAGTACATTATCAGCTTTCTTTAAGTAAATAATCTTACAAGACATAACTACTTGATATTAAGCCTAGTTAAAATTCACTAAAACATGATACGGTATTTGATACCAAAAAGCAAAAAATTATTGGAAAACGAAAAACATCTCGAAAGACATTTTCACAGTTAATTTGTTTGTTTCGATTTTTTTTAATATCCATTTTCCTGCAAATATCAATGAAAATTATGCAAATATTTGTTTCGAATTTATTGAATATTTATTCATTTTTTTAATCAATTAATAGCCATGTTGACAGTGCAAACATTACATTTCGAATAGCCTGAATAAAATCTACTTACTGACTCTTGATCATCGCGAAAAATCTTTGGCATGAAAATTTTCAGTAATAGCAAAAAAATTTGTTTGAAATTCTCTTGATCTAAATATTTGTTTTTTAAATTGATTAAAATCTAAATGAAGCTATCAAAAGAGCTTTTTTCTTAATGTAAGCAAGTGGAGTTTCTCTTCTAATTCATCGCCTTGATATATTTATTTATACGAAGGATAATTTCTACTATTTAAGTGTCTTCAATACAATGAGCCAATGTTCTAATAGTATGCAAATATATTTTTAAACGTTAATTACTCGATATGTTATTTAGCCTAAGAATCTTTCTCATCTTTTAATTCTTTTCAAAAATCATTTTCATTTCACGTCTTGACCAGAAATCGTGGAGTGTCTCAAGGTGGGCGTTAAAATAATTTAGCATCAATCTTATAAACTAATTCTTATCACTAATTCATGGCCTGATCATTCACACTATGTCAACAAAGTTTTGTATTGAAGTGAATCTAAAAATAATAAAATAAAAATAAAACTTGACGCTAATAAGGAAACTGAAACAATAGTGCGAGTCACACTTTATTTGTCTAGAAGAAAATAAAACTTAATCATCCAAACAGTGAAAAATCATTCACTTTTATATGCATAGTCGATAAACAATCCAATTCCAATCATTTCATCAATTGCTTCTCAAGTATCCCAATAGTGCTCGTGCACTTTACTTTATAAAGTGTCGGTGAATTTTTTCTTCTGATAAAATTGATTGAAATTGTTCATTAAATATTATTCACGGTCAGATGATGTATGGAATGGATTTAAATCACGGTCAGGTGCACTATGAAATGGATTTAAGCCAGTCAGTTGTGATGGCGAATCATAAAGCGACATCTTCAAGCGTTTACATTTTGCACGACGATTTTTAAACCAAAACTGCACATTTTTACTCTCAAGTCGGGGAAACTTTTGTCTGTTGATTGAAGTTAAAAAAAAGGTTAAAATCAATTAGGAAGAACATTTCAGAAATTATTAGCTTACCTATATGGCATCCGGTTTAAGTCTTCCGTATATTTCAAAATCAAATTATGCGATGGATGTGTGTTCATTGAAAACCATTGCTCCAACTTTGGAACTTCCGTTACAGGATCGATAAAAGTGCGATTGCGTTTGCGTCTCTCGTCGCTGCTATTAAAAGAGTTTGAAAGGTTCAACCCAGCAGCATTTAAAGAGGGATGATTCTGCCCATGCACTGATTGATGGGCGTTTTGCATTGCTGGAATGTAGTGACTCATGTACATTATTGAATGTGCTGAAAACATTGAATTTGGATTGACAAGTGGGAAGAGGTCGCGTTTTGAATCATTCGGTGATGGAGAACGAAAGTCGTCTTGATCGTCAATATCCAAATCTTCAGATGGCGATGGTGAACGAGGTTGTGGAGAATTTGAACTGTGATCAATGGAGTTGTTCGATTTTACTGACTCGTCATTATTGTTGTTACGATTGAAGCTTTGATTCTCTGAATTCTCCTCGTTCGTTCCATTATTTCCATTCGAGTTGTTCTTTTCCTTTTCATTTGATGAAACAATCGGACTTGACGATCGTTCGTCTTCAAGTTTGATTCTTGTTTCACACTCAATGTTTGATGGTGTCGTTACTGATCGATTTCTTTCATGAACAGTCAATTGTAAGGGCAACTGTGGTGACAATGGTCGTTCATCATCGTCCATGTCATCAGAATGTTGCGAAATATTATCAATATCATCAGAGGGTGCACTTGGAGAACTCTTCATATAGTCACTGTGGGGCATCATCAAACCACTTTGATTGAAGCCATTACTCAAGTTATGTCCTCGGGTTTCAGCACGTTTTTGAGCTGCACGCGCGTTCTTGAACCAATAAACAACATTATTTACGTCAAGTGGTTTTCGACCACGTCGCGAGTCTAATGAATTCAATTGAACGACGTAAGTTTGAATCTGTTGACGTGACGGATGTGGATTTTCCTGGAACCATCTCTGTAGTTTTGGCAGTTCCATTTCAGGATCGAAACTGGTTCTCATTCTTGTCTTCTGATTCGGATACTGCGAGTGCACAGTCTGCAATGCCGGATGAACAATCATACTTGGATGTGTCACGTGATGATTATCAAGAAGTGGTTCACGTGACGGATGTAAATTGTGAAGGTTTGGCGCTGCAAAATCCAGTTCCGTTGATTGTGGATTCATAAACGGTAAAATCTTGTGGGCAATTGGATTGGCTTGCGGTGTCAATTGACTCGCCCACCACTGGTCGAACTTTCTACGCACATCGTCAGTTATCTCTGGTGAAAACGGAAAATGATTTTGCAATGGGCTGCGGCATATTTGCGATAAAGTAATCTGAAAGAAGAAGAAGGTAATTGTTGTTAAAAAAGTGCAGGAAGTATGAGAGGAAAAATATTTGTTTTCTCTAAAACAACTCTTATCACATTATCTAATGTAAATCCCAAGGAATTAAAAGTGGGAGAAGGTTTATAAAATTCTATTTAAAATCTCGACCTAAAAAATGTAAAATTCCCCATTTTTTCCATATTTTTCGTAAGCAAATATTGGAGAAACAAAAAAAAATACTAATTTACTTTCTTGGAAGTGATAAAGCGGCGAAAAACCTCATTTCATTATCTAGACCATAATACATTGTTGACATTGTGATTAGCTTAAATGCTTGGCTCATTCTTAAATATGTGGCTTAATTACACATGTGCAGAGGTTGAACAACATAATAAACAGCGTTGAACAAAAATCTTTCAGAGATAACAAGCAACAGAACAAGCGCATGCCATCAAATTCAAATCTTTTTGACCCAAAAAATATTTTTTTCTTTCCCTCTCGCTTCACTTCTTCTCTTTATTCTGCCGAATCTGAGTATGATTGTAAGCGAGAAAGCAATAAAACGCTTGTTTGTCATGACATAAAAATCAGATAAATTAAGTTTAATTAAAATGACTTATAAAATCCACCTCTGAGCATTCTTCATTCCAATCATACGCCTTTGCGATCGCATATCACGTCATCAAGCTTTGGCTTGAATCAATCTTTATTAAATATTTGTTTTATTAATTTATTGATTATGCAATTTAGAGCAAAGCATTTTACTCGTTTCATGAATTTCTTTGTTTTCCTCTTCTTTTTATTTCTCATTGAGTGGTTTATTGAATATTTATAGTCAATTGTTTAGTGCTTTCCACTTATCGCTTGTTGATATCAATCAGCTTTTTCTTTTTTTCATTTCAGAAGCAATCTGAACAATGTTTTGCAATTTCTTTATCAAATTGACATGAAGACGAAATTAAATAAATAATTTTCCTTTTAAATATCAAATAATTAATCATAACGAAACATTGGAAAAATCTTTCATCTTTCTAATCATCATTAATGCCATCAAACGTAAAGCACTTTTCTATTGTTATTTTAAAACGCTTCTTCTTTTCATTAAATCCCTCCTGCCGAATATTAAAACATGGAGAAGAAGACAGAAATAGTATGAAAAATATGTTAATGATTGTGGATTAATTTAATGCTAATAATGATGAACATATTCAAAGGAAATTTATTATTTTTCTTTTTCTTTTTCATCGTCACAAGATGAGAACGAGAAAGAAAGGAAAGACGATGAAACAAAGCATGAATTAATTATAATAAATCTCCACTTCTCTCAAATCATTTTACAATGTGTATTTAGCCATGAATTTATGTTGCTTAGTCGCTCAACTCGAAATTCGATTACAGTCGAGTAACGAAACGACATTTCTAGCAGCAAAAGAAGTCAAAATATTTTCAACAGCATAATGAAGTCAAAAATGTCGGTTGTAGCTTAATTAAAAGGAGGATTTGAGACGGGAATTTAGCATAGTGTTTAGCATTGGAAATTATGCGACGATATCCCTCACGAGTTGTGTTTATTTAAGTGTCACTTAGCGCTACGTTTTCATGAGAAAATCGCACAGAGATTTCCATTCTTAAAAGATTTTCATTTGATTTTCCTCGAGAGAAAATTTTCTTCTTTTAAATCTAAAAAAAGAAAAATATTTTGACAGCTTACCTCGTCTAATGGACATCCAGTCGATCGCAAGACAGTGTGAGATTGAAGGATCAACAGTTTCAACAATTTATCTTTAATTTCGGCAAGTTGCGTGGGTTTCGTACGAATAATTGTGATTTTGAGCGTCACACTTGATGTCAATTCACCGAGAATCTCGCTAACAGAAATCAATGTGTTGTCGGTGATTTTGTCGAGTGGAAGTGGCTTCCAGTTTTTGATTATAATCGCTCCTGTAAAGTTTATGAAAAAAAGAAAAGTTAATCAGATTAGCTCGTTTCATGTTTCTCTATTAATACGAATGTCTACCTTTGGCTGTATTGGAAATGTCTGACGAGTAACCAAGTCTTTGTAATGCGATTGTCACAATATCACAAAAAGGTGTTGCAGCTGGTACAATCACGTAACTGTCGGTCTCAATATTTGGTCGACGTCGCCAAGGACTTCGTGAATCCAATTGGAAAGATGCTTGCAATGATGGCACTGACTCAACCACGCAATGAAGTGGCAAAGACTTAGCTGCAATGAAATGAAAGCATTTTTTTTTAATAAACATAAATTCAGACATGAACGACAAAACAATTTTCATATGCTTAGAAAAAGTTTCATCCAAAAATCATCAAATTCCCATTCATTATAATCCCAAATGTTAAACCGATAATTCACAAGTTTTGTTCTCTAAATACACAATAAAAAGTCTTGTTTGGTTGACTAGGCGAATGTGATTAATGTTCGAAAGTTCTATGGGTTTGTTTGGCCATAAAAACTCAGCTCGTCTGTCCACAAGAACAAAAAATTGTCTTCTGCCTTCAGCAAGGGAATTCTTGCAATGTCTATAGATTGTAGAACATCGAGCTTAAGCTTATAAGCTTTCAAAATCAACTCGAGAGAAAAGTTTATTTTATCATTTTGCTAAATTTCTTTTTGTCTTCATTTGGATCCTTCACCTTTTCCCATCTCCCCCCTTTTGTTTTTTGGACAAAGTCCGAAAATTCTCAATTTTTCTATCAACTCTTTTCCTTCTTTTTCCTAAAACTGAAAGGATTTTGAGATGAAATTCTTAAATCTCCATATTATGTGCCATATTTTAGAGTTGATATAATTTTCTTGCATATTTTAACCTTCAAGAGATTTGACAATTTTATTGTTTCTTTGTACAAACTGGACAGAAGGGACGACACCAAAAAGGGTAAACTTCAGCTACGTCTTGAAGAAGTCTTCATCAGATTGATAACAAAATGTTTCTTTTCTTTTTCAAGTTGAGAAACAAGAACAAACTTACCCTGAGATTGAAATTTATGCAAATCCAACACAAACTATTCTTAATTGTGTGTTATGAAAAGTGTTTTTGCAAGAGCTCTGATAGAGGTTTTTTTCATGTACCCGAACTAGAAATGTGGTTTGGGAACGAGAATATGGTCAAACTAGCTTTTCGATTTATTAAAAGAAGGATTTTCTCGTTTATGATTCAAAAATCTCGGAGATCTTTTGTCGTTTTTCAATTTTTCGGACTCAACTCTTAAATCCTATCTACGAACGGACGTTTTGAGGAAAGAAAAGTTAAAAGACTTTCTCTGACTAGTTTTGGAATTCATGAATTTAGTTTCAGAACAAGTGAAAATGTGAGATTTAAAAGATTTTCTAATAATTTCAATAATTTTCATATCTACAAGGAAAATTGGAAAATTTTCATCAGAATATTTTCTCAAATCTCATCGTTCAAGTCATTCCAATTTTTAAAGCTAATTGTTACTCTAAAATACTCGATAAAAAAGCTTAACATTTTGCCACATGCTTCATTTTTGTTTCTCCGTTTTTTCACACCGTCAAACTGATTAGGATCTAGAATTTATGTTGCGCTAATTTTCTCCACTCCCCAACCATACATTTTCTTCTAAAAACGTTTCTCCCTCTCTCTCATTCTTGTCTTTCACTTCCAAAGCTCAATGTCGCGATGTGTTGATGTTACACATTTAATCTGTTGCTACTTCTCTACGAAACTCACCCATAAAAGTGCTCGAAAAGGGTGCTTTGTATACGTAATAACGAAGAGTTTTCCAATAGAATGAGGAAAATACTTTTCTTTTTCCCTCATTCTCTTTCAAAGCAAAAAATTGTCGCAAATAATCGGAATTGATTTTTAAACTCGATTGTATATAAGACTTTGGAATCAGGACAAAAACAGATCGTTAAGACGAAACCTTTTAAGAACTCTTTCGTTGGTTTCTTGAAAAAGATTAAGATTTTCCACATTTCTGCTTGAATTAAGGTTGAAATTCGTGTTCAAAATAATCCTTCTTTTACCGATTTTTTTCATTTTTCCGCATCTTTTCGTCTCCCACGCTTAACCGCATTTCTTGATCGTTCATCATCAAATGACAATTTTCTCATTAAGCTTAAGTTTATCAATGTACGTGAAGACAACAATTCAAGTAAGTGACTGTGATTAGAGTGGAAAGATTACTAAAGACAACGACAAAGTTTTCATCGACGTCTTAAAAAATCTATTAACATAAAACTTATGAGAAGAAAACTATCAAGAAAAAAATAAACAAATCTTTTGTGTGAAAGAGTTTTGGAAAGTTTGTGTTATCGCTTTTCAAACTTTTGCTTGTGCACACGTTGATGCTCTTCAAAAATGTTTCCATTTCTCTCTCCTTCCAAACGAATTACTTCTGATCGTTTTTAAACACAAAGGATTAACGTGAATGTTCTTTCGTCTTATTCTTTCTTTCCTAGATATTTGGGTTTAGGTTTAGAAAAGAACTTGTAGGAAAAAATCTTTCTGTTTTCACTAAAACACAATTAATCCTTTTGTGCGGGGTTTGCTAAGTTTAAGGATTAAGGATTTTCTTTCTCGAGTGGATAAATCAGACGTAAAGTGAGAGTTTGAAACAATTGTGAGGTAAATTACAAAAGCGACTTAAGAATTTGAGAGGTACGTGCTTTAACTGTTGTATTTATTTTTGATGATTTTCAGCACATTATGAGAGAATAAAAAAGAAGTTCAAGTCTTGTTGAGTCACAAGCTTGCAATTTCATATTGGTAACATTTAAATCCCTTCTTTTGCGAAATAAAAAAGGAAGTCTGTTTAAAGATTGTGGATTTGTAAAGTATTTTGAATGAGAATAATATAAAAAAGACTAGAAAAAGGGTTAAACGACGTAACTCTATCAGCATGCAGTGTGCAGAGATTTCGATGCTTAACTGCTCGTTACACAAGAAATTGTTTGATAAAGAATGGAAATGAATTGCGTCAAAATTATAATGAGGGGAGTAAAATAAAGGATTAAAGATTTGGTGTAGCTGAGAATTTTCATTCTTTTGCTATTTCCTATTGAATGATTTTAAAAAGTCTTCAACTATCGAGGGGTTGGAAGAAATCTCAAGCATTATTCTCTTTTTTTATTCATTCATTCATTCGTTTCACCCTTTAAACAATACCATAAAAACGAATTAAAAAATTGAAGTCTCAAATATTTCTGTTGATAAATCTCATCTTGAACAAACGTAAAAACCGCGCGCCGCATTTAAGCCGAGTTGTTAGGGTTGAGAGAATTTTAAAAGGATTAAAGGGTTGAAAATTTCCCTCGCTTCGATTTCGCCTGATGCGGGGTTAAGAATGATTCTAACTTAAGACATTCTACCAATTACATATAATTATTTATGCAATCAAATAAAAAAGTACTTTTAAGAATTGTAATCCAATTAAAAGGAAAGCAACGAATCAAAAAAAGAAATGAAAACGCCAACAATCGAGCTTTGTTATTCTCTCATTTCGATCCATTTAAATAAATATTCCATCGTACAAAGTGTTGGTGCAAGTAAGACTAATCACATGCTCAATCAATGGAAACATTTTTAATCTGGTTGTTTCTGTTGTAAGGAAAGCTTAGGCTTCGTAGTCATCGAGAATTATTCTGACCCTGTCGCTTTTAGAAGCCATATTTCTTACCAATGACTTTTTCTTTGCAGATTGCTGACGAATTCATAAGACATAAAGCTTCTAAGCGCTGAGATAATATAATTAGCATACGTGAATAACAAATATTACCACATTCGACTGCTTAAACTGTACACTGAGTCGGCAAGAGTTTAAATGTCTTAGATTTTTAAGCCAATAAAGAATGCTTTCTTTTAAAGAAATATAAGCGAAACATATAATCGATAATCTCATAAGTTATATGCTGCTACTCTGATTTTTAATCTTGTATACATTTTCATATATTTTTTTTGCTGCTTCAGTATTCATGTGCTGAGTTTGGCCAGAGGCTTCGATACAACGACAATAAAACAGCTAATTAAGTATTATTTATTAGATACTTTCGTAATTGATTTAGCTTTTGTATGTTTAAAGTTTTTGTATTTTTAAGGCTCCACTTGTAGCTTAACACTTAAAAGATTTTGGATAATAAATTAATCGTTCGCTATAAGTCGATGACATAAAACGTAGAAATCGATTCAATTAGAATGTCTTTAGCTTTTAATTAATTTTAATTCTTTGTGAAGATAAAAAATTTCTAGCACTTCATGATAATTTTATTAAGATGAAGATGAAGGAAATGATGATTTTAATAAAGAAATATCTCGTCAAAAACAGTTGTGAACTGATGGAATAAAGATAAGCCTCTTAGCCCATCTCCAATTCGTCCACCCGCGCATGCCACTACTGTCTTGTAATAAATTAAGCGAATTTAAAATAATCCATTCGCGAGAGTCTTATTAGCATTTGATGCTAGCTGATTAGTATTTAAAACTTTATTAAATATCTGATTTATCGACGATGCTTTTTAATCTTTTTTGCGAGAGTAGGAAGCGAAATATTTTCACCAAATTATCTTTTTTCGTCGCTTATGTTGTTTGAGTTAAAAACTTTCATTGTTATTTTTAGACTTATAATCAGTAGCAATCCAAAGATGGGAGTTGCCTGGTTATTCTGGATTAATTTTTTTCTTCTTTTTCCTTTTTGTATTGCTCTGTCGTCTTTAGCTAACAAAGCAATGGAATTTGTAGCTTTATGCTTTATGTAATAACCCGGGTAACTTCAGTGCGATCAAATTATGTTTTTACACTCTTTGTGGTTGCTGCAGAAGATTTGAGACGAAAAAAAATTCCAAAGTGTATTATTTTAATGCTCCTTTATTAAACTTATCTATTTTGCCGTTTTAATGATGCTGACAATACAGTAAAAAAAGGAAAATCTCAATGAAACGGCGCGCTGCTGCGTCTTCTTTATTTTATTTTCTCAAGTCATAAGTCGATTTAGTAAGTATTAAGACAAATCTTTTTCGGTTTTCTGATTATTTAGATGAGCAATCATTTCATCCCAATCTAATGAGCCGAAGTAAGAGCATAGAAGACGAAGCCCCATTCTTATTAAATTTTATGAACTTTAATCTCCTAAGATGATGCTTCTGCTTTTATGGTTATCAACTGATAATTTGAAAACATTTTTTCCGAGGATTTCGTTGATGAAAGTTTGAAAGAATTTCTTTTTTTGTTATTATCAATTTTCGGTTGAAGAAGAGAAGAGATTAAATTTTTAATCTTCGATCGATAAATGCTAGGAGAAATGTTTTCAAAATAGATCTGAAACGATGTGAAACTTTCTTTCAATGTTCGCGAAAATCTTATGCAAGCTTTTGAAAACATCGAAATAATGACGATAAGAGTTTGAGTGAAATTTTGCATGCTTTACCACAAGTTTATCCCTTAATATTATTGAGAGTTGTTTGCAACAGCTTATCCACTCTAATTAGTTGAGAAACTCAAACTTTGCTGATAAAATTCATTTGTATGCATTTTAACAATCATTTTAATTTCCAATTTCCTCATGAATTCTAACAAGATTTCTTCGACTATAAATAAATTCTTTTAAATCATAAGTCGATTTCTGAACTCTCGTCTTAAAGGGAAAGAAATTCTGAAGCTGAACGTATAGAAATCTTTGTTTCTTCAAGAAAACATAAGAAAGAAAGAAAAAAAATTAATCTCAAATTACTTTTGTTACGTACATATCAAACTCTTATGAGGGGGTGAAAAGAATGAAAGATTATGCAAACAGTCAAAAACATTTCCACATTTGAAAGAACATAAAATCATTAAGTCTTTGGCATGAAAAAAATCTCACATTGTTGCCGCTCACTCAATTCCATTTTCCATTATCAAAATCCGAAAATCGTTAAGTTTAAGCACAAAATTAATCCGCATTATTTCAGAACCGAGACTTTAGACTTTGTTTGCTTATAAGTATGTGATTTTTTAACATCTTATAAACATTTTCCACCATGTGAGTGTGTGCTGGTGTGTGCGTACTTATGTGAGAGAGAAACTGTCTGGATAAGAAGAAAAAGGATAAAACCTAAACCCATCTCATATGCCTTTGCTTAAGTATTCGAGTTCTCCAGGTTAAAGTTCATTAAACAAGAAGGCAAATATATGTATTTATACACTCACGTAAAGTAAGCACAAAGTTTTATAAAGGAAAAGGTTTTATTTATACCCCAATTCCTTGATATAAGAAGATTTTCGTTCGATTTAATCCTTTTCGTAAAAATCTTTCTCTTTCATTCTCCTGTAACCAGGCACAGATTTTTTAGTTTTCTACATGATAAATTGTTTTGTTAATTTTAATCATCATTCTCCAAGACGCTTCTTAAGGTATGTATGAATGTCTTGACATGAACGATTGGTATGAGAACCTTTACATTCATTTATATTGATGATTATGAATAAAGATTTATATTTATAACCGAAGGAGGTTCAATTTGATGAGATTATTCAAGGACTGTTTGTTTACATTCATTCTACCGTCCAGTTCGGTTCATAGGTATTAGAAAATGTTAGGAAAACTAAGAAAATGTTTGAACTGTCCAATGATGAAGCTTTTACTGAGAGGTGATAAAACTTTTCTTGTTCATAAGAGATAAAGAAAGAATTTCCCACAAAAGACCCTAATTAATATCTTGGAAAATTTACCTTTCACCAGGCACAAGTTGAAGATATTTGAGGATGGAATTAAAGAATTAGAAAATAGTCGAACTCTTCAACTTTTTTTCTGTCCTTCTTCTCTTGGTTTATGCAAAATAATATCGTGTTATGATCGAAAACGAGAAGGAAAAGTGAGAAGTGAAAATCTTATGAAGGAAAGAATTAGAAGCAGAAGCTCGCTATATTTATGGGAAAAGACTGTTAGCTAAAGATTTATTTGTTTATTTAATTTATTTATGGCAATCCGGCGAGATATCGAGATGGTAGTGTTACCATGTTGATGGTGATTTTAAGGAATATCTAATGTACATGTCGCAAGCTAAAGGAACGAAGAGGTTTTTACTTCTCCCAAGAAATCCGCCCCGCTCGGATGCTTTAATCCTGTTAGACTCTTGTTTCGTTCACTGCTTGTTGGCTAAGATTCTTCCTAACTCCTTCATTCATCCCCTTAAAAACATTGAGAGGAAATCTTACAATCTCATTCTCGCTTCGAGCATACATAAATATCTCATGTCGTTTCACAGCATCGACAATTGCAAAAAAGCAACAACAGAAATTGTTAAGCAATAAATGCACACACAAATGTGAAGCTGGAGGGATCATGTTTGTCTTAGATATATCCTTAACGATAGCCATTTCTTTAATTTCTCTTTAGAAGCTTTTCCAAACAATATCCAATATCCAACAAGACAAACGGATCTTGTTGAAGGCAGAAACAACATGTTAAGACGTAAAACACATGAATCTTGCATAAAGTATTTTTATGATGGAAAGGAAAGGGGTGAAGTGGAATTAAGTTGAACAGGATTACGTCTTTACACTTTTCCTTCTATAACTTGCCCCCCATTCAAAAAGCACAACAATAAGAAGCATTTTCGGTTTTGAATTTTGTAAAATGTGGGCAATGTGGAAACAGGGAGGAGGGAAGAAAAAGGGATTAGAAGATACATTTCTTACAATCGAGTTTTGTTGTCTTGTCTTTATTCTCGATCCTGATGGAAAAACATCTTTTGGTATCATCACCAAATCTGATTTCAAGAATGCATGGCACTTATTAGAATTACATTATTCACAACTTTACTGTCATTTCACATGGTTGTTGTGTGGATGGAGAGGGAAGATTGAAAAGTCTTTCACTTGGATCATTGCTAATTTAAAACACCCACTTTTATGCACATTATGAAAAACATTTGAATATTGAGAAAGTTTCGATTGGAAAATTCGTGTAGGCTTTGTAAGAAATAAATAAATAAATTCTTAATCGTTTTCTGTACCTTAGTGAAGCAAGCTTAAGAAGATTAAAACTAATAAGCATTTTCTTTCGTCTCATATGTAATTCCCTTTAATATTTCGTATGGAAAAGCGCCTAAATATTATTCCTCGAAATCACGTTAAGTTGTTTTTCCACGGAAGAATAAAGAAAGTCAAAAGTTACATGTAACTGGATACAAGCGGAGGTGACGTATTGAACATATTTCTGTTAATCCTATGAAATAAGCTAGTGTAGTAAGTGAATGCTTTTATTTAGAAAGTTCCTACATTTTTCTTCTTAATTATTTGAAAATTTCATATTGAAAGATGAAATTAATTTCTAATAATTTCTAATAAGTTAATTAGATGAAACAAATGAAACTTAAGAATATTTGAATGAAAAGTGTTCATAGAAACTTTGGCTTAATAAATTGCGCAGCATGTTAATATTTTATTGAAATGTGATTACAAGTTAATTAGTGGGCGAATACTCATTAAATTAGTTCAATTATCAATTATGATGAGAAAACTATAAAGCGACCTTTATTGCGTTCATTTATTATTAATTCAACCAACATAAAGACTTTTTAGAATTTTTGTAGCGATTGATCCGTTAAAATGGTCGAAATAATTACGAGATCAAAAATTATTTAATTAAAAGATTTAAAATTTTAAAGTAAACCCATAGAATAATTATTTGGCCCACTGCGCTGGTTGGAAATATTTTAATAATTAGGATTAAGCTATTTGTAATGAGCTTACATTATGAATGTTTGGTTTCGATTTTGTACGTATGCAATTGAAGGTAAGAGAAGAGATTTAATTCTGAGATTCAATAAATGAGATTCAACATATTCTGCTCACCTTTTCTTAGTTGCTTAGAAATTTTCGTTGCTTTGAAAAATCAATTGCATCATTAAATCTTTTATCTAGCATTCAATGTTACCATGTAACTTTATCTATCACTAAACAAAGACGTACATAATCCTTTTCGAATCATAATATAATATTAAACTCAACTCCCAACACACTCTCATATTCAGACAACAAACTCATTCAAAATGAAACATTAAAGCAAATCCGTTGAATCGTTCAACTGATGGGATTAGAATAAATCCAGATAAAAGGATAAAAGGAATTCTTCTTTCCCTCTTTCCTAAACAACACAAAACAATAATAACGTGTACGAAAAAAGAGGAAAGAAAAATCGAATTGAAGCACTTAAGAACGTTGATTCATTTCCCTTCCTTCGTATATTTACTGATTGCCTGTGTATCCGACGAAGAAGAGTATCCGTTTCACTCTGTTCATTATTGTCACTGATGTGAACTCTCTTGTCTATGTATTGTGTTGCTTTAAGTGAGGATTTGGATTAAATTCATCGACAAAAAAAAAATAAAATAAAAAGATAACAAACAACAATAAATCTAAGATATCTTTTGTGTGTGTATGCGTTGAAAAACTTTGCTTTGTGCATGAGAAATAAAGAAGGAAACGATTTAAATTATTGATTATAAATATTACATTCTGTGTATGTTTTTATATCTTTGCATTAATCGAGCACACAATTGCTAGTTTTGTAAGATTTTAATCCATTTTCACGATCAAAAATATATTTCATCCAACCCCAAAGAAAGAAATATTTTTCAAGCCTGCTTTACAGTGATTGAGTTTGAAATATAAGAAGAAATTTTAATAAGGGATTAAAGCGACGCAAATGCTGCTGTTTAGGGTTTAAAAAATTTATTTAGTTCGCAAATGAGATTAAGAATTAAAATTAAATTAAAGCATTTGAATCGTCCACATTGATGAAATGATTTAATTTCATGCTTTTACAAATGAAACTTCTATTAAAATTATTTCCTACTGTGAAAAATTACAAAATTCATCGACATATTCGGCAATCCTTTTGCTTTCACTCATCTCATCTATTTATCAAAAAAAATTTATAAAATGTTGACAAATCCCAATATGCGTGTGCGATGCATTTTACTGAAAGCTTAAATCTCATTCTAAACCAGGTTGGGAGAACATAATCTATATGAACTAAGTATTTACGTCCATCAACTGCATACAGCAATGCAACGTTTTTAGAATTTCATTGAAAACTCCTGGCAAAATTCTCTTTCTATGCAACTTTTGCTTATGCATTTTGCGCGCTTTTTCGTCTCGTTAATCTATTGAATTTCAAATTTAAATCCGTTTAATGCTTAACTATTAGGCTCAGCAGTCGTATGAATGCGTTTTATCACGTGTTAGAACACGGTTGGAGAACGATAGTAAATCTATGCAGCAAACAACATGCCAAACATATTTTCCAATGGAAAGTTTTATGAAGTTTAAAAGGTTAAAGAAAATATTTTCTAAGGAAATTGGTCTAAAAATTTATTTAAGATGAGATGTTAAAGCAATTCAAGGGAACAAATAAATAAATTCATAGAAATTGCAACAATTGCATTATCCGGAAATCATTTGAATGAATGAGAGAAATGCTAATGCAATAATTAACGTCTGTCGCAAACGGTAAGCTTAAAATAAATCTTTCGACGATTATAAAACTTTGTATTGAAATTGATATTGAGGACGATGAAAAGCGTAGGTGGGCTTTCTAAATTCTAATCAATCACATGATGTCCATTTTGGTTTAAAGCAATTTGTGCGGTAATAGTTGGAAGTTGGAGAAAATCCTTCCACAATTAACAAAAATTATTTCAAGTTTTGGGGGCGAAAGTTTTGGTGATTCAACATGGTAATGATCAGTTAGAAATTTAGAATTTTTAGTGACCAAAGCATCTTCATTTCATTATAATCATCATGTCGCTTTGACAACAACATTACAACGCAAATAAGAGAAAGCAACAGTCAGATATAAACTGTTATCACAATCATGTGCTTAGTGAAATTGTTTTTTGCATTCATGTTTATCATATCATGGAACATCAGCAGGAAAAGCCATACAAACACATAAAAAGTTTAGAAAATATCAACAGGATGCATATAAAAGGAATTTTCTCTAATTCTAAACGATACTTTCGCAATCTAAAGCCTTTTTGAAATGCTTTCTGAACACATTCAAATATTTCACAACAGCACTTAGTTTGAGCACGATTATTGCAGATTTTCATGGATTTAGAAGAGAAAATGTTCAAATCTCTAATCCCTCGTTCTTCTCTAGTTGTTTCTAAATAGATCTCATGTTCGTGTCACAAGCATAGAGTGAATGAATCACAGTAAAAGTCAGTGAATAAACTGAAACTGTTCATCCATTCAAAAGCATTATTTTCTCAAGTGAAGTCGTTGCTTGATTTCTTTTTAAAGATACAAACATCTCCGATTCATCCAAGTTAGATTCACGTAAATTCCTTTGATCGATGAGTTATTCTCTACATCTCGTATCAAATCCATGACAAAAAGGGGTGTGGGTGGATGTGAAAAAAATAAATGAATGAAGGAAGAAAAAAAAACACGAAAGAAAAGGAAAAGATTTATTGTAACTCTGCTTTATCTCTCGCATATAGAGTAAGGGGATTGAAGAAAATGCGGATTGAGTGAGTGAGATTACCCAAGGAAAAACTGGGACACAAAATAAATCCCTAATCTCGATCGGATATGGAACATGAGATGGAAGTGAAGTCGTTCTGCTTAAAATATATCTATACAAACATATATTTAATCTTTTACAACACTCTTCTTGCGAGCATAAGTATGCGAATGTGTTTGTTAGTTTATTTTGTTACTCAATGCGATATCAACGTGTCTCTCGTATTTCCCATTGTTTGCTTTGGATTTAAGGGATTACTGACATCACATAATACAAAACATTAGCAACGCATACAACTCACTCTTCTCCTGCTTCACTCGGATTTCATGAAATAATTCAAAATCTCTTCTGTTTTGTTACATTTTTTCTTATGTGTGGGTTTCCACATTGTGTGTGTGTGTGCGTAATATTACAAAAAGTCTAAAAGGGGCGCTAAAGAGTTTAAAGCTTTAGACAATGACGTTTAAAAAAATTACGAGAAGTAGACGGGAGGAAAAAAAAAGAGTAAAAGAGATTACGATTATCCCTCAAGCATAATGCATGAATAAATTTCATATAAAATCCGAAAGACGAGGGAAATCCATTCTGAATGAGATTTCCTGCATCGGATAACGCGTCGTATTTTAGATTGAAGAATAGAAGGGAGAAGAGTCTTTTACTGAAAGGGTAACTTTACTTTATTATAATTATAAAGATTGAGATTTTTATAAAATGAGATTTTAAATTGTGTTGATGGATGAACGATTTTTGTGAAGTTCGTTGCTAGGCAAGTGATTATAATTATTTAGTTGAATTTATATTGTCAACGACTTACCATTCACTTTCGAAAAATCGAAATCCTTTCGATCAATCGATGATGATGGCAAAACTTTATCTGGTCCATTTAGTGAATGACTCGGATATTGTTGACAGTTGTTCAAGCCGCTAATGCCGTTGTTATTACTGTTGTTGTTATTGTTGTTGTTTATGTTGTTCATACTATCATTGAGATGATTTGATTTTTCACTTGACGACACAGGTGAGGGGGAAACTTTTGAGTTTGAATTTGCATTTGAATTCGATGAGGTCATCTCTAATGTGTTGTGTTGCTGGTCATTACTTGAAGTATTGTGAACTGGTGTCTTTGAATTTGGCCGTGAATGTGATGAAGAAATGTCAGCAATGGGACTTCGAAGATTATCATTTTGTCTTAAAGAAACTGGAGAAGATCCTGACTCGTCTTTCTTCGGTGATTTCGGACGGGTCAATGCTAACGCTTGTGTCTGTGAAAAAGTTAAATAATATTTATCATAAGTTATTGACATCATTTATACGCCTACAAAAATGAATTGAACTTGATGCACTCGCGACTGATTTGTTTTCTGAATGTCGTGTCGTCAACTGGAGATTAATTTATGTGGATTTGAATAAATGCTCGACATCGAGTCGAAAAGAAACAACTTTTTATTGAAAAAATGCACACACAACACTGAACTCTGCGTCATGGTTTTTTATTGAATTTATGGCTTCTCCATTTCAAATGCTTTCAATTGAGTGATTTATGAAATTTTCATTTCGTCTTAATTCTTCTTCAGAATTCTAATTTATGATTTAGATTATTGTGTCATTGCGCGAGCGAGCGGTTCATTAATGCCGTTTAATATTTTTCGTCTTCTTTTTCTTTCTATCTCTTCAAAATTGTTATCAAAGACTTTTCCACCGCTGAGACTTTTCAAAATTTCCATTTTCTTTTTTTTAATAAAAGAATTAAATTTCATAAATCATTTGAAGTTTTGACAGTTCCTTTCAAAACAAAAAGTCGATGCCCAGGGTGAATGAGAATTTTCTTTTTCCCTGGTTAAGATTAGCCGAAAGGTGAAATGAGAAAAAGTTTTAGAAGAAGTAAGTTTATGATAAGCAAGTTTTCTTTGCTTCTTGAAGTCGATATCTACTTAGTAGACTGACGATGTTAAATAGTCGCGACTGTAATAATTATATCAGTAGCAGTTGAATTAACGTAAAAGCCACAATAAATATTCTTGCAAAACTGCCGCGCGATCAAATGCGCAAGATTAAAAACATTTCAAGTGATGAAAAATCGCATGAGACTGTGGATGATAATTTCTCACTCAATAAAAATTCTTCACTTTTTATAGATCATAAACTTTATTATTACACATATCTTGTGTGCACGATTTTGATACTTACTTAGGCGCGTTAACCATTCACAGAATGTTTGAGACAGAAATTGAGATTAACACATATTTCTTTATTATTTAACATACAATGACATTGTGGCTAATAAAATATAAAGCGACGAGTGAATCTTGCATGCATTTTCTTTACTGTTGTCTCATACTTAGAATATTTCGAGGAATTTAATTTCCCCATTAATTTCCGTTAATATTTTTCATCCACTGAAGAATTTATTAATTAGAAAAATGTCAAAAGAAAACATTTTCACTCTCAATTGAACAACAAACTAGAATATCACTTAAGAGTTTTTGGTTGACATTATCTTTCAATGTCTCATAGAAATAAATAAAATAATATGAAATAGAGTGAAAAAGGTGGCGGAAATGTGAAGAGATAATGAGAAACCCTCATCGATTGTTCAAAAAGAACGAAGAGACTGCAACCTTTTTATTTTATTCTTCATCTCGATACACTGACATTAAGGAAATGAAGAAGCAACTTGAGTTGCTTGAATTGCACAATTTTTTGATGATGATTCAACAACATTGTTTTGTGAGATTTTATTAAACAATTGAAAAATCAGAACGAAACTTAGAGGGATGATGATGGAAAGTGACAAGAGAATTGATGATGATTTAATCACAGCAACAAGCAAAACTCGAAATGCTCGTGATTGTCAATCGATTAATTGATTCAAGAATGTGCTATTTATATCGCCTCGCTTTTCATAACGCTAATCTTTTTGTTTATTGCACAAAGCATGAGTGAGAAATAAAAATCAGCTCGAGGCTGTTTCGCTCTTCGCTCTTCATCATTCAAATCGCTTAGAAAGATTCTTTGTTTAAAATTTTATTAAAAAGGTCAATCGATGTCAAATGGGAATCACGAACGAACGAACGATATCTGTTACGTTTAAATTATATCATTCTCTAATCGAATACGCTTAATTCAAATGAAGATCGAGCGAGTCTAGAGATGTTTGTGGGGAAATATTTCTTCTATTATTGTTTGATTGATTTCACGTTGTATTGCTTCACAATTATTGACTAACATAATTGGAAAAACCTTTCATCGATCTCTCAAGATAACCAGCTGCGATGTCAAATTCAAATTTAACGAGATTCATTCTTTAGAAACGAAATCATTTCACATTTCTCGCGTGTAATTATTTATCATAATTGAGCAGTTTAAATCAATATGAAGACAGTAATTTTGGTAATAAAAAACCATTATGATTCCAAAAAAAAAAAATCAGAACAAGTAGATTGTTCAAAAGTCATCCAAAAATAAAAAATAAATAAAAAAGCGAGCAGCAGGGGAAAAATATATTTTCTTGTGCGAGATGATTATTTATCATGATGAAGAATAAAATATCATCAATCTGGTTTTACACGAACAAAACAGCGAGAGATTGGAATCCCGGTAGCTTCCTGACTGACTCGCTTGACGAATGATTGAATAATTTTTTTTCCAAGCGAAAAGCGAAGGCTTAAAAAAAATACAACAACAGGAATGAAGAAACTTGAAGATCAATTCGATGCACAATTCTTGTAAACAACAAACAAACAAACAAAAAAAGTCAGCGATGAAAACGAATGAATGCCAAAAACAGAAGTCGATTGCGAATTTCAAATGATGAAATGTAAGAAAAAATTCGTAAAAAAATTAAAAAGTTATGTCCATCCAAACATGTTGAGATGATCACTTTTTGTGCGTAATACACGCAAAGAAATGATTTGAGATTCTTTTGTTGTCGTTGATCGTTGTCAAATATGTTCTCTCAGTGTCTGCTTTCATCATTTGCTTTGGCTGATAAAAATATTTCAATTCCTTCTTTCATGGAAGCAAAAAACAAAAAGAGTGAAGAGAAAAAGACTTTTGGGATTCATCTCGCGAATGTGTTATTGCCCTCTCTCGAATAAATACATTTCATGCTATTTATTTATTAACATGGATCGTGTTTTTCGTCAAACCAAATTCTTGTTGTGTTGTTATACATATATCTTGTACTTTAAGCGCGTACGACGTTTCTGTCATTGAAGCAATCATTTTTGGACATTTATTTGTTTCAAATCGGGACAAGTAATCAGGATTGCAATACATATGATGAAATATCTTACAACAAATTAAATCAATCTAGTTTTTACCTCTTTGTGTTAAATGTTTAAATGTTTTTTGGTGATGTCAAAACTTCATGTTTTTCGTTTATTTCATTTGATGCTTGATAATAAGAACATGGATTTTACTCAAATGGGAAATGGAATTTTTGTTTCTCAATTTTGTGGAATGTGATGAGACTTTTTTTCTGTTATTTCGAGAACAAACTTCAATGCGCTTCTCTAATTCGATTAAAATATAAACGAACGTCTCAAAATCCGTATTAAAATTTGCTGATCTTTTATTGCCTAAGGGCGTAAATAATTTGAATTGTGCAACGATGCACTTTGCGATGCATTTTTATGCAAATGTTTTTGCTGGCATTTTCGTTGTGTAATTTTTGATGAGATTTGTTTCATTCTCAAAAAAATATGTCCTGGGGGATTCCATCGTTCTTGGGAATTAATATTCGACTACCGAAAAAAAAATGCAGCAGAGACTTCTAATTATGTCAAGAAGCTTAGCCTGTTAAAAAAAAATTTGTGCATACGTGGCAAGACATGAGACAAATTTAATGTCTCGGGTAATAAAGATTGGTAGCTGAAGTCACGTCGTCGCTTCGTTGTTCCTTTTTTTTTAGTTTGAGATGCATCTAAATCTCATCTTATAACATCGATCAACGAAAGGAAAATTGTTGAACGAATAAAAATTCATTAAATTGAGTACGCGATTGAGAAGGCAAGAAAAAAAGTCAAAAACCGATCAAAATATTTCATTTTTGTGTTATTTCTTCTGCCTTATTCTCCTTCAAGTCTTTTATCTCTTGTATCATGTCGTTGGTTTTTAGGCAATCAAAGTAAAAAATCAATAAGTATAATATATTTATTTATGCAATAATTTCCATCATATGTATTTTATGATCAGAAATCTCTTTGGATTGAGTGAGTGAGCGAGTACATGAAGAACAAAAAGGAAAAAGCTTTTAACTTAAATTATCGCAATGCAAAAGGAATAACTTTTAATGAAACCATTTTTAACATACTTGAGATCATCTTTATTATCATCTGCCAGTCGCCATTAACCTTTTCGAGTTTCCAATGACGAGAAAATTTAAAATTCATGAGAAAAAACGAAATATTTTGATGAAATGTCAAAACGATATTTAAATTTTCAATCCAAAATTTTCTTTGCGTAATAAATCTTTGAGAACAAAAGTAGTTGATAAATCATTTAAATGATTGAACAAACATAAAAAAGTTTGGTTGCGATTTCCTGTCGCATCTAAATCATGATCCAAATTAATGCTAATCTAGTCAAGTGAAGAAAAAACTTTTATTTAAATTATTTTTCGCGTCATAATTTTCTTTTAAAAATAAATAATTCCACTGTCCCTGATCGTCGAGAATATTTTTCTTCGTTTCTCTTTTCTTTCAATATTTTATCATGTGTTTGTCGCTTGTCGCAATAATATGAAGAGAAAAATGCCAGTGGCAGAATGATTTCTTTTATATTTAACATCGACTCATCTCTTGATTCCCTCTCTTCATTCTCCTTTTTTATACTTTTACAAATATTTATTTGAAACTTTTGCTTCACTTTTCTTACTTTATTGAGGGAAGATTTTTCACTGCCTGGCTTTCGTTTGCCTGCCACTTGATCGCATATAAATTTATCATCGAAAGAAAACAAGCAGCAAACACACACCGGGAGCACGTAATAAGAAGATGGAAGAAGCGAATGTAATATAATTTGAATGAGGAATTCGGTAGCCAAGAGTTCTTAATGTTGTGTATTCTGTTTTGTCGTTACGAAAAATTAATTCCTTACACAAGGTGAATTTGCTTAATAGTCAGTCAGTCAGTCAGTCAGGCAGGCAGGCAGTGTTGCCTGACGTCGTGTGTGGAGCGATTTATGTGTCAAAGAAATATCGGGACATACAAATTGCACTTCTTTTCATGTTTATCGACGGCACTTACTGAATTAAAACAAAGATATGATGAAGAAATAAAAGTTAAAAGAAAATATCATAAAGTAAAGCAATAAGTCACTAAATGGAATTTTCATTGGATTTTCCTAGAATTCTCATCATTATCGTAATGATGATGACGAGTGAATGAAAAGAATTTCATCAACGAGATTAGATTTGGACTTTGAAAGCTGACCTTCATTCAATTAATTGTTCATCGCTTCCAGAGCATAATTTATTAAATTATGTTTCAAAAATGATTACATTTTGCGGGCCCAATTTTTTTTTTGTTTTTTTCCCTTGAAACTTCCCTCAAGAGCGATTCTTGCTCAATGAACTAAAATTGCAGGCGAGCTCAAACGACTAATTCCTTTCTTGCTTGAGGCTTAAAAATTCGATTTGGCCAGTGCACATTTTTTTCCTGCAGTTGCATAAGAGAAAAAAAAAGACAACAAAAAAATTTTAAATCATCATCAAGTAAAAGGAGTAAGAACGACAAAATATGCAGGAGATTATTATTTAAAGAAAATCCCGAGGCTCAATTCGAAATCTGTGTGAGCCGAAAAAAAGTATTGAGAAAGATGTGAAAACGAATTAAGGAAATTATTTAATAATTGTCGAAGGTGATGATCTGTCCCTGGTACGGGTACGAACAGCAGTCAATAAACAAAGAGATATGAAGAGTACAGCCGGGGACAGTGAATGGAATGAAGCGAAAATATTAAAAAAATGTTTTCATATATACTGCTAATAATTACAGCATACGACGCGGGCTTTTAAGTGGATTTGTTATGTATCGAATGCGTGGTTCGTTCTTTGCAAAGGTTGTTGATGATGATAATGAAGTTCAGAAATAAGTGAAGCTTACGGGTAAGAAAGACAAAGGAAGAAAAATATTTTCGACTATTGTGATGGAAATTTTAGAGAAGTCAAACATCAATCGATGTACGAGATCAAATTAATCAAATTTTTGAGAGGTTTTCATTCTCGAAGGCATGTTTTTCGATAATTCTTGGCCTTCCATCGACGACAACGTCGTCAAGTAAATACAATTTTCCTTTTCTTCCTCATCTTGATCTTCGATTTTTCGTTAAACACATTCTGTAAATGAACGAATAATGACCAAGAATGGATGCAAGAGAAAAAAAATGCAACAACCAGTAGCAGCAACTCAACTTTTTTTTAATGCATTTAGTTATATCATATTTATCATTAAATTATTTTTTTCTCTTTTCAATATTTAGTTTCGTTTTAAGTTTTTTTTCGAAGAGAAAAAGAAAAGGAAAGATAGAGAGAGAGAGGGAAAGACAAGTAATAATTGATAAAAATTATTTCTCATTTTGCTACTTAAAGTTTTCAAATTATTTTTGATGTTTTAATCTTTTGATTATGCTCTTATTTTCTGGATTACAGACATAATGAAAGCGTGAAAAAAGCAAGATGAGTAAAGTTGAAGTCTTCATTATGACCGAATCAATCTTAAATGAATATTCTTTGAGTTGCATAATTTTCGCTTCATTAAAATTTAAAAACATAATGATATTTAATTTGGTCGTTAGACGCATCATTAAAGTTTAAACACGTCAATTCTGCAGCATTCTTGAGTCAGTAACATCGAAAATTAAATAATTCTAAAGCAATCACAAATTGTGATCATTGAAAAAAAAGTTTCGTGAATGTTTGTCACTAAATCTGTGAACAACTTTGAAAACGATTATTTAAATTTTTTCTGAAAGGTTGTATAAGTTTCAAAAGTATTTTTATGGTAGATTAGCAATCGAATCCAATGAATAAATCACAGAATTTAAGTCGCAAAGATTAACATTGTCTTCTTTATTATATTTTATTATTAAACACTAAGCGTAGAAGCTTCTTTTACAACAAAGTTTTTCTCCAAGTGAACGATTATGAGCCTGTTGAACTCGCTTCGCAGTCGCAGCTTCATAGCAGAATGAATAGAGTAAGAGATTAAATATTATAATTCTTCAATTTTTCTCCTTCCTTGTGCCATGTATCAAGCAAGCACTCGGCTCTCGCCTTTAAATCCAACACCCGAAAACATTTTCTTTCACTTTCAGCGACTCAATGTGTATTTTAGAGTCTATTAAATTATTAGGATTAGTTAGAGAAAATTTATAAACGACAATAAATAACTTAAATGTTAAGCTTCTCATCATAGTCTAAATTTTCATTTGTGGTGTTGTCAGTTAAGTTTGATTTTCATATTTAGACGATGATAAATTCAATCCAAATTAAAAATGCAAATTCTCTCTCAGGTTTTTATGTTTCTTGAAGAAGTTTTTTTGGTGGATAATCGACTTAGATATTTGTTATCGACAATAATCTTACAGTTTTCGTTTATGCACGATAAGAAACTCTTTATGTGGTTGAAAAAACAAAAGAATTTCTTTCGGTTAACTAACAAAGAAACGAAAATCTGTGGTTTCGATAAAACGCCCATAAAAAAATAGTCTTTGCTGCTGTTTCTTTATTCTTTTATATGTACATACAGACACATCTGACTACTGCTTGTTCACTTTCCTTTCCTTGAGATCTCTCGCGAAAGAAACTTAATCTCCCCTCGAAAGAAACTTTTATACGTGTTTTATATGCGTATATAATAAAAGAATATAAATGCCAATTCCGAAACGCTAAAAGCTAATCCTCCAGTCAGTCGGCTTAACTCAGATATTCATAAAATTTATTTTAAGCCCTCTAAGGATTATAATTCTTCGACTCTTTAGTAGTCGTCGTTTTGATGAATTTTTTATTTAGATTTCGTGGAAATCATTGACCTAGAAGCCAATTTGCCATTCAAGAACCCGCTCGCAAAATGCTTAAGTAACATGTCTGATGATTTTTAAAAATCTGAAGACGATTACAAATTCATTTAAAATGTTAATCTTTAAGCAGAAAATCCTCGTCGTCTTTACGGATTTCTTTTTTTCTTTTTATTATTATTATTATTTGGGTTTGGGCATGGGTTTGCGTGATACGATCTGTCGTGATGTCAATGTGTGATGATAAAGGTGGGTTAGTTAGTTAGTTGTATTCGACGTATGACGCTGACTTTCCGTATTAAAGGATTTTATAGCGCAGTAATCCATAAATTGTAAAAATCTAATAAAAGCGCCAAAGCAGTTTGGCTTTGTAGAAAGAAATGGAGTAAATAAAATAATAAAAAATAAAAACATCAAAAGAAACATCAGACGACGTTTGCCGACACTTTGAGCTTAATCGCACGCCTCGATTTATTTATTAATTTTCATTTTTTTGGAGCAAAGATTTGCGGTGTTTACTCGAAGTTTTATTGGATTTGCTTAAGTTTTTTGTTTTCAGTTATGATTTTTTTTATTCATTTTGCAATAAAAGATAGAAATGAAACGTAAAAAAAATTAGACATCGAAACTTTTTTTTTTTGATCGATGGCATAAGAACATTAACGAATGGGAAACTAATTTAAGTAAATAAGTTACGGGGGAGAAACTGATGAAGGCATCGAAAGTAAGACCAACCCTTTTTCTTCAGAAATCAACGATAAAGACAACGACAAACTCTTCGATTATTTCCTGACCGTTAAAAACCGTTCGAAGTTAATGTTCACAATAATATGGGACACATCCGCAAAGACACAGAAGACAGCGAGTGAAAAAAATAAAACAGGGTTAGGAGATATTTGTAAGAATTAATTTCAGGCTTAATAATTTGAATACGATGGCACTTTTTTTATTCAACTTCCTACGAAAATTTCAATGCATTTCGTTACACTCCAACGATCGTAGCAAGATAGATGTGGATAATTCAGAACATAACACAACAGCATGAGAAACGAAAGGGGTAGATATATGTTGGTGAACATGTTTCATTGAAATTCCTTCTTATTCAGCTCTTTTATTTCAATATGTTGGCGCATTTGTTTATGTTGAACGCATTTAAAGGTTTAAAACGACTAATTTTTATCGGAAGTAATTTTTACCATGTTTATTGTTTGTCATAGTTGGATAACTTTTACTTTGATATTTTCTTACTTATAAAGACTTTATACAGAAGAATTAAATGCTTCTTTGAATTATAAAAGATCGAAGATCACGATGAAATAAATTTTCTCGCAGGAAGTCTTCGGTTTAATGCAATTATTAGTCTTTGAGTGTGGGGTGAAGTAGTCTTGGGAGTTCAATAGAAAATGTTCAAGTATAAAAAAACGTCATTCGAAGCGCTTCACTAAACATAACGCTCATTGTTTTCAAAACGAACATATAAATATTTCAAGTTCAATTAAATATCAACCCTTTCCTTTCCAATAACTATTTTATTATTTTTTTATTCAACAGCACTCGATTTAACGGTTAAATTCGTTGAGAATGAAAGAAAACAGACGAGAAATTCACGTGAGAGTAGATGATCCTTTTTAAACATTGATGATGACATCATTAACAGGTGCACAACAACCGGAAACGGAGACAAACATGAAATTGTCATTTGCTCAAAGTTGTCGAGTAGTACAATTGATGTTAAGTGTAAGTGATAATGATCATTAACCCATCATGATGCGTTTCTATCAAACATGATAGTTTAGTCTGATAGAAGAGCCATTAAAGGTAACGAAATTACATAGTGGTTGATACAACATGTTTACACGTCGGGGAATGATGATGAAGAAGCAATTAAAACATTTTCAAAGTCGTTTGCATTCAGGCTAAAAAAATTGCAACATTGCATGTGTTCGTTCATTCTCTGTTATGTGAACAAAATAAAAAGCAAATTTTTCTTAAATTGATAACAATCATTCTTTAATGATTTTCTAATGTTTTCCTTCAAGTCTACTCCACCCACTAATTTTTCATCATTCATCATAACAAAATTGAATCAGACTGTATGGGGACGAGGTTAAAACAACAAAAAATAAAAAAATTCACTTCAAATAGTTTTCTTATCAATTTACAGAGAATTCATTTCTGATATAAAAAATAAATTCCTTACTTATGAAATCAAATAAATATGAACTTTACTTCTTCTCTTTTTGTGCTTAGCTAATAGAAAATTCCGCTAATTCCAACGTTTCAAGAAAATGATTTATTTGTTTATTTTTGGATAAAGCTCTCAACTCACCTCATCAAATAATATTAAATTAGCTTTATCGCACCCTAAAACAATCTTTTTTCTTTCCCATACAAACAAACAAAAATAATTTTTAACTACGAACAAAACTTAAATTAACTGTTCGGCTCTTTTTTGACCCGATCGCCTGATTGTTACACGTTCAGAGCTTAAAGCATCTTAATCCGCGCAAAATGAAATCATAAATCAATCGATCATTGTATATTTTGGCAGTGGCAGTGCTTTTAGTGTAATTATGAAATTTTCTAATGTTTTATTAGGAATTGTCGGCTTGACACCAACACAATTTGTAAATTAATGTTCGTCCATCATTTGTCTTTAAGGCAACAGTTCATTTAAATGATGGAAAAGTTTCCATGACTTTTACTGTTGTCATCTTTGCGAGGGATGACAAAATTTCCGTCGTAGTAAAAGATTAAAACATTTTTCGCGAGGCCAGACGACTAAAGAATTACGCTTTTGATGGATTAACTATAAAAAATATTAATTCTCCAAAGTCGCGATACCGCGTCAAACTAAGGCGAAGAAAAATACCTATCGCGAATAAAAATGCTCGATAATAAATATAAATACTTATTTTCGTTTCACATCAGCGTGTTTAAGGCTAATCCCATATGCCAAGATTTTTAATATTAATTGACTATAAAAATGTTAACACGTAACAGCACACAAAGTTTTTTTTTTCTTTCGTTTTCATATATCATGGATTAGTGCGGATTTCTTTTTTTTTCTTATACATTTTTAAAACATCACGATAAGCGTAATAAATTTTATCGGAAAGAGTGGAATTAAGTTTGAGTTTTGAAGGAAAATCGTTTATGATGATTGTCGAACGAGTTTCTTAAAAAAAATCAAAATGCGGTGTTAGGTGTTTGTGAGTAATTCACATCAATGAGTTTAAAATCCATAACGAATATATCGGGTTTGATAGGCTTAAGTGTTAAGAAATCAAATCGAAAGAATCATCAGCGAACAGGGTGAAGATGATGTCGGTGCATTCGTTAAGTCGGCTTCGAAGAGGATCCACATGAGTAATAAATTCATTTCATTTCTTAATTCTCAGAGATTTTGTTTTCAAGACTTGAAGAAAAGTTTTATTTTTCTTCTTCTGGACGTAAGTCGAGGATTAAGTGTGAAGGAATTGAATATTCGAAGCACATTTAGCACAGGAATGATATGAAGAAAAAAAATTCATGTCGTGGATTTAGCACGGGAGTAAAATTAATGAAACTATTTTAAAAGAATAAAAAAAAATGTTTTTGTGTTGCTTTTCCGTTTGATGAGATTAAGAATCGAGCGCGATGAGAAAAGGAAGAACATTAAATTTATTATAAATGTAAATAAGTTCTCGCTTTTGGTTGATTGCAAAATATTTTTGGTGACTCTCGTTAAACTTCCATGGGTGGAATAGCCGCTTAAGCTGTGCATTGATTTTTCATCAAGAATTATTATAATAAAAACGTCGTGATGAAATGGCGCATCTTTGCCGAAATTATCCGCAAACGAGAGATTAAATTTTCACACTTGTTAAATTGCAGTAGAACGTTGAATATTAAATGAATAATAAAAATTTCTTAATTCCTGCTCTTATAAATAAAGTCGCATGTCTTTCGAGAGATATCCGTCATAGTGCGATTCATTTCTTCATCTTGCAAGCAACTTCAACTTAATCAGTTAATATTTCTTATTTACTCAGATGCCAAGGGATTTTCACTTAATCGTATTTTAATAATATGCAATTATTTATCTTCTCCTCTCTCTTTTTTTTTATTATTACTTTCTGTCAAGAAAGTCACGAGAATATTTTCCTAAATTAAGATAAAAAATTATGTCGCAATATAACAAAACTTTGATAAATATTTAGTACGGGCGAGTTGTTCATAAAATGTGTGATAAAGCAATAACGGCAACAAGATTTGTCGCTTTTTAAGTTAAATAAACGTTGAAAGATCATCACGCAACAGTCACGATCTGATCTCATAAAAGAGCTTCGAAAACAATTTTTAATCTTACTCAGAATTAATCATACAATAAATTAAAATAATCCAATCGGATTTAAATAATTAATTTTTATATATTTCATTAGCGTCTTAACTAACACTAAGCAACAACGCTGGAATAATTTTAATAGCTCGTTTATTCACCGGATCTTCTTGTAAGTCTCGTCAACCTTTGTGATTTCTTTTTATTCTTTTTGCTTCTTTGAGTAGAAATTTTTGCATTGAACTTAGAATTGTAAGAAAAATTTCATTTGAATTGTTTTCCTTAACTTGAAGGATATTAATTGTTAGATTTCACAAAAAGACTTTAAAGTATCAGATTACAGCGTATACATTGTAGCTAATCCAATGAAAATTTTCTTGACATGTTCTAGACGTGCCATGGCTCAACTAGATTAGGTCACCGGTGGTGGAAAAATTCACTCGCACGATTTATAAATAAAATAATCTCATTAAAAAATCTTTTCCATTTCTTCTTCTTTTTCTCCGTTATGAATTTATATTCACGGAAAAGTCACATTTCGGATTAGACACACACTCGTGAAGCTTTATGTTAAAGCTGAAAAATTAGTATGACGTCTCAAAAACTAATTCGCTTTAAATCTGTATTAATTTTTCAAAAACACTTTCGGTCGCTTCATGCAAAGCGAAGAAAAAGAAAAAAAGTTGAAGAATAAATAAGATAAAGCATTTTCCCTGAAGTGTTCTCTAATCTTTCAGATTATATTTATTTTCCAGATTTTCTTGAAATATAATACAAATTAATGTAGAAATTTCGCATCGTTTCCGTTGTCTCATTCTGTTGTTTCGAGAACGAGATGTGATAGCTAGAGGTAAAAGGGATGAGACAATCCGAAAAGATGGGAAATCCTCTGTAGCAAAACTCTTCAAGAATGTAAAAGGGATTAAGAGCGAGTTCAAAATATTAATTTGTAGCTTTACTGCTTAATCTTTCTTTTCTTTCTTCTTCATCATCTCATCTCATCTCACTCACCAAGTAAAAAAGGAGGAAAAACTTTTCTTTCATTATAGCTTTACTCTCGACGTTTTCTGTAGTTAGCAGTAAACGTGAAAAAAGATAAGATGAACTTAAGTAGGTATCTTTAATATAAACTCTAAATGAATGAATTAAAGAGGATTTAGTATTTCTATATATAGTTACAAACATATCTCCCGATTCGATATTCGAGAAAATTATGTAAGAAGAAAACTCTTTGATTCTTCAAATACAACAACAAAAAAATCAAAGTTCGCAATCAATTTGCAAAAGCGAAGTAAATAAAGTCAAATAGAAACAAGAAGAAGCAAGAAAAGTTTTGTAACCAGGCGGCCGGAAGACGAGACTTATTAGTGATAGGCAATGCAAGGCAAAGTGCTTGAAATTCAATATCAAATGGGATTAGTTCGTTTGGGATTATCGCGTTCCTCTTTTTCTTACTCAAAATCACTTTATGTTGCTGCCGAAAATTGTGTACACAACCGAAAACAAACACAACCGAAAGCGACATTAACTCCCAACATTGAATCTCGAAGCATTTAGGAGGATAATAAAATAGAAAAGAAGAAAACGAATATCATTATTTTAATTAAAATCGTATCAGATTATCCCTAATCCGTTAAAAGATTATGCACAACAACAGACAGATTTTATGTGAATTTTTCTTACTGTTGTTGTTATTGGAAATAGAACATTTAATGCCATCAACACAGCATACACACGCATTTATACATTAAGCATTTTATTCTCTTTCGCAATAAGATCTATTCGGTTGGTTTTTGGATTTGACGTAAAGAGCGTACACATTAACATTCACATTTCTGAATATCCATAGATTTATGGTGAAAAGGGAAATAAATTCAGCACACAGAGAGCTAACAAAACCGAACCCCGAACGTTATACATAGAATAACAGCAAACAGTCAGTAGAATGGAAAGAAAGAAATGTAATATATAAATCCATAATCCCAGATTAAGGATTAACTTGATTGATAATACAACGATATTCGCTTTAGCCTCGCATTTCGCTTCTCTTACTTTTGCTCGTTTCCAAAACGAGATTTTGTACACATTGAAACTCTATAAAAATATTTCTTATTTTCCTTTCGTCTTTCAAATGCCTTGTGTTTGTTGCTATAGGAATGACGACAATGGATTTAGAGCCAGTAAAAAGGAGCACACAATATGAGACGTCGACGAGAAGAAGAAACATTCTTTCCTTAGTCGCAGATCAAGAGATTTACTATTCGAAAAGAAAAGGGATAAACTTCGTCTTGAATCGTCTCATGGATTTCACGACGTTCACATCATGTGAGTTTTGTTTTTGATGCAAAAAATACGGTAACAACTCTCATAATATAATTCACTCTAAACATTACACATTTAACTGGGGGAATGACATATTTCACTTAGCTATCATTGTGGGAAATTCAAAAGGGTTAAAAAAATTATAATTGCACAATGTGCTTGCTTTTCATTTTTTCTTTCATGCTTTTGAATTTGAGAGCGTTTTAATTTTTATTTGAGTGCTAACTGCAGTAGTGAATGAAATCGGCTTTTAAGATTTGCCTTGCAATAAATTTTCTCTTGAACATTTACTGTCACTAGAGGATTCAAAATGAGATCTTAGCCAATAACTTTGGACTTCCCGTAAATTTTTTTTAACGTTAATTGCTGGTTCAGGTGTAAAAAGAGCATCACTAGGTAGAATTTTTATTCTTTCCTTTTTTTCTTGTTGCTTTGGAAGTTAGCACCTTTCATTTATTGTCTTTACAATTTATCTTCCTTCTAACATGTCCTTGAAAACTCTTCAGTTGCAGTGTTTTGTGCAATTTTCACAAAAATTCTTGCAAGCATCTTTTTCTATCACAATTCATTTTTCTCAACTTAATTTTTTTCTGTTTTTGTTTTGGAATATTCACCTGTGTGACGTTAGCTGCAACCCATGCTTCAGCGAATGTTTCCATTGCACTTTGAAAATCCATAACACGACTCAAAACTGACAGTGAATCAACCATATGAATTATGAGTTTGACTTCTAATAATCACTGAACAACTTCATTTGATATCACTGTCAATTATTCAATTTTTTCTTTTATTGCCGCCTAAAATTCTTAGTTTAATTTTCATTTAAATCCAACGAATTTCTTTCTTTTCCTTTAAACAAAAACTTTTATCTTTAGAAATATTTTCAATTAAAAACTTCAGTATTTAACACTTAAACGGCATTTCACATTATCTTTAAACAAACAAATAAAAAAACCAAACAGAATAAAAATTCATATGCTTTGGCACTCGAAAACGAAATCGTCTATAAACCGTCCGCTCACACGGAGCTCTGTTGTGCAACTGTGTCAGCAAACGTATTTAGGAAAATAAAACACTGTACGATATACGAAAATCCGAAACACAGGCGGAATCGAGAATAATGCTTGAGCAACACAGAGAACGATGATACACGCTCGATGGTTGGATTTCAAATAGAAACGAATTTTCCGAAAGACAGCGAAGAAGCTTTTAGAGATCTATCCAAATAAACTGCAATATGATAACAGAAAATTCTTATTATTATTATTTTTGTGTTATTTTTTTGTTAGTCTTTAAATACGAATAAAATTCAGTTGGTAAAATGAAATTCTCTCGAAAGTTTAATAAATATTAAATCATGGCTTTCGAATATGAAAGCTTGGAAATACATTTCAAAGGAACTGCTTCTACTTAAGTTAACTTACCGTAAAACAAAGGAACAAAATTTCAGCTTGAAGAGCCTTCAAGCTTCGAAAGCCACGAGTTAATGTTGCATTGTGAAAAACCGAAGTAAAGTTTTTCGTTCTTTTATCGGATAAACTCGGGTTGTCTTTTGCTGAGTGTCGGTGCGCACCATGTCGCACGGTTGAATGTGTGAGTGTTGCGAGAGTGTGCGTTTGATACAAAGAAAACAGCAAGTAATATCATCTCCCATAGGGATTCGGATAAGAAGCTGTTGTGGAAAGTTTGTGTTGTTGTGACTTGAGAGAGAAAAATATCTCTAATCAAACCCCCTTTTTTTGTATGTGCAGCAGAGGACGAAAGAAGCAGTAACATTCCATAAGAATAGCAACTCGTCGTCGCTCTCTCACCACACTTGACTTGTTGATGAGTTTGACGTGCGCATTAAGAATATCCCTTTCTCTGCCCGTGGATATGAAACGAATGAAATTTACTTTTTTGAGACCTCATTTCAAAGTGTTATGTAACAATCGACGAGAGAAATTTATGCGGATACATGAGACTTTCCAATACTTTACCATATCCAATAATATCATTCTTTAAAAACATCCCATTGAACCTTATTCCCATATGAAACAACCACAAGAAACACTAAGAAAACAAATCGTAAAAGACAGCAACACAACAGAATAACATGCGAAAGACGATGATAAAAGAAAATACACAAAAATCTTTTCGATTAAAATAAAACAGAATTTTTTTTCGCTGTTTTTAAATAAAAATTACTCCGCCCATAAAAGCGATTTTGATTGGACTAAACTCCCGAGGAGCCCGCTCTGCTTAAAATTGCACAATAAATAAAACCACCGAAACGGAGATGTTTTTTTTGCTTGCTTGCTTTACTTTGCTTTTAATAACGATAAAAAAAAATCAAAGCACTTTCTTGGTGGAATGGAAAGTGTTTTCTTCTTAATAGCTCGCCGCCTGCTTTCGAGTTCCATCGTAAGAAAGTTTCTTCGTTGTTAATTTATGTCTTTCGTGCATTTTATCCTAAAACGTAAGAGAATAAGAACCGCAACTCGCACGAACACCATACACTTTGTTAAATAATGTAATAAATTTGCTGCTACTTCTTCGATGTCTTCGTTTGTGTTCTTTATGCTTCGTGCAGCTTTTAACTTCTCTTCAGAAGAACATTTCTCATTTTTTATGGTGACAAATATGTGTATTTTGTTGCTGTAAGTTGAATAATCTTTTCGTGCACAAAATATAATGTTTTATTAATGGTCTATACATATATCGAATGTATAAGAAACTGTGATCAGGTTGCGATATTGTATTTGAGCTCTACCTTCGTACTTATGTACGATATGACTTTATGAAACTTTTAATGGTCCTCGAAACTTCCTTGTGAAGTCTTCCTTTCAAACTAGTTATAAAGTTAAGCTACTACAATAAATTCATTTTATGCACAATTAAAACTTAAGTCGCTCAAGCTTCTTTATTTTCTAAGAAAGTCTTTTTCTACTAGTTAAAGCTACACAGAAGACATTCGTTGTTTTGATAAAATATTACTCTTCCTCAAAATTATACAATTTTATATCTCATACTTTAAAAGCAAACTTTTTAAAGCGAAAGATGTTTTTAATGTTTTTTAAACTTTCATTAGAAAATATTGGATGGCTCAAGAGCGACAAATTCTTAATATTTATTTATAGATATAGCAAACATTTCATGAAAAGAAAAAGCCTTTCTATGTTTTATTTCACAAAATGCTTCAAACTCGCAACGAAAAACCAGTCAAATAAAAACATTTAAATCTCAATTATGATGCTAAGGAACATTAAATTAAATTTTTAATAAATTAATTTGAAACAAACATTAAAAGTTTAAGTTTTCTACGATTTTGAATATGACGATTTTCAATTGATGACATTAAAGGAGTTTGTAGGAAAAAATATTCAATACCCTGGAATTATTAAACAGATTTGTTTTCGTCAAAAGTTGTGAGAAAAGTAAAGTTTATTCTAAGAATGAGCTTCATCAAAAAATTTCTAAGGAAATTCTAGTAAAAGCTCGTGGAATTTAAAACGTAGTATGATGCAAACAAACACTTCAACTAAAAAAAAATTAAATGAGTCAGTTTCAGTCCCTGGAAGTCAAACTCCATCAACAAAACCTTAAAGATAAAAAAATGTTGAAAAGCAGCGATTTAAAAATATTTTTCAGTTATTTAGAAAAATCAAAATGAAAACGGATGATTTTCTTTTAAAAGATCGGATAGCAGAAAGAAAAAACTTTCCTAAAAGCGCAATATCTGAAAAGCTACATAGATATCTCAAAGTGGCAAGAAGAGTAAAGAACAATGATGAAAAACCCGAAGAAAAAAGAAAGCTTCACAATGCGCATGAGAAGAAACGCTTCTATTTTCCATCCCTTCTAATTATAATAAAACCCACCTATAAAGTTCTGAGAACACGTTTCTTACACGTTCTTATGCTTTCACAGTTCTTTATTTCAATCCATGGCAAAACAATGAAGAAACAGTAGAGAAAGCTCCAGTTGGATACATAATATACTTAACAATATTATCTCATCTTCACATAAAAGCTGAATCTTCTCTCGAAAGCCAATGAGAACAAATTCTTAAACAATTTCAATGCGAGGGATGATGATTAATAAAAATAACCAGAATCAAGATTATCAAGAAACTTTAATCACAATCGCATGCGTCGTTGTATCAAAGTGTACACAAAATTGAAGGAGGAAAAAAAAATTAAATCAAATCGACACAATAAAAAAACATTATAAAGTGATAAGCGATAAGAAAATAAGTTTTCAACTTGACAAAGTATTTGCTTAAATTAGAAGAGTCGAAAAAAAGAGCTCATTTCACATGACAAGGCAACAAACAAAAGGTGCCGACATCGTTTAATCAATCGTGATCGATTAATAGCGTTTAAAAACACCTTCTTGTGCTACACACAACACTGATATTCCTACTCAATTTCTGGAACAAATACATGCAGATATCGAAACAGTTTCACATTACAAAACATTAACTTTTTTATACTTCAAACATGTCGTTTGAAGTTAATGTTATCAGTTGATTATTGCGATAAACAAACATGAGATTTTTTTTCGTTGTCGGTTTTTGAAATGCGCGATTTAAAGTGGAAAATGTGATTTGGTAAATGATATCTCTTCACTTGCTTCTACTTTAAAGTATTCTTCTCTTTTTCCAGTTAAAGTTATCGACGATAGGAACAACATTGAAAAAAATGACTGAATTGCTTAGTAAATAGAGGCGAATGAAGTGTGTTGTTTTATTAAATCAAAGTAAGGGCAATCACTGGCATAGAAATTGTAGTGAAAATTCATTTTTTTTCCTACTTCAACAACTCAACGATTGACTTTGAAGCTGATAACGTTGGTGTTAAAATCTTTCGCTGTTATCAAACCATTTGCTGCTTCACCAATTTGTTCGATTTTTTAACATGTCTTAATGACATCTATCGCTTTAAATTAATCACTGGAAGCGATTTTTTTTGGACACGGTTCTTATCTTTTATCATCCGTTTTTCAACTGACAGCGTTTGGAAAACAAGAACATGTTTAAAGGCTTTGGGAATTATCAGTTCAATTAGTAAATCAATATATTTCAATTAATTGATTGATGTGGATATCTCTTCGTTTTGCTTGTGGAAAATCCAACTTTAACATTGACAACAAAGTTTTTTTTTCTTGTTGACTAACTTCACGACTCTTTCAATTATTTAAAAAATGATTTTTTGCTGGTAAATAGTGAAGCAATATGTAGTCATGCAATTTTTATGACTTTATAGTTTCTACCTGGATGTTCTAAAGATTATTTGTGAAATAAATAAAAGTCACAAACACACACACACAGAGACATAAAGAAATGGGATATTTGTTCGTTAATCATTTTATATCCAAAGCGCTCATCTGCCATGACTGAATGACTTACAATTTGATAAATGACTCCTTGCATTCTTGATGTTCCTATGTCATTAAAAATAAGAAGTTGACTCTAAAAGTCAATCCTGTAATCCAGTTAAAAGCGTTTAAGGATTATTGAGAAACGAGAATAAGAAGTTTACCTTTTCCTTCACTTTTTGTTCTTTGTCTTCTACCTGAGAATTGTTTAATGTTGAGTTGAAAAATAAACATTATTAGTGAATTCTGTCATGTGTGTTTGCTGGTTCATCGATGAAAAGAGATTTCCTCAAGACGAATGGTAGAAGGATAAAAGATTATTAAGGGATAAGGTTTCATGATGCACGTTTCCTTCTTTTCCACACTAACATCACTTCTCCTATGTAGGTAAAATAAAAGTAAAAATGAAAAGAAAGAGACGATCATAAATAACAAGTTTAATGCGTTCGAATTGCATTAGATTTTCTTCTTACAGTCTTTCCGTTTTTACGGAGATCATTGGCTGAGAACATTTTCATGGCTTAGAATTGTATAAGAAACTTTCCTGTTTTTCAATGAATATCCAATGCATTCATTTATTTAATCCTAAATGCCTTTCGACACAGGCCATAAATTATGAGTTTGATTTTGTTGTTTTCGGCAATATCGCTTTTTATTATTGAAGGCTTATTAGTCCACTTCCTTATTCCATTTCGATTGAAATCAATTTAAGTAAATCTCTCATTCCTTTTTATCTACGATATTGCTATGGAATTGGAATTGTAGCATCAAATGTCAGCGATACAACAAAACTTGAAAAGGCCGAAATATCTCGAAAGGTCAAATGCTGCAGACTGAAAAGGAATATCGACAAAAAGGATTTTTTGTTCTCATTCTTTATCGGAATTTTCTTTTTCTTTTTTTCTCTCTCTCATGTCGCAATTTGTTAAAATAAGACTCGACATGAATATAAATACTTAGTCAGATGACAAGTCGAGAGTTGTCTTCTCATTCATCGCTTGTGGATAGCAGCAGGAATAAGAATAAGAAAAGGAGATGGAGCACAAATCGAATTTTGAAATAGATAAGATACAAGAGAATTGTATAATTTATTTCATAAATAAGCTGCTTTTGAACTGACCCCTTCTTATGATCTTAAATATACATACAATCATTGAAAGTCTTCCAGCCTTCTTCTTAATACTTAATACACTTTAATAGCCGATGTATACAGAAATAATATTTTGGAAATTGGCTGTAAGACATTTGTGTATGATATACCGTCTTTATCCCTTATTAAGAATTTATTATTTGCTTCGTCCGCTTTTCTTCTCATGAGCTTCTTGTCTCTTTTCTATCTTTCCATAAACTTCTCCATAATAAGAAGAGAAGAAAGTGGAATTAAAAATTGTAAAAATTTTCCTCTGGCCTTTCTTTTTTTATGACTTTTAGGAAATCCTTCTTGTTTTAATGATGTAAAATGGAAACAAAATTTAATGACTTATTAAATTTTCTACAACATTGAGCAGCTCAAGTAATGCAAAAAGCAGTTTTCATTCTGTATCATTTCGCAAACAAACAGAATTAATAATTATTTAATTGGGTTAAATAACTTTTATTTTTCTCATCTTCGAGATATCTTCCTTCAGAGGATTTCACGTCCTTCCTTTAGGAAAATGAAAATGTAAAAGTAAATGTCGTTGAAAGATCAAAAGATTTTCTTGAATGTTGGAAAACATTTTGTTTGCTCAATTTTTGCATTTTTGAGTAAATTTCAAGAGACTCTGTCAAAAGGATCACAAAGTTATTAATTTAATAGTTGCCATTTCAATTATTTCAAGTGAATCTTTTCAAAGTATTCTTCTGACTGCCACTGTTCCCGTCTCAATTTTTGAAAAAAGGGTTTAAGACAATTCTCTGACTTTCTTATTTAGTTATCTAATTACTTGGAAAATATTACTTTACAGCTTCACGAAAACTCTCGTCGATGGAATAATTTTATTACAGCTTTATTTTCGTTAATGAAATTGTCTTAATGGAATTATTTTTCCCCCGCTTTTGACGATCCAGAAAAAATATTTCTGAAGTCTTTCAATATCCTTGATAGTCATAATTTCGTACCATATTTAACCCTTTGATAAACTGATACATTTCTTGTTAATATTGTGAAATGAATGAAGCGATCAAGATAACAAGGAAACGTTTAATTTCCATTACCTTCTGTTAAGAATGCTATTGTGTTTTATTAAATATGCGTGGGTGGAATGAATGAATAGCAGCTTTGTTGAAAACTTTCGTATTCACAATTTGACTGGAAACAGGTGTTGAGATAAATTTGAATTCAGACATCTCATCTCTCGAGACGTTATCTTCATTTCCTTTCATTTCGTATCCACGCATCTCTTAGAGTAGCTCATCATTGAACACAAAAATTAAATATTTATTCTCTAGCAACCACAATACCTTTCAATTGCAAGTATTATTTGTTTGTTTACTGTATAGAAAGATGAAAAATAACATTTTTAATACTCATGAACAATTATTGTGTGGTAGAGTCGTACGCGCTCAAGAGAGAAAAAGAAAGAAATGATAAAACCACTTAAAATTCATGATAGGATTTGCCTAGCGATGAGAAAAAAAGGAAAACTTCACCCTTAAAAATTAAAATGATTGCGGATGAAATGAAAAATGTTTTCGTTTTTTATTTCATCGGCTCAATCCCACCTACAGTTAATTTAATAACTTATGCTTCGAATGCTCTTTGGACGCGCAGTGATATGTTGTGGAAATCATCGTTAGCAACATCAAAAGTTTTTTTTCTTCTTTTACTCTAAATATTTCAGCCGCGAAAAAGGAATAAAATAAAATAAATTGTGAGTTGAAAAATCTGTTGTAGATGGGATTAATTGGTACTTTTTTTAACAGGCAAACAAGGAGAAAAGAGAAGAAAAATAAATTGAAGTATTAACAAAAATAATGGAATTATTTCTGAAAATATTAAAAGCAGGACTAAGACTTTTTTCCACCGTACAAAAGTTCTCGAGACCGTAAAAAAAATATTTGAGAACTCAAGGAAAGGAAAATATAGACACAATATTTTTTAATTAAAAACACATAATCTGAAAATGGGTCAGATTGCCGCTTTTCCACTTTGTTTGCTGTCGAAATCTTAAAAGAAAATGTCTTTTAATCTTTCGTGTAATTTTTTATGTATAGAAGAATAAAGGAAAAAATAATTGGGAAATTTCGTGGAAAAAAAATTGTAATGGAGAATTAGTCACGTTCTTAATTTCTGATTACAATTTTCCATTCTTGATATTTAGACATCAAAAGTGATTTATGTCAAGAGGATTTTTGTTTATTTAAAATATCTTTTTTCTTTGTTTTTTTTTTAGAAATATGATTGGACGAACTTTTATTGCATTTAATGATTAATTAAATCTTCATTTCCATTGTGCTCTTTAAGTGGCTTCATTAATTAACTGAACCTGAGAGTCACAAACTTTCTTTTTTCTGTTCTCATTACTCCATCATGAAGGAATTTTCTTCTCCAAGCAACGGCATTGTTTTCGAAGATTTTCATTAATGGACTTAATTAAACTTAATCCTCGAAGAGAAAAATAAAATTATTTTAAAATAAAAAGCGAGAGAATCCTTTTTTTATTCATTCATGAGCGAAGACGAAAATATTTTATTTTCCAACCCTTTTTATTGCATAAAATTATAGAAAGCGAGGAAGCTTGAGCCTCTCGTTTAAGAACAAGAGAAGAAAAATGTAAAAGTTCTGGGTCACAATAAAAGAAATATAGCGGAGTAAAGCTATAGGTATTAGCGAAAGGATAATGAAGAAGACATAAACATAAAGCAAACCAGAAATCAAAGATACGCGAAGCAGCATCCAAAGCAACTTGGGTCAAAGATACTGTAATAACATTCTTAAGACTTTTAATAAAATGACCGTCACGATTCTTAAAAAAATTAATTGTTTGGTAAATAGGATTTTCCATATCAAAAACTTTTTACTCAAGGGGAAGTCATGAAAAATATCCGGAAAAACGAAAAACATATTTTGATTTCTTTTTCTCCTTCAACTTTGATCATCAACGAGAATATTTTTAACGGTCTCGTCGTTAAATTGTCATTTTATCGATTTTCTTCAATTTCAGTTTTTTTTCTTTTCGTTTTTGTATGAAAAAAGTTTCAACAATCATCTCAAGATGTCTGATGAGTTCTTACAAGTGTAAGCTTTTACTGAAAGAAACGAATCGTGATGTCATTGGTCTCTGTAGGAATCATAAGGAGTTCAAAATGTTGGGAGGTAATAATGATAAATATCATCAACCCTCATCTCAACTTCCATTCAACTGTGGTGTGGTTTTCATAATTTTATTCAGTTTTGCGGCTTTGCAAAAGTGAGAAAAATTTTAATCATTACCTGAATTCTGAATTTAAAACTTTAATTTGCAAAACTTAAAATCACTTTAATGTTTACATTCATTTAAAAATAATTTTGACCCTGATCAAGAATTACTTCTGTTGACGAGAAAGTTTTGATTTAAAATTAGATTTTATGATAATAAGTGAATTTTCGTTGCTTCGAAACGAATCTTTCTTACCAAAGGAACATAGTATTATGAGAAATAAAAGAACGCTCAGATCCTATTTATTAGTTATAAATAAAATTCTAAAATCAGCAGAACTGTTTCGTAATACCTCGAACTGCTGGTTGCATATAGTAACGGCAAATGGAAAACGTAATTTATGTTAAAGTTGTTGTTTGTTATCAAACCGTTTTTAAGATGAATAAAATTATTTAAATCAGATATTAGAATATGACGTCAAATACACGAACGCATCATCTGCTGGTAAAAAAATTGAATCTTAGTTTTATTATCATTTAGCGTCGGTGATTTGAATATTCAATCAGGGAAATTTATTTTATTTCCTTTTATTGATTCAAGGAGTTTTCCATTTTTTTATTGCTCTCTTTTTATTACTTTTATCTTAACGAATGTTGTTTATCATGCCATGTTATCATGGCTTCATATCGCAAAACCCTGCAATTATGTGCTCAGAATGTTTCACTTCGCGAAGGCTCTCACACAAAAATGTTTAGAATAAAGAATTGCAACCAACGTAGACGTTTCTAAATATTTGTAATAAGCCAACATAATTTCATAAACTGTAAGTCATAAAGTAACGTCATCTACTAAGTTCATGTTTGCAACGAGTATTTCGCACAACCAGAACTTCTAACGCTACAAAAGAAATTTGAGAATGTGAGAAAAAAATTCATGTTAGGGGTGGAAGGAAGGAAAATAAAAAAAATAAATGGAAGATAAAAAAATAAGCGAGGGTGGTGATCAAATGCGCATAAAAATGTTGTATCATTTACAATTGGTACTTGAAATCTAACCAAAGCGCTTCAAATTGAATTTAAATAGGATTTAATTTAATGAACATGTTTTGCAAATATTTTATTGCGATCATTTTATAGAAATTTCAGCAAATGTTTCAAATTGAACGTTTCTTTGACAATATACAATTAATAAATAATTTGTTGAGTAATCTCATTCAACTGAATATGTTGACAGCTGAATTATTTGATAGTTTATCTTGAGAATTTATTATTGATCTTGACCTTCCGAATCCAAGTTCTTCTTAAATGGGAACTTCCTTTTTCTCTTGATAAATATTTACTTGCAGTTATGTATTTTCTCGTCAACTTTAAAAAAATATTTCAGTATCAGAGTAATCTCTCAACTGATAAACATCGAGGAAGTGTATGAGAGTAGTAAGAAAGAAAGAAAAGTTCTGTAATTCTTTTGACATCATAATGTTGTGAATTTTGACGTCATGAGCTGTCAACATTGTAAACATCACAGATTCATGTGTGGGTGGCTTCCTAATTAGGTACATCTTTATTGTCTTATGACTCAATACTTTTATGCTCAAATTTAAACGAAGCTTACTCACTTTTTACGAATAGCAATTTGTGTTGTTTGAGTGAATATAAGCATACATTGAGTTTAACTTTAGGTAGAAATTTTCCTACGATACGCTCTTAATTCAATTTAGAGATATACGCAACACATAGGAAGTCTCATTCAGTTTTGTTGAGAGCTTCATAGTGATCAAACTTTTAATAAATATCAACGTCAAATAAAGCCAACTTTTTAAGGTAAATTTTAAGCATTTAACATTCTTTTATAATAATTCGAAAAATTCTGAAATGAATTGATATGAATATTTTAAAATTAAGCGTAAGATGAACTTGGAGAAGAAATAAGAGAACATTCGCCTCTTTAGAGATTCCGTAGTGCATCATAAATAACTTCGTTTCTTATTCTCCATTTGATAAATAAGAGTTGTGTTTGACTTGTCATATACAGTGACATGTAAGAAGCATCTTAAAGAGCTGATAATATAAGAGCTTAGGATTATACTCCATATTCAGTCACTTCATGTCTTCGTTCAAGACAACAACTCTTCTCCAAATAAATCGTCTTTATTTAACTGAAAGTGAAAATATAATTTGAATTTACATGAAAGTGAAGAATAATATTCAAGTGACTCTTGTAATTTCTGAGATTTAAACTCTGGAAAGAAAAAATAAAAATCAGTGAGAAATATGGCGAAGAAGATGTCGAATGAAAACGGCACCGCCAAAGCTCCTGAAAATTCGCCACTTATTTTCGACGAGAAACTGTTGGAATCGGATAACGAAGAAATTTATAGAAATTATCCACTTTCAGACGACACAACTTGTGGAATCGGATTTGTGCGTGGGAAGTTCTTACAAATGTGAGAAAAAAATTTTCCTTTTTATTACGAAAATTGAATTTAGAAAATTAATTTTTCTTTTCATTTGAATTCCCTTTAGCTTTGCAAACAAAAAAGCTTTTGTGTAAGTGAACATCATTTCCATGCTTAATTGAAATTAATTTATTTCATTTGTCAATTTTCTTTGCCCTTCATAAAGATTTTTTTACGGCATCGTGGGCTCAATTTTCTCCGCAACTTATGCATATTTTAATGGAACGATTACGACCATTGAAAAGCGATATAAAATACCATCAAGGAACACTGGATTCATATCGACTGGCAATGATATAAGTTCGTTGTTTATTTCAGCGATTCTTGCTTACTACGCAGGCAAAGGACATCGACCACGTTGGATTGCTTTTGGTTTATTTGCAATTGTCGCATTTTGCATGTTGACATCACTGCCACACTTTCTCTACGGACCTGGAGATCAAGCTTTGTCACTGACGAAGGAATTTGGAGCTCAAGAAAATGATTTGGCGACAATGAAAGTGCTGGAAAAAGAAAGACAAAAAACACTTTGCAAAACGAATACAACAGATGGAGTCGCTGAATGTGAGGCTGAAGAAGGAGTTTTCATGCCACAAGTTTTACTTTTTCTTGGTCAACTCATTGCTGGTGTTGGACAAAGTTTGTATTACACACTTGGAGCTGCTTACATCGATGATAACGTAAAGAAATCAAAAACGCCAGCATTGATTAGCTTGAGTTACTTTTTGCGATTACTTGGACCAGCTGGTGGTTATGCATTAGCTTCATTCTGCTTAAAAATTTACATTTCACCAGAACTAACACCAACAATTAATAATTCTGATCCAAGATGGCTTGGTGCTTGGTGGCTTGGATGGCTCATTCTTGGTTCAACACTCTTCAGTTTCGCATTCGTCATGTGCATGTTTCCCAAAGAGTTACCACGTGCAGCAGTTAGAAAACGAATCGCATTGGAAAGAAGAAAACGTGGAATGAAAAACCTTGAACCTGAAAAAGAACCCGACGATGTTCCAGCATCATTCAGTGACATGATCGTGACATTCAAAAGATTATTAAAAAATGTAATTTTTGTTCTTAACAACGTTGCCTCAGTTTTCTACTACTTCGGGTGAGTTTTTATCTTCAACTACATTGTCAGAAATATTCATTCTAAAGCTTTTTATCAGTTACATGCCTTACTGGATCTTTACACCGAAATATATCGAGACACAATATAAACAGTCAGCTTCTACCTCAAGGTAATCTGCTTTTATTATCTATTTATCATCATAAAACTTTTATTTAATGATCTCGTTTACACCCACGCACATACACGCACATAGCATGGTTACAGGGACAGTCGCTTTAGTCTTCTCAGCAATAGGCGTTCTAAGTTCTGGGATTGTCATCTCAAAATTCAAGCCACGAGCTCGTTATCTCGCTATTTGGAATGTCTTTGTTGGTGCCTTATCAGTCTTAGGGATGATCTCTTATGCATTTTTGGGTTGCACAGAGAGTGAACAATCAGTTGTTATCAATAATCCACTGTCGTAAGTTTAACTTATGATTTGTCAATGCAAATGAGTAATCTGATTAATGATTTGTTTCATCATCAGTGGAGTGTCTTCCTGCAACTCTGATTGTCATTGTGATTATGTTAAATATTCGCCAGTTTGTGGATCAGATGCAAAAACTTATATTAGTGCATGTCATGCTGGCTGTAAGATTAGACGAATGGAAAACAATCAAAAGGTGATAAATTTTCTTAACTTTTGAACTTTTTTTAATCGTTTTTAAAATGTTCAACACAATCGATTGATAAGATTTGACTTTAATGTTTTTTATGATTGAACTTTTCTAGATTTTTGAAGACTGTGCCTGCATTTCCAACACAACAAAAGCTAATATTGAATCTTTCACTCTTCCATCATCGATTGAGAATAAAGAAGAAAGTGAAACAACATCAAGTGATGTCTACACAACTTTGACGGTATTAAATTAAATTAGTTAATGCTTTAAAATCTGATTCTAATGTTTGCTGTAGAATTTTATCACTGGTGGATCAGCAAAGGATGGTGCATGTCCAGTTAATTGCAAAAAGCAATTCTACATGTTCTTAGCGGTCGTGTGCTTCATAAAGTTTTGTGGTGCAACTGGAAGAGCGAGCAACTTCTTAGTTTCAGTTCGATGTGTTGAAGAACGAGATAAAACTGTCGCGATGGGATTTGGATTGATGTTTATGTGTCTGTTCTCGTTCATTCCAAGCCCAATATTCTTTGGCACATTGCTCGATAAAACATGTTTGGTTTGGGGGAAAACTTGTGGGAGAAAAGGAAATTGTTGGCTCTATGATGGTGAAGTGTTACGGTCTGAATAAAATTATTTTATAATTAGATGATGAATAGCTAACGAAAGGAAATTTCTAGGTATTGGATGAATTTTATTGCGGCCGGATTTGTGGCCATGGGAGTGATATTCGATACAGGCGTTTGGTATTACGTAAAAGATCTAAAAATATTCGATGAAGAAGTGAAGAATAAAGAACTTGAGCTTGCGGACAAAGAAGACGAAGTTCAGATGGAAAAGCCAATGAGTTAGAGATAAAATTCTTAATGTTTTATTGTTTCCAAGCACACAAAAATATTTTAATAAATTCTCTTGTTCAGTAACCTCGTTGAAATTATTTGCATTTATCTGTTGAGTTATCTAAACATTAAATCACTTCTGGAAAGATTAAAAAAAGTTTCGTCTGTTTTTCAGTTCAAGCTTCATTTCATCACATCAGTTGATAAAAATGCTTTCATGTGAGAAGATTGAAAATCTTAAAATGGAGAAAAAGCTTGAGGCGGAAGTATTTTTGAATGGAGAGTCAGAAAATTTGAAAGTTTCCAATGACAAGTATGATGATGAAGATTATGATACAACTTGTGGTTTTGGATTTTTCAAAGGAAAATTTATTCAAAAACTTGCAAGCAAAAAAAGCTTTTTGGTCACTTACTCATTGACGCATATGTTGATCAATGCAGCCGCTCATTACTACAGTGCAACAATAACAACTTTAGAGAAGCATTACAAGTTTACAAGTGCACAGACAGCTTACATTGCAATTGTGTTTGATGTCGTAGCTACAATTGTCTCACTCATTGCACCACATTACTGCTCGAGAAGTCACTCGCCTAGATGGATGGGAGTAGCAGTAGTTCTGTATGCATTTTCTTGTTTTGTCTTCATTCTTCCTTACATACTTTACGGAGCTGGTAATGACGCGTTATCACTAACAGAAGAATTTGGAGATGACATTTATGCCAACTCATCGTTAGAGTTTGTTCACCAGAAGAAAATGAGCGAACTTTGTTATGAAAATAGTGAGTTGAACTTGATTAATTTATGTACGTTTTTTAGATCTTTATCAGCATCTTGTTTTAATAGAAACACGTGATGATTGTTTGGAGAACAATAACGAAGGCGACACACATCTGATTGCAACGATAATACTCATGATAGGCAATGGATTTCATGGAATTGGTGGTGCACTTTTCTTCGTTTTGGGAATGGTTTACATAGATGACAATGTAAAGAAGTCAAAAGTTCCGCTACTTTATTCACTCACAAGTTTTATAAAATATTTGTCACCGGCTATTGGATACAATCTCGCGTCGTTCGTTCTTAAGTTTTACGTCACACCAACTTTACATCCAAAGATTAATGATCAAGATCCGAGATGGATTGGTGCTTGGTGGATTGGTTACATTGTCTTTATCGTTGTGTTGCTCATTCTTGCACCAATCATTGCGATGTTCCCGAAAAGACTTCCCAGAGCAGCTTTAAGAAAAAAACAAGAACTTTTGGAGAAATTGAAAAAAATTGATGAGACAACAAAGGAAATTGCTGATAAGTCATCTAAAAGTCTAATGAAAGCTTTCAAACGATTGTTGTCAAACAAAACTTACGTGTGCAATTCTATGGCGGGAATTTTTTATTGTTTCGGTTACGTTCCGTTCTTCTTCTTTCAAGCCAAATACATTCAAATTCATTTCCTGTTTTCTGCGTCAAAAGCAAATATGATAACAGGAACTGTTTCATTGATTTTTGCTGCGGTTGGTCTGTTAGTGGCTGGAGTTGTTATAACAATTTTTAAGCCTCGTGCGAGATCTTTGGCCATGTGGAATATAATTAGTAGCAGTATCTCTGTTATAGGAATAATTGCCTATGGATTCTTCAGTTGTGCTGGTAATCACAACAATATCATGATGGAAAAGTAAGATGAATTCATTTAAAATGTAAAGTGATTTTAATAAATTACCACTTTCAGTTCAAAGAGTGACTTATTTTGCAACACAAACTGTAACTGTGACTATGTGAAATATGCGCCGATTTGTGGTGAAAATAATTTGACTTACATTTCGTCTTGCCATGCTGGCTGTACAAATGAAATGACTTTTGAGAATGGAACAAATTTATTCACAAATTGTCGATGTATAAACTCAACTTTATCAAACGAAAGTTTGAATGTAGGTGGTGGTGGCACAGCAACACCAGGAGCTTGTGCAATTGATTGCTTCTCCAAATTTCTGGCATTCTTTTTTTTCCTTTGTTTAAATAAATTTCTTGGCGGAACTGAAGGATGTGTAAATTTCTTGCTTGGTATGAGATGCGTTAAGGAGAAGGATAAAGCAACGGCAATGGGATTTTCAACAGCTGTTTATAGCTTCTTTGGTGTTGTTCCAAGTCCAATAATTTTCGGATGGCTCATTGACAGAAGTTGCATTTATTGGGGAAAAACTTGTTCAGCAAAAGGAAATTGTTGGCTTTATGATACCGAAAAAATGAGGTGATAGTTTGGTTTCATTTTTTTTAAATTTTTGTGCTTAAAAATTTTTTCAGGTACACTTTCAATATGGTTTCAGCTGCTTCTGTTTTCATTGGGACACTTTGGGATGTCGGAACTTGGTATTATTCGAAAAATATAGAAATATTTGATAAGAAAACTTTAAATAAATCACACGATGATGGCGAAACTTCAAATAAATCAGACAATGATGGCGAAGTTTTTGAAAAAAAATAAATTTTCTTCGAATGATTTTGAGCTAAATAAAATAACGGCTAAAAAAAATTTAAATATTATAAATCTTGTACAAGTAACTTGCATGATAACATTTTTTTAATTCGATGCAATTTCTCTTTAAATCATTTCGACATTCTTTACATAGCAACAGCAGCATTTGCGAATGCTACAAATCCTCTGAAAGCTTCTCGTAATAATGCATTAAGTTGAGCTTCTGGAATAACCCATGGTGCTCCTGTGCCTGAAGGTAATCTGAGTTCGAAGGACATTGGAATGTTTCTCAATTCATAAGCGAAATCAATTGGTGTTCCTGATTGAACTCCATTTAAGATTCCACCAACACCGACTGTGTAAATTCTTCCGTTAGCTGAATTCAAAGCTGCTGCAACTTGGCCAGCAACATTTCTTTGGCGTGCTTCATTAACAGTACTTGGAACGCCAAGATAATTGTAAGGAATAATAATTCGCTGACCACCACCTCGGACGCTAACAAACATGATGACACGAGATTGATGAGCTAATAAAACATCACGAATTGATTGACTTTCAGCTTCAGAGAAGAAGAATGGTCCAGAAAAGTTTTCTCCGCAAGGCTATGAAAATGCAATGAAATAATTAAATTTCAACATTTATCGACATTTATTTGCAAACTTACATCGCCTGTCGACAAGAATTGGTATTGAAAGTTTCGGTTGATATCAGCACCAAAGCATGATGCAGAAACAGCACGACGATTCTTATTCCAGTTTCTGTCAGTGGTATGACTGAACACGTAGCCATCTTCGAGCGAAAAGGTTTAATTAACAAGTTTAATCAAAAAAATGTTTGCTTAGGTTTACCTGGGTTTGAGACTGGGACAACAACGATATCAATTGCATTTAAGATGTCATCAAACTCGTAATCATGTTCTACAAGTTCATGAATGATGTACATGGCTGTCATTGTGCTAAGCCATTCTCTGGGACTGATACCGCATTCAACAACAATTGTCGGCTTTGGTGCCCCTCGACGAATCACGAAAGCTTCAACACGACGGCCTTCACTTGTTGTTCCATATTGTTCTCTGGAGAAAAGTGCTGGGAAATCTTGAATCAATTCATCCATGTATTCATTGATCTAATTTTTTATAAAAGAAGTTTAGCGAAACGTCTTAGTTGAAATTATTTAAAATTTACATCAGCCAAGGACCAAAATTCATTGAAAGTAAGTGTCGAAGCTGCTGACAAGCTCAAAGTTGCAGACAAAACCAAAATTGCTAAAACCTTGTTCATGATGAATGATTTTAATTGAAATTAGTACAGAAACTGAATTGTGAGGCTCGTTCAGTTTGGTTTTTATACTCTTCGATAGCCACGATTCGAAACCGACAATATCACATGGCAACATTTTAACTTATCATGAATGTTGAGCCATAATTAATCAGTTCGTTATTTAAGCTACTTCAATTACTTAAGCTACTTCAGAATTTAGTCTAATGATAAGATAAAGTTGAAGTTGATAAGTTTCACTTGTTTGTCTCAAGTTCGAAACCCCAAAAATAAAATCTCGAAAGTTCCTTAAAACTGAGACGAATTAAAGTTGATAAAATTCCTAAATCCGTTGATGTTCTGCCAATCATTCATCGCTGTGTGATTAAAATATCCAAACATCCATTTCTGATTTCTATCAAATTCATTGCAAATCTCTTTCGTGACAGTTTTCATCTCGACATTTGCTGACAAGCAAAACTTTCCTTTATTTATTAACATTTTTGATTTATAATCAAACTTCCAATATTGATTTCCACCCTCGTAATGACAATCTAACAATCTCATGTTGAATGAATCGATACAAAGATCGGATCCACTTTGTTCAATTTGCTTAAAGAATGTTAAAGAAAAATGTTGAAACTTTTTCGGTTCAATTAAATTGTTGTCACATTTTGATAATCTCAATGAAGCTTCATGTTGTTGGTCTGCAACTAAGCAGAAATTATCTCCACTTGAAAGTGATTTCAAAACGCCAGACGCAAAAACTGGAACTTGATAAAACGGTGGATATCTTTCAACAAGATCTTTAGCGATATTTGCCAGAAAGTAAACAAAAGGTTTACATTTTAATTGTTTTCGGAGAGATTTTTGTTTACTTAAATCACCGGCATCAACAGTTTCATACCGTTTGGGGTCACGAGAATATAAAACATCTTTGAACTCATCCAACCAAACTTCAGCGATTCTTTTGAAATTTCTTGCAACATAATCATGGTTTGTGACTCTTGTTGGATTTATTTCTCTAAATGTGTGTCCAATTCTCGAACAAGGAACTTTAAGCAATCCATCAGCACATAAATGAAGCTTAAAACTGAGTTCATAATTCTCTCCATTCCACACTTCAAGTTGTTCGTCATAGCCACGTAAATCATTAAGGAAAAAACTTCTATCAATTGCAAAAGCACATCCCAACATCACTGGAACTTGAAATGGTTCAATTGTGTCTTCATCATCAATTGGAAGTTCCTTAAACGTGAATGTCCAATCGAAAGCTCCACGAGTTGGTGGCATTTTAAAATATTCAAAAGTTTTCGAACTAAAATCATCAATAACTGGAACAGTCGCAATTTTTTTGTTTTCTTTAATCGGTGATATCAAAGGTGGCAACCAATTTTCATTTACTTCAATGTGTGAGTCGAGAAAGATTAAAACTTCACCGGTAGCGATTCTGGCTCCTTCAAGTCTCGCCACTATTAAACCGCTACGTTGTTTCAACTCTTTGATTTTAATTTTATCACCAAAATAAGATGCGACGTAATTTCTCAAGGGTTTATAAGTTTCTTGTTCAGTACTTGCGTCGTTAACTAAAATAATTTCATGAATCATCACATTCGGGGTTCGATTCCAAATGCTATGAAGAGTTCGCTTTATCATGGAAAGCACTTCATTATGAAAGATGATTATTATTGACACAGATGGAAGGTTTTTTGAATATTTTAAGGTGTGACATATCGTAGGTCGAGTATCAGGTATTGACCGATTCACTGAAATCTTCTCAGACACTAGAACGTACATTCCCGTTTTCTGATAAAGAATTTCATTCACTTCAATGTCCTCAGGATCATTCAAATACACTGCACTTCCATTCTCACCATAACTTTTTGAAATTCGTTCAATGTCAGAGTATTTTAAAATGTTTAAACAAAAAACAAACAACGACAAAATTAATAAAAGCAGAAAAAACTTCAATCGCAAACATTTCATCAACATTTTATTTAATAAATCTGACGATGACCGCGGACAAAAGATTACTGAAATTCATATTTAGCAGAGATCACGTTCAAAGATGAATCGAGATGTTAAGCCTTCGCCAATTCAGAGATTATTCAATTTATTAAAAGAAAAAGAAGAAGAAGGAATTTCAAAGTTTAAATGGTAATGTTAATAAGTGGTTTAGAAAACGAAACGTTTTGCTGAGAACCTGAATTGCATTAACATTATAATATCTTTTCAATATATTATATTAATTTATATTTCAGAAATTTTAAGTGATTAATAGTGAAAGTTTAACGGTCAAAATATTTTTAAAAGAAGCTTTCGAAGCTTTTCAAAGCTTTTTAATCAGAAGATATTTCAATTCTTTTACATTTTTTTAATGAATTAAAAATTGTTAATTGCTTTCGATAATAATAAAATTTAAAATATTTTTCTTCCAATTTGAGATGTCACAAAAATCTTTAAATCAGAAATATGAAAGCTCCATGCTTCCAATGCATAATGATGATAATACTCGTCAGATGTGACAATTATGAAAACTTTGCAAATATCAGTTGGTCACTACAACAACATCCATTGAGACTTAGTAGGTTGCGTCAAGCGAGAGAAAATAAAAATCAAACAAAACACAAATATTCCAGTATATTTTAAACGAAGAAGCAGAAGAGAGCTGCTTGACGTTTTCTTATGTGACAAATCGCATTGTTCTTGACTCATTCTCGCAAAGCGTGCATGTCGATAAAAACAAAAACAAAAAATACCACAGAAATATCAACCGGAGAATAATTTTAACAAAATATAATCGACGCTAACACACTCGAACGCATTGGTACGTATAAGTAGAATTCGCTTTATCTTTCAAAATTGTCGCTGAGTGTTTGTTATTGAGGATGATAAGAAGTCTTTTGTATCGAATGTGGAACTAACCTGTGGATTGCGAAGCAAAAAAAAAGTAAAACTTATTTCAATGTAGCTGTGATGTGAAAGAAACTCATTCGAGTCTCGTAGGATTGCATCATTAATACGGAAAATAATTTTAAACGACTAGTTTCATATTTTAATCATTTGGTGACTAATCGGTTGTGATCTCGACAGCAAAAACGAAGACAAAATTCAACTTACGATGAATCCGAAGAATTCGCGTAAAAATCAGACGAAAAGCACGCCAAAGAAAAAAACGAAGAGTAATGTAAAGTCAACTCCAATCGCGAATGATGTCAAAAGCAAGTTTTATTCGTCAAAAGATGGTGGTGAATTAAGTGAACATCAAAAGGTGATCGATCAGAAAAAAGTTACCGCGGAAGAACCAAAAAAGTTGGAACGATCAAATAGTTTTTATTTAACTCGAAAATTATCGAAAATATACACGAAGTTATCGGGTAGTAAAGAGAACTTAGATAAGGCAAAGGAAGGAGAAAAAGCAAAAAAAGAAGAAGCGACACCGCCATACAAATTCCAACGCAGTTTAACGTTGAATTCTTTTCAGTTAAAGAAAGGTCCACGAAAAAGTTTTCTCGATTCAAAACTAGAGAAATTGAGTGAAGAAAAGATCTGCGAAAATGGAAAAGCAAAGTCACCTCCACTTTCTCCGACTCCAGTTCTCCGTTCAAAGTCACCTGCCAGTTATCGACAATCACTTCCTCCAGGTTCATTAGATGGCTTCGACTTTCTTATGCCACCACCACCAAAGCTTGAAAGATCTGGAAGCTTCATTTCTTTAATCAAAAGAAAAATCAGTTTCAATGAACCGAGTCCAATGAAATCAAATTGGGCGACATCGTTACAAAGTCTTCAGCAAATCGACAATATGGTCAGCTATGAAGACCTTTCCTTTGTTGACTACGACAAATTTAATCAGTATGAACAACAAATTGATAAGATGTTAAGTCGAATCCACAATGACTCAGTTGATTCACCTGCGCTTCAAATGCAACATTCAATAGAGAATTCTGTTGTTCGGAGAAGACCCAAGAAAGTTCGGGTTCATTCAAGTGACATCAACAGTAACTTAGATCGTGAAAAAAATCTTTATCGGCAGAGTATTGACAGCAGTAAATTACAATTCTTAAGTTCAATTAACTCTGACTCACATCGATGGAGCACGGAAATGTGTGACAATGATCCAATGAATTGGCTTTCACTGGAAAACACGCCTCAAGCTGTTAATCCAAATGTGTAAGGAATTTTAAGTGAACAAAAAAAATATATCGATATAATGTTTCAATCTCAACTCAATAATCCGTGTAGCAATTACGAAGTTTTATCGTCAGCAACCCAAGTAGCTCAACTCTCAGAAAAAGACCAAAATGATGTTCGAAATTACATTACCAGCGACAACCTGCAAAACCCAACACGACAGAAAAGTCAATCATGCGGAAATTTGTTGATCAATAAACATCCCGAGACATGTGTTGAGATTCCCAAACTGGTGAGTTAATAAAATAAAAAAAAGCATTTTGGTGTTCGTCCTAACAAACTAAAACTCTTTCATGATTCAATTCAATAACTTGTTCTGTTTATGTCACAAAAATATTTGCAACTGACGTTAGATATCTTAAAAGATTTTCCATTACAATCACAGTTAGTTATCTTCAAAATTGCGTCTTTTAAATCTGACGGTTCTCAGATAATTCTAAAAGTATAACACAGAAAAAAGGTGAAAATCCTACGACCACAAGAGATTCTTCTTAAAAAAAGGTAGAAAAGGGACACAAAATCCTAACCCGAAAATCCCTTGAAAATTTAATGTTTGATATGCTCGTGCTTTGCATAATGATGAAAAGTCAAAATAAAAAAAGTAGTAAAAGCGAAGTCAACAAGGTTGAAGGCAAATCTACTAAGGGACATTAAACACTCATTCACACTCATGTAACATAATTAAATTGACCTGAAACGAAATGTGTGACTATTTTTGGAACAATAGTTTAGATGTCGTGAAATTTCTGTGGATAAAGCTTTTGTTTAATATTTGATGCAATGTTTCGGTGCTGTTTTCATCATTCCAAAAGTTGAGTGGAATAATTCTTGATCATTCATCATGATTATATTCATTTAATTGATGATTTAATTTACTCATTATTTTGAGTGTTTCATAAATGTTAGTCATTAAAAACATTTCTTCTAGTCATTTTCGAAAACTGAAATAATTTCTCGACGTTTTCCAGACGACTTGCCGTCGTCGTTTTGAAAACATTAAGAGCGAAACAAATTCTTTTCCATTTTCGAGCACTTAAAATCAATGATACACTTAAAAGCTTTCCATCTTTTGAAGAGCTTCGTCTCACTTGAACTAAGTTGTCATTCGTGAAATCATTTCTTTATAATCAAACGAATGGATAACAACGTAGACTTACATGAATGTGTATAATACAAAACCTTCTTTTTTTGTCGATGATGTTCATGACTGATAACATAACAATCAAGTGCTTTTTGACGCTTTGAATAATAAAAAAGAAAATTGGAGGAAAATTGTGAACGGCTTTGGAAGTTTTATTGTGTTTAATGTTTAACGAATGCAGTAAAACAAAAACATGATAAGATGAGCACTTCAGATAGAGCACATTGAAGATTCACCGTCACTTAAAAAGATTTTTCTGTTTGCTACTTTAACTTTGACAATGGAAAATTCTTGCACGAATTTAAGTTACAAAAATATTCATCTCGGGAAAAGAATTTTATTTTACATTCGAAGTTCCATTCGATTGACTCAAGTTCTCTACTTAATCCCAAAAGTTTTTGCCAGATAAGAAATATTGATGTTTGTTACACGTTTTTGTTTGCTTTGCACTTGGTAAAAGTTTGTTTCGTTTCACTGCTTCCATTACGAGTTGCTGCTATCCATGAAACTCATAATCCCTGAGATTATCTTTATGTGCGAAATACTACAAGGCAACAACAAAGCATTTCTCTTTCGTCCGCGTTGGTTGTTGATGATGTTTAGATGTCAGATTTTCATTTACTCATAATTTTATTTTCTATTTTTATATCCCGACATATGCTGCATGATTAAACGTTCTTCAAATATTTACTGCATGAATTCAGTCACGATATTAAAGTTGATGTAGTTCCGTAATGAATTACGATAAGTTCTGTTTTCAATCCATAAATAATTTATCTAAATTGAAGTTTCAAGTGGAACGTCCAAGTTTCGTTGAAAAGGATTATCTACTTCCGTATAAAAACAAATTGAAAAGTTTCTTAAAGTTACAAAAAAAACTGTGAAAATGCATAACACTTGCTTCAATCTAAAAAACAGAACGAAACTTTTGTGTTTTCCAACGAGGAATTCCCCAAAAGACTGCCATGTCATGATACATTTTAAAAGATTTATCAGATGCACGAACAACATGACTAACTTTGCAATCGTAAATTAAATAAAAAGTTTTGAACAAGTATCTGGTCAAAAAGAAATTTGCCAACTTTCAAACACTCAGCAACGTGCATTCATTGATTAAACATTTTGTTATAAGCAAAACATAAAAATCTGAATGAAATATTTGTCTGCGATTTAGCGCATGTCGTTTTCGATCACAACAATCATTGCGAAACTTAACCCAAAACACTTCTCCGTTTTTATTTCTTTATTGATTTTTGTCATAAAAAAGATTGAATTTCATGAACTTCTTACGAATCACCTTATAGTCACGAGGAATTGCACGTTTTCTCTGTTTACAAATTTGTCGCGAACTGTTTCGTTCAACGTGTGTGCGCGATGAAAGGAAAATCATTGCCACAAAAACAACATTCGTGCTTTCGTTAAAAAAGCTTCCAAGTAAGGAAGAGGACGAAAAAAGCTTTTCGATGATTCAGTCATCGTTTTAGCTTTCCCGAGACCAGTCGCATTTGTTGTAACATTCGCGTTTTGACTGTCTTTGTAGAACATAAGGCTTTGAAAAAAAGAAAAATAATATTTTAATGAAAAAATGAAAAGAAAATGTTATAAGTGAAAACATAAAATAGAATAACAAGTGAAAAATTTTTAGTGCACAGCTGCAGGCAATTGTTACATGTAACTCATACTTGGGATCTTAAATGATTGTTCTTCAATCAAGAAAAAAAATAAGAAAGAAAATGTTAAAGCTCGAAGCGTTACGCTAATTGCTTGCAATTCAAAATTATTCTTAAGTGTTATATTGAGTTCGATTAAACCCTTTAAATGTTAAATTGAAAGTTGGGGAGGGAAAAATTATTATTAACCAAATGATTTATGGTGGAAGAAATTGTGGTTGGAATATAAAGCGACATTATTTTCATTTTCATTTCGTGAAGTGTTCAAGAGAATGGAAATTTTGAGCAACAAACAAAATTTCCTCGTAATTTGCTATTCGTGAATGTAGGCAAAGGAAATGAGAAAAAAAGTTCACTGAAATGTTTTTCCTCTTCTTCTCTACATTGTATAATAAGTTATGTTAAATGCAATTAAATTTTATAAATACTTACGTGAAGGAAATGATTTTTTTACTGACAAAGCGAAACTTATTTTCAACCTGTTTATGAAATTTGAAATTTCCCCTTAATGGAAATAAGTGAATATGTGAACAGTTTAATCGTTGGAACCTCCAAGCTACTGTGATATTCACTTGTCGTATCAAGCGGTGGTGGTGGTGATAGCGTAATTTGCTTCAGTTTTGAATACAAATGAATTTCATTACCCGTGCGAAGATTAAAATGGATTAAAGCGAACATAGTTTGCTTGCTTCTTCCATAAAGTTCTCTGAAGTAAAGATAACGAAAAATGTGGGAAAAAGAAGAAAAGTTTTAAGCAATTTCTTAAAATATTCCATCCTGAAGCTTTCTTTATTCTTTCCTTCTCAATATTTAACAGCTCAAAATGCATAGAAAAGTTATGTTCGTTTCTACATACATTCTCATCTACGACCGCATTAATTTTCTATGTTGCAAGATAAAAATGTAATAAAGAAGGGAAGAGATCACCTCTATCAATGCTCTAAAGTTTTACAATGTTATTTAGAAGCTGTTTGGATGGAAATTTGCTTTAAAGTATCGATTTCCACTTAATCGTGTGCTGAATTCATGATTGATGTTCGATCCGAAATAAAAATCTCTGATAATCAGTTTTCAAACATAATTACAATGATGCTTCATGGTCGTCGTTGATAGCTTTCCACATTTCCCTTCAATGTTTATGTTCAATGGTAGGCAGAATGGTAATTGAAACATGAAAAGCAATTAAAACGTCCGTTCTAAGGTTTTGTAAACTTTATGGCATGTTTCGTAAGCGTGTACATGCCGTGAGTTAATCATCGTTGTCAAAAAATAAAAAGCAAAAGTAAAAGAAAGCTTCCAGTGTCTAAATACGTAATTGTTTATGTTAAGTATTTCCACTCCCGAAGCTATATTCGTGTTAATTTAAATCCTCCACCTTGTCGTTTCTTACTAAATCTCGCAATAGGCGATGTAATGAGTTGGATAAATACATGAATGAGTAGTAAAGAAGTATTTGTGCTATGTCAACCTGCAATCACAGGTCTAACTCATGTTTCGTGCTTAAAGTATTTAAATTTATTATTATCGGAGAGAAATTAATACTAAATCTTTCTTCATTTGGTTGTTTTGACGAGTCGCCAAGTAAAAGTTTCAAGCAGTGTTGGGGACCAAAATTGGAATATTTTTGCACAAATTCTAAGCTCTGGATTTGTCGTGTCTCGTCTTCCCTTTGTACGCGTCCATATTTATTAGGTTTTTGAGATGGACTCAAGATAAAAAGTCAAAGCAAATAAGAAGAAACGACATGGAATGAGAGTCATGTCAAGCATTCATACACAGACATTAGTTTTATTGAACCCTCGAAAGCAATAAAGCGGAAAATTCTTCATTGATTATTACCATTTTTGCTTTCTTTTCCTTTTTTTCTTTTATGGTGGTAAATAGCAATCGATAAATAAAAGCCAACATTTAATTTTGTTTTGCAATGCTATCCCATAATTCCTAAAGTATCAACACAATGTTTCCTTAAGTAACAAAAGGGAAAGAAAAACGATGGCAGGAAAATTGAAATCCTTCGCAGAAATGAATTTTTCACTGCATTTTTCCACTTCACTTTGGTAAAAGAAAATATTTGTTCTCACTTAATGCTCTGCTTGCTCTTGCGATGCTTTCATTTTTCAACAAAGTCGAGTAATTTATTTTAATTAATTTTAAGAATAGAAAATTGTTTGAAAAAGTTTTACTAAAGATGCTAATTAACTTTTCTTTTTAAATGAAGAAGCTCAATACAAACGAGAAAGATTGTCAACTGTTTACGATTTGATTATTACGCCATTGAATTCAATCAACGACTTGATTATTTCTTAATCGAAATTCATATTGATAACAGCACTTGAGTTGAATGGAAATCAATCTTGATTATCCCTTAATAGTATCATCATTCGAAAGCTTATCAATTATCTACATTATGATTATTACAGAGGATATAAATCAGAAAGAAGAGCGAAGAAAATCAATTCAATAACAGAGAAACCCCTTTTTTCACTTCTGTATGTTTTATGATGAATTTCAATATAAATTAGCATTGTTCTTTGTATTATTTGTAATATTTGCTTCCGTTTTCTTACTCATTGTCAGCAATGACGAAGCATCAAAAAATTTCATTTGATCATTAATCAAAATTACCCACACCACCTGCTTTATTGCGAAGATTTATTTCCATTCTTTTTTTACTCGATAACTGTCATGAAATTTAATTCAACGCGAGCTTTCGTTCAGTACTGACCAGAAGAATTTTGTAATTTTATATTAACTACCAGATGCTTGTTATTTCACTTTCATTTTTATAATGAAATTCCAAGCTAAGCTGAATACCTAGGAAGTCATCATTTTCAAGTTACGTTTACTTTTGCTACTTTTATAAAAGTTAACAACTTTTTATGTTAAGTAGGAGTAAAGATGAAAAGAATTTCGCTAAAGCTTAGTTATGAAAATGCGTCACGTTGGAAATTAGAATTTCTAATGAAAGAAAGCGAAAAGGCATAAGGCAAAGGTAAAGAAAGAAAACTTGTCAGACAAAAAGAAAAGAGTTAGAGAAACTCAACAATTTTCCTCATAATCACATTGTTTTGTTTTTCCTTTATAAATAAAAGTAAGAAAATTAAAAAGCAGAAAGATTTGTGAAAGTTTTAAAAGCTCAACGAGGAATGTAAATAAAGCTTTTAACTTTTCCCCCTCGAATTTAAGTTCTCGAAGAATGTTTTTAATAATCCTTTTCCTGGTCTTTGTTTACTTAAGTAACTTTTTACTTCTCAAAGAATATTCTTCAACAAGACGAATGTCAAATGAAACTTCTTCAAAAACAAAAAAAATTGGAAAGATTTTCATCAAGTGGATAATTTCATTAACTTTTTTTTCGTAATATCAAACGGAACAATCCACACAAGCTCTCACAATCGTGATAACTTTTAGACTATTAATGTTGGTAGCATTTGGGGATTGCTTAATGCTGGTCATTAGAAGTTTATCAAGATTAAATTTTATGACCTTGAGTCAGTTGTAATGAAGATTATTTGAGTAAATATTTTCTTTCTCTTTTTCTCTACTTATGAGGTTTGATTCGGAAAGATTAGTTAAAGACATTTCTACTGTTCTTAAATAATACTTTAACTTACACATTGTTTCTTTATCATGTAAAAATTTAAAACGATGGAAAATAAATTGAAACAATAATTGAACCATCAAGTTGATGATGTTGATGTTATTAAAGAAACGAAGACCTCAAAATGTCAAAATATTTACCTCGTTATGCTATAAATAAAAACAAAACATTGAGAAACCACAAAGTGCCTTTGTGATGGAAAGTTTTGTACACAAAAACTTTATAATTACAAAAAACGGGCTAAATTTATTGGCTTTAGGGTTCGTTTTTCTTCCTATCGTGCGCAACATGAGCAGGCAATATTTTTGCATTTTACAAATGATAGATTGATTTGTAGGTTTGTTGAAAACAGAAATTTTCCAATAATAATGAAAGTTTGTGAATAAATTGAGAATTTTCCTATTCTACCCATAAATTTGTTAGAGAATTGAAATGTCTTTTAGCATGACTCGGTTTAGAACCTCCAAGAGATTTTATAATTACTAATTAAGCTTGTTATGTTTGAATAATTGATTTAAGAATTATTATTTGCAACGTCAGGTTAAATTTATGAGCTTCTCATTCATACTTCTCAACAGTTCAATAGCTTAGAGCGGTGAAGTTATTTTTAGAATAATTATGAAGAACACGGCAAGCTTTTCACATTTATGATTAATTACCTTAATGCAATTTTCGGCTTCTTCTCTTTGCTACTTTGCTAGCGATTATAAAAAGCTTTCCACACACGTTCATGTTGTTCATAAAACATAAAGAGAAGAATTATGAAATTTAAAGTGATGAAGCATCATGCGAGCGTAAACATTAATATTTCAAATGGGAAATCACTGTCGTCTGTCTAAGTAGCATGCCATCAGGCATAACATATCTACAACATACATACATAAAAATAAAAGATCCTTGCATGCAAATGAGAAAGCCCAAAATGACTCCTTCTTCATCATCATCTTTCATTCATATAAATAAATCAAAATGTGGATCTATTTGTCAAACAATGATCACAAGCGGAAGATGATAGGCTAGTCGTTCATTGAGTTCATTTTTTATTCCTTTGCTTCTTCTTTCATCAATAAATCGATGATGGATGGAGTAGAAAATTTCATCGTCATTGCAAGTTTATTCGCATATATCAAGAGTACGTCATGATTCCACAAAAGAGACATATAAAACTTTTTTTTTGTTATTTATCATGAAAAGAAAGCATTAACGTTGTATCGATGCGATGAATGGAAAGTGATTTTCCTTAGATTTCCCCACGAACATTTTTATAGATTCAAAAGCTTTGAATGTTTCTAAGAAACCTGCAAACATAATTCATAATGCAACAGACGACAAATATCGATTTCTTTTATCTAGAATTTTGAATTCAGCGAATTCTTAGCAACAGTAATGACAATGGAAACGAAAAATATTTCTGATGTTATTTGACAAATCGTAAAAGTTTTCACAAAAGACAGAAAAGGTTTTAACGAAACAATTCATATTACAATCTTCTTTTAAGCGCGATCATAAAAAAGGGAAGGAAAGTCACGAAATCCAATAAATTAAATCATCGCATAGATGTTGCGAGTCTTTTTATACTTTAATCTACGATTCTCTCGCTCTATTTGTGTGACATAAAACAAATGAATGTTTACGAGTTTTGCTATGCTTTTTTTACCTCCTTCAAAGCTTGTATAGCTATTATAACTAACTTTCTTCTTATCGCCATTGTCACGCCGTTGGCTTCGAACGATCCAAACCGAATGAGAACACGAAAAATATTTATTTGATGTTAATGCCGTTCTAAAAATAGACTGAAGAAAAGGGAAAGAAACTCAATATTTCCACCTAAGCAACATTCTCTTGATATTATTCTTGAATATGAATACACGGGAGAAGCTTTCAACATTGCTTAACTTTTCGGACAATACAATTCTCGGAAAGTCTTTTTACATATTTTCAGGGATTGTGAATTATTGAATAGTTAAATTCACATAATTCTCAAATGAAAATTCATTTCTCATTTATCATGTTGAGTTTATTTAAGTTGAAACGACGACTTAACATACGTGCAATGCCATTTACTTTTAAAAGCTTTTTCTTTCTCGTTTTTGTTCATCGTTCTTTCTTTACCTGCACATATTTTTATCATCATCCATTTGTAAAGTTTCATTCAAGTACATATGTGAAGAAGAAGCCTAAAAATAATTGAGAATGGAAAAGTTTTCCTTGAAAATAAACTAAAAGGAAAGAATGCTTTGAAAGTGCCACGTTTTTCGTAACTCAGCAAGAAAAAAACGAAGAGAAAGAAAATATTTTGGCATGAGAAGCAAACGTGCATAATCCATTGGGATTTATACAAAGTATTGATCTCAATTTTACGATTTTTTGCTGAATGAATATCTAAGAAGTCAAATTGAACTTCTTCATACCGACCGGAAAGGAAAACATTATCCCAAAATATAAAATATAGAAATCACTTCACAATAATGATGGCTCTGCTAAGAGAAATGATATTCAAATGCGTTGCTTTGAGCGCTTTTCATATCAATACTTTATAAAAATCATCCAGGGCATGAATGTTATCCAAGCGGCACTTTATCATGATATTCGTGAAAACCTCTCGAGCTGATGCTTCGCTGTTGTAAATATTGTTTAGCTTGATATCAGAAGCTACATACATACTTAGATATTTATCTATTGCCTCTTATATTAGTGCTCGTAGCGAACAATCATTCGCCCTCCTTCATGCACCCAAAATTTATTGATTATTTTTCATTTTCTGAGACTTCCCTTCACCTAATATATCAACTAGAGCGTGATTCGCGTCTTTTAAATATATCAAACAGATAAATTATCATCTCGTCGTTAAATAAGAGTGATGAATGTAAAATCTATTACCATTCATTGGAATATTTATACATGAACATTTACAACTTAAATCAACACGCATTGTTGAGGTTGAAATAACTTTCGATTCACAAACAAATAAATTCATTTTACCATCATGACGTCATTTTTTATGTTTATAAAATGTCGAAGTTCCACTCCTAATGGAAAACTTAATGATATAATTTTCTTTTATGAAAAACCAGGGAAAAAGTTTATAAAAGTGAAAAGTAGAATTGGAAGTTGAAATAAAATGATATTGTAAAAAAGCCAAAGAATTGAATGGAATATCATGAATGATTTATTTCTGTTTTTTTTTGATGGCTCACGTAAATTTCTTTTCTTTTTTTTGCTTTCTTACCTTTACGTTGATTCTTGAATGGCACTTAACGAAGAAAAAGAAAATTCTTTGAGAAAAGTTTAAGGAGTGGGAAAATTTAATTAACTTTTTAAAAGAGAGAGAGAGAGAAAGTTTTCTCGTGACATGGTTTAGGATCAAATTTCGTAGATATTTTTTTTATAATCTAATTCGGGTCGCCCACAAAATGATGAATTAAGAAAAAAGCAGAAAAAAGATACTTTGGGTACATTTTCTTAATAACAATTTTCACACGATTGCCCACCCACACAATTTCTCGACAATTAACGACATGCTTCGGAGCTAACATTTCTTCTCCACGTACAATTTAAATGGAAAGTTAATTAAACGATTGTATCACGTTTCAATTAAAATTAATTGTAGTCAGAAGTTTTTCTACCGACGTTTAATGTCACCATGCAAGACAAAACTGTGAGCTCACAAATGAACTGTTAACTGATATAAAAGATAAGTTAGTGAAGAGATGAGCGACAGAAAGCTCCAACAACCTCAATATCAACAACAACGATCACAACAAAATGACAAGAAGCATCGAAAGTTAGTTAGAAATCCGGAAAGTTTGTCGCCATGCGATTTAGATCCACCATTCAATCCATCATTCTTGTCGTCGGCAAAGAACATTTTCGTTTCCACTCAATCAAGCAGCCGTTCATCGCCCACTAAAGGTTGCAAAGATCAATCTTTGCTGCATCAACAAGTATGGTCGAGCACAAATATTCCAATCACCGCTATCGCTGACCACTCCACAACTCAATATTCTTCATCTCTTCCACCATCTTCATCAACGCCTGCAATTGCTTTATATCGAAAGCCCAGCATCACGATAAAACACAGTAACGATGATGAAGTAAATTCTGAAATATCATTCTATGGTCACCATTCGTCACCTTCACCATCACCGTCTGTTAGTCAGCAAATATCTAAATCTTTTGATTCCAATCATGCCTACGCCAACACGATATCAACGACAGAACATGCGGACCAAATGAGCAATAATTTTATTATCAATTTAAGCAGCGTAACAGAGTATTTGCAGAACAATGCGAACAATACACAATCGAGAGAAAATAAACAAAAACATGAACAACAATCAACAAATGTCTACTCGTTCTGTGGCGAACGATGTGTGACGTCAGCACGTGGTGATATTTGCAAGGACATGAAACAACAACAACAACAACAACAGCAACATTGTTGTCGAGAGATGATTAGCTCACCAACCTCTCATTCATTGAATTTGAATTTAATTAATCAACCAAATACTGATTCATCAAAAGATTTCATTAATGCAATGGGCGGCCAAATTGTCTTCAACAGCAACAATCCGTTTCTCAATGACACATTTGATGCAATAACAACGCATGAAGATGAGGGAGGTGGAGAGGGTGGAAAAATTGACACAAATTTCTTTGATATTGATGATACGGATTTACTGGTGTTCACACAACAGTCAACTGAGAAGAAAACATGTGAAGAGATGGACGAGCAGCTGTTAAAGAATAAACGAGAAAAATTTTCCAATACTTCAACTATGAAAATTTGCTTGGTCGTCTCGCCGCCAACAAATAAATTATTTCAAGTGAGTATGAAAGTGAGTGACTGTGACGAGACGGCTTCAGGTTGAACTTAATTTCTTCTACAATAAAATAAATCATAATTTTTTTACGCTGACAAGAAGAAATTTTTTTTGTCATTCATTTTTGTAAAAATCAAATTCTGATGAATTTTTTCTACTTTTTTTTTGAGGCCCATTTTTCCCTCGTTGGAATTTTCATTTTCTACTCTCGAATGACAATCTAATCTAATTTAATCTCGTTCACAATTGAGTTGCAAAGTCTGAGAGGATGGATGGGAAGATGAAGAAGAAGTTTTTCGAATATTAATCTTGATATCTTTTTATTTTTGTTGTGGGATCCGAAACCGTATCAATGTCTTCCCTGCTTCTCATATTTTCTTATTTTTCTTTTTATTTTCTATGCTTGCCACACAGCATACAATCTTCGTTTCTATAATCTAACTTTATCCTAAATAAATTCAATTTGAATTATTACTGTGAAGCTGTAAGCTCCACACCGTCTGCTTTTAAAACGCCCAAGTTATGAACCCTCGTCATGACGAAGAGATAATGGAGAATTATTCCAAGATAATTCAGCATTTCATAAGTCAGATCACATCTCGCGCGATGTTTATTTATAACACATTTTATTGAAATTATGTAGGTAATGAAAGAAGTTTGCTTCTTCGTCGTCATGTCAATGATAAACTTTTTTATTTTTTTTCGTTCAAAAAGACGGAAAGCAAAATAAGATAAAACGTTTCCTTCCACTTCAGGTTGATTTTTCCTAAAGAGTTTTGTGATCAATAAAATTCAGGTCAACGTATACATTTTATTAAATTAATTTGGGAACAAAACAACATTTCGCTTCATAAATTCTGATTTAAAACAAACCAAATTGTAATTCACTGCATTTTTTTGTTGTTATTTTGATACCTTTACAAAGTTTGTCTTTATGTATCATTGAAAGTTGTTTGAACACGGTTGATTTTAATGGGAAGATTTTCGGAATGAACATAAAATTGATTTATTCATGTTTTGTGTAAGTTGGAAATTCTGAACGGAAAAGTTCATTTCCTTGAATATCAATGTGATGTAATGCGATGTGATGGATGAATGAGTGAAGAGAGTTTATTGAATTGAATCGTAAAACGTGTCTTTATGTTATGGCTTCGATTTATTACATCATTGAAAGAGCTTCAATAAAAGTTTTAAAGTGTCCAAACTTTTATGATTTTTTTTCTTTTTCTTTCTTTTCAGCTCAAATCAAAAAGTTTAACCCACCTGGATCGTTTGAATCCGCAAATAAATATTTCATCAAATGATCTCACAGCGGGAAAGGTAAATGTGATGAAAATTTCTCATTAATTTTATTTTATTTTTAACTTCTGAAATGTAATTTCCATAAATGAGATTATTGATGAAAATGTTTCGCAAAACACAAATTTATGAAATGATTTTTCCTTTTGTCTTCCCATTCTTAAAACGCCTCACCCTTGTTGGATTTTCATTGTTGTTTGTTTGCTTTATGACGTTCAACCTTCGAAAAATCGGAAAATCAATTTAAATGAAAAATTTCTCTTTTTTTCGCTTACTCACTCGACACTGATGACTCGTCAAATTCCGATAAAAACACAAAATTTGTTAATAGAATATTGATGGCGATTCAATTGCAACAACCACCACAACCCCAACACATCATTCTCACCAACATGACGGATCAGCTTCAATAGTTCAACCCACAAAATTTACGAGCGCATCAAATAGTAATCAAATTGATATTAATTGCGTTAGTCGAACGAACGGCTCAGGTCGATGTGATAGCGGCACAGTGAACTCTAATCTCTCAAGCATCAATTCTCATGGGGATCATTCAATTACCTTATCAACACAGATTAAGAAAAAGTCTTCTTCGTTTCTACATCGCGATTACAATCGGAAGCCGATACTAGCAAGAAGTCAAGTAAGTTTATGCAAAGCACGCTATAAATACCAAACAGAAGAAGATGAAAAAGAAAAAAAGAATTGTCGACTGAAAATTGAAAATCAAAAGCCGCTCACAAGTGAAATAATCTTCTTAAGTTCGTTCCCACAATGTTATTATTTTATGTTGAATTTTTTTACAACATGGAAAATCGTTTTCATTCGAATCACTTATCACAAGAGCAACAAACAAGCATCATTGTAGCCGATTCGTTCATTGCGTTGTAAAGCACAATAAGATTAAATTGAGTGGAAGAAGGAATGGCGAATGCTGATTTCCGGCATGTACTTAGATGTACTAAACGTTACCCTAAGCAACTAATCTCAGCTCAGATCACAACACAAAAATCAAGGATTAGATGACAAATTTTAGAAAAACAAAAAGCTCATCGGATTTATGCACATCGCTGCTTGCCCCAAGTCGGAGTGTTCTTGACAACATGCGACATTTCAAACAATCTGTTTTTATCACTTTTCATAATTTAATTTTTAGGTTCTTTGATTTCGAATGATATAAAAAAAAATTAATTTGAGTGCTTCTCTTAACGACCTTTTAATGTTGCAAATTATGAACTCATACAAAAAATGATTTCAACAGTTAAATAAATTCTTTTCTTATCTTTTCTTTTTACAACCCGCAGGTGTCAAGCTCAGAATACTTTTCTGTTTGCTTTGATACAGAGAATGGATTTAAAGATAAGGATGAGATATTTATTGCTGCTTCAAAAGGAATTGCTTTAGGGTAAGATTAATGCAAGAGTAATGCAATCAACTTGTAGGTTTGAACTGGGAGATCCATTTTGCTTTCTCACTTTGCCATGGCTAAGGCTAAGAATTTATTTATACAAGAATTAATTAAACCTGAAGTTAGCAGAAAGTGAGAAAAATGGATTTTCCAGACATTTCCATTCTCTTTTAATTTCATAAAATTTATCTTTCTTTTCCATCCTTTTCTTGTGTCTATGGCTACATTCAAAATCGATTAAAACAGAGACTCATTACGCCAGGCAATGCTTCAGCGGAACTTGAGCTTCTCGCAAATAAGTGTAATTGATTATGGTGTGAATAATTCAAACGAATTGGGTAAGAATTGTTACCTTCATTAGTGATTCTCTCATGTGATAAATTGCACATAATCTGTTCATACTTTCTTGGTCGTATCATCCCAAATCTCAATCCCAAACTCAACTGAAACAAGAACCCTTCTAATTTTATATTTATTGCTTCTTCTTCTTCCCAATTTTTTCTTGTCTATAACTTTAAAGGTATTCCACAATATTTTGGGCCTTTGGAAATAAACACCGACATCAGTGTATTGGCAGGTCATTCACTACTTATCACTGAAAAGGATAACGTATCAAAGAAATCGGGTCATTATGTTTTGAAAAAGGCTGCATCAGTTGGATATCGATCGACAACAAGTCGACTTTTTACATCGACATCAACTGATGAGTGTAATGAATCAAGTGATGGTAAAGCAACGAAGCAAACAAAACAACGATGGTCGTTGCAACTTTTTGGAGTGAAGGTCTGTTTCTGAAGTCATGTGGAATGAAGTGAAATTAAATCTTAACATTTGTCGTTTAGAATCCACAACAAAATCAACTTTGTGAGCTTTTAAATACTTACATGAGGAGTGGCGTACCAAAATCGAAGTCTTCGTATATCAACTCTGAATACTCTGATGAAGCTCTCGATGCTTTGTACGGTTTGCCTCAATCGTGGAGGGATTTTGTGAATGCGAATGAGATGACAGAGCTTGATATGAAAATTCAATCTGCCATTTGGGAGTTGGTGACAACAGAGGTGGATTATATTCACGCATTGCAGACAGTTACTGACGTGAGTTCAATTTCGTTTTATACTCGATTTTGCTTTTGAGTTTGATTGACTTGGGAGATGTTTAGTCAGTTATTTTCACTTATGGGATTCTTTTTTCTTATCTTTTCCTTTTATTTCGAAATTAAAAGTTTTAAGTGTGAAAGTTTGACATGAGAAAATTGTCAGCAACTTTCAATGTTCATCATCTTATCGTTGTTAACTTCATCGACAAACACAAAACAACATTCATCAATTTAATTTCAAATTGAATGACATGAAAGCTCTGTTGATGCGTGAGAGATAATAATTTAAGCTATTATGTGTGAATCATGCTTTCAATAATGTTGGTTTTCAAAACACATATTAAGCATGCAAATGTTTAATATTTCGATGTGGTTATTGATGACAACACAAGAACATCATTTTAACGATTTACATAAATTTTCACGTGTAGGCAAACAACATTTCGTTATAAGCAATTGTAACAAATTGCGCGAGTTTTTCTATCATAAATCGTGAATTCATGAGTTGACGGAAGCTGTTTCAAAAGCAAACAGTCAATTGAGATTGTTATAAAAGTTACACTGAAATATGCGCAATTAAAGGCATTAAAGTAGCGTAAAGCTTATGATCGATGTTCATACATTGTTATTTACGAGGCTTTTCCATGCTTGGAAAATGAGACGAGAAGCATTGAAAGCGTTGAAGTAAAAGTGAGGAAAGAAGGAAGAAACAAAAAACCATTTTCATTGTTCCGAGAGTCATAATTATTGTTAGGCAAACTTTCTTTCGTACAAATAATAAACAATTTCAGACATAATGATTCGTAATTTTCTCTTCTTGCAGCTATTTCTGTCGTGCCTGGAGGGAATTCAGTCAGAAAGCCTTCTAAAGGAAATCGATCAACATAAACTATTCTCAAATATTCGTGACATTTGTGATGCTAATCTAAAGCTTTGGTCGCTTTATTTATATCCAATGGTGAGTGACCTTTTGCTGCTGCAACGTCGTTATCAATGTGTCGTAATTTTATTTGACCTACACCTGGCATTGATTTGAAAAGGGCGCACTCTTCTTGTTGTCTTCTTTCCATCCACCCCCACACCCCAGCACTTCGACCACCCACCTGTCAAAAAATGTTCCTAAAATACTTTCTTCCGTTCTCATTCAGGTTAAGCACAGCATGTTGACGGGACACTTAATGTGCATCGATTATTTTCAACAAGGTTTCACCAATTTTGCGACGATTTTCGAACCTTATGCGAAGTATTGTGCCGAACAGGTGTTGTGTCAGAATTATTGCAAGGATTTGAATCGAAACAATGCTGTAAGACTTTTCTTTAATGTTTCAAAAGAATGAAAATGAACATCTGTGAACTTGGGAAGTTCATTAAAATCTTGCATATATGTTAGCTAAGATTTTTTAATGAAATTTTACAAAAAAAAGTTGTTCCATACTGTCGCTAATGAATTTAATATGTCAACTCCATATTTCAATTTGTATTTCCATAACAACCTTTTTTTTAAACTTTCAGCTTTTTACAACATATTTAGCATGGTGTGAATCACAAAAGGAATGTAATAGGTTAGTAAGTGATTTTATCGTGTTGTCATAGTCAATTAAAATTCACTTCAACGTGATGGTTTGATAGACATCAACAAATAAAATGTTTTATGACATGAAAATGTCTTTATGTGGTTTGAATGGTTGAAATATTTCAATGAAATATTTTTCAAAACAGATTAAAACTTGCTGATATTTTGGTGCGGCCTATGCAACGATTGACCAAGTATTCACTACTTTTATCTGCAATACGAAAACATATATCAGAGGAGAATGAAGCTGAGATAATGGACGCAATGGTGAGTGCATAAAATTGTGTGATGTCTTCCTACATATTTAATGGGAACAAAGAACTTCAATTCCATTTATCCGATTGAACATTTTCCAAGGAAAATAAATGTCTCGTTAAGCTCTTTTTATTGAGTGAAGTCAATTTTTTAAATCGTTTCCAAAGCAATATGCAACATTGAAAACAATTTCTTAAAATAGACAACTCTCGTTCGCTTCTCTGCATATTTGCTACAGAGTTGTGATTTGTTATGTTGCATAATAGCATTAGAGGATTGCTGTTCCGATTCCTAAACCATTGAAGTCTTTCAATTATACTTTCAGAAAGTTTGATGATTCGAAAAGCTCAAAATAGTTAACAATTTGTAGCAATTAAATTATCAAACTTTATGAAAACTTCTGAAGTGTTTAGATTTTGCATTTACATCCTATTTGACTTGGCAATCATCTCTCTTCGAAATTTTTCAATTCTCCACCTGAGAGCTTATAAAGATTTGTTTTCCACAACGTAATGCAAATGTCCATCGAGAAGCAGTTGAGCATAGTGATTTTTTATTGTTATTCATGACCATGGAAATGAGTTATAGCAGCTTTTAACGATGCAAACGCAGCTGAGTTTCATGAAAAATTTTCACAGAATAAATTTTATGCTATCGAAATGTTTTCCATAAACGAGAATTTCCATATCGATTCAGAGCTGTCATTTGTAACTGCTAAGGGAATAGTTTTTGGCTTTTTATAATTTTTCTTGTGTATAAATTTTGTTGTGTTTGCCTTTTTCTGAAGATAATGAGAAAATTTATCTCAAATTAAAATCATGGAAAAATTTTCAAACAGAAAGTATCAAAAAAATTCATTCAATTCGCACAATGGAAAATTAATGTTCTTAGAAAGCAGAATTTTGCAGCCTTTAATGTTGCATGTCTGATTATTTATAATTGACAAGATGATTCATGTTCTCATCACATGTTTAATCATCAAAAAAGTCAGAATTTAATTCAAAATCTATGTAAATGTATCAAATAGTCGATTAAATGGAAGAGAATTTTGATACTTTGACAGAATTCATAACGAGCTTCTTCCTTTCCTCATTCACTTCCAGATTCATTCTGTTGATGATTTTGTTTGCAGCGTGAATTCACATTTGACAACACGACAAGAGAGTGAACGACTCAAAGGCATCATGGCGCGCATTGAAAGTTATGATGTTGTGGTAACTAACTTAACATTTTTTATCAACTTAATGTTGTTTGTGTCATGAAAACATGACAAAGATAGTTTCACTTCAAGTGCTTTATAAAAAATATTTATTAAGTTGCTTCAAATTTTTAATGGAGTCATTTTTTCTTCCTTTTATAAATATCAACGTAAACATCTTCTAGGACTCAAGCAATGAGAGTTTGGAGAAGTTTATCAAACAATATAGTCAGATGTTTGATCTGTGTTCGCCTATGAAAGGTTGTGTGCTTAACCAGGGTCGATATTTGTTCCTTGAGGGCGACATGAAGTACAAGGATAACGTCAGTAAGGTAAAGATTACATCGAGTGAATGATTGAGAAAGAATTTTATCGATTTTTTCATCACAACTAAATTCTGTCTCTTTTTATTTTCTTGTTGTTGCTTTAGATGGATGTTCATTGTTTTCTTTTGACCGACATTCTTCTAGTTTGTAAGCAAACCGTCAAGAAAGGTCACGGGAATCTAAAGGTATGCATATATGGTTTTATTGACCAAAGCCAAAGCTTCATTTTTAGTCAAAGATTATTTTAAAAGCACATAAATTTGTCATGTTACTTACGGTTCCTTTGACATTTGTTTATCTCCTGATGTGTCTGACAGGTGGTGCGGCAACCTTTTGTGACAGATCGATTAGTGATCAAATTGAAGGAGAAAGAGAACGCCGTTCACTGTGTTTATTTAAACGACTTTAATATGGTTGTAGCCGCATTTGCGCTTCAGTGCAATGGTGCGAAAAATTGGTATGACGGAATTAACAAAGCACGTCACATTTATTCGAAGTTGAAACAAGATTTTGATGGTGCTTCACTTCGTGTGTTACCACAACAACATAATCAAGTCAACACTGATAGCCTAACTATAAGGAAATCCCCTTTGGGAAGCTCAATTGGTGAGTTAAATTCATTATTTTAGTTTATCTATCGATCAATTGGCAGTGACATTGGATTGACATGAAATTTTATTTCATTACAAAATAAAAAACACAAAACACAAATGAAAAATTAGTTTCGAGTGTGAATAATAGTCATAGCGGCTCCGTAGATCTCAACGAGTCGAAAACAGTATCAGTGGATTTTGAGAAGACGAATTCCATATCAAGTGATGAAGGTTCTTATAATTTGCACAATAAACATCCGACGGCGAGTGTTAGCCGAAAATTGCGTCAAACTTCATCCAACTCTTTAACTGTACAGTCGTTTAGTAATCATTTGAACCAGTCCATGCCTAATCTTTCAAGTGGTCCTTATCATGCTTATTCTAATAATACGTTACTGGTGCCTGGCGCTCCAAAGAGTCAATCAGCTCATTCTAGTCACTCCGGAAATTTGCTATCGCCTAGTCAGCGAGGCATTTCTTACCCTCCGCCATCTCCAACAAGGTGAGTTCACTTCACTTTTAAGTAATTTATTCCATTTCCACTCAATGACTTTCCATCTTTTATTCTTGCCCTTTTTTGCTTTTTTATCTTTTCCCTTTTTTTTGCTTTCTTTCTTTACACCCACACAGAGCAACCCTTCGACGTGGTTTCGCATTTTCAACATCTATTAACAATAAAAATCCTCCGCTAATTAAATCTCGTAACGTCACATCACTCAACTGGGCGCATCAACAAAGCATGGCAGCAGCAGCAGCAGCAGGAACTGCTAGCAACCAGCCAAGTCATATTCAAGTTGTATACGAACCAATGCAAACGAACAACGACACAAAACTTAGATCAGAAACGAATACCAGCGATACATAATATTTGCTTAAACTTAGAAATCTTTTTAAAAAATAGTTCAAGTCAACTTCGATTTTATTGTGAAGAAAACAAAAAAATAAGAAGGGAAAGAAAAACTTGTTAAAACTTTTAATGTTGAACTTTGATGATGAGAGTGAAGAAAGAAGAAATGTTCATGTTATTGTCCTATCCTTTAGTGGATTGTTAGAGATCATTGGCTGCTGAACATATCCCCCCAATAAGTATTTTTGAACGAGTCTTTTAACGAATGATACGAAAGAATTAATTGACAAGTTAAACTTCGATTTTGAGAAAAAAATATAAAAAAAACTTTATTTTGGATCTTTGTGAAACAAAAACAAAATATCAAATTGTGAAAATAAGAAAATTTTCTGGGAGAAAACGAAATTAAAAAACAAGAAAACATTTTGACGATTTTCTCTCTTTTTTTGTACTTGAACCAAGCAATAATATTCGTAGTGTTTTAAATAAATAAAATAATTAATAGTAATAAAAATATCTAATGATAAAGAAGAAGAAGAAATGAAGATATTTACAATCATGAGATAAAATATTGGTGAAAAAAATAAATAGAAAAAAATTTGTAGCAACATTCCAAACATGTACGAAGACGTATTTTAGTTTAACATTGTTTTCTTCTCGGTCTTCAACACACGACGACGACAACGAGATGAAAGTAAAAGTGCTGTAAAAACAAATAATCGTAGATGTAAGAGATAGAGAGCTAAATAAAAATGAAGATAAAACCCCTAGGAACGAGTGAAAATGTTGAAAAGTTTCTGAAAATGATGTTAAAAAAGACTTAATTAAAGAATATTTTTCTGGATTCACGTTGTGACGTAATGAGAGCTTTAAATCATGAAGTGTTCATAAGTTTTGTCATCACAACTTCCTAGGAAGCATTTATGAACATTCAAAGATTCTCTGCTCTATTTTTTAGTTAAATATCTAAATTGTAAATGAAGTGACACGAAAAATGAAAATTAACGCTTTAATCAAAGAAAATAAAAAATTGTAAGAATCGTTGAAAAGATTCTGAATATGGCACTAAAATGAAATCAACCATGTGAGACTCAAATTATAATTTATAAAAAAGAAGTTACCAACATAACAAATTTTAATTTATTTATTTCAAGAATATTTCTTCATAAGTTTCTTTGAGAAGAAGACTTGAAAAGCTCAATTCATCTTTGATAAGCGCATATGTTGTTAGTTAAGATTACCCATGAGAATGTTTTTCAATTTCAATCAACATCTGAAATGAAACAAGTCAGAAACACTTTAAAACTTCTCGTGAAGAAAAATCTTGCGAAGTCTTGACGACGACGAAAGAAAAGTCAATAAACAATTTATTTGAAAAGTGAAAAGTGAAAACAAATTATGATGATAAAGTCTTCAGTTTTATTAAAGAAATTTAATAATACTTTAAAAGAAAGTTTTTCGCCTTCCTCACCCTTCCCAAAAATTGTCAAGGAGAGGAAACAAATTAAAATTCTTCTTTCGAATCCTTTCGTCTCGTTATTTGTAAACATTTAAACTCAAACAAGAATTCAATGATTTCACTTTCCAAAGATTAATTTCCTTTGTGATGATTTTAATTGTGTGGAAAAACTTTTGACACAAACTTGTCACCCGATTAAAATGTCCTTGGAATAGAGGGGCTCAATTTGGGACATTTTATTCTGATTTGTGATGAGTTTAATGAATAATTTCACATAAATTCCACTTTGGGTTGTTGTCTGCAATAACTTTCTGTTCCATTTTTTTGTTTTCCCTTTGTTATTATTAAAAGGATGAAAAAAAAAACATAATTAGTGATAAAGAAAAAGAATGTTTTCTCATGAATTTTAAACATTTTGAAATATTTATTTATGTATTCATTTAATAAAAAAAAATCTAGAGATTTATTAACATAATAAAGCCATAAACAATAGTGCAAACAACGCAACAACCAAAGTTGTCTGTTTTATGCTGATCAAATTTTTCAGATTTTCTTTTTCCCTCATCCTCGTGAGAATATTAAAAATAAAGTGAATTTTTATAATTTCCTGATTTTGTTTCCAACACGTTTCGAATTCTTTCTAGAGAAGTTTATTTATTGAGAATTTCAATGATGAAGAAATGCTTGAGGACTCGAAAGTTATTCGAGAGGATTCTCGAAAGCTCAAATTTCCGTGAAGAAAACAAAACAATTTATATTTGTTTTGCATAATAAAATCAATGGCAAAGTATTTTATTTCCTGCTGTTCTAAAATTCCAGATTATAATAATTTCCAAAGCTTCAATTTCCTGCTGACACACCGTCAAGTAATAAAAGATAAATAAATGTCAAAACTTACCGAGGAAGGCGCATCAACGCCTGAAGCGATAATAAAATTACTTTCCAAAAGCTGTCCAACGTGAGATATGAATATGAAAAGTTTTGCGACTAAAACCTTTTCTGCATGAGAGTTAAAGCAACTGATAAGGAATAAAAATCATGGAGCATGAGATTGTGGGAGATTTCGTATGCTTGCTTGCTTAGCTTAGCTTCCTTCCTTTCCTCCATTCATTCGTTCATTCATTCATTCATTGCTTTGAGAGAAAAGGTTGAGTCATTGAATTCAATGAAAAGCAATCTTTATGGGAAATTTCTTCAAAAAAGAAAATGCTATAAAAACACCTTTCGCATAACTAATAATGAAAAGCTTTCTTACTTTTTTTATTATTTGCTGTTTAACATGATCTGAGGTGACCTTTATCAGAATATTTTTTTTAGAAATATTAAACGAAATCATACAACAACGATGTTATCTAATCTGTAACGAGCTAAAGCAAAACAACAACAACAGCAAAAAAGAGATTTTCATTATTTTTTTATGTTGTAAAAGTATCGCAAGTTCATCGTGTGCGACGTGCGTAGATATAAGCCAGTTATGACAAGAAATTTGATACTAATTGCTTACGTTTTTTTGTTGTTGATGCTTTAATGCAGAAATCTTGTTTATCTTTTTCTAATATTTAATCTATCTGGGAAGCTTCCAAGGATATGAAGCTTGTAAAAAGATTACTTCCAGGTATACGATTAAACACACACGAGGAAGAATGCGAAACTATTTCGCTAGTCAACCAACCATTCATGCAAAATTTATGAGCTTTTAGAAATCACAACAACAATAAATAAATTAATTTCAAGAAGTTTATTCTCGTTTTATGCAATTACTTTGGAAGAAATTAAATTAAAATCGGAAAATATGAAAAATATATGGAAATGTAAAAGGATAATTCAGTTTATCTGTCATCATTAAAAAAAGAAATTTTGTCAAGCGTCAGTTGAATAAAATGGTGCAATCAACCAGCTGCTCATGTTGTAACAAAAAGTTATTAAAAGTCCATTAAATTTTTGAATCATTTTAATTAATTATTAAAGTTGAAAATGGAAATTAATAAGCTCCAACAATGTACGGAAAATTCACGAGCAGAGTGTTAAAATTATTACTTCATATCTCCCATCCCAGAAGAGCGTTTAAAAGTTGAACCTTTTGGGACCAACTCCGATACACGACTGTGTCATTCATGAGGGAAAGTTTCACGAAAATCGTCATTGAGCTTTCACGAATTTTCAAATCATGCGCAGTCATCTAAAAGTTTGTTTCAATTTTTTATCCTTTTGTAACCAAAACAAACAATCAAGATCATTCTTGCCGTAGTGGTTTCCTCTCTCTTTGATGTTTTTTTCTTAAACTTACATGAGTCTTAATTATCTAAGTTGCATTCAACTTGAAGTGAAATCAAAATTAATGATGAGATAGCAAAGGGAAATTTATTTATAGAAATGAAAGCTGGCGACCGACCCTAAGACTACAAAAGTTAAGCATTTTTTATTTTTTTTCATTCCCATTTTTCACAACAAAATCCAATTATGCGCGAAAATGTAATGAATGAACATTAGCCAGCAAAGAAAACGTAAAAATAAAAGCTTCTGCTTTCTGCAATGCGAATGGTTGCTATAAAAGTGATTTATCTTCGTCAAATCTTCTCCCAAATGTTTTTCATATCTTTCGCTGTTGCATTTTGCGAAGAAAAGCTCACGAGAATTTTGAAATGAAATTTTCGAAGGATCATGGTCTGTACATCGATTATGAAAGCCTTTTTCTTTCTGTTGGGTAGTTCGAGAAGATTTTTCTCTGTTTCTAAGCTCCCATTTAATGTTATCTTCTGGATATTTGATGAGTTTGGAAATTGCGTTGAAAAAGTTTTCATCTAAGCAATTTGTCGGTCCATAAACAGCCAGGAAAATTATTAATTAATGAAAAAGAATAAAAAATTCTGAACGTTGTTAAGTTCATAAAAGGTTCGTTTGACGGCGATTAAAATTTCATCCTAAATATTCAATTAAATCTCACAAACATACGATACTCCTTGCGATACTCAATTATATGCATCGTTTCATTTCGGTCTCATAAATTATTCTCTAATTTTATTATAGTTAAAAGTTTTCCCAGCTTCTCACATAATAAGCTTCACCGCTTTTCATTGGCAACATAATCAAAGATTCTACACGATTTTTTCAACGATTTCCGAAAACAAAAACATCTAAAAATAAACTTTTTCATAAATTTATAATTAGAAAAACCTTTTTTAGGCAGAAGTTTTGTCTACCGTCGTGTTTCTATTTCAGATTTTTTAACACGAAGCTTTTGACCTCTTTTCCCTTCCTTAACTTTCGTTGATCATCGTCATAGACATCATTTAAAATTCCACAATGTTCCGAGAGTGAAATTAATTTTTCATTGTCATATTATTACATCATAATGTGCGTCATTGTTGGCATTTTCCGCTTTAGATAAACATTTGTTGGTCTATATGTTTATCAAATAACTATTTAAGCCGTGATTACCATTCATATGTAATTGACGAAACGTCACATAATTTCTTTTCTAATATTTGTTGACCTAATCAGAAAAAGACCGAACGAAACTATTCATTATTACCCTTGAAATCAAATGAGACCTGACATTTATTTGATCAATTATTCACTCACATTGGTCAGAATATATTGGCCTAAAACAGGATAAAAAAATTACACGGAAAGAAATAAAAACAAACTTTCTTTCCAAATTGGAATCTTTGATACGACAACATGAATGTGGCATGGAAAGTTTCATTGTTTAACAATTTATGAATTATCCAGAGACGAATTTTCAATCAAAAAATATTTTTAATTAAATTTGAAATTTTTTTTTGTTTCTCCAGCTACACTTAATTTGATTTGATACAATGTTGAATGATGAATTCATGAGTGGAATAATTAATAACAATTGAAGGAACAAAAATCTGATCCTGAACATAATAGACAACACAACATCACGAACAAGCCACTAATAGCTTTTAATACATACACCGGTAGACTTCCACTGTCCAAGTTTTATTCTGATGTCTGGAAAGCCTATGCATCGCCGTTCATTTCAGTCGTGGCTGTCATAACGTGAAGACACATGACATACGTGTTCTGATTGTAATTGAAGTTTAATGAAATCATAACACGTTACACAGTTGGATAACAATAAAATCCCTAGGATTTGAATTCAATCACTCTTTTGCCGAGACAATCAAACTAATGCGTGTTGTGAATTTGGTTGACAAAAAATCGCTTAACGTTGGGCAGCTTTCACTGGATTTCCGGTAAAATCTTCAAAACCCTTTTCAAGTCTTTCGAGTTAAAAGTGGAAAATGTGAATAAATAATTCATGAACTGTGGATAGAAATTTCATTCTCGATCGATACTTTTTTAAGTTTTCAATTCAGGTTAATGGAGTAAAAATGTTGATTTTTGAAATACTTAGAAGGAAATGAAGAATGAAAAAAGTTAAGTTAAAGGAGGCCTAGGTCGCTGCCACCTACATAATATGTTTTTGAAATTACTCGATGATGTATTAATAAATGTGTGTACAAAGTTATCGATTTCGTTTCTCGTGTTCAGCATTTTAATTAAAAATTCATGTCCGTTTATCGATGAATGTAGAAATTATTTAAAACGCATTGTGAGATAATTTCAACTAAGGCTAATTAAATTTTATTATGAACTCGGTGAATGTAAATAATAAAATAGTTAAGAAACGTTTGAAAGTGAATTCTGTCACTTGTCCAAGTATTGAGAAAGAAGGTAATTGGGATAGAAAAGTTCAGTCAAGTCCAGCAAAAGGATATCGACGACTCAGTGGTTATGCATTAGACGACAAGCAGGTTTGTTATTTGTTTTTCCTCTTGACATTGATCATTGACAAAAATAAATATCGATTATTATTGTTTAGAGTGTGTGTGTGTATGTGAACTTGTTCTATTTATTCTTTATTAACGATGTCATTTTAATTATTCATGTTGGATATAAAACTTTTACAACTTAATAACTTCGAATCATTATTAAACTATAACGAGACATCGTTTTAATTGATAATTTTCATGTTTTTCAGTCTGATCCATCGACATATCGACAATCAAAGTCATTAGAAGACGTTGGTAATAAAGTTAAAGTGAATTCTTCGAATCATTTGTTTCTCATAAACGATGTTGATGAAGATGAAACAAACATGAACAAAAGTAAACGTGATTTGATTGAAAGGTGTGGGAGTATTTATTTATATCTTTAATCGAATTTATTAATAAATTGCTTCATTTAGTGACGCTTTCGGTCCGATTGTTAATCAAAACACTCTTCCTGGCACGCCAATGGTTGATTCGTTGTCAGAAATATCAAAAAGCTTTGGATCAGGAATCAGTATTAACATTCATAATGATCGACGACCATCAGTTAGTGGAAGTTTTGATGAAAGTTTTCATTCAATTACTTCGTCAAAATTTCTCTTGTTGCAAAGATTTACGGAGATTGAAAGCATGCATCCAAATGCACTTGAAAGGAAATTTTCTTATAAGAAAAGAAAGAAGTTTACTGAAAATGATGTAATTAAAGAAGTTTCACCAGATAGTGGACATGGTGATGATATTTCTTTAGTTCTTAGTCCAAATGATGGATTTGATGGCAATTCAAACAGTGCTGAGCGACGACCAAGCAAACAGGATCCTGAACTTCGTGAAGATCCCGACTCGTTATTTTTTAGAGATGGGAGAAGGAAGATTGACATGGTGCTTTGTTATGGAGAAGAATTTGATGGTGTGATGACTGAAATTGATGCCAGACGACGAGAACAAAGAAAATGCTTTCAAGAAAATTTAACCAAGGAAGGTCTCGATATTGAAATTGAAGATAAAAGTCAAGCATTTGACGAGAAGACATTTTTTGTGAAAATTCATTTACCTTGGCGAACTGAATCACGTTACGCTGAAGTCATGAATCTTAAGCTACCGATTAGGAGATTTCATACAATCAGTGTCAAAAACTCAGACAATGAAAGCAATGTCATCGCTAAAAATAAAAACATCCAGACGATGTATCGTTTTTTGAAGAAAATGTGGAATTATTTCATAACCATCACCGAGTATGATTACACATTGATTGAAAAAGAGCCGTCATTCTACTCAGCCACAGCTGGTGGAAAGCGAGAAGAGCAATTTATCGTAAAAGATCGAATGACGCATTACAATTCAGCTCAACGGAGTCTTATCGTGTTTCAAATTTTACTCCGAGCGAAGTATGATGACGGTGAAAAATGCGGTATAAGACGTTTGCTTAATGACGGAACTTATCAGTCATGTTTTCCTCTCCATGAGGGACGTCACGATAAGTCACACTCTTCAGGAACAGTCTTTGACAGAAGAGTGAGTAATATGTTGATTTTTTTAATTTTAAATTAAATTTTTCCATCCTTTTCTAAACATATTTTTACTTACATTGCACAATGTTTTTCAAAACAATTTTTTGATTAATGTGCTGAAATTAAAAACCCCTGAAAGTATGTTACACACATAGCATGCTCCTTTCCGCAATATTTACTTTTCCTTTTAATTATGCAACCGGAGGTACTGTGCTTACTTTTTCATTGCTACGTAAATTTGAGACGATTAACAAATTATTTTGCCTTTAGCAACCCACGCTAAAAAAACAAAACTTTTTTTCTAACTGTGTTCAATTTTGCAGCTTTTATACCTTGAATGGGCGAATCCATTTAAAACTTGGTATAAACGACAACCTTTGTGCTTGGTGCGAAAATACTTTGGCGATAAAATCGCGCTTTACTTTTGCTGGTTGGGTTTCTACACACAAATGCTCGTCTTTCCCGCAATTGTGGGTTTCCTTTGCTTTATTTATGGCTTAGCATCAATGAACTCAGATGACAATACGCCGAGTAAAGAAATGTGCAATCCATATGGCATAGGAAACATCACATTGTGTCCATTGTGCGACAAGGCTTGTAGTTATCAAAAGTTACATGACTCATGTTTCTTCGCTCAACTGACATATCTATTTGACAATCCCGCGACGGTATTTTTTGCAATTTTCATGAGTCTATGGGCAACAACCTTTCTAGAGTTATGGAAGCGGAAGCAATCGATGGTTGCGTGGGAGTGGGACTTACACAATGTTGAGAATGATGAAGAACCTCGTCCGGAATTTGAGACATCAGTGAAAACGTTTCGTATAAATCCTGTCACTAGGGAAAAGGAAGCTTATATGCCTTACTGGTATGAATTACTTACTCACATCATGTGCAGCCTTTCTTCCTTCTCAAAATATTTACTTTTATCAACTTTAGGCATAAATTCTTTCGGCTTATGGCAACAGGTTCAGTTGTGTTGTTCATGATTTGCATTGTTCTTGGTGCTGTTCTTGGTACAATCATCTATCGAATTTCATTAGTGTCAGTGATTTATGGAGGGTTCGGTTACTATCTCAAAGGACACGCTAAGCTCTTCACCTCAATGACGGCTGCTTTAATTAACTTGATCATCATTATGCTACTCACGAAGGTACTTTTATTTCATTTCAGCCACTTAAACTCCCAAGATGACTCAGTTAATTTTCCTTTTCACATTTTCCGGACGATTTGAAAACAGGTTTATCATCGACTTGCAATTTATTTAACAACGATAGAAAATCCAAGAACGCAAACGGAGTATGAAGATTCATATACGTTTAAAATATTCGTGTTTGAGTTTATGAACTATTACTCGTCATTAATTTACATTGCGTTCTTCAAAGGACGTTTCTATGACTATCCGGGTGATGACGGTGCGAGAAAAAATGAATTTTTCAAGTTGAAAGGTGACATTTGTGATCCGGCCGGATGTCTAAGCGAACTTTGCATACAACTTTCAATCATCATGATTGGCAAGCAATTCTTTAATAATTTCATGGAATATTTGTATCCGTGAGTAATTTTTCTAATCATCAAAATTGGTGTGGGAAGTTTAAAATTCTTTTATTCATTAAAGCGCATTCTACAACTGGTGGCGACAAAGAAAACATAAAAAAGAAACAAAGGATCAAAGTCATCGCCATACGGTAAAACTTTTCTTGTTTGCTTTCATGACAACAATCAGTGAAATGTTTATTTTTAACTCTCGAGAGATTTTGAACTGCAATCAACATAATATAAGCTCATCATTTTATATTTTAATATTTATAGAGTTGGGAACAAGATTATCATCTTCAAGATCCGGGAAGATTAGCACTTTTTGATGAATATCTTGAAATGAGTACGCTCATTTAAATTTTTATTCCTTAGCAACTTAATGAACTTCCTTCTTTTCTTTCCTTTTCTTTTTTGCTAATAAAGTTATTCAATATGGATTCGTGACCCTTTTCGTCGCAGCTTTTCCTCTTGCTCCACTTTTCGCTCTCCTTAATAATATTGCTGAAGTAAGACTTGATGCATACAAGATGGTTTCACAAGCTCGACGTCCGCTCGCTGAGAGAGTTGAAGACATTGGAGCATGTAAGATTACATCATAACATTAATATCACATGCATTATGATTTCTTTTTGCAATTATTTATGCTTTACAAACCATAAACTTTCTTCACAGGGTTTGGAATTCTAAAAATCATCACGTACGTTGCGGTTGTATCGAATGTAAAGCATATTTGTAAATTCAATTGCTAAAACATTTAAGTAATCGATAATATGTTCGCTCCTTTATCGCAGGCATTTGTTATCGCATACACCAGTGACTTCATACCGCGTATGGTGTATAAATATGTGTACTCGCAAAGGAACGATTTAACGGGCTACATTTATCACAGTTTGTCAATCTTCAACACTTCAGATTATCGAGAAGAGTGGGGAGCAAAGAACGAAAATGATCCTGAGACTTGCTTCTATCGTGGTTATAGGCAACCATACAACTCTAGTGAACAATACGATTTGTCGCCGGTCTATTGGCATGTTTTTGCGGCGAGACTGGCATTCGTTGTTGTATTCGAGCATTTAGTGTTTGTCATCACAGCAGTTATGCAATTTCTTATTCCTGACATACCAAGAGAGTTGAAGACTCAAATGCAACGAGAACAACTTTTGGCGAAGGAAGCAAAGTATCAAAATGGAATTGCTAAGGCACAAGAATACGAAGATTTATTGACAGCAATAAGGGATAATAATGGCAGCAATAAAATTGCAAAAGGGAATAATGATGTTCATGTTGACAAATTTTTGAGATTTGCTATTACAAGATGCTTGTATTTATATTACTTGGATATAATTTACTTTTAGGTTTAAGTAGTTGGGGAAGAATTTCTCGTGGGGTGAGTCGTGATGAACGAACTGATTCTAAGCCACGCACGCCCTTAGACGCTGTATGGCAAATATCATAATACTTCTTTGGATGTGCTGTTTTGTATGTTACTTTTAAAAAAGAATATTTGAAATAATGTTTTTTTTCTTGTATTTTATGTAAAATCAATGTAGATTAAAACAAGAGAAGATTTTGATTCATTACAAAAATTTTCAATAAAAATCGTTATTAAAACATTTGTAATGTTCCAAAACTTTTATGAGGTTCCATTTCATTTAAACCTCGTTCATGTGAATGTTTCATGTTTAAAGTCGCAAACATCAAACAAAATAAAAAAAAAGTATTTGTTCTAAATAATTGTTAAATATTAAAATTACCGTAGTTTGTAACAGTATTTTGTGATAAATATTAGTGAAGTAAATACTCAACTTATATAAGTTTCAGACAACATAAAAAATGTGAGTTTAAATAAAAAATCAATTCATAATTTTGCATTTTATTCTTTGCGCGCAAAATGTTTTGTTAAAACAATCAACGATTTGTGCTGGTTCAGATACATGTTGATCTACTTTTCTTTCAAAATCTGATCAATTTACTTTCTTTTGCATTCAATAATTTTGAGAGCTGAAAAGAACTGTCCTTAATTAATTTCTTATTAAATGATTGGACTCATCCTGTAAGTCTAATATGTTTAACATGTATGTGTTTAGTTTGTAATCCCGTATCGCCTTTGAATGGCCTTTAAGTGCTTACACGAACTGGTGTTTTTATAAAAATCTTTGGACACTACTTGCGTCTATTATGACTTTGAAGGAACAATATCTTTGAATAAAGTACAAAGTTTAATGATGGTCATTGTTTGCTGATATTGAAGATTCCTTTTCACGTTTTACCTTTTTTTATTATTGTGCTTCTCTAAATTGACCTACCTCAACAACCTCAACGAATATCAATAGAGAATGAGAATAAGCTCAATCGAGAAATAATATTTTAATGAAATATTACATGAAGGTGAATAAAAATGAATTATTTTAGTGAACTGAGCCAAGGATATGATAAGAGTCAGACTAATGATTATAGCTTGAGTAGTTTATCAAAAAACTGTAATAAAAAGCAATGAACTTGCTGCATGACCTAATATACATCAATTGAAGCGAACGTTGTAGAAGTGTCTAGTGAGTAGTGATAATAAACATGATTACTTACATTCTCTGATGATAATTCCGACAACAACCATTGATTAAAATGAAATTAAATTACGTAAGTTAACTCAGTAGGGTTATCAACGTTTATCATGTTTGTATGAAGAATATGAAGAAACAAAAACTGTTCGCCGTCATAAAATTCTCCGTTTTATTTTGTAATAACAAAATATCTACAACCCAAAGTGTCTGTGAATGAAATCAAATATTTGATTGAATTTTTATCGATTAAAAATTTTCTAAAAGACGAGTTTACATTTTTTCGTAAATTTTCATTTTAATTATTGATTTTTCATTGACCGTTGTATTTCACAACTAACGAGTAAAGAATGTAATGCAAGCATATAAATATGTACGTGGCTTACTGAGTCACAAAATCGCGTGAGCAATTATGGGATGACTTATGTATAAGTTTCATATATTTCTGTTTTCTTTTAAATATCGTACGATGTTCCTCACAAGAGCGCGAACAACTGCTATTCGTTACTACGTCATTTTACTCTCTTTCTCTCTCTTTTATCTGTTTTTGGCTTTTTTTTCTTTAAATCTCTCGCATCACGACGAATGTTGAAGTGCTAACAATAAAAGTCTGCTTTATTCAGTCTTTGGTATCATCTCATAGTGTAAAGTTCAGTTTGTTATAATTTCGTGTTTTTGAATCATTAAAATTAATTGTTTGAAGAAATTTGCTGAAGAAAGTTGATAAACATCTTGAGGAAAAATAAGAGACAACGAACGAGGAAAATATCTGAGTTAACTTGCAGCGAAAAGCAGCAAGTCATCGCTTCAATTATATTATCAAACCGGTAAATTGTGTAATCAAAGTGGTTTAAAACAATCACGACATTTGCTTCTTGAAACTTCTCTCTAAACACATGTGAATTTGTAGTGGAAAATGAAATCTCGCTAATTGCTAATTTTGCATGTCAATGAAGTTTCGTCCTAGTTAAAATGAATTTGATGGTGTAGACAGAAAAATTGATAATTAAACACGAGTTTTGCACGCATATTGATTTCACTAGTTTCTAGAATTCTTTTTAAATTTTGATAAGGAACTTTTCTTCCTGCATGTTTGAAATTCCTTTTATTAATTTTTTACGTACTTTGTTGTCATTCTAAGTCACTCAGGTAAAGAAAGAAAAATCAGAGGTTAAATTTAAAAGGAAAACAATTGTTTGTTAGGTAAAAAAATAACAAATCAAAAAGATTTTCAGTTAAAATTCCATCGAAGCAAGTTCCGTTTATTGCTTTCCTCTCTCTTTCTCTCTCACTCGCATTATCAAATACAACTCGGCACATGTTTTCCTTGTCGTTTACAGATTCTTCTTCTGGTCACTCGCTCTTGTTTGATTAGCTTACGTTAGAATTTGTTACTTTTTATTGGTTCAAACGATGAGTGATGACGATAAAAATATTTTCGATATAAATTTTACGATCGTTTAGTTATTTATAGCGACAACAAAATAAGAAATCAAATCATGAAGTGAAGAAGCCTTTCACGTGATTCGCATTTCATTCATTTCTATTACTTCTCCTTCACCTAATTTTTTATCGCATGATTTCACTTGTTGATTTGCTTTTTTTTGTCTGTTTTCTCTTCAACATTGCTTGCGAAAAATAAACAAACTTTGAAAGCATTTTTAATTATATTTTCGGCTTTTTTTTACACTCTACGAAATATTTTGTAACAATTTTTGCTAATCAGTTCGATGACATCTCTTATCACAATTCATTTCTTTGAATTGACTATTAACGTTCAAACCCAAAGCCACCTTCATATCTCTTTATTTGATTGCATTAATATATGATTTTAATGAGAATTATTGCTTCAGATAACGATAAGATATCTAAAGTTTACTTCTTCTTTCCATTGCTTGATGTTTAGCGAATTATTCGTCACTCAATGTCGTTATGTGTAGTAATAAAAGTTCTTTAAATCGAGAGAGAAAGAGAAAAAGAATAACAAGGCCAATGCTAATACATGATGATATTAATTTTTAATAAAATTGCTTATTTTTTTGTTGTCGTGTCATCGATTGTAAATAAACAAAGCATGTGAACATTGATGACGTCGCAAGTATTTAAATTTATTTATAAACATGGGAAAAAAGAGTGACTTCGATATGTAATTGAAATTTTTTATAGCGAAATTAATAGTCATTGATTGACAAATAAGTGAATGATTATTATGTTAGAATTGTGTAATTAAAGTGAACAAGATATCTCGCATGTATCAACAAGGGGAAGTGAAGTTATTAACCAGAGAAGGTATTTAAATAAAGGTAAATAAAATAATCTCCGCTTTTGTTGACATTGTCATTACAATAAGAGGATTGACGATCATCAAAAGCTGGTTTAGTTTGCTTAACTTTATTAAGATTCAAAGTTCGCAAAAATAGTTTTTTTTGCGCGTGATGAATATAAAATTGCACGAAATTGAATGAGGCTGTAACAATTAAGAAGTTGTAAGGTCAGGGAGTTTTATATGCCTCAAGGTAAACGAAACTTCCTCCAATTTTCAATAGAATTGATCATTGATTGAGACAATGTTAAGATAAGTTTGGAAAATTTCTTTCCCCTTCCCTTTATCAAATTTCAATTCTAATCTTGATATTTCCTGTAAGCTGAAGCTAGACATGAGATAACTTATGACCCAGTCGATCATTCATCAGCCAAGTGATTGTCTGCTGAAGATCTCGTTTTACTCACTCAGCTTTTTTAAATAAAAATAGGAAATTGAATTTCTCAGCTTTTCTTTTCGTCACTGCATTCAATCGACATTCTGTTGCTGACAGTATCAGACGGTTTACGTTATCAAGGAATTCATTTTTTTATTTTAGTTTGGAAGAGTTATGAGTTATAAAAAGATGTCACGACATTCAACAGTTAAAGACACAACTCAACTTCGAGTTGATGATCCGTCGAAACCAATAAAAATATTCCGAAATCCAAATGATAGAACAGCGTCAGTTGAACCGATAACAGTTCCAGCTTTAATGAAACGAACTGTTGAGAATTATGGGAATCACACAGCTTTAATGCACAAAGATGAAAGCAGTAAAAAGTGGAAAGGAATCACTTACAAAGAGCTTCGTGATCGTGTTGAAAAAATGGCGAAAGTTTTCATCAAACTTGGCCTGAAACGTCATGGAACTGTCGCTGTTCTTGCTTTTAACAGTGTCGAGTGGTTTGTGTCGGAATTGGCAGCAATTCATGCTGGGTAAGAATCATTCTTAATTAAATTCCCTTAAATAAAATAAAAATTTACTTTCTAGTGGACAAATTGCTGGCGTTTACACAACAAATTCAGTCGATTCTTGTCTTCATGTGTTGGAAAGTTCTCGTGCCAACATTGTGATTGTTGACGATCCAAAACAAATGGAAAAAATTCATGCAATCAAAGATCAGTTGAAAGATCTCAAAGCCGTTGTTCAAACTCTTTCTCCTTATGCAGAGTACATAAAGAATGAAGATGGTTATTGGCGTTGGAGTGAGATTGAAAACTTAAACACGGACAATGTTGAGGAAGAATATCAAAATCGGTTGTCGAGTATCGCTGCAAATGAATGCTGTTGCTTAGTCTACACTTCCGGAACTGTGGGAAAGCCAAAAGGTGTGATGCTGTCGCATGATAACTTCACTTGGGATGCTTATGCATTATCAGCACATGTCAGCAATTTACAAATGGGACGAGAAGTTCTCGTTTCATATTTGCCACTCTCGCATGTTGCAGCACAAATTATGGACATTTTTATGATGTTGACAGTTGCTGGAACTGTTTATTTTGCTGATAAAGATGCATTGAAAGGTTCACTAGTAAAGACTTTACTTGAAGCACGTCCGACAAATTTTATGGCTGTTCCACGTGTTTATGAGAAGCTTCATGAAAAATTAGCACAAATTTCAACTGAATCGAATACAATTAAACGAATGATTGGATCGTGGGCTAGAAATGTGACCCTTGAACATCATTTGACTCGAATGTCAGGACGATCATCAAACTCAATTCAATATAAACTTGCCAAGACAATGTTCACTTCGAAAGTGAAAAAAGCTTTGGGATTGGATCGAGCAAAGAATTTCATCACGGGAGCAGCGCCATTAAGTCGTGAAACGAAAGAATTCTTTCTCAGCTTGGATATTCACATTGTTGAAGCTTTTGGAATGTCTGAGACAACTGGTGGTCATACAATGAGTAGTGTTGATCAGTCATCATTTGAGACGATTGGAAGACAAATTCCAGGGGTTCAAACGAAGATCATCAACGAAGGCGAAGATGGAAAAGGCGAAATTTGCATCAGAGGTCGTCATGTCTTCATGGGCTACATCAATGACATGGAAAAGACAATCGAAACGATTGACGATGATCGATGGCTTCGAACTGGTGATACTGGGTACATTGATCGTGATGGTTATGTTTTCATCACTGGAAGAATCAAAGAGTTGATCATCACAGCTGGAGGTGAAAATATTCCACCGATTTTAATTGAAAATGCTGTCAAGCAACAATGTCCGGCAATCTCAAATGCTTTTCTCGTCGGTGATAAGCGAAAATTTCTCACAGTACTCTTGACATTGAGAACTTTAGTGGATGGTGAAGGAATTCCTTGTGATGAGTTAGCACCGGAAACAATCAAGTGGCTGGAAGGTATTTCTTGTGGAAAGAAATACAAGAAACTTAGTGAAATTCTTGCTGCAGGGCCTGATGTCACTGTCAATAAAGAACTTCAAAATGCAGTTGATTGTGCAAATAAGAAAGCAATTTCAAATGCACAAAAAGTTCAAAAGTTTGCAATTCTTCCTTGTGACTTCAGCATTCCAACTGGCGAATTTGGACCGACAATGAAACTCAAACGAAATGTTGTAGTGGAAAAGTACAGCGAAGTCATCGGGAAATTTTATGAATAATTCTTTTTCTTTCTTTGCGTCATTGCTTATCATTACGTTTTATCATCAGAAGAGCTTTAAGATAAAAGTTTTTCATGTTTATTTAACTTGCAGCTCACTTCAATGTTTTTTCATTTGAATATTAAATTATATTTGTCAAATTTTCATTTTCTTTTCACGTTATTACTCTATTAGAATTATTAAAATAAATAATTAGTTTTGAAATTCAAATTGCATTTTCTTTTTCAAAGTTTTTAGTTTGAGTGCTTTCCACTAGAGGGTTGGTAATGACCTCAAGCATGTTGTGATGGTTTTCCCCTCCTTAATTAAAAATGCGGTTAAAACATCGCATGTTTTGTTGAAATGTTTGAAACAAGTGATTGGATTGATAGGTCAATGTCAGTAATCAGACAACTCAAAAGCTTCTCTCGAGTCTCTCTGAGAATATTTTGCTTGCCTCACGAATCAACATTAAAAAACATTGCTTGTTATTTTAGTAGTTTTACTTTATTTATTTAACATTTTTTAAAATGGGAAAAAGTATTATTGCACTTTGGTGCTACTTTAATATAGCTCACGCCGTTCTAAACAATTCATGACCGATGTTATAAGGGACTAAAGTCGTGCACCGTCAAAAAAAGCTTCAATTCTTGACTGAAAACATCATTCTTCACCCTACTTAAAAAAGAAATTAATTGACTGATGAGCTGCGATTTATTTTGCAATACTTAACAGAAAATCAGTTTCAGTTCATCACTTCAAGCAGTAACAAGCAAATTAAAATATCTGCTGAATTCTGTAATCACGCGAGTTATTTTCTATTCATTCGAGTGTAGTAACAAGTAATTATCTAAATAATTTGAAAATAGGTAAAATATCATTGAAAATAATTTTCTCACATAATAATTAAAAATTCGAAATCCGCAATTGTTCATTCATTTCAACTTGATCTTCATTTATCACTAATCACGCACAGTGCAAAGTTTATTCTTGAACATTACTTTCTACTAATTACATTTTATAATCTTTTTCGTCTGATCATAAATTTAAATGTTCATGCTTCACTCATCGCAGACGAATAATTTTCGAGATTAAAATATTTGAATTGACAGCTAATGATAACTTCTGACTAATCTCAAATCAGAGTGATAAATCATTATAAAATTCATATAAAAAATAATTAAACGTGTTTATTGAATTTGTTTATCAATTCTATGAATTTCCGCTTAGAAACAGAGAAAAATTTTCACGTGGCAGTTTAGATTAGAATTTAGAATCAATAATGTGAAAGACATAATGAATGTCAATTTAAATATTTTTCTTCTCTTTCTTCTTTAGATATAGATCGAAATAATCAAAAATGACGACATCCCAACAAAGTCGAATGAAGGAAACAACTGAGTTCCGAGTGACAGAAAAATCAAAACCTGTAAGAATTCTTCGTGATCCGAATGATCGTCCGTCATCTGTCGCTCCAATAACAGTTCCAGCATTGATGAAACGAACTGTTGATAATTATGGAAGTCACACAGCTCTTATGTACAAAGATGAAGTCACGAAAGCATGGAAAGGAATCACTTACAAGGAATATCGCGATCGTGTTGAGAAAATCGCGAAAGTGTTCATTAAACTCGGCTTGGAGCGTCACGGTGTCGTAGCTGTTCTTGCATTCAACAGTGTCGAATGGTTCGTTTCGGAGTTGGCAGCTATTCACGCCGGGTAAGCATCAAATTTTTTCATGCTTCACTTCGATGGTGACCTTAAAATGTCAGAAATGTTTGATAACACGAATCAAACTTCTTTCACATTATCAACAACCTGTACTCATGATTATTTAATTTGTTGCGAAAACAAATAATTCTCCTTCTTTAAAATATTTTATTAATAACTTGAACTCTCTTCACTTCTTTTTTTTTAATCATCAAGTGGAATCATCGCTGGCGTTTACACAACAAACTCAACCGAGTCAGTTCATCACATTCTTGAGTCATCAAAGGCCAACATCGTCGTTGTTGATGATGCTAAGCAGATGGAGAAGATTCATGCGATTAAAGACAAATTGCCGCACTTGAAAGCTGTTATTCAAACTCTTTCACCTTATGCTCCTTATGTGAAACGTGACGATGGTTACTATCGATGGAGTGAACTTGAAGCGATCAAAACTGAAACTGTCGAAGAAGAATATCAACGACGACAAGCAGAAATTGTCGCTAATGAATGTTGCAGTCTCATCTACACTTCGGGAACAGTTGGAAAGCCAAAAGGTGTGATGTTGTCACACGATAATCTGACATGGGATGCTTACAGTGTCACAGTTCGATTAAATGAACTTCAAATGGGAAAAGAAGTTCTCGTTTCATATTTGCCATTGTCTCATGTTGCTGGTCAAATGGTTGACGTTTACATACCTTTGACATTGGCTGGAACAATTTATTTCGCTGACAGAGATGCTTTAAAGGGATCTTTGGTCAAAACACTTGTCGAAGCTCAACCGACTTTGTTCATGGGTGTGCCAAGAGTGTTTGAGAAGATGCAAGAGAAGATGTTGGCTGTTGGAGCTCAATCAGGTGCCTTGAAACGACTCATTGGTTCATGGGCTAAAAGTGTCACATTGAATCATCATTTGGATCGTATGGCTGGACGTCCTTCGAATTCCATTCAATATAAAATCGCCACGAAATTGGTGATGAGTAAAGTTAAGTTTGCACTTGGATTCTCTCGAATCAAATTCATGGTGACTGGAGCTGCACCGATGAGCGTTGACACAAAGAAATATTTCTTAAGCTTGGACATGCCGATTCTCGATGTTTATGGAATGTCAGAAACTTCTGGTGGACATTCTTTGTCGTCTTTTGATTCGCCTGCTTTTGAGACGTCAGGAAAGAGTTTGCCGGGAATTAAATCGAAAATCATCAATAAAGATGAGAATGGACATGGCGAGATTTGCATTAAAGGTCGTCATGTCTTCATGGGATATTTGAATGAGCTGGAGAAGACGATGGAGACACTTGACGATGAAGGTTGGCTTCGAACTGGTGACATTGGCTACATCGACAACGACGGTTACATTTTCATAACTGGAAGAATCAAAGAGTTGATCATCACAGCTGGTGGTGAGAACATTCCGCCAGTTCTGATTGAGAATCTCGTGAAAAGTGAATGTCCAGCCATCTCGAATGCTTTTCTTGTTGGTGACAAGCGAAAATTCCTGACAATGCTTGTGACATTGAAGACTGAAATGGACAGCGAAGGTGCGCCAAAAGATGAGTTGGCTGGTGAAACTTTGAAGTGGCTTGAAGGGCTGGAAGTGAAACACAAAACATTGAGTGAAGTTTTGGCTGCAGGTCCCGATCCGAAAGTTCTTCATGCCATTCAAGAGGCCATCAATCGTGCTAACAAAAGTTCAGTTTCAAACGCACAGAAAGTTCAAAAGTTCGCCATTCTGCCACACGACTTCAGCATTCCGACTGGCGAGTTGGGCCCAACCATGAAGCTCAAACGAAATATCGTCGCTGACATGTACAAAGATGTCATTGATAAACTCTACAAATAAATTAAAACTTTCAATTTTTCCTTCATTCTCAAAAATCATTTCCAGTTGCTTTTCTTCTTCATCACATTAATTAGTTGTTTAAGATTTATGTTAGTCTTCAATCCATTGAATCTATTTTTGATCAAACAAAGCTTAAATATTTAAAACAAATAAAATATGCGCTTAATTATATACTCCTTAACAAAAAGAAGAATTTATTAGAAGCAAAAACTTCTTAACAATTTGCTTTTTTCAATTTTTTAAATAAAATTAAAGAAAAGATAAAAAAAAAGTTGTTGGTGGACTTTGTAATTCTTTTAGAAATTATTTCAGGATAAGAAACATGCAGGCAAGAACTTAAATATTGGCACAAAAATGATTCATCGTCATTGGAAATATCTTGAAGTTGATAAGAATTAAAATATCTTGAAAGTGGGCGGAGGATTAAATGAGAATGTTCGAAATTATATTTCAGAGAACGACATCGAACAACTTCTCTTTACTGCTGGTCTATTAATTTGTGGATTAATCATAATTAAAATTAAATTTTCTTTAACTTACTGGTTAAAAATAAATTTTAATTAAATTTCCTCCAAAACATTTAAGATTGAACTTCACCCTAGACTTTAGTCTGATGTAGTTCATACTTTCTAAATAAATTTAAATAGATGACACTCTTTCGAAGTTTTCGACTTTCTGATAACAGAAATTTTAGAATTTTCCCATCGATGATGATCAGTCAATTGGTGACAGTCAAAGTGAAAAGTTTGCTACTTTTAAACATTTAAAAAGTTATTTTGTTAATTGAACACTGAAAACAATGTAAGAATTTTCTTTTTTAAAATTATTTGATTAAAGTTTGTGGAGATTCGTTTTAATATGATGAAGCAGAAAATTCATTTAGCATTGAGATTTAATAACTTTTTAACGATGGGTTGTTAACTGATGAATAATTATTCAAACAAACTTAAAATAGATAACAAGGTGGAGCCAAACTCATAGAATAAGTTAATTAAATTCGATAAACATAATAGCAAGTCATAGTCAATGAAATCAGAAATTATCATAATAATTTTATATTTCTTTCAATTATCTGCTTTGTCATCAAATCTTTCGATTAGCAGCTCCATTTCATGTACATAAAAGATCAAGTTAATTAACTTAAAATATAAATTAATTAAACATTAATAGGAGTGAAAAATTTTGAATTTTCTTAAAGTTTTTCTTTATCTTGACCTATTTAAGTTCTGATTGAAAATTTAAATGAAAGAAAATTTCATCACTCATCAGTTTTAAATTGATTATTAATGAAGAGAACTTGAATGACTTGCTTGTTTTCGGAATTTAATTACATCATTCATTGAATTAAACTATGTAAATGAAATGATATTAGAATACTTTGAATTGTTCTTTCATTGAATGATAAAAACGTCCTACAATTAATTCAAATCAAATTTTACCTTAAACATAAAACTTTCCTTCAACTTGCCTGCAATGAAATTTCATGGACTTTGATTCTCATTTCAAAAAATTTTGAAAAATCTTTCAATTATTGACCTGAGTGACATTAAATCGGAAAGTTTCATCGAAATAGTTTATTAAAAGTAAAATGATAAACTTTGAACTAGAAACGACGATTTTTACTCTTATCATGTGTGAAACAAATTTATTTCTTCTTTCAATAGTCCATGATAAAGATGAACGATTCATTGAAAGTGTCGAATGATATCAAGAACATTCGTGTGACAGATCCAACCAAAACTGTAACAATTCTCAATGATTCGAATGATCGCTCGTCATCTGTCGCTCCAATAACAGTTCCAGCATTGATGAAACGAACTGTTGATAATTATGGAAGTCACACAGCTCTTATGTACAAAGATGAAGTCACGAAAGCATGGAAAGGAATCACTTACAAGGAATATCGCGATCGTGTTGAGAAAATCGCGAAAGTGTTCATTAAACTCGGCTTGGAGCGTCACGGTGTCGTAGCTGTTCTTGCATTCAACAGTCTCGAATGGTTCGTCTCGGAGTTGGCAGCTATTCACGCCGGGTAAGTTCCGTTTATCTCTCTTATTTCATAAAGAAATAAAAGCTATTAAAATTCTTTCAAACAGTGGCATCATCGCTGGAATTTATTCAACAAACTCTTCTGATGCGTGTCTTCATATTTTGGAGACTTCCAAAGCTAACATCGTTGTCGTCGATGATGCGATACAATTAGAAAAGATTCGTCAAATCAAAGACAAATTGCCGCATTTAAAAGCAGTTGTGAACATTCTTTCATCAAGTTTAGATGATTTAAAGGAATCTGAAGGTTATTGGAGTTGGAAAGAGATTGAAATTCTAGATACGAACGATGTGGAACAGGAATATCAGCGACGATCATCACAGATCGTTCCCAACGAATGTTGTTGTCTCATCTACACTTCAGGAACAGTTGGAATGCCCAAAGGTGTGATGTTGTCCCATGACAACTTAACTTACGAAGCTTTTACATTGATGACACGCTTTGAGTGCCAGAAAGGTCGTGAACGAGTTATTTCTTATCTTCCATTATCACACATCGCTGGTCAAATGCTTGACGTCTTCCTACCGATGATGTTTGCTGGAACGACTTATTTCGCTGACAAGAACGCTTTGAAGGGATCAATTTTCCGCTATATTTATAAAGTTAAGCCAACGTTGTTCTTTGGTGTGCCGAGAATTTTTGAGAAGCTTCAAGAAATGATGATCAACAATGAAGCACAATCGGGAGCTTTGAAACGTGCAATTTATTCTTGGGCTAAACGAGTCACACTTGAACACAATTTGAATCAAATGGCTGGTCGGCCAACTGCATCAATCTTAAGTAAGTTCATAGAAATGTTGATAACAAACAAGGTCAAGAATGATTTGGGATTAGGAGAATGTCGCTACATGTTCACTGGGGCTGCACCGATGAGTGTCGAGACGAAAAAATATTTCTTAAGCATGAATATGAAAATTTATGATGCTTTTGGGATGTCAGAATCGTCTGGGGCACATTGCATTTGTCCCGAAGATTTCAACAGCTTTGAAACTGTTGGAAGTGAACTTTTTGGATTTAAAACTAAAACAATTGATCAGGATGAGAATGGACATGGCGAGATTTGCATTAAAGGTCGTCATGTCTTCATGGGATATTTGAATGAGCTGGAGAAGACGATGGAGACACTTGACGATGAAGGTTGGCTTCGAACTGGTGACATTGGCTACATCGACAACGACGGTTACATTTTCATAACTGGAAGAATCAAAGAGTTGATCATCACAGCTGGTGGTGAGAACATTCCGCCAGTTCTGATTGAGAATCTCGTGAAAAGTGAATGTCCAGCCATCTCGAATGCTTTTCTTGTTGGTGACAAGCGAAAATTCCTGACAATGCTTGTGACATTGAAGACTGAAATGGACAGCGAAGGTGCGCCAAAGGATGAGTTAGCTGGTGAGACTTTGAAGTGGCTTGAGGGGTTGGAAGTGAAACACAAAACATTGAGTGAAGTTTTAGCTGCAGGCCCCGATCCGAAAGTTCTTCATGCCATTCAAGAGGCCATCAATCGTGCTAACAAAAGTTCAGTTTCAAACGCACAGAAAGTTCAAAAGTTCGCCATTCTGCCACACGACTTCAGCATTCCGACTGGCGAGTTGGGCCCAACCATGAAGCTCAAACGAAATATCGTCGCCGGCATGTACAAAGATGTCATCGAAAAACTTTATGAAAATAATTAAAATTCTCTGATTTTAATTTCCTTACATAAAAGTTGAAGCTTGATCAATAAAACATCGAATTATAAACGCAACCACTTCATGTTTTTTTTTTTTTAAAAATGTGTGAATTTTATTGAATTTCTTTCTTTTATATTTTTAACAATTTGTAAGTTTAAATTTCCTGTTTCTAAGCAGCGCTTCATCGATCTTTACATGATGAGATAAATGTTGTTGAAAATGTAATAAAAGAAGAAGAGGGAATGTTAGTACGATTTGATGGTTGTTAAACTCAACATCAATAATTCTTGAGGCAGTCGCAAATAATCCTCAAAGCTGATCAGTTTTAAAAATTATTTTCCGATTATCTTTGAATATTTTTTTGATATCTAAGAAATTTATTGTGCCAAAAGTTTGTTTTGTTAAGTGGTTCAAGTTTGTAGTAAAATGACAATTTTCAACGCTGTTTATAATTCATGGAGAGATTTATTGGATAACAAATCAGATCAAAGAGTCAAGGAATGGTTTATGATGTCATCACCTTTACCCACAATTTCCATTTGTTTGATTTATGTTCTCATTGTCAAGGTAATGAATTTCAAGCTTTTTAAAGAGATTAAAAAATTTTTTTGTTTAGGAAATCGCACCACGAATGATGATGAATCGAAAGCCTTTCAAGCTTAAAAACATTTTAATTGTTTACAACTTCTTGCAAGTTGTTTTCAGTTTAAAACTTTTCTATGATGCTTGCACTTTAGCATGGCTGAAAGACTATAATTGGAGGTGCGAGCCGCTTAATCGAACGCCTTATGGAAGACATTTGAAGATTGCACAAATGACTTACTTTTATTATCTCAGTAAATTCACTGAACTTCTTGATACAATTTTCTTCATTCTTCGGAAACGAAACGATCAAGTGTCAACATTGCATGTCATCCATCATGCAATTATGCCATTTAGTGGTAAAGTTTGTTATTTAATTTTTATATTTGCATCTTCGGATTGAATTGCCAATGAAAATTTCAGTTTGGTGGGGAGTGAAATTTTCTCCCGGTGGGCATGGCTCATTTTTTGGATTTTTAAACAGCGGAGTTCATGTTGTCATGTACACTTACTACATGCTGGCTGCTTTTGGTCCACAAGTGCAGAAATATCTTTGGTGGAAGAAATATTTGACGATTCTTCAAATGGCACAATTTGTGTTAGTTTTCACTCATGCGATGCAATTATTTGTTCATAATCCATGTCAGTATCCGCTAATCTTTGCTTGGTTGTGCATTTTACATGCTTTGATGTTCTTCGTTTTGTTTAAAGGTAAGTTAAATCTTTCTTTTTTATGTCTTTGAATGTTTCTGAAGGATTTTTTTGAATAATTATTTGTCAGGTTACTACAAGAAAACTTATGAAAGAATAGAAACAACTAGAAGAGTGAAGCAGTGATCAATGGCGATTATTTCATAACAAGTTAAATGGTAAGATGATAATCAAAAAACATTTTAAATATCACTTTGAGTTTTAAAATTAAATATCACTTGAATAATCTCATTACAAGAACTTAAAGTATCAACTTGGAAATAATTGATTTGCTTTGTCATTGTTATGAATATTATTAAACACTTTTAAACATAAGAGCAGCTTTTCACTTCATAAACTTTTTATTAATAAGCAAAAAATTAAATTAAAATTAAAAAGAATATTTTGAAACAAAAATATGAATTTTCTTTACATCCACCGATGCCTTTGATTGCAAAGTTAATTCAAATTCGATGTCATCTTGCGGAGCTTTCATCATGATTAGATCGTTTCCATGTTTTGTTTTCTTGATCTTGAAATATTCATCTGGCATGTTTGTTTCTGACAAATGATCAAAGAATTGGTAAATTCGTTTGTTTCTTTGTGTCGGCGTTACAGCTTTAAAAATGAATGAATAATTTCTGTGGCACTTAAGATGCTTGCAAACCTTCAATCTGCAATCACTGAAATAGAGAATTAATTTTATTTTCATTTAAAATATTCATGTTAATTAAACTTACGTCGTATTCTTGAAACGTTGATAATTAACAGGGCATTTAATTTTATTACATCGATAATTTCCTTTAATGTTTATGCAGATTTCATCGTCACGACATCGATTTAATTTACACTCATCAATGTCACTACAAATTCCATTGGAATTTCTCAAATATCCTAGCGGGCAATGACATTGATATGAACCAACATTATTTTCACATTTCCATTGACATTTCTTCTTATCTTGACATTCATCAATATCAACACATTTATTATCGATCATTATGAAACCGTGATGACATTTCACAATGCATCGATGTGATCCAGGAAGATTTTCACACTTTTGATTGTCAGAACAGGTGCCAGGAGTTGCACATTCATCGATGTCTTGACAAATGGAATCAATGTCACCATACAAGTCATAGTCAAGGTAGAGTTTCTCGTAACCACTGACACAATCACCACATTTGTGCGATCCTTCCAAGTTAACACATTGCCGATGTTGTTTTGAACAGTTGTGCAAACCTTTACTACATTCATCAATGTCATGACAATTTCCATTCTTATCAGCACTAAATCCTGGCTTACAGTCACATTTGTAATTGTCTGAGTTCTCAACACAAATTTGATTTTCATCACATGGATTGTACTCCTTGCAACTGATTGGTTTTGATGTTGTTAATGTCAACGCTTCAGGTTTCATTATAAAAGATTTGTATTCAATTTTGAATGGTTTAGTTTCCTCGTTACTAAAGAAAGAGTCAATTTCATTATATTCGTCATCGTAATCGTCATAAAAGTTTTTCTTCTCTATCACGTTACAACATTTTAAAACAATTCCTTTTGAAACATTGCTGATGATTTGAGAATCAAATGCACAGCCAATTTTTAGTTTCTTGTAATTTAAACCCAATTTGCAAGCGTTGCAACATTTCTGCAATGGAAAATGTTTCATGAAAAATGGATTCAAATGAATTTTGAATATTTACTTGTGAAGTGTCCGATTTCAAATGCTTGCAATCTTTTCCTTGAATTGCTGCTGCTTCGCCTTCCTTGCAATAAATTTCATCTGATTTTTCAATGCATTTAATAAGATAAGCGTCTTTGCAGAGCGACATCATATCACTTGGAAGATCACGAAATGCTTTTGGATTGAAATCATCACAAGATCGAGACAATTCGCCTTTCTTTGCACAATCTTCAATATAAATTTCAGCGTCTTCTTTAAGAAAGTCATACACTAAAGAAAGAAGAAATTGTTTGAGAAAAGCATGAAATAATTATGCTGTTGAAACATGTTTTAAAATTACTCTGAATTGCAGAAATGATTCTGAAAGTTGAAATCAACAATAAAATTGACTTCATGTCTTCTTCACCAGAAATATTTTTGTTCGTACAACGATGAAATTAAAATTACAACTGAAATTACTCTTCAACTTTGTATTTTTATTTCGACTTCTTTGTGGAAACTGAAAAGCATTCTTGATTATATTAGTGACTGATTTATGCAAACTTTATTTAAACGCTGCACTTTTTCTCCTGTATAATTAATTTAAATTCTTCTTTTGAATTTGCTTTGATAGCTTCGGGAATGCATGACGTTTTTCCAAAATAAATGACTTTCAGATTGACGCATTTGTCCAGCAATTCTTCACCGATTGACATTAATGGATTTGAAGCGATTCCGATTTTCTCCAGATTAATGTTGAATTGCAACGCCTTTCCATCGATATGTCGAAGTAAATTCTCAGCCAGGTCAAGAATTTCTAAACTTTTCAAGTCATTAAAAATATCTTTGGGAATTTCTTTTATAAAATTATTACGCAAATGAAGATTTTTTAATTCAGTTAAACCTTTAAAAGTATTTGCTGACATCATTTCAATTCCATTTGATTCAAGTTTGATTGTTTGTAAGTTTTCAGCTCCTTTAAAAATATTCGGAAAGAGAAATTTTATGTGATTTCTTTTTAATAAAACAAATTCAAGATTTTTAGCATTCAAAAATGTTCCTTCATCGATTTGACGAATGTTTGAGTTTGTGGCTTCAAAATGCTTTAAGTTTGGAAGAGTCTCAAATATATTTGATTGTAAATGTGACATGAAAGAGTCCGATATAATAATTATTTGAATCCCTTTGACGGAAATACTTTTGGCATTGATAATTTTCATATTTCTCAATGGAGTTATAACTCCATGAGCCTCACAAACTGACGAGTTTACAGAATTATCACAACTAAGCTCGAAATTTGAACATTTCTCAAAATCGTCTTTAATGTTCCTCAATTTCAAATTTTCCTCCTCAAGTTGACGAACTTTTTCTTCCAACTTTGTATTTGTATTTACTTTGTTACTGTTATCAATTTTTTGCTTTGTGTCACAACTTAGTAATCGATGAAGATAATTTTTGTTTTGACTTTCAGCATCATTCAGTTGAGTAATGCATTGGGTTTGGTTACTTTGACATTTCGATAATTCATTTTTAGCATATTGAGTTAAAGTCATCTCGAACTCCCAAAGCTTTGTAAGATTTCCTATTTTTTCCTTAAACTCTTCTTTCGTGATATTATTTCCCTCTTCCAACAATCGAAACTTTTCTTCATACTCTTCAATAACTTTTGTTACCGGAAACGGACGACAATGTTCATTCAACTCTGATTTCACTTTTTCCAATTCTTTTTTTCTCGTGCCACTGAATTTTATTATTGACAAATTGATGCATTTGTTATGACTGAGATTCAATTTCTCCAAAGTTTCTTGGTTTTTATCGAAAATATTCTTTCCAATATAACTCAAATGATTGTGACTTAAATCCAACGAAATCAGAGCTTTGTTCTCAGAGAATGTTCCATCTCTAAGCTCAACTATTTTATTGTTAGAAATGTAAAGACGTTGAAGCTTCAGTAACATCATAAAAGTCTCCTCATGAAGCTTTTCAATATTATTGAAGTTTAATGATAAAGTTTCTAAGTTTGTGTTACTTTGAAATAGTTTTGAGAGAATTAGTTCGATCTCGTTGTTCGACATATCGAGAGATTTTAATTCCTTCAAATCCTTAAAGGTATCCACGTCCAAACTTTTAATTTTATTCCTATGCAGATTGACATCTTCTAAATTAGTCATTCCTTTCAAATCATTTTGGTTAATCGACTTCAATTCAGAATTCAAGACGTGAAGTATCAAAGAGTTTGGAAATGATTTCATTATGTTCTCTGGCAGATAATGAACAATTCCATTTTCTATCCGTAATGCTTTTATCTCTTTCAGAGTGTCTTCAATTTCGATGCTTTCATTACGTGATGAAATTCTGAGCTTCCTCAAATCACATCCATCGTAGCTGTTAATTCGCTTTTCACGACATTTCACTGTCAATGAGTCAGATTTCTTTGATGATCCGAAGAGGTCAATGCCAAATGCCACACATATTGATGTCGACAGAATAAAAGTTTTAATCATCAACCTGTATAAGAAATAAAAAAAATTAACCAAAACTTGTTTAATTGAAGTGGAAAACTTTGCTACATTTCTACTTATCCTTCAAGCTCGACTGTCTCGATGAAAGTATAAAACAATAATGAATTTCAATTTCAAAGTGTGTTCGATTTTGTATCTCCAAATACTGCCCAGTCGAATAATTTTTTACAGATTAAGAATCGTTTCGTATTTTATTATATTTATAAATATCTTTACTTTCTAGTTACTTTGTAATTTGAATATTAAAATACGATGATAACAATGATAATTCAATAAGGTTGATGCACTTTAAAATTCAGAGAACTTTTTTGGTGAAAGGTAAAAGATTGAATAAGATTAAAATATTTGAATTTAAAGAACTTTTTGTGAATTAAACAACATAAAGTTTAAATAAAGCAATAAATCAGGACATAATTCATAAAGAAATTTATGAATCAGCGATCATTGCCTTAATTCGTAAACGATTCGTGCATATTTTCGTTATGAAAGACGAAAATGAACGATCAAATCCTACTATAAAAGACTTCAGTTCATTCATGAAATCCTTCAGTAAAAATAAGATTGAGAGTTGTTCAATTAAGAGTGCACAAATAAATATCAGAAAAAATTGACAGTAGACAATTTCATTTCATTCTTACTCTAGATCAAGAAGAATTATTTTGAAATGAATATTTTAAATTTAAAATTTGCTATGATTTTAATCATAAGTGTTCAAGGATTAAATTCGGAATGTCAAACGAATGATTCATCATGTTTGGACATTAACATTGTCATCACATATTCGGGCGTGGAAATTGACATTATTGATAAAAACATTGAAAACATAAAAGAGTTGCACATTGTTAAACAGATTATGAAATATTTCCCGACAAATTTGGGCAAAAAGTTTCCTAGCATCACAAATCTTCACATTCAAACATCACAATTGATGAAAATTGAACGAAATAATTTTCAGACAATTAAACAATTAAATACTTTGAATCTTCGTGATAACGAATTGGCAGACATTGAACGTGAAACTTTCGATGACCTTCTTTTGTTGGAATATTTGGACTTAAGCGACAACAAATTAAAGGAACTTGACCGAAGACTTTTCAATAAATTAACTAATTTAAAAACTCTCATTTTAGAGTCGAACTACATTGAAGAAATTGATTTGAATCTTTTCAAAAACACACGAAAATTAAAAACTCTTTCATTATCAAATAATTTCTTAAGAAAGCTTCCAACTTACATCTTCAGAAACTTAAACCAAATGGAAGAACTTCAATTAGATGACAATGACTTAGTTGGCTTGCAGAATCATTTATTTGAAAATAATAAAAATTTGAGAAAGTTGACAGTAGCAAACAACGTCATCCAATCAATCGGAAAGGATAATTTCGAGCTTTTGTCAAATTTATCAGAACACAACTTTCTTTTCAATACATGCACCCATGATCTGAAACCTGATTATAGCATTGATGAGTTGAAATTAACGATTGAGAATAATTGTACTGTCGATAAAGACGCAGAGATCCTTTGGTTGAATGATGAAATTGTTGAAATAAAAAGATTTAAAAGAGAAGACGAGGAAAAATTGGAATGCGCTGAGATCGAGCAACAAAGGGAAAACGATGCAATAATTTCTAATCTGACGGATATTTTTAACGATCTCACGAATCTTAAAGCTCAAAATGAAAAACTAGAAAATCAACTTTTGAGAACACAAACTTTAATTCTTGCAGAAATTACTGGATCAAAGAATGTTAACAGACCAACTGATGAATTGAAAAAAGTTTCATGCGATTTCTATCAACTCTGCTATGATTTCTTGAAAAAAGTTTTAACTGATTTAACTGAAGATGGAAGACAAGAAATCTTTACAACATTTGATGAAATTAGAAAAGCTTTTTCTGACGGACAAAGCGATATATCAGTTAAAGAATTCAAGCCATTTTTCTCTGATTTCCAAACAACTATCGAAGATGCAGTTTCTTCTTTCAAAGCGAGAGTCAAAAGTAATTGTGAACTCACAATCTCTGAAACTCAAATTTTCGATTGAATTAAGAAAATATTTAATTGAATAAATTTTTTGGAACTTACATATTTCTTAAAAGTTATTTTTGAAGTCAATAAAAAATTTCAAAATTTTATTTTAGCATTTTCAACTTGATTTTATTAACAAGAAATTGTAAACAAAATTATAATATGCAATAACAAGAAATATCTAATAGTATCTAAGCTTTGTTAAACAAAATATTATTGACTTCCAGAGCACTTAATAAGTGCGTACAAAAATTATATAAAATATAAACTGAAATGGGAAATGTAACGAAATATTAATCTCTTTATGAGAAATGTCAGTGTCTCACTGGGAAACTTAATAAGGGAAGTAGCGCTTGTTCTGATAGGACTTAAGGGGCTTGCGATCATGAGAGTAAAAATTTTCCTTATCCTCGTATACTGGAACTCGTGGTCCAAGTGATTTCTTAACAATGAGATTTCTACCCTTGACATAATGGCTTAATCCGGAATCCAAGATGACGTTGACTGCCTCAGTACTTTCAAACTCTACGTATCCACATTGGGATCGCAAATTTTGACGAAGAATGACAGCTTCTACTACTTTTCCGTATTTGTTGAAATGGTCTGTAAGTTCTAGTGTAGTTGTTCCGGGAGCCATGTTAGTGACGTAAATTTGATATTTTCCACGTGAAGCGTCACGAACATTTTGTTGCGAAATCTTCAAGACGATTTTGTCCAATTCACATATTTTTTCGTGTGCTTTCTTTACTTCGTCTTGAGCTTCCTTTAATTTTATATCTTGAAGTTGTCCCTGTACAAGAAAAGAAGAATTTAAAAGCATTTTTAGAATTCTAGGTTATGAAATCTTTTGTTTCAGAATATTTTAATAAATTAACAAAATAACTTACCAGTTTGACTAGGAATGCTACATCTTTCTCCAAAGCATCCAATTTAACAATTAAATTTGAAGCTGGGTTGTCTGGAAGGGCATCATCCTTCTCAATTTTGATCTGAAAAAGGAAAACTCGTTTTTCATTAAAAAAATCTAATTTTAATTACGCAATTCAATTTAAAACAAACTTTTATATTTTCGTAATTCATTTTTCAGGAAAACAAAAAGAAAATATATTCAGAATTATTCTTAGAAGTTCTTCAAAAATAAATTTGATTATTCAAGTATGAATATCTTAAGCACGTCTGGACTTTAACTACATTTAACGTAGAATGAAATTATGAAAAGTTCTGTGGTGAATTTGTGGTGAAAATGACATGGGGGTTGAATGATAAATGGTGTAACCTTTTCTTGAAGAAACGAACAAATAATATTTTCAATTTTAATTCAGATTTATTAAAATATGAACCACAAATGTTAATTAAAATTACAATTCATGAAAGAACATTGACTACTCAGTTCATTACAGCATATTCTGTTAGAATTTTAAAACCAGACATCATTTATAAATTACTTGATTATATTGTTGAGGTTAATTTGGTGGATTTTGCGAAAGCATTGATTTGTTTACAATTAGAAATCTATTTTGAAATAGTTTAAATTAAAGCTCATTGAATTGTAGATTTAAAATGGAATTATTATTAAATGTAACAACTAGCAATGGCAATCCTAATAAAGAAAAGGTAAAATAAATTACTTTAAGCATTTGCTGTCTAATATCAAAAAATGTTTTCTTAAAAATATTTCAGAAAGATGAAAAGAATAAAATTCACTATGCTGGATCTGGATTTTCCTTTGAGTTTACAAATGAAGAGAAACCAAAAGCAACAGTCTTAGCAAGAAAACGTCCATCAAAGAAACTTGAGGAAAATCCTGCTGTTGATTTCAAACTCTCAAGTACGATTGATGAACTAAAAGAGGAAAATAAAAAACCACATGGGAAAATTAAAAAGAAAATTTCTGAACCAACAGCAATTCTAAATGAAATTCTTGAAAGAGATTCTAAACATGATTTGCCAAAGCAACTTCCAACTGTAGATTTTATGGATGAACCTGTAAAGTTTAAAAAAGGAAAAGCAAAAGGAAACGACAATGATGACAAACATACAAAAATCGTTGACTTCGCAAAGAAATTAGCCAACTACAATCCTGCAAGCTTTGCTAGTCATCAACAAAACAAACAAGCAAACAATCAAAATTCTCTCCCTCCTCCTAAAAGGCAAAAACCAAAATTCTCGAAAGTTTCAAATCCATTTCCAAATGATCCATCAAAAAAAGTTGCCAATAAAGAAAAACAACAAAAATCACCAACGAAAGAACAGAAGCCATCGATATCTGAAAAGCCAGGAACATGCAGTAGTAGCAGCAATTCAAATGTCTTTGCATCAGAATCAGTTGACTCTCTGAAAATTCATCCTTTTGCTATCAGAAATATGAAAGATCTGTTAAAGTTTCATCAGTTGACTCACGTTCAACAGAAGGCAATTCCACCAGCTTTAGAGGGAAAAGATTTGTTAATAAGAAGTCCTACTGGTAATAATTAAATTCCTTAACTTTTTATTTAATCAACTTAAATTTATTTTAGGATCTGGAAAAACTCTCAGCTATGCTTTGCCGATTGTAGAAAAACTTCATAAAATGGAACCAAAACTTACAAGAGGTGATGGAATTCATGCTATTGTCATTGTGCCAACTCGTGAACTTGCAGTGCAAACTTATGAGTTATTTATGAAGTTGGTAAGACCGTTTCGATGGCTCGTTCCTGGATATTTGAGTGGTGGTGAGAAAAGAAAAGCTGAGAAAGCGCGGCTTCGAAACGGAATAAATATACTCATTTCAACACCGGGTCGGATTTGCGATCATCTTCTGCATACTGAATCGATGAAACTTGATAAAATTCAAATCTTTGCACTTGATGAAGCTGACAGATTACTTGAACTCGGTTATGAAAATGACGTGAAGAAAGTTGTCGACACGATAAGCGAACAAAACAAAGATTCGAGAAATATTCAAAAGATTTTACTTTCGGCAACACTAACATCGAAGGTGAAGAAGTTGGCGGGATTGACATTGACTGATCCAGTTTACGTTGATAATGATTCAGTGGATGTTATCAACGATTCAATGATGAACACAGAAAGTGATGACAACATCGTAATTCCATCTGGAATTGAGCAGAAATATTTTATGCTTCCTCCTAAACTTCGTTTTATTGTTCTCTGCTCTTTAATCGTTCAACAAATAAATCGTGGTGCTAAGAAAATTGTCATTTTCTTTCCAACGCAACATGTTGTCGACTTCAATTATGACATTATGGTTGAATTCCTCACGCAACCTTTCACAAGAAAAGAGAAAACAGCGAAATCTTATCTGAACGACAATGATGATGACATCGATGGAATGTTAGAGGAACAAGAAGAGGATGAAGATGAAGACGAAGGAAATATTTGGGTTCCCAATGTTACGTTCTTCAAGTGAGTTCAATTTTCCTTGCAATGAATTTAATTAACTTTTTTTTCTTCAGACTTTTTGGCTCAATGACACAAATTGAAAGAGTTTCAGTATTTCGTGAGTTTAAAGCTGTAAAAGCTGGCGTGTTATTGTGTACAGATGTAGCTGCACGTGGTCTTGACGTTCCACAAGTTGACTTAGTGATTCAGTATTCAGCACCACAAGAGTTGAATAATTATTATCATCGAATTGGTAGAACTGCAAGAGCTGGAAATAAAGGTGAAGCTTTGATCTTCTTAAATCGTAACGAGGAGAAGTTTGTGGAGCTTTTAAAGGAGAAAAATGTCGAGTAAGTTTTTTTCATTTAATTTGTTAGATTTAATTTGTAATTGTCATTAATTGTAGGATCAATGAAGAAGATTATCATAAATGTTTGAAAGAAGCTCGTCTGCCAAACATGAACATCAAATTTTTTGAGGAGAGAATTGTGACATTGCAAAGAAAACTTGAAAATTTACTCAACGATGACAACGAGTTGAGGATGAAAGCATCTAAAGGTGAGTAAGATGAGTAGAAGATTTTGATTATTTCATTTTTATATTTAATTTACAGCCTTCACATCGTGGATTTGTTACTACAAAACTTTCTCAAAAGAACTTCGGCATATTTTTAATTTACGTGAGATGCACATGGGACATATCGCTAACAACTTTGGACTTCGTGATGCACCGAAATCTATTGTGAAGCAACATTCAACTGCTGATGATGTGAAGAAAGAGCGAAACAAAAATTTTGATTTTGATCATCGAGTTCATGTGCCGCGAGGCGATCAAAGATCGATAAACAAACTTAAAAGAAAATACGGCGATTTTTCGAGAACAAATTTCAGTAAATCGTCGACAATATCAGAGTTTGATAGTGGATTACCAGAAGTCAACAAGAAGGTTCGGACGAAGTGAATATTCACAAGGTAGCAGAAGTGGAACGATTGCTTGTAAATTATTAAGTTGATTTAATTACCATCATTGATGGTAAAGAAATTTCATTTATTAATATGTAAATAAATGCATTAAAAATGGATTTATTTTGTTCATAATGAAAGTTTTTACTTAGGAATTAGCCAATTAAATTTATTGTTAGTTTCAATTGTCTTTCACCAATTGCTGTTCTTTGTCTATAACTATAAGAACAACGATTAAAAATTGTAATAAATAAATTTGATTCAATATCAATGGAGTTGATGATATTTTTGCATTGTTGTGACTTCTCTTCTCACTTCTCTCAAACTTGGCTTATGTTTATCATTTTCTGTCATTTTCACTTGTTGCATTTGTGTCGGCATGTTTATTTCCAACAAACCACGTGGAATTTCTGAGAAAACTTAAAAAAACGAGAGAGTAGAGGAGAGAAACAAGGAGAGAAATGAAGAGAGAGAAAATATTGAGAGAATTGTGAAAAAAAGTCAAATTTTCTTGACTGTAAGCAAACTTTGCTAATAAAGTTAAATTAAAGTGGAAAAAGTTAAATTAAATTATTTTAAACATGACATTTATCTACTATTTTAAATAGTTTAAATGAAATATTTGTGATTTTGAAGAAAATTTGCGTTTTAAAGCATAAAAAGTGTTTTGAAAAAAATTTACTTCGCCTTAAATTTTTTTGTTTATGTTTTGAAGTATAAACTTTAATTAAAGTTGTTAATAATGGCAAAGTTTGTTGAATGGGCTAATAGTTTATTGGGGCGCTTTGAGGAGCAGGTAAAAGTTCATTCAATATCATTTATCAGAATTTTTCCAAACATTTTCCGGATTTTCAAGATGTCGCTAGAAAAATCGATAAAACTGCTACAGGTGATTTGTCTTCTTTTTTTCCTTTTCAGCTTCCTTATCGTACAGGAAATACGAGTACACAAGCAAGAATTCACATTGAACAAACGCTGATAGAACAAAGTTTAATCCAAATCTCCAGATATCGATTCTCGTTAGTGATTTCCGGCTTAACAAAAATGCTCCAGAGAGTAAACGAATTGGTGCGTGGGTGGACAATGAATAAAATTGTGTGTTGTTTTTATATATACGAGATTTGCTTACGTGATTCTTTTCACAGTATCAACCTACACAAGGAAGCCGTGGGCATGATGCAGAGCGTTTGGGTTACGATTCACTTATCATCATTTTACAGACATTAGAACGATGTTTATCAGGTCAATCGAAGGACACAGCACGATTTGAAGAGGCAATGAATGTTAAGCTGCTTTTACGAGAAATTTGTCAGTTTATTGGTGAGAAGAATGAACGAAAAATTGAAGAAAAAATTTCATTTCTTGTCTTATATTTTCAGACATACAAAGCGACATCAACATCCCAAATAATTCACCATCACTAAAAGTTCTTGCTTCAAAAGTCCTTTTTGCTTTATCTCAAAATCATTTCGGAGCAGTTTTCAATCGAATATCAGCTCGACTACAGGAATTAAGTGCGTGTTCTGAAGAAAATCCTGACTACAGTGACATCGAACTTATTCAACACATCGACTTAGATGTCAATAAACTCACAAAACTTCTAACAGAAATCAACCAAAAGTTCAAATTATTAAAGAAATCAGCCCACATGGTTTTACTGAACTCATTAGAGAAAGCTTTGTGGAACTGGATTGAATATCATGCCAAAGAATTTGAAGATCTCCAACGAAATCCAAATGAAGAATTGTCGCGCTGTTGTGAAACTTTCTTCGATATTCTCGACGCTTATGCACAAGAAAATAAAAAGAGTCGCTCGGCTGTATGGGCGCTTCAAATTATTCTTCTCATTCTAAGTCCAAAAGTTCTTGAAGAGATTGTAAATGCAGATTCAGGTGCGCCGTGCTCTCCACGTCATTTAAAAAAGAAACATTTCATGGAAGGCATCAAAAAAGGTTTAAGTTCACATGCGTCATCGAAACAACTCACAGAATCTGCTGCCATTGCATCAATAAAACTTTGCAAAGCAAGTACTTACATAAATATCAACGATTCGAACAACGTCACATTTCATTTAGTGCAAAATGTCATCAACGATTTAAAGTCGCAACTTTTTAATGTAAATAAGCCGTTTTCAAGAGGTCAAGGCTACAACGTCCAAGACATTGATCTGATGATTGATTGCTTCGTCTCATGCTTCAGAATAAAGCCGCACAACAACGAAGCTTTGAAAGTTTGCTTGAGTCTGACATCACCACCAGCTTATCATTTTGTTATCGTCAGTTCATTGCTGAAGTAAGTTTAAAATTTTCAACTTAAAATGTTAAATTAAAATTAAAATTCTTTCTTTTTTCTTAGGATTGTCACACAACCTCGACTAACGTGGTGGCCACAAATTGATTTAGTTTATGCTCGATCATCAGAACTTCGAGCTTTATTTACTGACACATTAAATAAAGCAACTCAGGGATATATTGCGCATACGCCACTTCGAATGATCACATCGTTGACACTTAAATCGAAAGACACGCAATCAAGATTGATTCGTCCGGAAGAAGGTCACGCACATAAAGCGCTTTTGTTGTTGATGGTGCGGTTAATTCACGCTGATCCAATGCTTTTGTTGAACAGCCAAGGAAAGTCAGGACATGAAGTTCAAAGTTCAACGTTGGAACTCATCAATGGACTCGTTTCACTTGTTCATCAGCCAACAATGCCCGATGTGGCTCAAGAAGCTATGGAAGCGCTTTTAGCCATTCATTCACCAGATAAAATTGAAATGTGGAATCCTGAAGCACCAATTAACACTTTCTGGGATGTTTCATCGCAAGTTCTCTTCTCAATTTCGCAGAAATTAATTCAACATCAAATTGCCAACTACACGGACGTTCTCAAATGGCTTCGTGAGATTCTCATTTGTCGGAATACTTTCCTGCAACGACACAAAGATTATGCAAATTGTGGATCACATATTGCGATATGTCGACAAGCGCATATCAAGATGGAAGTTGTGTTCTTCATGTATTTATGGTCAGTTGATTTGGACGCTGTGATTGTTGCTTTGTCATGTTTTGGATTGTTGTGTGAAGAAGCTGACATTCGTACGGGATCTGATGAGTTGACAGTCTCCATTATTTTACCGAATTATCATTTGTATCAGGAACTTGCGCAAGCGTCAAGCACAATAACAACAGCGAGTAGTGAGTCGCGTTATTGCTTCTATGAACACACACAGGGACGTGTAGCTTTGCAAAAGAACATCATGGGATTGCTAAGAAAACTCGAACATTGCGCGAATGGCGTTCAACCAGCATGGGAAGAAACATTTCGAAATTGGGAAATTACAAGCAAAATGTTGCAAAATTATCCGAAAGGGAAGCTTGAAGATGGTCAAGCTGAAGCTTTTCATCGAAGTGTTGGTAAACGTCGTGCAAGTCATCAGTCGAGTGAGCATGACTTAGAAGAACAAATAAGTGAATGGGCAAACATGACGTGGTTTCTACTTGCACTTGGCGGTGTTTGTCTTCAACGTCCACGAACATTGCGACCAATTCAGGGACAAAATATGGCTTTAGGTTCACTTGTTCAATCGACATCGTCGATTTCAAGTTCTAGTTCAGGACGTGGCTCGATGATGATGGTTTCAGTTAGCGCACCAATTCCAGGCAGTCAAGAAGTTCAATATTGTCCAGTGACACAATTCATCGGTCAACTTTTACGTCTTCTCGTTTGTAATAATGAAAAGTTTGGACCACAAATTCAAAAACATGTCAAGGAACTTGTGGGACAAGAAATGTCGTCACAACTTTATCCAATTCTATTCGATCAAATTCGAGCGATTGTTGAGAAGTTTTTCGATCAACAAGGACAAGTCGTGGTGACAGAAATCAACACACAATTTATTGAACATACAATTTACATCATGAAATCGGTGTTGGAAGGACGACAGGGAAAAGATGAACAAACACCAAATGAACATCTTGGCGTGACAAGCATCGAAGGCATGATGCTTGCAATTGTTCGTTATGTTCGTCACTTAGACATGACAGTTCATGCAATTCATATTAAAACAAAATTATGTCAACTTGTGGAAGTTATGATGAAGCGACGTGACGATCTCGCTTTTCGTCAAGAAATGAAATTTCGAAACAAACTTGTCGAATATTTAACTGATTGGGTGATGGGAACTTCTCATCAAATTGCTCCGCCGTCATCAGGTGATGTGACGATAATTACGAGAGATTTAGATCAAGCATGTATGGCGTGTGTTGGTGCGTTGTTAAAAGGTTTGCCATTGCAACCTGAAGAAAGCGATCGTGGTGATTTAATGGATGCAAAGTCAGCTTTATTTCTTAAATATTTCACACTGTTTATGAATCTTTTGAGTGATTGTGCTGACATCTCAGACACTGATAAAGAACCAATCAATCCACCAATGATGCCACCAAGACCAAGAGTTGCAGCAACCAAATTGACAGCATTGAGAAACTCAACCATTCAAGCAATGTCGAATTTATTGAGTGCAAACATTGATTCAGGTTTGATGCATTCAATTGACTTGGGATACAATCCCGATCTTCAAACGCGAGCTGCTTTCATGGAAGTTTTAACACAAATTCTTCAGCAAGGAACTGAATTTGATACACTTGCTGAGACGGTGTTAGCTGATCGTTTCGAACAACTTGTTCAACTTGTCACGATGATAAGTGACAAAGGTGAACTTCCAATCGCAATGGCATTGGCAAATGTCGTCACGACATCACAAATGGATGAATTAGCGCGAGTTCTTGTGACGTTATTTGACGCTAAGCATTTGTTGTCACCACTTTTATGGAACATGTTTTATCGTGAAGTCGAAGTGTCTGATTGTATGCAAACATTGTTTCGTGGAAATTCATTGGGAAGTAAAATTATGGCGTTTTGTTTCAAAATTTATGGTGCGAGTTATTTGCAAGCGTTACTTGAACCTTTAATTCGTCCATTGATTGATGAACCAAATACAAGCTTTGAAGTGGACCCAGCTCGACTTGAAGCTGATGACGATATTGAAGTTAATCGGATGAATTTGATTGCTTTAACACAAAAAGTTTTCGATGCCATTGTCAATTCAGCTGATCGATTTCCATCACAATTACGTTCAATGTGTCATTGTTTATATCAAGTGTTGAGTAAACGATTCCCGAATCTTCTTCAACAAAATATTGGAGCTGTTGGCACGGTAATTTTCCTAAGATTTATTAACCCGGCGATTGTTTCACCCCAAGAATTAGGAATTGTATCAAAGCAAGTTCCTGCAAATGTCAAACGTGGATTAATGTTGATCTCGAAGATTCTTCAAAACATTGCAAATCATGTTGAATTCTCAAAGGAACAGCATATGTTGAACTTCAATGATTTCCTTCGAACACATTTTGAAGCTTGTCGAAGATTTTTCATTCAAATCGCTTCAGATTGTGAGACTGTCGATCAGACATCGTCACATAGCATGAGTTTCATTAGTGATGCAAATGTTTTGGCAGTTCATCGGTTACTTTGGAGTCACCAGGAGAGAATTGGCGACTACTTGTCGAGTTCTCGTGACACAAAGCATGTTGGACGACGACCGTTTGATAAAATGGCAACACTTTTAGCATATCTTGGACCACCTGAACATAAACCAGTGACAGTTGACTCACACATGCTTTTCTCATCCTACGCACGTTGGAGTTCCATTGACATGTCATCAACAAACTTTGAAGAAATTATGGTGAAGCATCAAATGCACGAGAAAGAAGAATTTAAGACACTCAAATCGATGAATATTTTCTATCAAGCTGGAACATCAAAAGCAGGATATCCAGTGTTTTATTACATCGCAAGACGTTACAAAATCGGAGAGACAAACGGAGATCTATTGATTTATCATGTGATTTTGACATTGAAGCCTTTTTGTCATGCTCCATTTGAAGTTGTCATCGATTTTACTCACACTTGCAGTGACAATCGATTCCGAACTGAATTCCTTCAGAAATGGTTTTATGTTCTTCCGGAAGTTGCTTATGAGAATCTCCATGCTGCTTATATTTATAATTGCAATTCATGGGTTCGTGAATACACAAAATTTCATGATCGAATTTTAGCGCCTTTGAAAGGCAACAGAAAGCTTGTCTTCCTCGATTCGCCATCGAAATTAAACGATGTCATTGATGTTGAGCAACAGAAACTTCCCGGTGCGACACTTTCACTTGATGAAGATTTAAAAGTTTTCAACAATGCTTTGAAGTTAAGTCATAAGGACACGAAAGTGTCAATCAAAGTTGGACCAACAGCCCTTCAAATTACCTCAGCTGAAAAAACCAAAGTTTTAGCACATTCCGTGTTGTTGAATGATGTTTATTATGCTTCCGAAATTGAAGAAATTACGCTTGTTGATGATAATCAGTTGTAAGTATCAAATAATGAAACTCAGCTTTAAAAGAAAAAAATAACGGAAAAAAATTTAAATTTTTAGTTCTAAAAGTTTAGACAAGTTCTCAGTTATTTTTTAATTTTGTTAAAGAATATTTAATTAATACTCTTTTTCCCTAGCACACTTTCAATCGCAAATGAAAGTTCACAACTCAGCTTTATTCACAATGATTGTGATAACATTGTACAAGCTGTCATTCACATCCGGAATCGATGGGAGTTAAGTCAACCAGATTCTGTGACAGTTCATCAGAAAATTCGACCAAAAGACGTTCCAGGAACACTTCTCAACATGGCTCTTCTCAACCTTGGAAGTTCAGATCCAAATTTAAGGACAGCAGCTTATAATCAACTTTGTGCGTTAACAGCAACATTTGATTTGAAAATTGAAGGACAATTGTTGGAAACTCAAGGACTTTGCATTCCATCAAACAACACAATTTTCATCAAAGAAGTTTCAGAAAAACTCGCAACAAATGAACCACATTTGACACTCGAGTTTCTCGAAGAATGTATCCAAGGATTTCAAAGAAGCACAATCGAACTTAAGCATTTATGTCTTGAATACATGACACCTTGGCTTGCCAATCTTGTTCGTTTCTGCAAACCGTCTGATGAAGGAAAGCGACAAAAGCAAGTCGCACAAATTCTTGAGAAACTCATAAATCTTACAATCGAGCAGAAGGAAATGTATCCATCAATTCAAGCGAAAATTTGGGGCAATCTCGGACAAATTCCTGAACTCATCGACATGGTTCTTGATAATTTCATTCACAAATCAGTAAGTTCTGGTCTTGGATCACCACAAGTTGAAATAATGGCTGACACAGCAGTGGCTCTTGCATCAGCAAATGTCCAACTTGTTGCAAAGAAAGTTATTGGAAGATTATGTCGTGTTATGGATAAAACTTGTTTGTCACCGACACAACATCTTGAACAGCACATGATGTGGGACGACATCGCGATTCTCGCTCGATATTTACTAATGTTGTCATTCAACAATTGCCTGGATGTTGTTCGTCATTTGCCATATCTTTTCCATACTGTAACTTTCTTGGTTTGTACAGGATCTTTGAGTATGCGAGCGTCAACTCATGGTCTTGTCATCAACATAATTCATTCGCTCTGCACATGTACAAAGCCTTCATTCAGTGAAGACACTCAGCGTGTATTGCGATTGTCATTGGATGAATTCTCCTTACCAAAGTTCTATTTATTGTTTGGAATTAGTAAAGTTAAATCAGCTGCAAGCACCGCTTTCCGATCATCATGTCGTCATCATTCTGATCGTTGGCTTGGCAACGAAAGAGTTTCCCAACCACTGGCTGATCGTGAGAGACTCGCTTTGCCTTCACTTGAAGTCATTACTGATGCATTACTTGAAATTATGGAAGCTTGCATGCGAGACATTCCTGATTGTGATTGGTTGTCAACGTGGACGTCACTTGCGAAAAGTTTCGCTTTTTGTTTCAATCCCGCTCTACAACCGAGAGCGCTGATTGTCTTCGGTTGTATCAGTAAATCTATAACCGATTCAGATGTCAAGCAATTGCTGAGAATTCTCGTGAAAGCTCTTGAAAGCTTTAATGACATTCAATTGCTTGAAGCTTTGGTCATGTGTTTGACGAGACTTCAACCACTTCTCAGACCTGAATCGACAATTCATCGAGCTTTATTCTGGGTGGCAGTTTCCGTGTTGCAACTTGATGAATCGACACTTTACGCTGCTGGTCTTGCATTACTTGAACAAAATCTGCACACACTCAACTCACAAGGAATTTTTGACAAACAAAATCTTGCGGAAGTCATGATGGAATCTCGTGAACCTTTGGAATGGCATTTTAAGCAACTCGATCATGCTGTTGGATTATCTTTCAAATGCAACTTTCATTTTGCTCTTGTTGGGCATTTATTGAAAGGTTTACGTCATCCAACACCAACAACAGTGTCTAGAACGACGCGTGTACTGACGATGCTTCTTGGAATTGTCGCTAAACCCACACGAAGAGATAAATTTGAAGTGACTCACGATTCAGTTGCATATTTGACAGGTGAGATTGAAGCATTTTTAAGTAAAAGAATTTTCATTTAAATTTCTTTTCCTCAGCTCTTGTCAGTGTCTCTGAAGAAGTTCGTTCTCGATGTCATGTCAAGCACACAATTCCAAGATGGCAAGCTGAATTGAATGCTGAAACACAACAAGAGAATGGCGGAGCTTCAAATGTTCGTCGTCAAAAGTCTTGGGATCTCATCGATCAATCAGCAATTTCTTATGCTCGTCAACAACAACACAAAGTTCAACATCAGGTAAACAATAAATTATTTCTTTTATTAAAAGTAAACAAAACCGAAAAAGAAAAAAAAAACTTTTCCATCTTTTAATTTTAATCTTCAACTTAAATTTTGTTACTCATTTTTCTTCAACTTATATTTTGATGGATGTGATGTGTTAGAAAAAATTTATTAATGAAATTGGATTCAAAAGCAAATATTTTTTATTTTAATTAATGACTAATATGAGTAAATATTTGAATTTGAGTTTAATTGATTGATGAAAGTAAAAGTGATGTTATTTTGTTAATCTATCGAAGGGATTTAAAATTTATGTTTGATGAGGGAATTCAATTCCTTAAGTATCTATATTTGAATTTATTGTGGTATCTATACGAAGCATCCATGCATAATTATTTATTTAAACCATTAACAATCCTTCTGTTCGAATCCCGGTGTTGACAGAACTTTTCTTGTTTTCGTGCATTTTCGGATTGTCGTCATTTTAATAACGTAAAAAATGCCGACATCGGGATTTGCTTCTGTTATTTCCACATTAAGTTTCATTAAAAAAAAACTCGAAATATTTAAATGAGAAGAAAGAAAATGTTGATAAACTAAAAGCTTCTCATTTCAATAAATGTTTTTCATTTTAACCCATCAAAGAATTATTTTTTCTCAAGTCATCATCATCATCATTTCTCTAATATTTAATCATATTTAATGTAATGAAATAACCCGTTGAATTTTCATTTAAATTTAAAACCCAAATTATGATCGTCAAAAATGTAATCACACAATTCAGGATCCGGTAATAAAAGGAAAGACATGGCGAAGCCTCGATTTAGCAAATCAATCGCATAATTATGTTAACCCCCAAAATCTTCCAACATCTATTATCACAACAGCAACATCCACTAATACCTCTACCACGAGTATCCATCACAATTCACTGATCAATAGCGTTCCGATACATTACCAAAGACATTACTTTAAAAATCGTCGCTCATCGTCTGAGCCGGCAAATGAACAAAAACTTTTGGCTCATGCTCACAATAACAATCACAATAATACAACAGCCATTAATCAGAATACAAACAATAACAGTAAGACTAACAGTAGTAGTTTGGTTAACGATGATGCAACATCATCCGTTGAAAATGCTGGCGATGATTTTATTGATTGTCTCCACCAGACGACAAACATTAAAGTAAGCAAAACTGAAAAAAGAAAAATCTGCAGTGCTATAACTCTGCTACAATCTATTAGCTTCTTCTTCTACTTCTACTTCTGTCTACTCGATTTCTGCAAACTTTCTTTCTTTCTTTTTTAACATTTAGCTGTTCAATTTGTTTTTCTGTTTTTAATGCATTTGACTGCATTTAATTTACAAAAGTACAAATAATTAACCAAGCGAGATATGCAACAAAATTTGTATTTAGGAAAATGATTAAAAAGTCTCCTAAATACTTAGTAAGAAGCTGCACATCTCACATTTCAAGTTACTTTAAAAGTTAATTTTCTGTTTCTTTATTCTACTTTAAAACTTTTTTAAGCAAGAAATTGATGCAAAAACAAAATCACAAAGCAACGTGACTTTTTTACAACTGTTTTCTTATTGTTTCAATTTATTTATTTAATCAAAGATGTGAATTTGATCAATTTAAGATTTATGCTTAAGAATTATGATAGAAAAGAAATAGAATTCGATCAAATCAAACATCCTTGCATTTAATGAATGTTAATTTATTTTTGTTCATTTACTTCGACACAAATGGATCGGAAACGATGACATTTATTACTTAATTAAATAATATCAGTGGCTGATTATGAAAAGCAAAAATTTATGAGTCGAGAGTCATTTTCATGTGGAGTTTGGTGCACTTTCACTGCTTATCAACGTAACTTCTTTCTCATTATAGAAAATTCGCTGTCTTTCAAATTTAATTTCTTATAAAACTACAAGAAAAAAAACTTCTTTTCGCATAAATCACTGAATTGTGTTTTGAAGATATTATTACATAACTAAATCATTAATTTAATTCACACACATTTAGCTGTTTAATAATTAAATCATTCAATGCAATTAAATAATTTTTATCTCAATGTTGTAATTTTTATTTATGATTTTATTTGTTTTCTTTTATTAATTTCTTTTTCATATTCGAAATATTTCAACGCTTTATAAACAAAAATAAATCACCACCCTCATCGTAAATGTCAACCGTTGGTTGTGTTCGACTATTATGTTGGCTTCTAAACTTCTATCTATTGAACTTGATTTGAATTTAATCGCATGCTGTAATTGATCCATTGTGTGAATTGATTTGATTTTGAAAACAAAACACGACTTTAGAATGCTAGAGTGTTGTTGTTCAAAACGCAGAGATCATTCTCTGTGCCGACCACGAAGGAGCAGAAACCAACAGCTGAAGATCGACAGGTATTAATCACAAGTATTCAATATTTTCCCACTGCTACAACCACTTATCAATTAGTGCATTTGATACTGATTTTTGAATTGATTGACAGTTTTTAGTGAGTAAATATTCAATCTGTTTGCTTTAGTTGAAATCAAAATTTATTGACTGGAAATTGCTTGAAAAATTTGACATTTTTACAAAACAAAAACCAAAAAAAGCTTTTTACATACTTAATTTTTGTTGTTTAATTTCTTTCCAAATTCCAATTTATTATCTATTTAGTTCACTTCAATGAATATTTTACCCTCCAAAAATAATAAAAACAAAAAATCTTTCTGTAAAATTTATTAAAATTTCTTTCGTTGTGAAGTTTTTGCACAAAGTTGAATGAATAATTTTAATTCTTGCGATTAGGAGCGTGGATCTCGTTCATCAGTTTCTAATGAATCAAATGTACTTTTGGATCCAGAAGTTTTACCTGACAGTTCAACTCAAGCTCTTGTTCTTACTGTGCTGGCCACTTTAGTGAAATATTCAAGGTAACAAAAGTTTTGAATTAATTTAACAAGAATTTTAATAATTTTAATCATTTTCAGTGATGAAATTGAGACACGCGTCTTGTATCAGTATTTAGCTGAAGGATCTGTCGTGTTTCCGAAAGTTTTTCCCGTCATGTAAGTCGAGAAAGTTTTATTTCAAAATTTAAATTAATTTTTCCTCCTCAGTCATTCGTTACTTGATCAAAAGATCAACAATGTTCTGTCGTCATCCAGCGACCAGGTTGTTCTGGCTGCTGTTCAAAGTATAATTCAGAATATGTTAGCATCAGAAGATGCATCGCAACAGCCGCTACACTTCCTTCAATCGTGTGGCTTTGGAGGCTTATGGCGATTTGCTGGGCCATTCACAAAAGTAACTTTAATTAGTTTAATTAGTGTTGTTAAAACAATTTGTTTCCCTTCTCATTAGTACAACATGATGGTTGAGTCATCGGAACTCTTCGTGAATTGCTTAGAAGCAATGGTCGAGACATGTCTGCCTGTTGAAGAGAATCAACCAGTTCCATCCTCGCCACGTCCTTATAATCTTACATCAAGCTTATCAAGCTTGACACTAGGATCACCTGACAAAGGTTCATCATCATAGCTTTAATAAATTGACCAATCTCATTCTCATGACACATTTACACAGCTTTAAACAAAATAATTTAATTAGTTATTAATTAGAACAAAATTTCATCATCTCACAAATGATCGATAAGAAACAAAATTTTCTTTCTAACAGTCTTTGTATTCGATTTCTTTTCTTTTTTCTCTCTCCTTTCATATATTTGCTTTTTTTATTCCTTGCATTGCTAACACCTTAGCTTTCTCCACAGAGTCATTAGATCGTGATCGAGAACGTGAATATAGTGGTAGCTTAAGAAGAGCCTCATTATCGAAAGCACGAAATGCCAAAATTCGCATGAATCATGAAACATAAATTATTAGAAATATTTTTAATAGCCCATAGGATGATAATGATGATTACTTAGAGTTGTTATGATGTCATTTTGTAAATCCTTCTTGATACCAAAGTTATTTTTAAAAGAATATTCTCATGTTGATATATTTCACATTTAATCTCACACTTCTGCACATCCAATACAAATATTTATTTATGAAGATATCTGCTAAATATTTAATTAAAATGCATTTTTGAATGAGAACAAATCTCTGTCAATCCCTTTCTCTCTATCTATTTGTCACAATTTACCTAAAAAATATCTAATCTACATAAATGTGCTTAGATAAACGAGATAAAATATTTACATACATAAAATTACTTAAGTAAGATACAAACATAAATTCTTGATTTTATTAACCTTCTTTGATAAATGTGATTTGAACATAAATTGAGAGAAATCAGAAAGAAAAAAGTATTTTTTAACACTTTTATAAGTCCGCACAAAAAAAATTTAGAAAAATTTTTAATCATTTTTTATAAATTTTATCGCAGTTTAAATTGAATGTGACAAAATTTGATGTTTGTCAGTAAAACTTGTTGTTTTTATTTAAAGTATATTTGTCATCAGAAGATTTATAAAAATATGTAAAAGCAGGGTTGTTGCACATTTTGATGACAGTTGACATTTATCAGTTCAAGCTTTTTTAAAACAAACTGAATAAATGGCACAATTGACATCAGAAGAATCAAACAACTTTCAACCAATCTGTGTGTAATTATTATCAAATAATATTTTATGCTCAAAATGAAGGCAAAATGTTTCAAATAAAATTCTATTAAAAGTTTCAATATAAAAAATTATTTTCATTTAAAAGCGAGGTTTACAGCTTATAAATGGTCACATCTGCTTGATGTTCCATTGCAAACGTCCAAGCAGGGAGTTTTGACATCACTTCAACAAATTCTTCAGATTTTTCAAATACAGACTCGATTGTTGATACAGCAATTGTAACTGGATTTGATTCATCAGCTGCAGATGAACTCTGTGATTAAAAAGGTGAATAGATCAGAAGATTTTCAGCTATGAACTGATTTTGAAGCTAAAAGAACTAATTCTTACCTCCAATGTGAATGATCTTATCCATGATTCATTAGTCCGTTTTCCATACAATAAAGTTGTGTATTGAAATGATTTGTCATTCCACGTTCTTTCTGCTGTTGGTATGTTTCCACTCACAAAACTCCATCCATTACCTGGGGTCACATAAATCATTGTCAATGTTGTAAGTTGAAGAGAAAATTCTACGTCAAGGTGTGAACTGTTACGAGAAAATTTAAGAAGTTCAAACTTTGTTGGTTGAAGCTTTGGTGGTTCTTTTCCTTTCAAATATTTTCCATCACCAAATCGATATAATGGAAAACCGCAATAGGACAAATCTCCACATAATTCAGCGTCTTCATAATCTGAGAGATCATTTGGATCAAAACTCATTTCCAATGTTCGCAAAGAATTTCTATCGATCGTAGAAAGCAAATAGCCAATGTCAGAATAAGTTTCTTCACCAGAATTGTAGTCAATAACAGTTCGTTTCGAATGAATGACTCTGAATCGTTGAAGTTTAGGATCTGAACGGTTATCGCTGTATGGAAATCCTATTGAAGTTAACGAAATGATTAACGACACTAAGAAAGTTGTGATTATCATCGAATATAAAATTCCTCGATATTGAACGAGAGTTGTGAGTGGTAACTGAAAGTTTATGAATTGAAAAATAAAAAGTTTTAATTGAAGCTTCTCTACTTACAAAATAACTGAGACAAAGAACTGTCCAAAGTGTACAAATCAATGCAATGGTGATGTCGGGATTTGGATAATATGCTTTGCCAGTGATCGGTATGAAAAGTTCCCAAACTTGAATCATCATGTAGCAGAGCCATAAGAAAAGGAAGCTGTGACCTAACAGGTGAATGAAAATCCAACTGTGGAATCCTAAAGAGAAGAATTTTGTTAATTAAGAATATTTTGATTAAATCTCGTATTTCAACTTGTTTTGGGAAGAACTTTGCAAGCTCCATAAGTGATAATTTGGGTGCAAAATGACACGAAAAGCATCACCATTGTGATGTAAGCGAATCGATATCCCAACGTTGTGATTGCTAAAGTTATCACAGCCCAGAATAGATTAATTCCATTTAAATGGATCATCAAACGTCTTCGTTGATCTTCCGAAATTTTCTTCTCCGACGAAAACTTTTTCCTGATAAACTGAATCAAAAAATCAACCAATTGATAAGTTGCAAGTTGAACGAGTAACGCTAATGATCCATAAACTCCAATAGAAAGAAAAGTGACGTTGAAGTAACTCATGGTGTTATCAACTGCATTCATAATCATTGCCATCAAGTAACAAGCAACAGCTGATAATGCTGTGCTCAATAATATTGTGAAGAACGAGACAAAAGTTTCAACGACAACCGGAAAAATATTTTTGAGTTTGAGTTCTGTTTGAATCACGAATGGAATGATGACAGCGATTATGCTGATGGCAATGTTCAACCCAATTCCAACTTCCTTCGAATAGGAAATAAAGAAAAGTCCAAGATAATCAAAATAAACAGCGAAAGATCCTTCAGGTGGATCAGCAATCTCATCGCAATTTGCCATCTCTCTTGTTAATGCTAAAATGTTGTCACCGGTATATTGAACTGACTCCATTGTTATGTATTCAATGCTGTCGTATCGCGTATGATATCTCCAACCAGCTTCGACATAAGCAAAATCTATGCCAGGAACCTCGCCGTCATCTCTGAATATTTCAAAATCTGTTGCCGATGGAATGACGCCAGTCTCAAAAAGTTCTTCAGCTACAGCATGTCCGAATGGTCTTGGAACTGATTGACGATATAAACGAATCAACCAATCGTGTTTTGGTCCACTTCTGAAGAGAATTTCTCTTCCACCACTTCCTGTACTTTCGAGATTAATGTAACCAGTGATATCTTTAGCCCACCGATGTTGAGTCACAAAACCATGAGCAGCTAGCAATCCAACTTCTTCAGCACCATTAAACAACAAAATCATAGAATTCTTTGGTTTTTCTTCTTGATTGGCGAAAATTCTAAAAATTTCAATCATCACGCAGCACATGACGATATCATCTGATGCACCGGGACTTCCAGGAACTGAATCGAAATGGCAATTCATCATCATTGCATTATCAATCTCTCCTTGAATTCTCACAATAATATTTTGGAGATTTTCATATATCAATGCATTAGATCTGAAGCCCGAAACAACTTGAGTATCAATGATAATTTCATCTTTTAACTTCGAATTATTTCTAATCTCATTGAGTTTTTCGTAAACGTAGTTAAAAGCCAGAATTTCGTTAGCATCACTACCGACCACTTTTGGACCTGCATAAAAACAAACAAAACATGAGGATTACTCATTGAGTTATTTACAATCATACAGAAATTGATTACCGAAGTCATTGAGAGTTTTTAGATTCATATAAGCGCGTTCAGCAATAAAACGATCTGAATTATTCTCCTGATAAGATAACAAAATCATTGACAATTAAAATAATTTTAATTAAAAT